TCTGCTCGTGGCCTCCCGATGAAGCTGCCTGCAGTGCGTTGCCGTAGCGTCCACCCTGCGCGTTGACCTCGGCGCCCTTGTCGAGCAGCAGTCTCGTAATTATATTCAAGCCTTGCTGTGCTGCGTAGTAAAGCGGCATAGGTATGCTATCGGCACTCCTTTTCAAATCTGGCTCCGCCCAAGGGCGGTCTGGATCATGCAACCGGAGCCAGTTAAGATATGCAGGCTCTTCCCTGGCCATAAAACTCATCATTAGCTGACTAGCTTGTTCTTTCTCGTCTCCTGTTTTTTGAAGATGGCTGCTCCAGAACTTTGCTGTGTACCTTGCAAGTGCGAACGTCTTAAGAGTCTCTTTTGATAGTGGTTGCTGGAGCTCGATTAGGTACTTTAAAGAGCCTCTTGTTATCGCATTGTGACATTCAGCCTCTTGCATGCTGTACTGCTTTGCCTGTCCTTGCTTAATCCTGTCTGATACAAGATACTCCTGGACGGAATAATGTGCTAGAGCGATAATGCGCTGAGTGGACTCTAGTCTTCCATCCGCTTCGTTCTTCGTGACAGTGACTAGACTCGAGCAGATGTTCAGCGCTTCTAGCGGGTCTTCTAGCACCTCATCGCGGTCGAACGCTGGTTCGCGCGCCACATCGATAGCGACGACTTGGGCGATCTCCTCAATAGACAGCGGCCGTGCAGAGAACGTCAGCCACTGCAGGATGCGCATCGCATACTCAGAGTATTCCTCGCTTATCGCAGAAAGAATGCGGTCGTATGTCTGGTCTAGCGTCCGCGGCAAACTGGCAAGAGATTTGCGCAGCATTACTCGATTGCAACACTTTCCTAGTGTGTCTAGCTGGCATACAGCCCATCGGAACCTACGCTATTATTAGCTCTAGCTCTGTGGAGAACGGGGTAAAAACACGTACATCCCACGAGCTCCGCGCATTAGTGCATCCTCGATTTCTTGCCTGATAGCCGCGTCCTTGTTCCATTTTGCCAAGTCCTTGTCGTCATGCAGCCTTTGTTGAACATATCGCTGTATGTCCTGATCCACTACGTCCCTTTGAAGACAGACAGTGTCATCTTCCTTGACGTAGCCCTCCAAGGAGCTCTCGATATCCCGCTCTTTTCGGCTGGTCATAAGCAGATGCACGTTGTTCAGTTGCCATCCAGCCACCGTTTCGAGCATGTCCATTAGCTCCGAGCGCTGCGTACATTCATCAAGAGCATCGAGAACAACGTAGACCTGCGTAAACTCTTGCGTTGCCTGCCGTGCTACTTCTAGAAGCGCGCGCGCTGACGGTTGTCGTTTTCCATTCTCGCAAGATGAGAACAACGCGTCAACGCCCTTGGGTATCACAACTGAACGTTGCAGGAGCTGGCATAGCAGCGAGCGTAGCATGAGCTCCGGATCCTGTTTCCGTGTGTCATTGAAGTCGAAGTAAAAGTACGCCGTCGCCATGCTAGTGTCATCATGGCAGTGCTGTAGCAGATTCTCGATGACAGTAGAGCTCAGAATAGTCTTTCCACATCCTGGGATCCCGTACAGCCACAGTCGCGACGCTGCACTCTCCTTCCAGTCTGTGAACTTGGCGCTTTCTAGCAGCCAGAGCCCAGTCCCTGCCTGCCGCTGCTTGTGCGCTTTGTGGTAGTTTGTGGACGGGTCAGGCGCCGAAAGCCAGCTGCAGATCTTGCCAAGCCTCTCCTCCTGGTTTTGGCTGCGAGCATCGGTGTTGTCAACAGGAATACTCGCGACTTGCTCGAAAGACTCTCGTATCTCTTTTTTCAGTCGCTTCAGCGCGTTCTCTTTGCCCTCGCTGTAGATCAGGGGTAGATAAATGCCGAATATGCCTAGCAGGCAATAAGCTCCATCTTCTGGACGTGTCGTCTTGCGGTTATGCGCCCAAGAAAATCGCTCAGATACGCTGAAGTTGGACACTTCTTTCCCTGACAAAGCCTCGATAGGTATACCTGTGATCTCGTGAATAGTATCTCTCAAAGACTGCTTGTCCCCCAGCAGATCTCCCTCTTTCGAATAGAACGCCACCGATGCAGGAGCAAGCAGTTCCTGGAGTGTCCAGCCTCTAGTGAACCACCTGCTCTGCCTGAAGGTTGGCTTCCACCTCCGGCTTAATTCACTATCCGCATCAGGAGTGTTGCACTCAACGTCTGGAAGGTAGACGTAACACTTCTTTGCGTTTTGGTACCAGCGGAACATAGAGTTGATCGCTTCCTGAAGCTCTTGGCTGTTCGTCTTGTCGATGCAGCAGGTGTCTACCCAAAAGTAGTCCAGACCATCGCGCTTGGCTTGCTGAGCGCAGAACAAAATCTTTCGATAGCCCTCCTTGACTTTTGCATCTACTTCCTCTATATTGCTATAGTTCCGAAGGTCCTTGAAGGTTGCCTCCTGCTCGCCCCAGGTGTGCGACAGGATCGCATACGAGGGGATCTTGCCTTCGACCAAGTCCTCAGTCCACCCAAGTTCCCCATCGCCTGTCGTGTATAGCAGCCGCATCTGGCTGTGTATGTGTCCTTATGCGCGAGCGGTAGGAGCCTCGAAGCAGGCTGACGGAATCGACGGTGCGCGGCGGCTCGTTCGCATAGGGCGTGGAGATCTTAGCTGTTAGGACTGTTTCGAGTTCTAAGTGATGGTGTGTTAAGTTTGAGGTGAGGAAGACTGCCCTCGTTGTTAGGGCAGGCTGCACATCCTACACCCAGGGCAGGAGGCGCAGCCCGCCTGCGCCGTGACGTGAGGCTGGCTGGACAAGGCTGACAACGCATGATCGCGCGACAGCCACTGTGCTGCAAACCGAGAAGCAGTTATTGCCTAAGGATGCGATCTAATAGCGGACTGTCATTTACGGTGAGAGGATGTCAGGATGTCTGTGCAGCGCGTGCTGGCTCGTGCAAGAGGACACTGGCCACAGGGAATCTGTGCCGCCAACTGTCGTGGGGCTCGGAACGCAACGCAGCGACGATAGCGTCAAGAACAACCCGGAACATCTCAAGCCACGCATTTGTCTAACGCCAGCAAACAGCTCTAACACGGACACTAAAATACTATCGATGCACATCATGCTAAAAGCCATGTTTACGCAGTCTTCCCCTACCCAATCGCGACCTAAGACTCAAGCAGGGAACAGAACATCCTCGTGCACAACCGCGCGGTCGTAAGCGCTTCTGGAATGCCATCAACATGCGCCACGCCTATTTTGAGAGGCATACAGGACGGGCATAGCGCCCTATTCTTTACGATAAGATACAGCGGGCAAGAAGCGCGCTACTACCGACTGATGCATGCCAAGCTATGTTAGCGTATCCCGCCAGCTCGGGCTCGTTTTGAGAAATCTCCTGCTTCGCACAACGGGGCTCCCGGCATGCACGCTCCCATGTCAGAGCGGTCTCTCGAGCATGGGAAATTGATCATTCTTAATTACACTCTCTGTACAACCCTCCGAGCACTCAATCGCTTCCCGAAATCGCTAATGAACACACTTTAACACTAATAGAAAGACTTGCGTTGTTAGTGCGCGTCGCCTGCTTGTCCTTTACAGCTATAAGAGCCGCCACTCTCTTGGGTTTTAAGAGCTCTGCAAGGAGAGTGATATCTACACGCTCTGCATGCTGCCTTACTTATCTCACCTGCTGCAGCTACTTAACGTTGGCTGCTTCTTGCTGTTAAAGCGCGCGTACAGCTGTAAGGTTGAATGCCTAATCTGCTACTACATCAACCACATCACCAAGCTTGAGTTTCTGCCAGCGTTTAAGGTAGTGTTTAGTTAATTGTTCACCTCAGCTAATATCTGCTCAGCCTTTCAAGGCGCAGGCCTTGTGCCTCTCCAACTAGATGTTGTACTGTCAAAGCTTCACGTGCAGCTGCGTACGCCTACTCCAGCTGCTCTCCCAGAGGCTCCCTGGGAAGCTTGTACGCTGAGCAACGTACGCGAGCTCAGAGCTTAATCAGCATTAATACGTGAGCACATGCAACAGTATAAGAGCTTGTCACCAGCTTCAATTATTGAGTCGATTGACCAGCTCAAGAAGGGCGCTGAGGTGATGATGCTCTCAGCTAAGCTGATGCGCGATTGGATTTCCAGCCTTGAGAAGGCTAAGGAGGCAGCGTCAGCGCGCAAACAGCGTAAAAAAAGCGTATACAGCAGTGTGGGGTCTTAACAAAGGGAGCTGGAGAGGCTCTACTCGCGCAACGTGAGGCTGACCAGCAGATTGAGCGTGAACAGTGTCAAGATAGAGAGCAATCAGGCCTTAGCCGCCAGGCTCTCGCGCGCTGCAAGAGGTGCAGAGAGACTAGACACAACTCACACACGTGCAAGAAAGATATTGCAGACACTGCTTAATCTACTGCATTAATATCTATATATCAGCTCATGATGTCGTTGAGTTGTACGCCTCTGGAGGTGCCAAAGTTGGTAGGGCTGGCGGCTCGCTTGTTATGAACAAATGTATGAACAAACATCACAGAACAATTGGAAAATCTGAACATCTCAACATCTAAACATCTGAACATTGAACGCGGTATGGGTATAATTCCTACCATCTGCATCTAACCTCACCTCGCCACTAACGTACATGTGCCTTTCCAGACCTCACAACTCCCGGCAGGCCCGTGCCGTGCTATGCACCAGGCGCGCGCGCCATTCCGTTTCATACCATACCATGCCATCAAACATGCCTCGCTACTCCGAGCATTAAACCCTGAAGCAGAAGCCCACCCATCAAAGGCTCTGTCGAGCCGTTTGAGAAACGCCGAAACACAACGCCAGGAAAAACAAGAACGTGACCACGCAAGAATATACGTTTTGCACATCGCCTACAAAAGGATAGAGACGCAGAGACATGTATACACATGCGCGTCCAAGAGGTGACAAAGGCTTCAGCCTTCTTGTCTTCATAGCCCATCTTTGGGCTTTCGTTGTTGGACAAGTCGTTCTTGTCGACTTTACAATAGTACACCGTTCCACATGCCAGGGCCTTGCCTGTGGTACGCATGTGCCGCCTCGGTGGAGCAGCAGGTCCGCTTCTTTCCCGAGGCCTTCTGCACTGGCAGACGAGAGCACTCGGGAGCAAAGGTCTTGGGCGGCTGCAGCCCCTTCAACTCGTGCTCGTATGTTGAGAACGATGGCTGGGCAATGGATCGATCAGGCAGGACGGTTGGCTGGCTGTGGAGGGTGAAGTTCGGGCGGGACGTATTCAGCAAGTGACGGACACTGTGCTGGAGATCAATGGTAGACGACCTGCCACGCTTGCGCGAGGGACTAATGGACTCGCTGGAGACAGGACTATCAACCATGGAGGTTGCATCAGCATCGTCGATCTGGTAGCGGTCTACAGACTCAGGAGAGGATGTGGGCTCGCTGGGAGCATACTCGTTACACTTCGACAGCATAGGGTAAGGCAGTTTCGCGTTGCGGCACGTCGCCAGCCGGGCCAAACTGGCCTGGCTTGGTGGCGCCCAACCGACAGACGAGACTGAGGAGATTGACGATGCGCGGGAAGAGCGAGAGTTGTCCGTGATCATCGACTCGGGGGATGAGGAGATCGAGGAGGCAGATGGTGCCAGCGAAGGCCTGCGGCTCGGGAAGTGGTATGCCTCGAGTCCGTTCCTGATGCTTGGGTTGAACTGGTCGACACAGGTGCGCGCCAGGGACGAGCACTGTGCTTGCTGCATAGCTGTACACATCGAAGGACGGCGCGAGCCCATTGCCAGAGCACTCGCTGCAGGAGTAGAGCTGGCAACAGACTGAGGCGTCAACGAAGGCGTAGGCAGGGGACCCAGACGCATGGGAGTCGGGGGAAGCAGATCGGGTTTGGGCTCGAGGAAGCGAGGAGCTTGGTAAAGAGCAGGTGTAGGGGTGCCCTCCTGCGATCCGTGGCCAGCCGAAGTTGGCGTACGGGACGCACCGAAGCTTAGTGCTGACCTGAAAGGAAAACGCACTGGTGTAGCTGGCGCCGCCTTTGGCTTGAGGGTGACGATCTCCAACTCGGGTGTCAGCATAGGGATGACATCCTTCCAGGTGTTGGGAAGGCTGGCTCCCGGAGCAGGCGGGGGTTGGGTAGGAGTGTGTCGCAGAACAACCTCTTGCCATTTCTCCCAGATAGGATCTGTGATGTGAAGCTTCCAGTTGACGGTCTCCAAGAAGGCCATCTCGTTGGTGTTGATCTCACAGACCTTGAGGCCAGAGATCTTGCTCCATGCGCGTGCAGAATAGTTGCGGTCCTGGAGATACTTTGAGGCGAGGATGAGCGCCGCAAGGAACATGCGACGTCCGCACTGCAAAGCACGCATGGATGCATCTTCTGATTGCTGCTGCATAGTGAAGTCGTGCTTGGGCAGGTGCGACTTGATAAGGATCAAGTAGTACAAGGCTACCTGCAGGGTGGAGTAGCTGGTGCGAGAACGGCGGAGAGTCTCCTGGATAAAGGTGCGCAGGGGAAGCACACCACGTCCAGCGACAGTCTCGCAACGGCTCTTGGGCTCAGAAAGCTGCCAAATGACCTCAACCATTTGGGTTGCGGAATCTTTGGGGAAACAAGTCAGCGGGGAACCAGGGTTCGAGAATATCGATGGGACTAACCGACGAGGCAGTCGACGAAGTTAACCTTTCGGTCGCTTTGTCGAACCAACTGAGGAGGAGCGCGCTGGACCGTGGTTGACGATCGTCGCGGGTGTTGTCGCTGCTCCACTGGGGTAATAAGTTCAACCTGACGCAATGATGGCAGCCTTTCCTGGGCAGTCTCTCGGCACGCTGAGGCCTGGTACTGTGGGAAGCTGCTGACACGGCTGATGGGCTGAAGTGCAGCTACGTTTGAGAAGTTCACAGCAGTTGCCATGGCGGTCTGCCCGGTGCTGGAGCTCCATTCATCCGACTCCCAGTTGGAGGGGCATGATGTCGAGCTCGTGGTGGATGCTTGTGACGCGGCATCCGAGAATACGGAGGAGGTGGAAGAGGATGCTGATGAAGAAAGGGCAGAAGCGTAAGGGAGGTTCGCCGGCGAGATGCCAGAGTTCCGGAAGTAGAATTCGAGACTCATGTTGACGGCAAAGGAAACAATAAGCAGTGCTCTTATAACAAATGAACAAGTAAGGAGTGAGCGGGGATGTGACTCGGCTTTGACGTTACGTCTCGAAGTGCTGACCGTCAGGTAGACCTCGAAATGTGGCGCAAGGCGTGATCGGGTGGTCGTGGAGTGACCAAAAAGTTACCGATGAGAGTTACCGTACGGAATAACCTTATTTTCCGTCGTGTGGTGATTTCGAAGTGTCTTGTGCACTTTCGAGTTCTTGATATCTTTCCGGGTCGCGATTTCTCCTCAAACGTATTGGACTTGTGATAAGCCGAGATATGATCGAACAGCTGTGGCGGTCTTCAAGAACCGGGAAATGGTAGAGAGCAAAGTCGAGATCGTACACGTCGAAGCGTGAGGTTGTGTAGAGTTCGCAGTTGAATGGTCCTCACCAGGTATTATGTGATCGAAGGAGACCAGTTGCAGAACCGGATAATACTCCAGTCACTGTCAGCTGCAGAAGTTACCGTAAACAAGACCTGTGAGAGAGACCGTCCGCAAAGCACTCCGAGTGTGTAGCACCTGTAACAGCTGGCGCTGTCGCAAAGGCTAATGAGTTCGATGTGGTGCGGGGATCTAGCAGGCGAGACCTCTGATGAAGAAGGCCTTGTTTTCGAGAGTGGTAGATTCTGAGCGACGAGTGACTGGAGTAGCAGTGTAGACCGAGATAAGCATTGCTATGTTCTGCAGTGTCGATGTAAGAAGTGTTCGAGAAGGCGACTTGGTGGTCGCTGGGCTCAAGCTTCGAATGTCGGAGGTATAGAACCGAAAATGCGTCTGTTATGTGTGGAGGATTACTATTGGTTGTTGTGCATACGAGGTGGTGATGGTGTCCGGGGCGTGGTGTTGGGTGACGTGGACGGGGAAGTAGCGGTCGGGAGTCGGTGTGAGCGGAGAATGGGATTTACTGTGCGCAGAGTGTTGTGGGTATCGTGTGGCGCGTGCGAGGTTTATGAGGCAGCCTCGTCGTCTGGTAGTTGACTACAGGTTGCTGGATGAGTCCTTGCGGTAGGCGGCAGCGTGGCGGCGACGGGGTCGAAGCTGGCTGTAACCTGGACAAAGCCGGAACGGGGGTAGTGGACGGGGCGAACAGTCAACAGAGGATGTGGCGATGGAAGAGACGGCAACAGGGCGTTGCTTTCTCTATTGGGGGCCCGAGGGCTCGCTGTAGGGCATCGTGAATTCCATTGCTGCTGTTCTGATGAGGGAGGGCAGATGCGCGGAGACAGCCAGTTAATAGGCAGCCCCCGACTCACAGCCTGCCCTCCCCCGTCCAGTCATCGCGGCAAGTCGTGCACGGGCCACTTGCCACCACCCTTCAGACTCATCGCGCCTTCCTTGGACAACGTTGGGGTCAGGATTTGCCATCACGCACCTCGCATCGCACAGCTGTGATTCACGGCCAGCTGCCACCGATGTCGCCGCTATTGTAATAGTTGAGAATCACATTTGCCTTCGCACTGCAGCGTCGTGGTGAATCTGCGATGCTCGTGCTCGCTGTCCAAGCGTTGGGGTGAGACGCGCGCTGCAATCCATCACCGCCGCTTCACTGCCCGCGTCTGCATCGCTGCGCCTGCAAGTGACCGCGTCCAAGCAAGCCAGCGAGGCTGGCGCGGCCTGGCCTGCACCCAAGCCTCGCTGCAACACACGGCGACTCCTTTTTCCATGCCATGAACACACCAGACGTTTGGAACCCTGGAACACGCGTTCGCAGCGCACTGCCAGCCTGTCCTCTCCCTTTGCTCATTCCGTGGATCATCGTCCAGCAGCAGCTGAGCCCCCGGCTGCTTCGAGTCCAAGGCGCTGATCGCCAAGTGATGCACTCCTCACTACATCTCTACGCTGATTGGCCGGTCAGTCTGGCTAGCTCAGCCTGGTAGTTTATGGGCAATGCCTCGTCCCAGGCGGCGTCGAGCTGCCTAGAGTGGCGCAATATTAGGGGCCAAACCCAAGACACACCCCTCGATCACAGATTCACAGCTGCCGTGCGCCAGGCAGATGCGACAATCTTCATTTGCATCTCCCTCTGCTGTGCGGCTGGTGCGCGAATGCCTTCATCTCACATTTCCGGTGCGACTCGTACATGACGCAAACAGCATTGCAAATGACCTGCTGCCAGCTCATAGCCCTGCTCGGCGCCCGGCTAACGACTTCCGTCCGACGACAGACTGTTGGCCCGGGCCCAGCTCCAAAACGAGCTCCATGCGTGGCCCTGCTCTTCACCGATGCACTGCATCCCTCGCCGTGGGGTGATTGGGTGCGAACCTCGGGATCCTGAAGTGTGCCCGAAAATTCCCCAGTGAGCAGTGGTTTGCGCCTCTTGCGTGCACATGTGCAAATTTTGCGTGAGCAGGAGGGCCGCGAATGGCCTTGGCCGTCACACCGTCGGCCCTTCAGACCTTCTGGAATGGCCACGGAAGCCGACTAATTCCGCGCTTGACCAGGGCTGAGTCACCTCCACACCACCACTGTGCGAAGACGGCACTTCCGGTAGGCATGGCAGCCAAGCATCGCCGGACAACGCAGGCAAGACATCACGCCGCCGCCACGAACCAGCTTCAGGCCCCGCAGTGAAGATCCGGCGGCGCCACCGTGATCGGCTGGCTACTCGATACTGAAGGCTACGTGTGGTGACTGATGGCACGTTGGTATGAGCTAGAATGATCCAAAGCTCATCACGTTGGTTGAGTGCGAGGAGTCATGACTCACTGCTGCCTGGCGAGCTTTCAAACACACCAAATGCCCGCGGCAAACCTCAGCCGGCATCGCGGAAGTCAAGGTGAGGCTGGAAGGAGCAGTGGGGTCGACGCTATGTTATGACGCAGTCTGATATTCTCACGTGAACAAGATGTGGACTCTATCTTGAACCGGATGGTCGTTAGCTGTCCGTGGACATGCTGATCCATGATCTAGTATATAAGGAGACTGCCACGGTGGCAGTAGAGTACACTCCATACAATCAGGCTGAAAAGGGTCCACTTGGGCATTCGCATGGTCTGCAGTACGGTGGGCAGTGATACCTGTAGAGCGACGTATCAAGTCGTATTACGTGTAGATGTAAAGTGGCGAGCAAACGTGATCTGTCCGCGGTGCACTAATGCGGAGCAGTCACCAAAGCAGCGATGACATGTTGGTTGAAGCACCTTAGTTTCAAATGGTGTTACCCTCATCCCAACATAGCTCTTTCTCATTCTGTGATGGCGCACGTGGTGGACCTGTAGTCGCTCAGTGTTTCGATTTGGTGAGCATGTGCAATCCTGCGTAGGCAGCAGCGACATCAGCCGAGTCCAGGTCTTGGTTGGGGGTTGTAGTGACAAAATATACCACACTGTTAGACAAACTAGAGCCGATCAGCAAAGTTGTTGACTGAACTAAGTGGAGCTTCCTATTGTGTAAGGAGTGGGTGGAGAGGAACCCGCCGAAGACGCGACGGGACTTGTTGAGAAAGACAGCAAAGAAGGCAAAATTGGGCAAGAGATACATACCTTGGGTACCTGTAGACTGAGTGGCCAAACGAACAGGTGTTGTGAGCCTAGATGAGAATAGCGGGTATGGTGGACGCTTACAAGCAGAATTGCCTATAAGCCGTATACAAAACGTGTATTATATACAAGCAATAGTTTCAAGTGAGCCAAACGAGATTAGATAACTTTTCGAACCCATTGATGATACACAGGTAGATACACAAGGCTTCTTTCTCTGAACTACACGATACTTCATCGTAGGAAGCAGCAGAAGTAAGATACTTGACAAGGTGTGCCTCAAAACGAACGTAGTAGACATTGCTGCTCTCGAGTCATTCGGCCAAAGGTGTAGTATGCGAATCTGTAACAGTGAATGGCCAAGGAACTGGTCTTCTCAATAAACAGCTTAGCGTGTTGCACCTAGCCATACGGTCAGTCCTGGGAAAGTGGCGAAAGAAAAGGTGAGAATCGATCGAGTTCCAGAGCCGATTCCATTGGTGGTGCGCTATCGTGTTGTTCCCTTCGATGACAGGAGTCATGGTGGTGGTGGGAGGAACGGCTCTTCTTACGCAGGAAGAAGCCAGGACCTTCTCGAAGCAGGTGTCGAAGATCGCAATGTCGAATAAACAGAAGGCGAGAAGTTTCCACGATGACTTGTTGAAATATTGCTGGCTGGGACCCGATACTCTCTCCCCGAGGATCAACACGATGGGTATCTGTACCTGTCATGTTGAGCTCTTGGTCTCGATCAGTTAGCTGTGTGAGATCAGTGACCAGCAAATAAGGACCCCTGGGATGGACTGGACGATAGTGGAATCAAAGCTGCATTGTGTCGATCGATATGGTACAAGTACTGAGGTGCATATGCCAGACTGTGATCCACTCTTCCCCACCTCTTTACATATATGCGCAAGCTTCGCCGTAGCGAGCAATTTACTGGTTGAGGTTAACGGGGAAGTTGCCGGCCTCACGCTGGTCGTCCCATCGTGAGGTCCAGCCGCTGGGGCAGAGCGACTTGTAAGCCAGCATGAACTGCGGTCCGTCAGCACATGCATCCCTCTACCATGGGTCCAATTGAGGCGCACCTGGCGACAGGGAGCAAAGTCCTCGCCCTTGGCAATGATGCACTTGTGGTAGTCGACGTAGTTCTGCCAGCAGTGCTTGGTCTGGTTCTGGTTGGGAAAGCGGGCGTCGAAGCCTGTGGCGCGCGGAGCTAGTCAGTATACTATCTTGTCTGTCGCGGATTCGGATCTCAAAAGAAATGCCATTGTGCTCGTGCGGGGTGCTGCGGGAGCTTGGGGGTCGTCATACCAGCTGTGGAGCGAGATTAGCAGGCGTTCTCAAAGAGGCGGTGCGGGAGCCCAGGCGGCGTACCAGTTACGAACTTGAAGGGCTTCGTGACCATATCATCGCCATTCTCGTTGTCAGACATGATTGCGGTGGTTGCGATGGAGTGAAGAGGTATGGTGTGGCGGCAATTGCTGGTGGTAGACGTCAAGTCGTCAGTGAAGTTGGCGATGGGCTGACTGCGCTTTGACTCCACACAGCCAATTAGCGACTCGGCGATTGCCGGGCTTGCAACCTCCGACTTGACGAGCGAGCTCCAGTGTGAAGCTCCTGTGACGGCACCGCACGCAATCCAGCAACACCACGCCTCTCCACTCTCCACTCCACCGCCACCATGTTCAAAGCTACCCGTGCCATGGCCATGCGCCCTTCGGCCATGATGATGATGCGCCAGACGCCCAGGATGACGATGCGCGCAAGCCCCCAGCTCTTTGTGCGCCAGACACTGCAGATGCGCAGTCCTGTCCCCGTACGCTCGCTCCGCCTCCCCACACGCTTTCAGAGCATATACTAACAATTTCAACAGAAGCAGGAGCAGGGCGGTAAGCCGATTGGATGAGTCAGGACACGACAGGACCCCAATTGACGATGCAACAGCCCACACTGCCTCGCAGCGCCTGCGTCAGCTCAAGAACATCCCCACTGAGATTTGGCCTCTGAGTACGTCCTCGATTCTCTATATACCGCAACTGAACTGTTTCTAACACGTCTCGCAGTCATCGTCCTCGGGTAAGTCCGCTTTTCGCGATATGCGGGGTGTGAAGCCTGCTGGTCTGACATACCCCACAGCGTTGCCGTCGTGATGGCCTTCTTTTCCCTTGCCAGGAAACTTTGGGTTGACAAGACCCTCCGCCTCAAGAGGCAGGGTAAGGAGCAGTAGACTTCCGTTATCAAATTGGATCCTTCTGGGCGAACGAGCTTTGTGTATACAACAGCTGGACATGTAGACTATTACCGAAAACTGAATCGAACATGGGTTTTCCTTTGTGCTGCATACGATTGCCTTCACTGGGCTGTGGAACCTATCATGATAATGTCTTTGAGTTGAAGAGATAGCAGACTTCACCTATGTCTTACAGAACAATACGTCATTTCGTGCTCAGGGATATATTATCTCGAGCCCCTACCCAACAGAGCCAAAAACAAACCTAATTTGCAATGACTAAATACACCCGAACCGTCTTTTGAATACACCCAAACGCCTTGCATGCTGTGGCTGCCTGAAATGCTACATTCTCCTCGCACTCTCTCATACAGCCTTGGGGCCTGCCTCGTCGAGCCCTTCCAGCCCTTGCATGGGGTCCATGGGGGCGTTGTCTTCCACCTGTTGCTGCTCAGTAGCTTGGCGGTCTTCCTCGCTCACAGCATGCTTTGCCAACCAACCCTCCTATGCGTCATTAGCGATTGTAACCAAGAGCACAGATGAGTGTGTGACCGTACCTGCTCCCAAACCGCCGTCTTGCTTCCCAGACCCTCAGTATGATCTTTCTGCGGCTTGGCAGCTGCAACCTTGATCACTTGTCCGTACAATTCGCTGCGGTCCATGTTGTCGATCGCGTCTGCAGCGTCTGTGGCGGTCTCAAATTCCACATATCCAAAGCCGCGATGTGTCTCGTTTGAATTGGGCAGATCTGGCTTCGGTAGGTTGACTTCGACGATGTCTCCAAATGGCAGGAAGGCGTGGAAAAGCGTTTGTTGGGTGACAGCTTGATCGAGACCGCCAACGAACACCGTGGCCTTCAAGCGCGATGCGTCTGATAGGTTCGACATATTGTTTGTTTGTTCTTGAAATGTAATTGTGCGCGCAAGATTGCTTGTCGCTGTTAGAAAATCGATATCACGTGGATCTTGCAAGGGCCGAAATGGTGGCCCGTGCCTCCCTAGCCCGCCCGATGATGGAAGGGACAGGTGGTGGATGCTCGAGGGTCGAGTATGCCGTTGCCTTGCTAACATCTTCGCTTGTAACACAATTCGAGACGTTTCCTCCACCTGTATCCCTCTGCATAGCGTCTCATAAAGACTCCGTACCCGATTGATTTGGGTTTCTTCTCCCAGCTCGCTACTCAACCGCCTCGGTGCGACCACAGCCCACCATGGTCCGCCTACGAGAAATACCCCGGACGGCAACATTTGCTTGGTCGCCCGGATCAACCCAGCCGTTGATTGCTACCGGAACCAAGTCTGGAGCTGTTGACGCCGACTTTTCTGGCGACACTCAATTGGAGCTCTGGGAGCTCAAGCTTGATGATGCTGAGCACGGAGTAGAACTTGAGCCAGTTGCTACAGTAAACGTAGATTCGAGGTACCATTTGATGGCTGTCTGTATACGCCAACATGAAGCTGAGTATCTTGCAGATTTAACGACCTTGCATGGAGCCTACCCAGCGAACAGTACCCAAGAGGCATAATAGCGGGGGCCCTCGACAGCGGCGCATTGGTCCTCTGGGATGCGGAGAAGTTGCGGACAGGTGCAGCGTGAGAGTCCTGATCTTTGATGGGTGAGAGCAAGGCTGACAGCCTACAGAGACGCTCAAATTGAGCAGATCGATAAGCACACTGGTCCCATTCAAGCTCTCCAGTTCAACCCCTACCGATCGAACATCCTCGCCTCCGCAGGCGCCAAGGGTGAGCTCTACATTCACGACCTCGACGATGCTTCGAAGACTTTCCGCCTAGGAAAGGCCGGCGCGAACCCTGACGAGTACACAACGTTGGACTGGAACAAGAAGGTTGCCCACATTTTGGCGACTGGAAGCAGCGGAGGTTTTGTTACTGTTTGGGATGTGCGAGCGAAGAAGGAGACGCTCACACTGAACCACTTCGGCAGGAAAACAGTCAGTGCTGTGTCATGGGACCCCGAAGTACCCACAAGGCTCGTCACAGCCATTCCTACCGATCAGCACCCCCTCGTCCTGGTCTGGGACCTTCGCAATACAAATGCGCCAGAGAAGACCCTTCAGGCACACGACCAGGGTGTACTGTCCCTGTCGTGGTGTACCCAGGATAGCGACATTCTGCTGTCCTGCGGCAAGGACAACCGAACCATTGCATGGAACCCGCACAGCGGCGAGCAATTGGGCGAGTTTCCTGTCGTTACAAACTGGACCTTCCAAACCCGGTTCAACCCATCAAACCCCAACATCCTTGCTACCGCATCATTCGACGGCAAGATCGCAATCCAGACCCTGCAGAACACCGGAGCTACAACTGAGCTGAGCAAGGCGGCGGCTCAGGCGCCGGAGGGGGAAGACTTCTTCTCGCAGACGCACGTCGAACCTCAGGGCGCTTCTTTCTCGCTTAAGACACCACCTAAGTGGCTCAAGAGAAGGGCTGGTGTGGCTTTTGGCTTCGGCGGAAAGTTGGTACGATTTGGCGTTCATGACTCTAAGTCTAAGATCGCCATTTCTACATTTGCTGTCGATGCACAGATTGGCGACGCTAGCCAGGAGTTCGACAAGGTTCTCGAGCAGGGTGATCTTACGGCCATCTGTGAGAACAAGATCGCCAAGGCAGCGACCGAGGAGGAGAAAGCCGACTGGACAGTCATTGAGACATTGACATCTAAGAACCCCCGAAGCAAGCTTGTCGAGTACCTCGGATTTGCCGATGTAAAGGAGGAGGAACCAGTAGAGGAGAAGAAGGATGCCGAGCTAAATGGTGCTGACGATGGTGTCTCCTTTTTCGACCAGTCCGGCACAGATGAGGGTAACTTCTTGTCCGACCTCGCTGCCTCGAAGGGCGCAAAGACGAACAACCCCTTCCAGGTCTACACTGGCGATGAGTCTGATTCCGACAAGAAGATTACTCGCGCTCTCATGCTTGGCAACTTCGAAGCGGCTCTCGATGTCTGCTTGAAGGAGAACCGCCTCTCAGATGCGTTCATGATTGCCATTTGTGGTGGTGAGAAGTGTGTCGCAAAGGCTCAAGCTGCTTACTTCAAGAGGCAGTCTGATGCACCAAACTACCTGAGGCTGCTTGCTTCAGTGGTTGGCAAGAACCTATGGGATCTGGTTTACAACGCCGATCTCAAGGACTGGAAGGAAGTCATGGCTACCCTTGCTACTTTCGCTGACCAGTCTGAGTTCCCCGACCTCTGCGAAGCTCTGGGTGACCGCTTGGAGGAGGCCATCTCCGACAAGACTGGCTCTTACCGTAAAGACGCGTCTTTCTGTTACTTGGCTGGTTCCAAACTCGAAAAGGTCGTCGTAAACTGGGCGCAAGAGCTCAAAGAGAACGAAGCTGCTGGTCTGGAGAAGTCAGAGGAGGACAACAGCTTCTCGATTCACGCCCGCTCGTTGCAAGACTTTATCGAGAAGGTTACAGTGTTTCGCAAGGTCACCAACTTCAAGGACGCCGAGCAGCAGAAGGATGCCGACTGGAAGCTCGAGCCGCTGTACGCAAAGTACGTCGAGTATGCTAATATTGCATCCTCGCATGGTCAGCTTTCTATCGCTGAGAAGTACTTGGATTTGCTGCCCCAGAAATATCCCGCCGCCGAGGTCGCGAAGGACCGAGTCAAGCGCGCAACACGAAAGGCTGCACCACAGGCTCAACGACAGGCGCAGCCCGGCGCTGGTGGTCGTGCTACACGCGTTGTCCCCACGCCAACACCGGCTCAACAGACATATGCGCCGACGAATGCCCTGTCTACTCCCGCACCAGTAAACAATTCACCTTACGCACCGATCAATCCACTGAGTGCCCCAGCACAGGCCCAAGTTCAGTCCCAGCCGGCAGCTCGCAACCCATACCTCCCTCAGCCGAATGCATTCGCATCCCAGCCATCGCCCATTGGGCAGAACGGTACCGGATATGGTGGCTACGGTCAACCTCAGCAGAGTTCGCTGCCCCCTCCTCCTCGTGCTGGCGCCATCGGTAGCATGCCTCCCACTTCCACTGTGCCCGCAGTAAACCGCGGCCACATCCCCGCGTGGAATGACACTCCTGACTTCGGGCCGCCGAAGCCAGCTTCGCGTCGCGGCACTCCTCTCAACACTGTTGGCTCACCTTTCCCCAACCAGCAGCAATACGGCGCGCCTCCCCCAGGTCCGCCACAGGGACGACCAACACCTCCTCCGCCCAAAGGCCCGCCTCAGGGACCCTCTCGGGTGATGTCACCGCCTCAGTCGAGTTTTTCTCCATCCGCCCCTAATCCCTACGCTCCGGTACAGCCAAGTGGGTTTGCCCCTCCACAGCAAGCGCCCTTGGCGCGTGGAGCTTCGCCATATGCTCCGCCAACTTCGGCAGCGCCAGCTTCCAATCGCTATGCTCCGGCACCGGGTTCGCAACCTTCGCCTGCTCCGGCGTACGGAGGAATGCCTCCACCTCGCAACATCGCGCCGCCACCTACTCACTTCACACCTGTGCCGTCCCCATACACGCCATCGGCAGCTCAGCAAGCCACTCCTGCAGCAGCACCACCTCCGCTCAGAGGCCCACCTCAGGGACCCCCACGTGCTGGTCCCCCGCCTGGCGCACCTCTCCAAGGCGGGCCACCACGGCCAGACTCTCGGTCAAGCGCTCCACCACCGGCGGCTCCTGCAGCAGTTCCGGCCAAGAACCGTGAGTTGCTAACAGACCTACACTATTATCGGATTGCTGACCTCATGTAGCTCGCGGTGATCGAACACACATCCCTACAGAATCGCAGCCGATCTTCGACATCTTGAACGCTGACATGCAGCGTGTCAAGGCGAAGGCACCTGAGAAGTTCAAGGCCCACGTGATCGACACCGAGAAGCGTCTGAACATCTTGTTCGACCACCTCAATAACGACGATGTCAAGCCAGATACCATTCAGCAATTGAACGACCTGGCGAGCAACATTCAGGCCCGCAACTATGATCAGGCTGGTGTCATATTCTCGGACATCATGACGAACAAGACAGATGAGGGCAGTGATTGGATCGTAGGTTACCCTTTGTGAAGAAATTATAGAGCAATCACTAACAGCCATGCAGGTCGGTATCAAGAGGCTGCTACAGTTCAGCAAGTCCACCCAGTAGATGATAATGTAGACATAAGCACGACCTGGATGTGACAGGGTTGGCATACTAGCGGAGTGTATCACATAGACATGAGTACACATCTTGTTAGTGACCGGTTTACGCGCTTCTCGGACTTATGGAATCGAAGGAGAGAATACTGATCGAATACAATACACCTGTTCACGATGGGTTCCTGCTGTTGTCAGATCCTCACATGACCGTCACGTCGAGGCGAGAGTCCAAGGGTATGATTGCCACAGCATTCTATGGAAACTTGCAAAGAATATGGACCTTAACGCTAGACGTCTAAGTGGATCTGTACGGTGGGTTAGACTTGATGTCAATGTCGATGCGGACGACCTGGGACACCACGAGGTTGAGCATCAAGAGCCATCGCCCAACCTGATTGTTACTGCTTGGTGATTTGAGGCTGAAGATAAGCCACCTGGGATAACTAGGTGTACTTCCCCTTGTACCGCGAGACCCTGTAGTCTACCATTGAATGCATAATCCTGGGGGTTCATTGATACTCGGCCAACTTTCATTCATGTTCGCAACTTCCACGGCCTCTCCCTTTGATGTCGATCATGGCAACCTTAGCCGTCTTGCCAGACGTGGTTGATGTCAAGCTTGGACTAGACTGCTGAATCAAGTAAGCTGCTGACCAGAACCCCTCGTTTATTGGAAGTAGAGCATGTAGATTTGCTACGCTGTCAATGTCAAACTTGATATGATCATCTACAGCTCCCTGACAGCTTCAGATGAGCACTTGACACTGGAGACACGCTAAGTGGTAGCTTTTACATAGGTTAGGACCCTTTTGATGCACCATCTCCCGAAAGTTAATGAGGGGATGTTCCGTCAACCGACAAATGCTGAAGTCGGTTCGGCGTATTTGTAGCTTGGTGGATCTGGATAAAAAGGTATCAAGGCTACAATTGTACGTAAAGATAAATGATCATGCATTGAAAATTGTAGATAGTATCAGTGAGTCTTGAGTTACATCCTCACCGCCATAGAATTTGCTCCATAACCTTCTAGTTGACCGATATTTGGATGCTTGGCGACGACGAGGTTCATGTTGACCAGCGAGCACGAATTGATGCATCGATGAAGAAAGCAATGAGAGAAGATGCACTGTGTTTAGTAGACTACTTTACTCATGATAAATATGCAAACGTGACTTACGTTGGAGGCCGCTCGTGTTAGGTGCTGGAGGCTACTGAGCCCTGCTTAGACTATACAAATGGAGGATGACCCCTTTCGAAACACGCGTTTTTAGCTCTCTGTCGTCTTCCAAAGCCCCCGTGGTTGACGTATGCGGATGCTTGTGCTTAAAGAGGGGTAGCGTGGTAGAGGAGGCAGACAGAGGTGCCCCGGGGTGTGGTTTCTTGGCGGGCTGACCTGCACCCATATAACTCGCACCGCCCACCCTCCGAAACCTGCCACCTCCTCAGTCACCTCTCCACCTCACTGCAAGTACATCCACAAAGCACCGCTTCAACATAATATTCCATCTCTTACTAGTCGAGGGGACATTCGCACGATCGAACTGTCTTCAGAATCGATGTGTTCCCCCTACACACCGAGTACTGCTTTTACCATGACATCGCTGCCGAAGCTGCCTCCGGCGCAGACCAGCCAAGCAGCAGTTCAGTGCAATCGCCGAGAGGTCTCGTATCATCCGGACAATCAAGGTCGGTATGCCATCCAGGCGTATGAAGTTCGACCTCATTCACGCCGGTCACCGCCGACACGAACACCATGCTGGCATCGGCTGAAGTCAAATGACTACTACCCAATGCTACATTCAGTTGAGCGAACCCGTCCTACCGATTTCAGGACGTCACAGAATCCCATCGTTGTCGCCCAGTCATGTGATGGCCGCCAGTTAAACAAGATAGGACCCAAAGGTATAAGCGAAGACCTTCCGATGCCAACAGAATTACCTCCTCCAGCGCCGCGACCACATCGTCTGTCAACACCGGATCTATCCGATTTGAAGGAAGAACGGCCTTTCTGTTACTGCGATGCCGAGGAGAGTTGTGACTCCAAGAGAACATGCGCTCGTAGAATTAGTCGACGAGCTCTGTCCTAACGGTGTGCAGTTATCCAGGCGAATGTGCATCGACAGTCATCCTCGCGATGGAACGTTCTGTGATAGCTCCGGTATTCATTTAGCGTTCCGATCTCGTGGGCTTTGCGTGTTTGTGCAGTTCTCAAGGCGTTCATGGGCATTATTTGTACCTCCTCCTTCTAGTGCTGCTGCAGCAAAGAGTATGTCAGTATATCTAGCTCTCACTCGGTACAAGAGCCATTGATAACTCACAATGAAGGCGTGAACACAGCCCCTTATTCTGGTGGTCCCTCGCTTTCTACAACGAAGTATTTGCCGGCCTTCTTCTCAGCTGAGCCCAGAACATCCCAGTCTTCAGCATCCTTTGCATCAACTGGCGTGGCATCCCTCTGTATACGCCTATGCCACTCGCCAACGGTCTTCTCTCTCGCCAAGGCCTCTTTGAGTGTGCCCAGCCCGATTGTCTGCTCTTCCTCCGCCCTCTTTGTCTCATCACGGATCGCTCGCAGTGGCCTGACGCCTGTTGTGTCAACTCGCTGTATCTCGCCCACAAAGTGCAGCTGCGCAGCGAGTGTGTCCAACATCTTCTGCTCTTGATTAGGTGTCTCGGGCAGCGGCAACGCAGAGAGCCGTAGCAAGTGATGCAACTGCTTCGACGTAATTTTGGGTGCATCTGGAGCCCGTGTCTTCGGCGGTAGCAGCGATTCGACGGACCAGATGGGCTTGGCAAGGAGCTCCTTGAGTTCGTCTGGGTGTATGCCCTGTCTCTTTTGCGTATCTGACGTCGCACTCTGAGCTTCTGACAGCTGTGTTAACGTATGCAGTGGTCGGCAGAACCAAAGCGAAGGCCGAGCGAGTGATCTGGCGCTCAGAGAGATGCGCCGCGAGGTCATTGAGAGATTGTGGTGATTCTGGCGCGGAGTGATGTGATGACGTCTCGTTCCCAGGCTGTTGAACGCGATTGGTGGTTTCAATTATGCTATCAATGAGAGCGCCGCAGGGTTCGCGACTGCTGTCGAATCTCGAAGACACACTAGCCTGTTGTGGCAAGGGTTCAAGGTCAGCGGGAAGCCGCACTGGCCATCGGGCAGGGTCGTCATCGCCTTTGAAGCAGCTAACGCAGCCACCTGTCTCGACCAGACTTCAAGAAGCACACGATTATCGAACCTGTTCTTCGTCTTTGACTTTGATAAGATACACCGACAACCCAAAACACACCTAAATCACAAACATGGCTGGCGATCCTCGAGCGCTGCTTCGTCAGGTGGGGCACCTTCTTGAACTCAGCCACGCAGATGACTGATATCAATGTGTTATAATAGGCGGAAACTTCGTTACAGAAAGCATCTGGCGGCTTCAGCTTCTTCGGTGGACGTCAAGAGAAATGTACAGTTGGCGCTGCAATCTCGAAACTTCAAGTTGGAGCTCGGACTAACGCACGTGATAGATGAGGCAGCAGCAGAGCAGTTCATCGCTGCAGCGAATGCGTTCCGCATGCAGAAGATGGGTACAACACAGCTGAGAGAGATGCAACAGTGTCAAGTGCCGACTGGCTAACGCTTTCTAGGAAAGGAGGCCGGTGAAGCTTTCGAGAAGGCAGCATCAGTCCAGCGTCAACAACTAAACGAGCCCGATGACGAAGCCAACTCACTCACAGAAGCCTTCAGTAAAGCTGCTTTGCCCTGAAAGATATCGCAAGTCTAACATCAATACAGAAGCGTACCGTAAGGATGACCCAGAGGCTGCTGCAAGATGCTTAGACAAAGCCATCACCCACTACTGCAGCAAAGGCAATTTCCGCCGTGCAGCCACTCATAAGCAGAACCTTGCCGAGTTGTACGAAGTCGAGCTTGGTGACAACGCCCGTGCGGGTGCAGCCTATGAGGAGGCTGCTGGGTGGTATGAGAGCGTAAGTCACGTCGCAAAACTCTAAGACCAAACCCCAGTGGCTAACTCGCATCAGGACAACGCAGAGGTAACCATCAAATACGTTTCTAAATATTTGGCTGAGCCTAACAAATATCAACAGGCACTTGCAAACAAACTTTGGCTGAAGACAGCTGATCTAGTCGCCCTTGAAGGGAAAGACTACTACAAGGCCATCTCACTCTACGAGAAGGTTGCCAAGACATCAATCCAGAACAACCTTATGCGCTGGTCTGTCAAGGAGTATCTCCTCAAGGCTGGTATCTGCCAGCTTTGCACTGGCGATCAGGTCGGTGTCAACGCTGCACTCGACAGGTACAGGGAGCTAGATCCTAGCTTCAGCCAGCAGCGGGAGCACCAGTTGCTGTGCGACCTTACGGCGGCAGTGCAGGAGGGCGACCAGGAGCTGTTCGCTGATAAGCTGTTCCAGTACGATCAGTTAAGCAAGCTGGACAAGTGGAAGACAACACTGCTGCTGAGGATTAAAGCAACGATCGAGGAGACAGGCGAGGACTTCTCTTAGGAGAAGTTATTTGCGGGGCTTAAGGTTTGGCTGAACATTATGGACGCGTTCTTATGTCAATAAGATCTTATTATCTATGTATATTTCTAAAGGTATCATGATGCCCCTCTGTGTACTCGCTATTGCAGTCGGGCTGACCTCTATGCCTTCTCGAGCTCCTTCTTGAGCTCCTTATTGTCGACAACTGCCGTTAGCGCCTTGCCGGTATCGTCCTTGGATCCAAAGAAGCCTGCAATGTCCAAGTTCTTCGTCTTATCCTGCATAATCTGCCACATGCTCTGCTCGCTCTTCTTCTGCACCTCGCCCTCCATCTTCTGCTTTTCCCTCTCGCCATCTTTCTCCTCATCTCCGGTTGCCTCGCCCTCGTTCTTCTTTCTTTCGGCTTCCTCCTTCTGTTTCTGCTTGACCATTTCCTGTTCCGCTTTCTCAACCTCAGCAATTTCGACGTCTTCGAATCCAATCTTGCGCAAGATTGAGCCAGTGATAAAACGGTACTGTAGGTGTCCGTCTACAAGCTCTGTGACGTCGACGTTTTGGATGCCTCGTACACCTAACGCGGGCTGTAGACCGGCGACACCGAGTTGGACGGAGGATGTGCGGTACAAGAATCCGAGTATGTAGTCCTGAGTGCTGAAAACATTGACAACGCGGCCGCTAACTACGGAACGCATCTTGCGCCAGTCTTCAGTGTCTGATGGGCAGGGTGCGCCAAGAAGTACGACATTCTCAATAAGCCCAAAAGCCTTACGATCTGCCAGACGCTGCAGACACGAGTATATTAGCCTTGCGCCAAGTGAGTATCCAACAAGCGTCACCGGACGCTCGCCTTGGACCTTGTTAACGATAGCGTCAGCGAGCACCTCGCCAGCCTTGTCAGCGCGGTATTTTGCCACACTGAACGGATTATCGATCAACGTCGCAACCTTGAGCAGACCGAGGGGCCACATCGCTGCGCTAAGAGCAGCGAAGACGGTCTGCTCGATGATCTTCTTCTTCGCATAGCCCCATGCCGCACTCGTGACGAATGTCTCCAGACTGTGTCCGAGCTTGAGCAAGGCTTCGAGTTCCCAGCGCAAAGCGAAGCCTTCGGTGCCCTTGCCAATGTAACGCCATGGTGCAACAACTTCCTCGGGCTCGCGCAGCCAGCCACTGATAGCAATTGCAACACGCAGCCGGCGAGTCTCATTGTCTCGTTTCGAAGGGTCTTGGGAGCGGTGGATATTCAGGAACGCGAAGTCCTCGACTTGGCGAGCATACGCGTCCATTGCGTCGCCAGTCATGCGGGCACCGTAGGCACCGAACAGACCACCAACAAGGACCGAAGAGCCCGCAAGCGTACCCAGGTAACCTGCCGCAGCAGTGGCACCGAGCCCAAGACCACCCATGACGGAACCTACACCTGCCGCGAGGAGAGGTGCAGCAAGACCGCCAGTAACACCGATGAGTGCTGCTCCTGCGACGCTAGCGAGGCCAACCTTCCATTTGCGCGCTGTCTGAGAAGCTTCGGCAGCTTTCTTCGTTTCGGCGTCGGCGTTCAATTGCTGAGATGCGGCTTCGAGAAGACCTTGGGCGACTGTTTCCTCATCTTTTTTGAGGATAGCGAGGTTGAGGTGTAGTGAGCTGGTAAGGTAGAGCAAGAGGACTCGTGAGTGAGCCGAGTAGTGCTCTAGACTGAGGAGAATGAGCACAACTGAGTGCAATATCAAGGCTCGTTTGGCCTCGTCGAGGCGTACCAGCTGCGATTCCACGGCAGGATAGCGCTCCTTGAAGGCTGTATCTTCGTTCGTATCCTTCTCTGAGAGGTCTTTCAGACTTGTGGCCTCCGGTCTAGACAATTTTGCAAATCCTTCGATTTTGTGGGTTTCGACTTGCTTGGTCTGCTGCTTTGCCTCCTCCCTTGAGTTGACCACCTCCCCGATCCGGCTGATGACCTGGCCTCTCCATTCATCGAAGTATTGCAGCATCTCTTTCTTCAGTTCTTGAACTTCTGGTTTCGAAAGCTCTTCCTTTGCGTTTTGCTCACGTTTTTGTCGTTCTTGCTTCAGCTTGGCTTCTTTCGCTACGTCGACGCTTTGGAGGTCAGATGGCGCGTCTATCAGGGCCTGCTCTTTTGACTTCGCAACCTTAGGATCCAGCGATGCTTCTTCTGCAACAAAAGTGTCCACGAAAGCCTGTCGCATGGTCGCTGTAATTGTCGCGATCAGGAACGTGAGATCCGCACATTGGTCTGCACTTAGTAATGTGGTGAGCGACTGCTCGTCTTTGTGTGGCTCCGCATTTTTCGACTGCCCAAAGGGCAACTTTGATGCCCAATCCATGATCGAGAAGTTGACTAGGAGGACTTATAGAAGCGAGTTGGATGTGTAAAGACTATTGTTGGAGTGCTCTGTCGACGATCTGTAGTTCACCCGCTCGCTGTGACGTCAAGTGGGGCAGAAATGTACGGGAGTACAACAGGGATGGACAGCTAGACCGTGTATCATTCCAACACGACAAGAGACACAATGATACTTCCATGACGATCGCAAGAAAATAGCGGTGTTGATCCACATAATTGCTTTCATTTCAAGAGACTCCTTCTACAAACTGCCTTCATTCGAGCTCAGCCTTCCCCGTAGCGACGGCCTCCTTGTGCTGTACGTCCTTGATACGCTGCATCTCTTTATTACGCTTGATCTTCAAGCACTCGATCTGATTTTCTATATTCGGCACCACTTCACGAACCAGTCGTGAAGCCGTAGGACGACCCTTGTTACGAGTTCCAACTGGCTTGCAAGGCTGGGCGTACCAGAAACCCAAGCGGGCACTAAAAGGCTGACAATGTGGAATGTCATGAGGCAGATTGATAGGTCTAAAAACCGTCGGAACTCGTTCTAGCCAATAGTCCGACTCCCAAGCGTCGTTATCGTGAAGATTGGGATGCGGCTGGGCTGTACCTTCCCGGCTCCAAATGAAAGCCTTGCGCGTCTGTATAGGAGTCATACCTAATGCCATATACTGCGGTGTAGTACCGAGGCCCCAGATATTTGCTGAAGGCAGGATGGGAGGAGTAACCCGTTCTTTTGCGGGCGGTGCATACTCATACATACCATCGAAACCTCTTGCACGCCGGCCAATAGGTGTTGGTGAGGGAGTGAGACGCGCGAAATCCGATAGCTTGAAGATAGGTTCCTCAGGCAGTATCATAGGCTCAAGGTGTTCTCTCGGCATGAATGCTAGGATGTTGTGCAGCTTGAGGTCGTTATGGACATAACGAGTATGAAGGCTGTTGTGGAGATAGTCCAGCGCGAGCGCCATATTTCGGAACAACTTACACATCGTGATCTCTGATACACGTTTAGGCATACCCCATCCATCCCTGATGTGCACACCAAGATGCCCGGTATTTGATCAGATCATCCAACTCGCAGTATGGAAGGAACAAGGCAGGGCTTTAAGGATACCACTCCGAAGTAGAACTGAAGAGCTGTAGTATATGTTCGTGATACCCAATACGACACATGTTGATAATTTCCTGCCTTAGATCACGATGTACTGAAAGGGACTGAGGCACCTTCACCGCTAGGTACACATCTTTGTGTTTCCATTGCTGAAATTGATGCACCTTACTATCACCACCTTCGCCGATGACGCCTCGGTGACGCCAATCCTCAATGAACTCCCCGTAATCCATCGGTTCTTTTGGTAATGAGTGATTGAATGTTAGCGTCCGAATTCGCTTCGAAGGGTTCTTTGGTAAGGGAGGAGATGGTGTGATACCACGCCTCTGCTCGATAAACACATGAATTTCAGATTGCACGTCTCGCTCCGGCACTGTGTCCCACACAACAGTCCGCCGTCGAGACAATGAATCGACAATGACGAGTCTGCGTGGTTCATGCTGGGTAAGGGCGTTCTCCGCAGTACATTGATTATTTTTCCAAGCCACTATCGGCCGGCGACATGCTGGCCCGATTTTGACTTTGCGCATGCCGAAGATCTCCTAGATAAAATGAGCTCTACAGGACAGCATGGAATTGGCATTGGATTGAGAACCGTCCGCTGAAACACATTTAATTGAAAATAGGGGAAAGTCTACAAGTCAAATAAGGGATCTGGTCAACTTTGTGGAACTATGTTGGTTTCCAACAGCGCAGTCCATGGCGCTGGACTAGGTCAAGCATTGTGAATCATCAACATCTTGCCAGACACAACGCAGTGTGAAACAGAATCACAGTGACGTTGTAAGTCTCATGTTAGTCCACATGTGATCTTGATGTATGGTTGTTGGCGCTCGAATCCGAAAGTCCAATGTTTCGGACTCGCACGAGACAACATACTTGGTGAAGAGCTGTTGACAAATGGGACTAACGCGCGCCCACTTCCAACTGAACGTGTCCAAAATAGGTGCATTTCAGACTGTTAGAATCTGATTTGTTCTTGAGCTATCGTAATGTAGCGTCTTGAGTTCGTGAAGTGAACACAGCAACGCTGCAGGGTAATAGCCGCCAAATTCGATATTTGTCCCCTCTTATTGGGTTTTCTAGTTGTACTTGTGTATACGAAGTAACTGGTTAGCTATATGATGAATGGCTCTCGTACCACCTGACTGTCGTGCATTTTGTTTTCGAGTGCAACTCGACGAACGGCAGAATGGCGCCAGAGTGTCGAAACTTGATAGGTCGACCCGGCGCACCGACTTGTGACATAAGACTACCCTGCTTTCATTGTCTCGGGCGTCAAGGACAGAGTACGCCGCTCTCACCTCTTCACTTTGGCAGCTTGATCGCAGGTTCTGCCTGCTGCATTCACTTGTGTCAAGCAAGAGTAAGTGGGGCAGGCAAACGCCTCATTCAAATAGACAGCGCTCACTCGCAAGCATCTACACTTTTCCTCCACGCCGTACACCAGAGCCGCGTCACTCAATACACCTTCCTAAGTACGAGTCAGTGTTCACGATGCAACTCGCCACGACCATTCTCGCCGGACTCGGCCTGATCGCGCTTGCCTCCAGCGCACCTACCGACACAGATACCTTACACTCCGCCACAGGTTCTACGACCTTCTGGCAGAACACCCAGACTCAGAAGTATCATTGTCAGGGCCAGGACGTGATCCGCTGTGAGACTACTGCTGGCGGTACCTGCATCGCCATCGATACTTGCGAGGCGTACTGCTTCCTCCACGACAACGGCGCCGCCTGTGTTGACATGGACGCGCCTCCAGTTCTCAAGATCCCAGTGTCAACGTCTGAGGCCAAGTTTACCGCGAGATCTGCGTCGTCCGAGAAGAATGAGTATCACGAGTGTTCCAAGGACCGCACCGGCGTTCTGATCTGCAAGTATCGCTTCTGCTCCACGGACTATTACTGCAAGGCTGGCGACGAGTGCAAAGACGGGACCTTCTCTTGTGCGCCCAAGTCTCCATCCCTGGCAAGAGTCAAGTCCGAAGCCCGCGATAAGCCTGCACAGGTCGAAGCTGTGGCTGCCGACCTCGAAGGGAAGCCATCTTATATATGCTCTAAGGATCGCGCCAGCGTTCTCAAGTGCCTCTTCGGTTTCTGCTCCACTGACTACTACTGCGCGAAGGGCCATCCGTGCGCCGACAACCCTGCTCGCTGCAAGAAGTACTTGAATGCTAGGACCGATCAGTACGGCATCTGACTTGAAGGTTGGGCGATGTTCGAGACAGTCATACATGGAGATCTGCCGACGGTGAAGGCCGGGAAGCTCGATACACAAAGTGTGGTAATGGGAGGGCATGTCCGACAAGGAGCTTGAGGGGAAGATTAGAAATAAGGTCTCAGATATCGAAAGTCTAATGGGAATGGCAGAACACTGCTAGCTTAAGCAATGCCAACTTACGCTTGATTCGCACATGTTGCACCAGGGTCGACGCTTGATCTCATGGCCGATGTAACATGATCATGAGGGCAGCAGCGGGACACTGTGGCATGCAGATAGTTACATGCGCTTAATTTCTAACAGATAGGTTGATGAACAGTGAGACAGGATGTCAGCGGAGGACGATGAAGGAGCGAAGTTGAAGCGGGGGCGACACGGGCCACCGTCTCAACAGCCTTCCGCCTCCGTTAACTCATTTGGCGTCCCATTCCCCGCCACCGTCCAGTACTCCTCTTCCGCAGCTAACGTCACTGGCAGCCTCAACTTTCAGACTGAAAGCTCTTGTCATGTTTGGGAGCAGGCGCTTCCTATGGGGTTCTCCGGGATCGAGTGATCAAGCGCCTGCGGTTCCCAAGGCGGCACACTCGCCTAAGCTGACCGCAAGTCTTCGGAAATCTCGCAACACCGCCCGTACCGGATGACCTTCCCTGCAATCGTGCCAACATTGCTTCCCCGTACACGCTGTTCATTATTGTCAAAGTGCACAGACGTGTTGCTAGAGGATGAAATGGGGCGTTGGCTTACAGCTCCTAGAGGCGGTCGATCCCGGCTCCACCAGTATCTACAGTCTACGCAATCTTCCTCGAACGTGATTGGTCTTCTTAAGATCGTGAGAAATGGCTCGAGTCACATCGTGCTTACTGAAGGGTCTTAGTCAAGACCAGACAGATGCATGTCGATAAGGCTACCGTAATACCTGCTCCCATCCAGTCACAAATCCCCAACGCTTTCACATCAATCGAGCCTAGATCATCATGCGGCAAGCTTTACCCGTCCCGTCTACATCGTTCGATGAGCTGAAAAACCCGTGGGTACACCGGCAACAGGCCGCCAACATGGACTGTCATTGGCATTGCCAATCTGCTGTAACGGCATCCACCTCATCACGAATAGGCAGCTGGATTGCATGAACCGCATGGTGCTCGATTGATCTTCCATACCACAGTAGACAACGTCCCCACCATATTCGGAGACGTCTTATACATACAGGCACTATCTTCCTCTACAAGCATCATTTACACCTTGATCCTCATTCTCCCACTATTCCATCATGGAGAACGACAGCAAAGCTCGATTCTGGATACCCAGACTGTTCAGAACAACCTTCACCTCGAAGGCCGAGACAGAGCCGAACGAGCGATCATTGCTTCTGCCTCCGTCACAGCATGAAGAATGGTCCACTGGCGAGACCTACGAACTAGACGAAGGAGCGGGGACGAAATTCCAGCTGGTATCGCAGGAGTTCTGGGTGCTTTTCAAGGGCTCAATACCAGTCGTTCTGGCATATGCTCTTCAAAATTCGCTTCAGACAGTCTCAGTGCTGATCGTCGGACGCTTGTCACCTGAAGCGCTCGCGACCGCAGCTTTCTCGTACATGTTCGCTATGGCTACAGGCTGGCTTGTCGCCCTTGGGGGCACAACCGCGATCGATACACTAGCATCTGCAAGTTTTACAGGAAGCACGAATCGCCAAGATCTGGGAATCATATTGCAGCGCGCCTTTGTGGTACTCTTGCTTTTCTACCTACCCATTGCTGTTCTTTGGATCTGCTCGGCACCAATGTTCAGGGTCTTAGGCCAGGAAGAGTATATTGCGCGAGATTCCGCAAGGTTTCTTACTGTTCTTGCACCTGGTGGCATTGGCTACATCTACTTCGAGGCTCTGAAAAAGTACATGCAAGCTCAGGGTATGCTGGAATCCTGCAACCGATGGTCTGCATATTGACTAGCACAGAAATCATGCGCCCAGGCACATACGTCCTTCTGATCACTTCTCCCCTCAGCGCCGGGCTCAACTATCTTTTCGTGTACACTTTCAACATGGGCCTCCTCGGCGCCCCGCTCGCCACAGGTATTGCATACTGGGCCTCGTTCCTCCTCCTCCTCGCATATGCGCGCTTTGTTGAGGGGTGGGAATGCTGGGGAGGTTGGAGCAGCAAATGTCTCCAGAACACCTGGGTGTTTGCACGATTGGCCTTCCTAGGCGTCATCCACGTCGGCACCGAGTGGTGGGCTTTCGAGATTGTCGCTCTTGTGGCAGGAAAGCTCGGTACAATACCCTTGGCCGCGCAAAGTGTGATTATGACAACCGACCAAGTCATGAACACAATTCCTTTCGGTGTTGGCGTCGCCACCTCTGCGCGAGTTGGGAACCTCTTAGGTGCGCGTAACGCTCAAGGTGCTGCAAGAGCCGCCAATACGGCAGCAGTCCTTAGCATGATTCTCGGCGCAGTCGTTATGGCTATCTTGATGGGAGCCAAGGACTTTTACGCAAGAATTTTTAACGATGACGTCGAGGTTATCAAGCTCACTGCGAAGGTCATGCCGTATGTCGCTCTCTTCCAGATTGCGGACGGACTCAACGGAAGCTGTGGCGGCGCTTTGAGAGGCATGGGCAGGCAACACATCGGGGCGGCGGTGAACATTGTTAGTTACTACTGTGGAGCTCTGCCGCTCGGGGTTTGGCTTGCCTTCAACGGCTGGGGTCTGGCTGGACTGTGGGTCGGCCAGTGCATTGCTCTTTATCTCGTAGGCTTTGCCGAGTGGACGATCGTAGCGTGGAGCAACTGGGACTATCAAGTCAAGAAAGCCTTTGACAGGATGGACTCGGATGACCGAGCAGAGCTGGGTGTCTCGGAGGAAGTTGCGACGAACACGTTCCACAACCAAAGATTGTAAAAAGATTGTAGGATTCGATTGAGCCGTTGACGAATCAGAACACTGTTAGGCATTAGCAACGCTTCTTAGACATTAAAGGTAGATAGGAAAACCGGGCTCATCATGCAGCCGATGTCAAGTACCAGCCCAATGTAGCTAAGCGAGTCTTGTATCTATACCCTTGTCACGTTCCGCTCGAACGACACTTCAACCACCTCCACAGGCTCCGCTGCTTTCCCCACGCCTCAACGCTGCCGCCAAGTAACCATTGAACGACATCTGCATGACGAGCAAGTCCCCAGCCCGCGTATCTCCTCGTATTATGCACATGCATGACCCTTATGTGGTATGGGGCATACCTTCACCGCCCGGTACTAAGGTGCATCTACGAACCGCGCATCATGGAGACTGCCCGACCCTGGCTCTTACTGATCTATGATATGCTACTGCTTTCACAGAAAACATCACGAAATGGTCCGTTATTGGCTATTTGTGAAGATGCGCCGGATACTGTCAGCCTGAGCGAGCATATTCACACCAAGACAAAGACATGCATACATACGTTCTCCAACTTCAGATAAGCCTGTCTGCCGAGACATGAAAGTTTACGGCATCGTCTGGGGATCTTCCTATTGGTGAAGCGTAAGATCTCCGGCGTCGTTGCACATGTGACATGGCGGGGTTATTCGACCTCGCTGCTGGCCGATTCCATCAGGAGCTGATTGTCATCTTGGGCGTAGGTCTCAGTACCTAGATGGTCCGAATAGGTACATAATTGGGGGCTGTCCGCCATTTCATTACATTGGACTACTCGGACAGTCACAACGCTTATCGTAGGGCACTGCTCGTTCGCGCAGCCATCGAGGATCATCGACGAAAACTCCGTTTATTTGCCGTCCTATGATGTCGACAACTAAACTTCGCCAGGAGATTCTAGCCAGATCAAGATAAAATGACACCGGACTTGCATACACAAGTCGCCAGGGTAGCTTTGTGCCGTTTACCTAACATGGCTTCGTCAAGAGCCGACGATGTAGAGGGGTCTGAGCTGTCCCCCAGCTATATACTGCGCTTTACCCGTCTTCTCTCATCCACCTCTATCTTTCATTCATCGTTTCTCCTCAATACCACATTCTCGCAAATATGAAGCTTTCGTCCGCTCTCCTCAGCTTTGCTGCTGCTGCTGCTGTTGCCGCACATGGCGACTACGACCATGACCAGGAGCCATTGGCAGGCCCACACGAGGGACTGTGGTACAACACTCTTCCTGGAGACGGTGGAACACAGGTTTGCCATCTATGGTTGCAATGCAATTTTTGCAGCAGCAATTGACCTATCCGTAGGCCGACTCAATTTTCAGTGGCATTTCCACATTTGGCCGTCTTCCATACTCCGCATGCCTTAAGAGCAAGGTTGACTTCGACATTGCTTTCATTGGTGAGAAAGCACACATTGTTCGTTCAACTGCACTACTAATGCATTTCAGGCGCTCCCTTCGACACTGGCACATCTTACCGTCCAGGTGCCCGCTTTGGCCCCAGCGGTATCCGACAAGGTTCTCGCCGCCTCAATCTCTAGTATGTTTCCTCAAGCAATGCATACTTAATTTGGTTATCTTGGGCATAAAGGCTCACACAGGATTGGATTTAGTGGCGGATACAATGTTCCATTGAAGGCGAACCCATTCAACTCCTGGGCTAAGGTTCTTGATTGTGGAGACATCCCAGTCACCTCGTAAGCATTGAGAACACTCTATTTGGAAATCCACGGCATTAATACTCCCGTAGGTACGACAACGCCTTTGCACTACAGCAGATTGAGGAAGGCCACAACCTGCTTCTCAGCCGCGCACCACACACTCATGCAGACAAGCCTGGTCCTTCTAAGGAAGGGACCACTTTGCCCCGCCTGATCACCCTTGGAGGTGACCACACCATCACTCTTCCTTTGCTTCGCTCCATTAACCGTAACTACGGCCCCGTCAGTGTCATTCACTTTGACAGCCATCTAGACACCTGGAAGCCTAAGGTCTTTGGTGGCTCGCCCAGTGAGCAAGCAGCCATTAACCATGGCACTTACTTCTTCCATGCTGCTCAGGAAGGTCTGCTAGCAAACGACACCAACATACATGCCGGAATCCGCACGACGCTGTCTGGGCCTTCGGACTACGAGAACGATGGCTATTGTGGCTTCCAGATCGTCGAGGCACGTGAAATTGATAAGATTGGCACTGATGGTATCATCAAGAAGATCAAGGATAGGGTCGGTTCTGATAAACCTGTCTACCTCAGCATTGATATCGACACCCTTGACCCTGCCTGTAAGCTCCTTCCGAATATAATCCATCTTGAGCAAAGACTAATGTGCACACAGTTGCTCCTGCCACCGGCACTCCCGAGACTGGCGGCTGGACCACTCGTGAGCTTCGCACCATAATCCGTGGTCTTGAGGGTATCAACCTGATCGCCGCCGACATCGTCGAGGTTGCTCCCGCCTACGACACCAACGCCGAGCTCACCACCATGGCTGCTGCCGACACTCTTTACGAGGTTATGACCTTGATGGTCAAGAAGGGTCCTTTGAGCTATATGGGCAAGCAGCAGGAGACCATCGAGCTCTAAGCACAAGGACAACCACTGGTCAAGGCCTCAGACCAAAGACACACTAGGCAAGCTGACCCAGTTCTTCTTCCCCCTCTTAGGTATAGAACTCTGTGTCCTAGGCTGATTATAGCGCAGGGGTATGTCGATCAAGATCGATTGAGTGAATCCTAAGGCGTGTCTTCATAAGGTAAGACTCAAGACACCCAAAGTTTGGCAGTAGAGTCGTGATGCAAAGTATGCTTGATAGTATCTCGAATTATATTATTAAGTGGTGTTGGGTATTCCTTCTCCATGCTTTTCCTGTCACAACGCCTTGTTCCCATGCGGCCATGCCAGACAAAGTCAAATGGTATATCGCAGAACCGTAGTACAAATCCAACGCTCGCAGTAAAGTAGCACTTTTCTTCTCATTTCAGTTCACTCGGCTTCTTAGTAGCCAGCTCCATAGGCAGCACGGTAGGCTGCGTTGACGCCCCGGTGGTGCTCGACGACCTTAGTCTTGAGCTGCTTCCAGTGCTTGGACAGGTTGGTGGGCTGCTTGGCGGCCTCCTCGTTGCGGGGCTCCTCAGTCGAGACGCGGGGAGTGGAGGAAACAGAGCCGCGAGGAGAGGCTGCGCGGGAGCTGCCGGGCGAGTAGAAGGCGGTGTACGCGGCGTTCATCTCATCGTGGTGGGTCTTGATGGCGGTCCACAGCTTGTTGGCGTTGGTCTTGCCCCTAGGAGCGTCAACCATACCGGCGACGACCGAGTTGTTGCGGGATGTCTCCAGGGATGCGGGGGCGGAAGCGACAGGTGAAGAGGTGGCGGAGCCGTAGTAGGCGGAGTAGGCCTGGTTCATGCCCTCGTGGTGTGCCTTTGCTTGGGCGACGAAGGAGGAGAGGACGCTCTGCCTCTTCTGGGTGTTTGCGGTGGAAGACATTGTGATGGGTTGGTGGATTGGTCTGTCGACTTTATTTGATAGTCGAGAGTAGAAGTCGTGATCGGATTGATTCGAAGTAGTAGATCCAAGTCGATGCTGTGAAGTTATGCTTGTTGGCTGATGCTCCTTCAAACCAGCGACCCATCCTCTCTTATACCAGCGCGTTCAAAAACCATGACACCCGCCAAGTATCGTCAGTCACACGCCATTACACCTCAGTTTGCGACAAAATTTTATTCGACACGCCTTGCGCATGTTGCAATCCATCGGACATCATTGTCCTATGACACCTTCGTCAAATGCCAGCCAATCAAACACCTCACATGCTGAGAAATAAAGTGGATTTCTCAGCGACAAGGCGCATCGGGGCCCGTGCATTTACCGGAGAGCCTCATCAGATGTCATGCAACCCATCGGGTTCTCGCAGGGCGTGTGTCGAGCACAAGGCGTAAAGAACGCAAGACAGCATCGACAAGCGCGTTGCCGCGTCCGTGCCCTTTCCCGCAAGCGCTTCTCCGTCGGCGATCTTCCGCCGCACCTTCGAAATAGCAATTTGTACGTAAAGGCCAGTCAGAGCTTTCCCGAGCGTTCCTTTAGAGGCTTAACGACTTCACTTAACGGCATCGCGTTAGAAATCTCTTCGCTCGCACGCCCACCCAACCACACGCTCGCACCCCTGGCCGTGTCAAGTTTCCCGTCGCCTTTCACCGGCCCACTGGCCCCGTGATGGCCGTGTGTCTTCTAGACCATGCCATCTGACACACTGCTACAAGCGCAAACTTGTTGCAAACTTATTGTTGCGTTTTCAGTGGAGCCGGCCTTGCGGTTTGTACGTAAACCTGGCGTTAGAATTATGGGATGCTGCCTTTGGAGGTATAGAGGGTGCCTTTGGAGGTAAAGGGGGAAATTTTTGCTGTCTCGTCGTCAAACACACGGTGCGCATTGCGTGAGGTTGTTGAGTGTGGATCGTGAGATTAGACGCGCATCGTGAGACCGCGCCTTTCGGGTTGAAAATTTGGTCACGACACGGTTTTGCCGTTGTATCGTGATTTTCTTCCGGTACTGCGGCTTCCCCGGATTGCTGTCGTAGCTTCGTTCTGCTTGCTTCGAGTCTTGTATTTTACTGCTCATCATCACAATGCCTTCTAAGTCGTCAATTGCCTGCGATGCAAACCTATTCCTGCATTGTTCGCCTCTGCTCAACTACATGCTAGTCGTAGTTTGTACATTGCCACTCCTATGAGCGTATCCTCTACGAAGCTATGATCGCCGCATTGTCTCTGTTCTCTCAAGTATATTCCTAGGCACTCCATCTCATGAATCCAAAAACCGCATTGATGAGCACTCCCATCACCACGGCCAACTGCCTCCTCCTTGACCACACCCCATCCTCTCTGAAACCCCATATCAGCGCGCCCAGCGGCCAGAAGAACCCCGTCATGTACCCCCACAGCATATCATCCAGACCTCCCTCCTCCACGGCAAACCCCGCACCCCATCCCGCATCCGCTTCCCCAGTCAAAGCTGGTGATGGATCCGTGGCTGTGCTGTCCAGCCATCTATCTTCAAGGACGCGCATCTCAGCAGATGAGGGCATGGTGTCGGGTGTATGTGTAAAGGATAGGTTGGTCTGGAAGTGCGAGCGCAGACTTGCTACCTCTTGCGCTGTGAAGCCAGAGGTGAGGAGGCGGTCGAAACCCTGTGGCGCAGGGGTCGTAGTGGAGGAGCCCCGTCGTTGGTTGGCATTGCTGCTACTGCTCTGCGTACCACTGCTCGAGCGGCGATGGATACCTGAGCCCCGTGATGCTTCGTACTGCGTCTTGAGCGATGTCTCTGTGTTTTGCGCCAAAGTGGCCTCGCTGGCCAACTCAGCCACGGTGAGCGCATCACCTAGCGAGCAGTGTATATAGTACTTTTTCGCTTCTGATGGTGCAGTCGCGCCGTACTCCACAGCTGGCGCATCTTGTACCGGCTGCTTCCCCTTACTCTTGCTGCCAGGTCCATCATCTTTATCTGCGCCAGCACGCTGCGGCGGAGGAGGTAGTCGCAGCGATGTCGATAACGGTGCAGTATCTGTGAGGACCTTGCCAGCGTAGATGAGGCGTAGACGCGCTGAGGCCTGATCAGGCGGCAGGTGCGCTCGAATAAGCTGCTTGAGTGAAAGTGTCGGCGTAAGCCGCGGCAAAGGTATGGAGAGTGAGAGGTCTGGTATCGAAGCCGAGAATCGTATAATCAGGTAGACTATCTGCTCTGGGAGTAGCGGTACGGTCGCCATGTTGGAGCCCGCAGGGGTTGATTGCGTGCTATGCTGGAGTCAGATGCAGCGTGGTGGCTGAGCTGCTTATCGAGTGTGTCGAATGTGTAAGCACGCATGGTTGATGTAAGGAGCAGTGCGCGCTATGGCTTCCTGGAAGTCATGGTGGAGAGTTCGGTGATCTGATGAGCTGCCACGGCCCACGCGGTAGCACGCGGCAGGGCTGCGGAGCTCGGAAGTTGACTGAGGTCATAGCTTGTTGAGCATCATGTACCCCGTCTCTGGCGCATCATGCTGTAACGTCACTGCTGCTCGAAGATTGATCACTTTCCTTGGATGCCCTTCAGCTAATCGCTATGACCATCGTACATGTCGTTCTCTTTGAGTGGAAGCCTTCTGCGAGCCATGCTCAAGTGGAAGAGGTGGGTGTATTGCCCCACCACAATGTCTACACGCGTGCTGACCTTGCTATTCTAGGCGTGCAGTCGTATGCTTGCATTGAAAGATGAGTGCTTGAGCGCAAGCTCTCAGAAGCCGTACATCAAGTCATTCTCTGGTGGGAGAAACAACAGTCCTGAAGGCCATGCGGTATGTCATTTGTCTGTCGAATGAACGTCAACTCTGATACTTACTCACAGGGTGCTTTTACACATGGCTTTGTAGTAGAGTTTGAGAGCGCAGATGACCGAGACTACTACGTGAGCGAAGATCCTGCGCATCAGGATTTCGTCAAGTTAACTGGACCACATATCGAGAATGTGAAAGTACTTGACTACGAGCCGGGGAAGCTGTAGTCTGTGGTTGCATATGTACTGTCTAGTGCAGTCTATAGAAATAGGCCCGTGCCTGCTCAGTTCAACGCCGTACGCAATGCTTTGTCATGCCACCCAATGCTGAATACTGTACATAACGAAAAGAGGGGTATCATGATACACTGAAAGACTCGCCACAGCCACATTGCTCAGCTATAGAATGTTAGCTTTTTCCAAACCAGGTATTCATGGCAAATACTTACTTATGTTTGGGTTTTTGAAGATGAATCGCTGGTTCAGCTTGTCATCTAGCCAATCCATTTCGCTACCAATGATGTTCAACAACGCCTTATTGTCGATCAAGACCTTGACGCCATCCTGCTCGACCACTTCGTCCAGCTTTGAAGGCTTGTCTGTGTACTCCAGGTGATATGCCAGACCGGAACAGCCTTTCGCCCTTGTTCCAATTCGAATGAGCTTTGGCTCTGGCTGATCCAGAAGGTCGCGTAGGTGTTCAACAGCGGACTGCGAGATCTTGATGGTCGCCTTCCTGGGTCCGAAGTTGTATCTCCTGGGCCGAGCTGACTTGATCGGCGCAGCTCGTGTGTTTTGCGCTTCACTCTCCGGAAAAATTACACTTGCTTTCTCCTGCTGTGATGCTTGGCTCTGCTGCTGTGGAGCTAGACGCGATGGCGTCCAAGATTTTACCTCGGATGCGTCGCCCGCTATCGAAGTGTCCGGAACACCAAAGTTCCGTGGAGGTGGTGGTGGAGGCTGGAGTGTCGAAGGTTGATAGGCAGTCGCCGTTTGCATCTGCCGCTTAGACGACTGACGGTGTGTTGTCGATGTTGAGAGGGCTCGTGAGCAATGTGGGCATGGGCGGGGAGCGAAAGATGATGCGGCGAGCCGAGTCGAGGCGAACGCGGATGATCGCGCCAGTGCGCGAGTTGTGCATGGGAATGACATGGTTGCAGAGTAAGACCCTGGAGGGTTCTGCAACTGGATTCGATACGGATAGGTCTGTGTTGATGTAGGGAGGATGGATACAGCGACACGGCGAACAAACATCGGTCGCCTTCGTCATATAGGCAGGGCGGCAAGTACCGGCACATTGGCACAATTACCAAGCACTGGTCTGTGATTGGCCGGCAGTGTTCAAGGAGTGCATTGCTATTTCTGGTCATGGAATTCTGAAACTACTTATTCTCCTTTTGCTTGTGTATGTAATCACTATGGATATTTAGATCTCGAAAGCATCGTGCCGGTAGTCGTTGCCCATTCAACCTGCTTGATTGTGGAGACTGAGCCAACGTTGCAGCTGTAGCGCTCGAGCTCGAGGACATGCTTCTTGATTAGTCGTTCTCAGCTCGTGTTCCTCCTGGACCCATCAACGCTGGATTCTGGGGACAAACAAAAGCTCAGCTGAGGCTCTTTGCGCCAGACTGCTCGGTGTGCCGATCAGTGCTTCAGCAGCTTATCCAGCAGCGCTTGATCCCCAGAGATTCCCCAGACACAACATGTTGACGCAACCCTACTCATACTAGACAGGCACGACGTCGCATGTGTTGCTTCAGACTTCTTCTCTCTGTCAATACTGTCCTGTACTACACTCTTCCACTTATTGGTCGAGCCTTGAACAGCAGCGGTAGCTGAGTTATTGGCCGCGGCTATGCCCACATGCGCTTGTGCAAAGATTTTTAGTCGTCCGTAAAGCGACTTCATCAAGGTTTTACAGCCTGTCTGCTAAAGGTATGGTGATCTTCGTCATTCGATTGCCGGATGTATCGACGGTCGGTATGATGTCTTCCTCAGGCAGGAAGCTTTCAGGAGCGCTGTCCTTAACGACGATCTGATTCCTCGGCCTTGACTTCCACACGGGCCTGCTGCTGTTCTCTGCACGACCAACACCCATCTGCCTCCACTTCTTTGGTGGCTTGATACCCATTTCCACCAGGTTTGACCAGATCCTCTCGCCTCTCTTATCCCATCTGCGCATTCTTTCCTCATGCTCCTCGTCGCTCGGTCGCCACTTGCTCTTCAGTATGCGCCTGATGGCCTCAGACGACACTTTGAAATGTTCGGCGAGTACGGGTGTCGTGAATTTATCGGGCTGTGTTTGATGTAAATGCCGTATGCCTTCCATTGTGTCTGGCGACAGCTTTTTGCGCGGATCCCAGGCTTCTCCATTAAGCTTTCTCTTCATTGCCTCCTTCTCAGCTTGCCACACTGGACGAGTGGCGCGCCCTTTTGTCCATTCTGCTGTGGTTTCATCGAATGTAGTGGTTGCAACGGCTTTCGGCGATCTAGTGGGAATATCGCGCGATCTCTGCGGCGGGCGAGCGCTGGGGAACGGATCTGATGATCGACGGTGTTTGTAGGGTTTGTCATGCAGTTGCCGTATGCTGAATAACGGCCTAGCGCCTGTAAAGGATAGGGAGAACAGACCGAGCGTCCTTCGCGTGCAAGAGTGGCAGTTCATGGTTGATACTGTTGTTTAGCTTACAGCGGCCAATCCATCTCGAAGTTTAGAATCTGCGCACGGACTCGACCTTTTGGCTAAGGCCAACCAATCGGTGACTTAGTCGTCTTCGCCGCAACGGCGCTGCAGCACCCTGAGTGGTGACGCAACACACTTAGCACTAAGACTTTGAAGTCAACTGCCACCGCGGAAGCAGCTTTCCCAGGATCCGATCCGTTGCCAAAAAGTGCCATGTGCTCAGATCTGTAGTCGAAAGCGGCAGAAGATGGACGCCAACGCGCTAACCGCCTCGGTTTCACATGACGGCACCATGGATGCCAAAGACGCAAAGCCACCGACTGTTTACTTTCTTCACACTGACGTTGCTTCTGTAAAATCGGCTACTCTGCTCTATTCTACCGAGTAACTAAGTCACAAGTATGACTTGGCCAAATCCATTTCATGGGCGCACTGAGAACACTAGGAGGCATGTACCAAATAAGAAGACTACGATAAGGCGTTCAGCTGACATGTGAAAGGTCGTGGGCCTATAAATTCGAGTGGACGGAAGATCACCTCACACCCGAGCAGGCTGAGCCGCTGAAGCACTCCTACGATGTTCTTGCGGAAGAGTGTTTGCAGAGGCTCAACGCGATTTCGCCACCACAGAACGGAGCCCTACCAAGGAACAGCGACACAAAGTCGGCTCCTATTCGTACCGAAGGAACAGAGGAAGAAAAAGGAGAGGTCTACCCGGTACCAAAGCGAGATCTGTACGAACTGCTCAAGGAACACCATGCTTCAGATGCCAAACTTGATGAGCTGTGGCAACAGATCAACACTGTGCCTGAGTGGGTAGATTGGGACCAGATCGAAAGAGGTCAGGACGTGTTCTACCGATATGGGGGGCCAGCACTAACCGGCCTTACCTTTCAATCTCTGCTTGGTGGCATGGGTGCAGCGCGAGTTGTCGAGACTTTGGCCAGAACCGGAGGATTCAACACTAAGGTAGCAAGAAGACGACTGTTCGAAACCACTCAGCACATTCTGCAGTGTACTAGGTCTCTTGAAGGGATCAAACCAGGTGGTGAAGGGCACGCTTCTTCGGTCAGAGTCCGTCTGCTACATGCAGCCGTGCGTCAACGAATTCTGAAGCTCACAGAAACAAAGTCAAGTTATTACAACGTTAAGGAGTGGGGGATACCAGTCAACGACCTCGACCAGATCGCGACAATTGGAACATTCTCATCATCCCTTATCTGGCTCAGCTTTCCGCGTCAGGGCATCTTCCTCAGCAATCAGGAGATTGAGGACTACCTAGCTCTGTGGCGGTATATTGCATACATCCTCGGTACACCAGACGACTTCTTTACCACAACGCCGAAAGCGAAGGCTGTCATGGAATCGCTTTTCTACAACGAGGTGCATCCTTCAGAGATGTCAAAGACCATGGCCAACAACATCATTCTCTCCCTCAAGGAGACGCCACCGGCGTTCGTGTCTGCCGATATGCTGACTGTATCCGCGAGGTGGCTCAACGGAAATGAGCTGTCTGATGCTCTTGGCCTTAGACAGGTGTCTTTGTACTATTGGGCACTGATGGCCGGTCAATGCGTCTTCTTCGCAGTCTACTGTTACATGAACAAACTCGTCCCTGCCTGGGACAAAGACCATATTCGCCGGGCAAAGATTGTGTTCTGGGATGTCATTGTCAAGGCGAAATGGGGGCTAGCCAACGAAGAGACCACTTTCGACTTCAAGTATGTGCCTGAGTACGATACTTTGACGGAACTGGGCAAACATGAGGAGCGGAAGGTGACGAGATCTGCTATCGAGCAACGAAACCTGAGGACGTTTGCAATCTTTGCTGGTGCCACTTTGGTCGGCCTATGTGTTAGCACATACGCCACGGTAAAGGTGGCTTCTCGCATCTTGGGAGCCATTTGGTAATGCGTTGCATTGCGTGCTTTAGTTCTCTAGGTCATATTTGAGGCATAAGATCTACCTTCGTAATCTCCGACCAGCTACAGGCTGTGCAGAGTGACCTACAACCTGTGGGGTGCAGTTGTTGTTGCAATGTCCCAGTTTCAATATTTCAACACGGCGTAGATGCCATTTCCAGATGTTGTCACAACTTTAAAGGTCTTCACGTAGCCTGTCAAAGGCTGTCTTTGCTGATTAGAGTAGTTTGACACTTTGGCACTGTTCAGTCATGTATTCTTTCGATCATATCCCTTCAATTTTAGTCATTGCGCATCTTCACTTCCTCGCGAGTTTCTACTTTACGTGTTCAAAAAAACTCACCCACCCACCTGATGTCCATGCAATACAGCTTACTGTCGTAATCTTTCACCGAGAACGTTGCCTCGGCCTCACATCTAGAATTACACCGCCTCTGCCTGTCACTAGCCACGTGGGGCACCTGCCGTGACTATACTCTTCATCGCGACTCTCCTGCAAACTCTACTCCGCAATATACTGCAACACTCAACGGGTGACTCCTGCGACTTCCTACTTCCCTACCAACTACTCAATCGAACAAGACGAGGAACGACACAAACCATGGCTGATAAAGAGAGCCGCCAATGCCCCCACTTCAATATCAGCGACGGTGTCTGCGGGTGCCCCGAGTTCTGGCGGCCTGCGCAACTCTCGCAGCATGATCAGTCGTTCTCAACACTCCAAGATGCCTCGAGTGCATGCTACAGCAAGAGTGCGCCCAACCGCCAAGTCAGCTCAAGCGTCAATTCGATCCCACTACCTGATCGCAACAACATCCAGCAAGTGACGCCAGCGCCACCCGGTCCTCCAAAGGAGACTTGCTTCTTCTGGTACCATGGTTCTTGTCGACGCGGTGACGATTGCGAACGGCCCCATGAGGCTCACTCAACTTGGCCTATTCCACCGCCTCCAGGCTTCCGTCACTACCAGCCCTGCACACTCCCTTTGTGCCCACTACGATCGGATCTCGCATCTAGCGGCATGCCGCAGGAGTATCAGCGACGTCGCCGCACAATTGATGGCCAGATGGACGGCGCAGCGTTCAGTCGTGCAACAACAGCTGGTGAGAGCTCCAGCGACAGTGACAGCAACAGCAACACTGAAACTGACATGAGCGAGATTGTTAAAGACATGTACGCGACGTCAGCAGACAGAGATATCTTAGGCCCGTCCATACAAGACAGCAGTAGTTTTCAGGGCTCCGCGAATAAGGGATATGTGGAAGGCGCGACGTGGCCTGGTGAGGTGAACGCGGAAGATTTGGGAAGGAATGGCCCTGATGAATCTGATTACGCCGACCTGTCGCAACTGCTTTCCCCTTCGCTTCCGTCGACCCCACTTGTGAAAGAAGAGACCCTGTTGTCCATCAGCCATTCTGGTACACTGAGCAAACGTCGCCATCCACCCACAACAAAATCGCCGAGGAGCAAGAGCAAGCGCGTCAAGCTTGAGGAAGCCAGTGCAACAGAGCTTGACAAAGTGATCTCACTCTTCGAGCGCCCGAGGACGATGTCACAATGGGACATTAAACCACCGAGCTCAAGTCTGCATGGTCAAAATACTGAGCCTGCGGCTTCCTACCTTGCAGCTTTGCACGGCTTCCCGAAGCAGTCACTCCAGCCTGTGGCCAGCAACAATGGCTTTGCGAGCTTTGTATCGTCACCGTTTAATCCTCCGGAAGGACATTGTAGTATGGGTACGCTGCCACCAATCTGCTTCTTCTATTATCACAAGGGTCGCTATACGCCAAAAAACGGGCGAAAGAGTGATTACCTCCACGACAAGAGCACTCCCCAGCAGACCGTGAGCCTAACGCACGGCATCGATAACCATGACCCGTCATGCGCTCTGCCTCCATGTCCTGTACACTTGCGAAGGATTAGCCAAGTGAAGCAAGAGCAGGATGCTTTTATAGCCGGTACCCAAGACAAGAAGACATACCAGTTATCAACACCTCCTCGCATGGAAACGTCACCTTTCTTCGAAATATCTAATTCCTCGCCTCGCGATCCCACCATGTCCGTTCAGGGCAGGCCGCCAGGAGTAATGATAGGCCGACCATTACCACAGCTTACGGGGTAGGCAAGGGAGCGCTTCATTGAACAGAAAGATCGCATGGAGCATGCACAAGCCAACAGATGCATTGACTTGGAGCAGGCAGCCTCTGCTATTCAATCGATTCACCAGAGACAGAAAGGAAAACAGAGCAAGACCCAGAGGAGAAAGGCCAACAAGCGCAAGCGGGCACTTCTCAACGCAAGCAAACACTCGCAATTGCAGAGCAACAAGCGTGCCCTGGCGTAGCAAGGGCATACCGACATGCCAGATGCCTCAGCCACAATGCAGCCATTGCCCTTTTTGTGAGACTCTACTCCCGCACTCATGCCCCCAGGTGGCAATCAGAAGAAGGAAAAGCCGAGGCAACGTAATAAGAACAAGCTGCGGAATCAGCGTGCTGAGGGGATTCGGCTTGAGGAGACAACCGAGGATGAAAACACACCTAAGTCTACACGACAAGTAATTCTGCAATCGAATGCGTCGTGGTCTTTTCCGGGCATGATGTTCTTCCCACAAGGCTCACGCCGACCTTTGATCGACAACGACAGCCAGATAAGCACAGAAAGGGTTCTTAATACGGGTGACGTGATGGACCAGGTCGCTCGAAAATGGCGACAAGCTACAATGAGCCCTCAACCGGTGTCTGGTCGCAAACTTGTACCGCACGAGTATTCTCAAGAGGCCCTGGGTCTGTCGTCAGAAGAGAGGCGGACACAGATACGTGCAGAGCTGCCTGTGAGCCGTGAAGCGTGGACCCAGAAGCCAAGGACAGAACAAGTGGAGAAGGGGGTTGCGCGGGACGAAAGGGAACATCTGGTAGCAGGTATCAGTTCAACGGACCCTCTTTACCAGTACAATGCTGGCGACGATGGATCTGTTGAGAGACCCCGCCGTCAGAGGTACCGAGATCTGAAGAAGGGCTGTGATCGAATGTACCGAGCGAAGCCATACTTGCGTTGCAAATATGCAGGCATTGGCGCTGGATATTGTGTCGAGTGGCGTCCACACGACCGTAAAGACAGGCACTGTCAGAAGAACATCATCCGAGCCTAGACTCTGGTCGGCTACCAGCTCCCCGAGGGTGATCAGCGGCTCGACTGGGACACTGATCTCGTTAGACGTCTATTCGGCGAGATCGAGTACTAGTCTCTATATTCTAAGGTGTGTCCTGGTCACTGACGATGTTTAATCGACTTCTCGAGGCACACTAAGAGCTAAGATTTGAGGATTTCATCATTGGTGGCTTTGCATTCTAGAAGGAGCATCATCATAGTGGAGGTTTACCGAAGGTATGCAAATGATAGGAGATGTAATGCAAATGATGGGTCACCACGTGTACGGCTATGCGAGGTTAGTCACCATCTATCGTACTTGCTGTGTGAAACATACCTTGTTCTCGTACGTCCAAAACGTCCCACTATGCTGTATTCCTTTGCTCTTGATCACTTGTATCATCTTTGTGACACTTTCTTCCGGTGTAATAATCCCCTGCACTTCCCACGGCAAGTGGACATTTGCCATATCCGTGGCCACCTCTCCAGGGTGCATGCACAGCAGTATCGTGTCATCGTCTTTTCTCTTCAGCTCAGCGGCCATATGACGGACTGCCATATTTAAAGCGGCTTTTGAGGCGGCGTAGGCGGCGAAGCCGTCTTCCATCTCTCGAAAGAGCCCTGCTGAGCCGCTGTCAGAGGACATAAAGACTATCGTGCCGATTGGAATATTGGTTTGCAGCAGCTTTTGGGCGGTAATGACGGGGCCTATGGTGTTGGTGTGAAGGTGGAAGGCGAACTCATCAAATGATCTACAGGACTTGTCAGCTTTCAGACCGTCAGTGAGGTGCTCGTGGCTGCTTCAATGCTCGGCCGGTCGAGATACTTGGCAACGGCGTTGCAGACGAGGCCTCAGCTGAGCAGATACGACCATAGTGTTGGGGTGTGTACTATGTGGCTCGATAGCCAGCTGAGGCCCATGTGGATGCACGCTTTAAGCCAGAACTGGTATGGTGAAGGGATACGCACAGCTCAGTCGCTCTCTGAAGTAGTTAGTGCGGCTCGGTCGATATTACACTTTCCCCCATTCTTACGTTAGGATACCTCAGTACTCCAGCATTCAAGACTACATAGTCGATCTTCAAATTTGGTATCGTGGTGAGCGTCGTAACAAATCTCTACCTCCAGTCAGCGCACAGTCCGTGGAGACACGCAACAAAGCCCTTCAGCCTCAGAAATTAAGCTTTGTCAAGCGAAATGAACATACAACGATGCTCTCCTCAGACAAAACGTCACAAACTTCCATTCGACACCTTCCATGATCCCCGCCGGCCTGCCCCCACAAGGCTGAAGCATGTGCAGCAAACGGCTCTCGCACCGTAGCGATGATCCGCTCATTCTTTATCAAGAGTTGCCGGACGAACTCCAGCCCAATGCCTCTGCTGGCACCAATGATCAGCCATGTGGTGTAGTCTTCGTCGGCATATAATATGCTGGGGATCTGGTCCATTCGTGCTGCGCAGCGGGGTGCAGGATAACAATGAGGTCAGATATGGCACATTGACGTATGGCGGGCACCTGGACAACGCTCCAAAGAAGTTGACGAACGGTGCAGGGAGAGACACTGAAACGCCCTGGAACGCAATCACGACGACAGGGAAGGAGCAGGGTATCGGATAGTAGTAGACGTTGTAATGCGCACGCTCGCGTGGACGAGTTCCAGCGCTTGATCGTACATGGATATGCGAACCAACCTGGTACAGTGGCAGGGGTCTTTGCTGACTAGATACCAGAGGCTCGCTCGCGTGCAACCGCTACGGCTAGAGTCTGCTTGCGCAGGGCCAAACGGGCTGCCTGCAGACAAGTTCAAAGGCCGCAGGGCCCAGACAAGAACGATGGCTACACGTGATGACTGGAGCTCTTAACCACGCAGTGCATGCTGAAGAATGCGCTCATCGGCAGAGAAAGCGGTATCCCGCGGCAACGCAGCCACCTCGGAGACAGGCGGCGAGATATCCCGAAGGAAATCTTTGAAGAACATTGAGCTTCAAGATGGCAAAAGATATCCATATGATGAGCATGCAAATTCAAAATACTTGGAGATGAATTCTGCGATTCCTCTGTACTAGGCGATCGCTCTGCAGGATCGTAGACCGTATAATGGTCCCTCAGTAACGAAGACAAGATCATTCTGCGGCCAGCTCTCTATCCCCAACAGTGTCATCCAACGCGCCGTGATTGGCCGCAAGGCAAAGAGAGGCAGGCGCGACTAGGCCTGTGCTTTAAGTGACGTCTGTGCGCGCTCCTAGGAAACTGGCTGTGAAAAGCGCCTCAAATTTGCCAGCTCTTCCGTTTCTCCCACTCTTGCCATCAAGTTCATCTACAGCCCCAGCTTTCATTACCAAACCCTCACACTACCAACCTCTACCACCACCAACTTCATTCACAATGGGTTACGAGAAGGGTACGTTTGCACGCTCTCAGCGAAGTCGGACGTCATCGCAACTTTTCCCTCACGCCACACCTCTCGACGTCCATTGAATATGCGCATCGCAAATATCGTCAGCAATAAGCCGCCACCCTGGCAGTTGCTTAGACGAGCTTTGAGCATTTCATCAGGCGTGATCCGCGCAACGCAAGTTTTGCGATCAAGGGAAGACAGGCGGGAGGGTGCTCGGATGTGGCGGCGGCGACTTCACTTCAAAGAACTTCCATGCTAACAGCTCTTACAGGCGATGCTAAGAAGGGTGCCAACCTCTTCAAGACCCGCTGCGCGCAGTGCCACACCCTGAAGGAGGGTGAGGGTAACAAGATCGGTCCCATGCTCCACGGTCTCTTCGGCCGCAAGACTGGTCAGGTCGACGGTTACTCCTACACCGACGCCAACAAGCAGAAGGGCATTACCTGGGACGAGAACACCCTCTTCGAGTACCTCGAGAACCCCAAGAAGTACATTCCCGGCACCAAGATGGCCTTCGGTGGTCTCAAGAAGCCCAAGGACCGCAACGACCTCATCACCTTTCTCCAGGAGGAGACCAAATAAGCGCATCCAATCTTCCCACGGGACGCTTATCCCTCATCTACCGACCTGTCATGACCCTTCTATAATCCCTTTCGACCAAACCTTTGTCTTCCGATTGTACCAACACCCACGATAGACGTACGATTGCGGCGATGAAGCGCGCCTCCGGCGCCACACCGCTCTGTGTAGATTATGTTTGGAATATCATCTGGCGCCTTGAGATTTCTGGTGCTGCATGTTCGGTTTGGAATTAGCGGCACGCTCGAAATAAACATTTTCTCCTCTTCAATCGTTCATCTGCCATTTATTCTCCTGTGAACGTGACTGTTCTGCATACCGTCTGCCACCGACTGGTCCGTGGCGCTGTGAGAGCTTGAGGCTGTGCCACATACCTTGGCTACGTGTCATAGATGCCGTTCCAGCTCCAGCGCTTCGAAAACGTGGGAATCTTGCGGCGCTGTGCTCGAGAGCCTCCTTTGCTGCCGCATATCCACCAATGAGAGCCGCGGTAAAATTTCTGACGCACATGCGCAGCGGAGGACCCACACAGGCGGTGGCCGGGCGTGCGGCTCCATGTGGATACGGGCCATCAGGCAATGATCCTGGTCTGCACTTGTGCATTCGTTCTTGAAGACGTTCAGCATACATCTTGGGACATAGCAACGATTCGTGTTCTGACCGAGAGTGCTTGGCCAAATCTGCTCAGCTTCGAAGAGCCCTCCGACCTGTTAGAAAGCCTCTGCCTTGGATTCTGCGAAGTGCCTTGTTGCTAGTGTGTTTTATGCTGGATCGAGCGCATTCTCGATGGACGAGAGTCTTTACAAAGTGCAATGAGCCAAGAGCCATGCAGTGTCGTCACAGTATTCTGGACGCACGATAGGCGCACTGGAGGCAATGCAGCCACATCAGCTCAGAATTGCTTGATCAGACAGTTTTGCTGCTCACACTCGCTCATCATCGACACTGACATCAACGATTGCAGGGCAGGGAATTGGAGCTCACTGTCTTGACCTCTGCAGTTCGTCTTATCAGTCGGAAGATTGCAGACCAAGCCAAGCTATTCACGGTCGCAGTGGCTGTTTCCAAACTAAAACCAATGCCGCATTCGTCAGGACGACTTTGTTGTTCGACCAATCCCACGGCTGGAGGCACTGCAAGTTGCATCGAGATTTACAACCCATTTTCTCAGGCGCCGTCAGAACAGTACATCGATTGCACGTTGATGGCAATCGATCATCGGATCCTCAAGTTGATGACCCACAACTGAGTATCCACGAGTATCCACCAATGGCGGACGACGGGTCTGGGCGGGGCTGGCCTCACGCGACCTCGGTGCTCTGGGAACTTGGAAAGTGACTCCCGAGTGCCGAGCGGAGGACTGGAGCTGTGAGAGCTGCTTGTGGCTGAAGCTTGCGATGCTTGGGAGTGTCACAGCAGGAGCTTGAGCGGCTGCACTGCGCGGGCGTCAGATCAATGCGTGGGCGGCGAAAGCAGAAAAGCAAACAGCACGTTTAATACGAGATTTCTGTCACCTACCCGTGCGGTTCAGGTGCGGCTGCTGTGCACGTGAAGGCTGGTTGTGGGGTGCATCAGTCTCCCGGCCAGCGTCCGAGTTGCGGTACTGGACCCATGGCGATATCCACCCACGGTCATTTGTCTCGTGCTCCGTCACAAACACGCATTCACGCCCTCTCGCTTTCAGGCAGGCATTGATACTCGCACTGCACCGCGTGCGCCATTATTACCTCGGCCCATCCTCCCAGCATCTTTCTGAGGTCATAGCGGGGCGTGCACTGATCGACGAGAACATCGACGACCAGCGTGAGCGCCGGCAGCACTTTTGGCGACACAACGACCGACGGGGCCCGGAAGGCCTACACAGCTGCCATCATGTCGTGGAAACGCTCGGAGAAGCTGATGGACACCATCAAGGTGGGTGTCGTCGCCAATGGAGGATGATTCCGAGCTAATGGCAGAGTAGCATTACAGCAACTTTCCAGCTACCGGTACGTCCCTGTGGATGTGTATGTAACCGTGTCGTCTGATGTCAGTCTAGGTGTCTCCCTCCGCCAGATGGTGCAGTTTGGCGAGAAGCCGTCGACCGGAACCCTCTTCCGCGCGTCACAGTTCCTCTCCGAAGAGCTGCCCATCCGGCTGGCACACCGCGTGCAGGAGCTCAGCGACCTCCCCGATGGGCTCAATGAGATGCCCTCGATCTGTAGAGTGCGCGACTGGTATGCGCAGTCGTTTGAGGTACGGCTGTCCGACGCGGCTGAGCGGCTTTGACTCACAATCACACAGGAGCTCGTCCAGCTGCCCCGACCGAACCTGCCCAGCGACGTCAAAGACAGACTCCTGAAGCCTGCCAAGCGCACATCGCCGCTGATTAAGGCGACGCAGAACCCCAGCATACAAAAGGGCCAGTACCGCTCGGCGCCCGAGAATGGCAACGCCGTCGCCAACGCCAGGGAGCACAAGGGCGCGACCTCGAGCCGGAGATACTTTGCGGCAGCCGACGACGGCATGGACTGGCCGCCCGAGCTGAGCGCATACAACACCAAGTTCGCCGACACCCTGGAGAAGATCAAGAGGCGGCACGACAGCGTTGTCACAACCGTCGCGCAGGGCATCCTGGAGTGGAAGCGCAAGCGCCAGAGGATGCAGATCGACCACAACATCCAGGCCTTCCTCGACCGCTTCTACATGTCCCGCATCGGCATCCGCATGCTCATCGGCCAGCACATCGCTCTCACTGACCAGCGCTCGCGCTCTGACCCCAACTACGTCGGCATCATCTGCACCAAGACCAACGTGCGCGAACTTGCTCAGGAAGCCATCGAGAACGCGCGCTTTGTGTGCGAAGACCACTACGGCTTGTTCGACGCACCTAAGGTCCAGCTTGTCTGCAACAACGACATCAGCTTCATGTACGTGCCCGGCCACCTGTCGCACATGCTGTTCGAGACCCTGAAGAACTCGCTGCGCGCCGTCGTAGAGCGCCATGGCCAGGACAAAGAGGACTTCCCCGTCACGAAAGTCATCGTTGCCGAGGGCAAGGAGGACATCACCATCAAGATCTCTGACGAAGGAGGTGGCATTCCGCGATCTGCAATCCCGCTGGTCTGGACATACATGTACACGACCGTTGATCAGACACCGAGCCTCGATCCTGACTTTAACAAGAGCGACTTCAAAGCCCCAATGGCTGGCTTCGGTTACGGACTGCCCATATCGCGACTGTACGCGCGCTACTTTGGCGGCGATCTGAAACTGATCAGTATGGAAGGGTGAGTCCAGTCCTTCCTCGCTCTCCACTCCATCAACACGCACTGACACCGCAACAGCTACGGCACAGACGTCTACCTGCACCTCAACCGCCTCAGTTCCTCCTCCGAGCCCCTACAATAGCAACTACCCGTCACGAGGGACGGCGGCTGGGTCTCCAGCGAACTGATACGTTCTGGATCTGGGTCGCCGTCTCGAGGACTGGCGCGTAACGGGAAGGAAGCCAACAGCTTTCTGGCGCTCAAGGCTATGCGGCTCAAGCTCAGTGGCCAGGTCAGCCGCGAGGTCTCTGAGAGACGGCAGGTCGGCGATGCCGAGGAGATGTTCATGGAGAAGGGCGAGAAGCCCTGGTGGCGCAATGTAACGATGGAGGAGGGCGTTTGAATGTGTACGATGAAGGGCTGGGTCGGATTGGAAAGGGATAGGCTTGTTGTTCTGTACATAGCGTTGGAAAGTCTTGCTCGGCGAAGCAGCGACGATGGGCGGGCGTTAGCAGCGCAGTGTTTCGAATACAAGAAGCCATGAATTGCACACGCCGTCCTACTTAACATGCCTCGTCCCACAAGCCCTCATTTTGAGAAACCTATTCCATTGCGCCGGGGTATAATGCTGCCAAAATAATGCACTCCCTTTCTTTCTCCCAGACTGCCTCCTTCCCCGGACCAGACCTCGCTGTAAACAACCCTTCTACCCCATCACCCCACTCTCTCCAAACGCACCACTCGACGCCGCAGCACCGCCCCGCTTCCTCGGCGTCCCCCGCCTCCCATCCGCTTCCCGCACCCTGCCCTTCCCCTTGGGACTGCCAACCCCATCCTCCCTCCCCTTGACCTCCCACTCCTCCCGCCAAACCACAACATCCGGCCCCACCCCGAAAACAACGTTCTGGAATGCCCGTCGCGTCTGCGCGACGCTCTCGTTCCGCGCGGCCGCGTACCAGATCAACAGCTCCTGACTCTCTAGCACCGCTGCAGCGGCGTCGCGGCGCGCGCGTCCCGCGTAGCTCTCTGCCTCGCGCCGGTCCGCGAACGGCGCGCCGCGCGCCTGTGCGCTGCGCTGGGCGGGCGTGAAGGACGGGTGCTGCGCTTGGGTTTGGGGTTGTGTGGTGGAAAGCGTGGAGCTGGGGCGTGCGCGCGGAGGTGTGTTGGTTGCGGCTGGCGCGCCCGCGGCGTGCGAGGGGATGAGCGCGTTGGAGTCGTTGAGCACGGTGGAGAGGTACTGCGAATTGGATGTTGGAGGCATGGCTGGGGCGCTGCGCGGGCTGCTGGCTTAGCTTGTGCAGGGCGTGCGGATTTGCTCGGGCGCATAGGTGTGATGAGGTGAGCTTGGGGTCAGCTTGGGGAATGTCCGCGGGGGAGGCACGAGTTAGGAAGGCGGGACGCCGAAAGCTCGTATGACATGTGCGTGTCTTTTTACTCTGCAACAGCGTATACAGACAGTCCAGGATACGTGAGCAGAAGTGATTGCTTGGTATATGCTGTAGTAACAGAACGCTGGACTATGTCAGGCTATGCCGGTACCCCTGCGCCAGTCGTGCGCCTCATTCCGATCCGTCTCTATATCACCAATTGGTGCCGTCGATGCCTTTCCGACTCGCCTAGTCCGTCGTTGCGGTCACACAGTGCCTAAGGAGCGTCATTCTATGCGTGTCCCTCTGACTGCTGGTGCTCAGCCTTACTGCCCTTTCCCCTCCATGTGCTGACCGCGGGGATATCTGCTTTTAACCTCTCCTCTTGTGTCGAGTACGCCTTGGGCGTAAGTTTGATGAGCGTGTGGAGGGGGACCTCCATCCAGGGGCTCTGTTCTTGTGGCACGTTCATGAAGTATGCGTATATGCACCTCAGGATGGCCTGGTGTGTGACGATCAAGATGTTCTCGCTGCGCTCCAGCTCCATGATAATCGGCTCGAGGCGGATGACCACATCGCGGTATGACTCTCCGCCAAGATAGCGGTAGTTGTACTTGTCCTCGTCGCGCGACGCAAAGTCTTCGGGATATTTCTGCTCAATCTGAGCATAGGTGAGGCCGTCGCAGACACCGGAGTCGAGCTCGTCGAGAGCTTTCCACTCAAGCTTTTCGAAGGTAAGGAATCGCGCGGTCTGAATCGTTCGTTTTAATGTCGACGTCCAGACAGTCAACTTGCGACCATCACCCACAGACTGTGCTACGAGTCCGGGCAAAGCATGGGCGTATGCATCTCCACGTTCTGAAATGTTTGCGTCGCCGCCAATCTGGCCGGTCAGATTGAATTCCGACTCGCCGTGCTGTGACCATTAGCATCCTCAAATCCATGCTTGAACATTTCCACTTACTCGTGATAGCCAGATCGATCGCGGTTTGATGTGGAGGTTCATCAGATAGTAGACCACACGACTCTGCAAGTAGTCCTGGATCTGGTTGATGATGACTTGCTTGCCCACATCGATCAATTTTACGTATGTGAGGTCGCGCTCATCCTCGTCGATCGTCTGGTAGACCTTCTCGTAGTTTCGGATGCGGTTTCGGAAATCTGCAGCAGCCTCTTCGGGGTCCTGTCCTACGTAGTCCGGCGACGTGGTCTTGACTTCCAGGATGTTGCTCATAATCAGCTCCTCGTCGTCGCACTTCGATTCCACGAACAGCGTTTCGATGTTCTCAGCCTGGCAACGCTCTTGTATCCACCTGCGACGGCTCTTTGTGGAGTTTGTCGCATCCAGAATCGCAATCAGACCCCTGCCCTCCGCGAACCACTTGCACATGTCGTTCACAGCAGCCTCGGCGGCAGCTTTTCGCAGTCGTTCTCCTTCAGGGTTCGACTGGTCAAAGAACTCGGCGGAGGGGTTCGGTGTTGCGGTTCGTCGATACTGCCCCACATTGAAGGTTTTGGACTTGATAGACAGCCAATGCAGGTATCGAACAACTAGACAGTGTCAGTATGAGGCGAATGGAGAGCCGCGGGAAGCATGACGTACCTTTTTGTGCAATCAAACTCTTGCCTCTCGCAGGCAGTCCCACCATGACGACGCATATCCGCGTGTCTTCAGCCTGCACACCGGCACCGTTAGTTCTTCTGAGCGGTTTTACAAATTCGCCAGCAGGCACAGCGCGCATGTTTGGCGCATAATAGCCATTCGATCCAGTCATGATGTGCGTTGAGACCAGCTCCTTAAGTCGTCAAGAAAGGCAGAAAATAGCAGTATCTATGCCACACAGCGAATGCTAAGAAAGATGGTACAAGTCGGAATGTCGCCGGCGGGTTCCCGATGTGCGGCGTGAAATTGCGGTATTAACCCGGTTCGAAGGATGTGCCAGGGGAGGCGGTCAACAAGTGTCCGGGGTACAGCAAAGCTCGCAGGCGAAGGAAGGTTGAAGCGGAAGTTGTGTGGGTGCGGGTTGTATCGTTACAGAGTCGCAACTTCGGCTCGGCACTCGAGTAGCGAAAGGAGAGGAAGCTTGATGATGGACGACAGTTCCCCGCATTTAGAACGGCAGCCTTCTTCTTTTCACAAGCGTCCACCGTTCGGGTTGTGGCTCCGTACTAAAAGGCTCAGTGGAGCAGTCGCGACACGCGATTCTCATTCGATGACAAGCGTTGGCTCGCAGCGAGATGATCCACCTGGCCGGCACTGACAATGACAGATGCTGGTTGCAGTTCCCCGACCCGTGTTCGTGGATGCTGTATCCGATCTGGCGCAGCTAGGGAGCTCCAGCGGACCTTGTGCTTCGAATTTGTTCGTGTGCGCGTGCCGCTGCACCGCTCTCCAGTATGACGACACTTGTTTGAGGCTAGACTGCGGAACCACAATTCTAAGCCGCCGAAAGCCGGAACGTGTTGACTTCAACGTGTAGTGGAAGTCGTCCAGACTCGGCGAAAAGACCGCGAGAAATCATAAACGCTGCAGAGAAAAAAGAGCCAACTCACCGTCGAGATCGAATAGGTCCTAGCGTGACCCATTGTTGTTGAAGCACTGTTGCTGAGTGGCGCTGCTGCTTCGTTTGGCAATCCTGTGTTTGGTGGTGGGGTAGCTGTGAGTGTCAAGTCAAGACAAACGGAAAGTGGAAAGTTCCTCCGGACAAGGTGAAGGTCGTCCTACTCCTTGCGGCAGGGGATATTTGACAAGCTCAAGACTTGCTCTTCCCGCTCTCGGACGCGCCTGCTTGCTTCTAGGCCTTATCACGACACGGCGAAAAGCACAACACACCGCTATCTCTGATGCAATCGCCGTGACCATCACCGCCACGTGCGTGGAGCGTTTGTCCGCGGACCAGACACGTTTCTAACATTTCGATGTGAAGTCAAGTCAAACATTAGATTGCGCATATAGCTTCTACCGGATATCCATACATATGCAAGTCTTGAGCCAAAGCACCGGACTGTAAAACTACGGGTATATAGCAATGCTCAAACAGACGTCGTAATGATACAATCCTACAATGCTTGAAAGACGGACGCTATTCAATGCAATATATCCAAGCGGCCGTTGCAAAGTTGTGGAAAACGTTAAATCAGGCATGCAGTTTTGTCATGCCAGTCGCACGGTGAAGGTTATCTCCACCGTTCATAAGAGCAAGAAGCGTTGCGCTTGCGTCAAGCCTGCGCTTCAGCGCCGCTGCTGTTCGCTCTTGCCCGCGACTGCCGATGCCTTCCTCAACCCATCTGATCTTGTTGATCATGAAGCTCAAGCCGTCGTGACCTCTGCTTTGTCGACTCGAAATGCCATACTCAACAGATCCGGTATACTCCTGCAACTGTGGCAGTATAAGGATCTCGATCTGAAGATCCATGTCTGCGGGGGGTGTAACAGGAGCAGCAGGTATCTTGTTTAGGGTGTCTTCGGCGTCGCTTGGATCATTGGGCGCTGTAACGCGCGGGTCGAGCATGGTGACATCCACAGTATCATCCCACTCTCCGCGAATCCAGCCAGAGTGTATAGCAGCGGCGATGGGGTCTGAGTCGTCACGATAAACGCGAGCGCCCCATAGATGACGCTCCAAGACGATATGCTGCCTCTGTCGAGGTCGTAGATAGAATCGTGGCACCCTGATGGTGAAGGTGCAGTTGATAGGATTGACCTCAAATCGAGGCAGTCGGTTCGGCTTCGAAGCGTATCCAAATTGATCATCCAAAGACGAGTTCGGCCTGGGCAGATCGGCAGTGGCTTCGTACACCTGCGATCCAAGATGTCTGCGCGGGAGTTTGGCGGCTTCTTCAAGAATAGGTTGGACGTCATGGACCTTGGGAGGTGGCTTTGCAGTAAGGGGAGCTGCGCGGGGTTGGTGGTGGTGATGGTGGTGGTGAGATGTGCTTTGGATGTGATGGTGGTGGTGGACAGGCTGCGCTGGGCCACTCTGAGGTAGGCTCGATTGTTGTCCGTTTACAGCAGGGGCTGTTGAAACGGGATCCTCGTGGTGATGGTGGTGATGGTGATGACTACTACGTCAGTAAGAATATGAAAATGTTCGATAGGTGGTAAACTTACTGGTGATGAGCCGGGTGATGATGGTGGTGGCCAGCAGGATGAGCGTGCTTGTTGCGTTTAGCACCTCGTAAGCCTGTCGGCGTTCCTCGCCCATCATTGCTATCGTCATCAAAGACATTGCTTTCATCCTTGACCCTCTTTGGTTTCCTTCCCTGCTGCGAACTGATTCTTCTCATCATCTCGGCAGACTCTGGTCCGTCTTGCCCGATCATCTGGGGCAACGGGCTGCCACGCAACGGCGTAGTCGATCCTAATCCACCAAGACCAGAAAACATACGCCCAAATTCGCTCTTGATACCAGGGTCCTTGCCAGTCATGAAGGGTGGCGCCTGTGCACCCTGTACAGCCTGAGGCAAGGGAGATGCGCGACCTGTTCTCCTACTCTCTTCCAAGCCCAGACCAATGTGCGATTTAGAATGTTGCATTGGCTCTCCGTACATCGATCGTCCAGGATATGAGCTTCCACCCGAAGAGAAAGAGCGAATCAAGGGCTCTGTTTGATGGCGTTCCTTGGAATTAGGGTCTGATGTAGGTGGTGCGTGGTACTGCTCGACCACACGTTTATTCAACTGGTCTAAGCTTCGTCGTGGTGCCATCTCGCTGAGAGTTGGTGGACCGTAATGTGGAAGACCCGGGATGGGAGGTGGGTAGGTCCCATAGCTGCGATAGAGTGCAGACGGTTCCTCTCGACGAGGCCCCGCTGGTTCACGAGCAGATTCGCTAGCCATCGGTGGTTGCCAGAGAGAGCGCGAGAGCTCATTCGAGCCAGCGGTGGCGTGCTGTTCGCGAGGTGGGTCGAATGCGGAATGTGAAACAGGGTGTACGGTAACAGGGCGATTCCTGTCCGTCACTCCTTGACCGATCCCACGCAGTAGCTCTGCAGCATCAGGCCTCGACTGCTCTCCCAATGTTCGGCGTCGCTCCTCAGGCTGCCCGTAGGCACTACGTCGCCCTCCTAATGCATCGTGAATCGATGCTGCCCCTCGTCCGGTAGGACCAGCAGGGCCGTTAGGTTGGCTGTTTGGACGAGGTGGTACGCTTCCTGGGAGCGAGTGGGCGTCTCGAGCAAGAGGGTCGTTCGGCGAAGTCCCGAAGAGACGTTGTGACGGGAACCTTGAAGGCGTGTAGCCCTGATGGGAAGGTGGAAGGGATTGTCGACCTGGATTGGGTGAGCCATGGTTGCTGTACGGCCGACTCTGCGGTGAACTAGCGGAGAAGCCATGGCTCTCTGTTCTTGATGCATTGCTGCCATGCATCGACCTGTCAGGAGACGGTTGGCGACGAAACGGCGCGAAGTCTGAGCGTCCTCCCGATGGGAACGCGCGTCTCGGCGAGGGAGGCTGCATGCCTTGGTTGTTGGGTTGTAGCGGGTTTGTGGGAGGTGACGTCTGAGCGGCAGCACCTGCATCACCTCCACCGATGAGAGATGAAATGGACATGCTGCTGCCCGGCCTGTGCGCTTGACCGAGGCCAGGAAGCTCCCTGCTGGGACCGAAATTCGACGAGTAGGGGGGACGTTGCGGTTGCGATGGATAGTTCGGCTGCTGTGGAGGCGACGGCGGTGGTGGCATCTGGGGTCGTGCAAAGGATGGAGATTCGTGGGAGGACGCTGTTGGAAGTTCAGCATGAGACGAAGCATGGGGCGCAGAGGCGGGGACTTGAGCTACTTGTGAGACAAGTGGAGACGTACCGTTGAGCGAGCGTCTGCGCGCCGTGTCAAAGGCATAAGGCGACGGGCCGGACGGAGGGCCTGACGCGCTCATGGATGGCTGTGATGGAGGACCCGACTGAGGATGCACGCTGGGAGCTCCATAGGACAAGCTCCCGTGATTTCGCACTAAAGCACGATCAGCCCGCTAATTGCCGTAAGAGGTTAGAGGGTGCATAGGGCAGCTTTGGCGAGCCAACTGTGCGGAGGTGCCATGTTGAGATTCGCGCAGTACGCAACAGTCGCATTGTCGAAGAGGCTGCCCTGGTGGCTGATCGCTTGCATGGATAGGTTGATCGCTGCACGCTCGCCTCGGGAGATGACAGGACTGCCCAAAACAACACCAGCAGCAGCGCTCGACCAGCAGACGCGGCTCCGCAACAGGCGGTGAAGTGTGGAGAAAAGCAAAGTTCAAGCCACAGCTCAGATCCTGGGACGGTCCGCAGTCGACGTGTCCTGCCTGCAGCGTTCATGCAGGTGCGTTGTGCGCGACAAGTCCTTGCAGCAGTCTCTCCCTCGCGTCTCCGTGTCTCTGCGCAGCCCACCTAGCCATGCGAGCCGTGCCGGCGCCGTCTCAGACACAGTCCAGCGCCCCGGACGTGGGCGTCTCGACCGGTTCCAGACACAGCAACGTGCTACACGCTCTCGAAGAAATCATCCGGTGCGTACCTGTATTGCCCCAGCCATCGTTCCTTTCGCTGTGTGCTTGCGACGCGCCCTCTGGAGCTCCATGGCTGCGCTGCCGCACGTGATTCGACGTCTGTGGGAAGAAGGGATCGCGCCGAGGCGCTGCGTACGGGTCGTTCGAGGTCGAGAAGGGCACATGCAGCGGCTGCTGGCTGTGCTGAGCTGGCTGCGGCTGCGGCTGCGGTGGTTGCGTCGAGGGAGGGTAGGCCGGGTACGCGTGGGCGGTCGTCGGCTGGTGGGTTGGATTATGGACCAGATGGCGGTCTGGCGGGCGGGTGGGCGGCGGTGCAGGCTGCTGGCGGGCGTCCATGGTGCTGCAAGCCAGTCTGGCTCATCGAGCACGCAAGCAGGCGAATGTCGAAGAGTGCAGGCGCAGACTTTAAGAGTGCAGCGCGGAGAGCAACAGGTGCGACAAGTGCAACAAGTGCAAAGTGCAAACTGTAAATTGCAACAAGTGCAAGCTCGAGTATGCTGTTGCAATGCAGAAGACGGTGAGCGCAGGAGCAGCAGCCACAGCGCACAGGATGCAAGAAAGAGAAAGCATCCCAGCGCGGGAAGGTGAGCCAGCAGCCGCGATCACACTAGCGATCCCTGTCCGCCTCCGCCCCGCAAAAGCCAGTAGGTAGGCCCAGTGCCTCTGATGGGAGACGACCCCATCGCGACGTGACGTCTACGTGATGGGCCTGCATGAGCGCGTAGCTCGACGCCCATCCCGCACCACTATTATTTGCAGGACTAGGAGGCATCCATGACGCCGACGCTGCGAGTGCTCGTGAGTCGTGTCTGCCATGTCCGTCTGTCCACGCACAAGCACAGACTGAACAAAAGAACAAACCGAACCGGGAACAGTCGCGCGCAGAACCCACCCCTGCACGTGGTGCCTGACACGGCCCACCGCTATTCTCCAGCGCCCGGCGCGCCGATCTGAGGCGTCGTGGCCGTCAACACCACCGAACGGCGACGGCCCGCCTTGCCTACCATCACATGCTTTCTGTCTCGCTGTGCACGTGCGCCCACGCCCAGCTCCAACCAAAGGCCGTTGTGTGATGTTGATGCGCTCTGTGACCTGACTCCATGCCTCTCCCCATGCCGGGCTCTCCAGCTGCCTCGTGGGCCGTCTACCACGCGCGACTGAAAGCTGTCTTCGCCGGCGCTGATCCCAGGGTGTGCGCAGCATTCTGGCTGTTCGGTGCGTACTGCTTGATTCCTTTTGCTCTGACTCCATGGAGCTCCTCGAGCTAGCTGTTTGTCAAGCTGCAATCCAGCGTCGTGTGCTTCAAGTGACGGGAAGCTGTGCAGCACCATGTTATCACTTTCACTAACAACGCCAGGCCTCATCAACAACGTCCTCTACGTTATCATCCTGTCTGCCGCCCTTGACCTCGTCGGCGCCAATGTCCCCAAAGGCGTGGTCCTCCTCTGCGACGTGATACCATCTTTCCTGACGAAGCTCTGCGCGCCATACTTCATACACAAAATACCCTACAACGTGCGAATATGGATCTTCGTCGCCGTGTCAGCAAGTGGCATGCTCATCATCGCCCTCACCCCGGCGCTGCAGGATTCGAGATCGATTGCAATCAAGATGTGTGGTGTGATGCTCGCAAGCCTGAGCAGTGGAGGTGGTGAGCTCAGCTTCCTGGGGCTGACACACTACTACGGCCATTTTGCTCTTGCAGCTTGGGGCTCTGGCACAGGCGGTGCAGGTCTGATTGGAGCGGGAGCTTACGCCCTAGCAACCAACACACTGCACATCCCCCCTCGCACGAGCTTGCTGTTCTTCTCGTTTCTGCCTCTGATCATGCTAGCAAGCTTCTACTTCGTACTTCCCCTGGGTCCGCTGAAAGCTGGATCAAGCAAAACCCACGACTATGAGGTTATAGACAGTGATGATCAACAAGACCAAGAGGACATTTCAGAGAGCGAAAGGGAGCATGACGGACTGTTGTCCTCATCAATGCACTCAGCGTCTGGGCGGAGCTTCCCGTCTGCCAAAGACGACAGCGCTGTCGTCGCGCTTAGGGGTTTCAAGGCTAACTTGCAACGGGCTCGCGGGCTGTTCTTCCCATAGTACGTCCCTCATAGTCATGTCCTCCCCGTACTAACGACCTCCAGCATGCTGCCTCTCCTCCTTGTCTACATCGCCGAGTATACCATCAACCAGGGCGTAGCACCCACATTACTATTCCCACTCGAGAACTCTCCTTTTGACGAGTACCGCTCCTTCTACAGCACCTATGCCGTTATCTACCAAGTTGGAGTCTTCATATCACGATCATCGACACCTTTCATACGCGTCCACCACCTATACCTGCCGTCGTTCCTACAGGTCGCCAACCTCACTCTTCTCACTCTGCACGCCATGTTCGACTTCATCCCCACCTACTACATTGTTTGCGTCGTCATCTTCTGGGAAGGCCTGCTCGGAGGGTTGGTGTATGTGAGCACGTTTGCAGAGATCACAGATAATGTAAGGAAAGAGAACAGGGAGTTCAGTCTGGGGGCGACAAGCGTGAGCGATTCGGGTGGTATCTGTATCGCAGGGTTCTTAAGTATGGCCGTTGAGGTTGGATTGTGCAAGTGGCAGGTTGATCGTGGACGAAACTATTGCAAACTCACATAGTGGAGAGATGTTTTGAGAAGCAAACCAGTACGAAGGTCTCTGGTGATCATAGCCGTCGTGATCATGGACGAAGCTATTGCAGACTCACTTAGTGGAGAGATGTTTTGAGAAGCAACATTCTAGCTGATTTTACCGCAGCACCAGTACAAAGATCTCTGGTGACCATTACCGTCGATGCCATGCAATTTCAGCACGAAACATTCCGAAACCTTACTTCACCGGATCTTGATTCAACGCTGAGCCTGTATATTTTGACTGCACAGCATTATATGACAGTTTTGAGAGTTGCGCACCAGTATCGACTGTGCCAGTTCGCAAGCTCGGGCCATATTTGATCGGGTTAGCGCCATGCTGAGAGAGCAGAATCTCGACATTGCACCGCAACGCCCAAAGCCCTCCGAAGCTCGCCCATCCCGCAACCCATCTCCTCTCCACACGCCATGTCTGCTGCACGAGCTTTCAGCACCGCTCTCCGGGCTGGTGTCCCCCGCGCCCCCATTGCCGCCCGCTTCGCCCGCGGGTACGCTGCCGCCGCTCCTACCGGCGCTGCCAACAAGCCTCCGGTTGCCCTCTTCGGTGTTGATGGAACATACGCCAGCGCTTTGGTACGACTCTCGAGATTTCAATTGGTCCGGGGCAGTTGATATGGGGATGGAATTGGACCGCAATGGCTGGGGGAGGAGCGCAGAGATGACTTGAGAGAACTGGGCTAACAGCTATGCGACGAGTAGTACACCGCTGCCGCCAAGACCAACGCCCTCGACAACACTGCAAAGTCGCTCGAGCAGCTCTCGGCCGTCTTCAAGAAGGATGCCAAGCTCGCTCAGATCCTCCGCGCACCCACCCTTTCCGTCGACGACAAGCAGCAGATCGTGCAGGAGCTCCAGAAGCACGTTGGCCAGGACAAGGACGGCATCATCAAGAACTTCCTTGCCACACTCGCCCAGAACAACCGATTGGGCGTGCTAGAGGGTGTCGTGAACAACTTCGGTGTCCTGATGGGTGCGCACCGCGGCGAGATCGAGCTCGTTGTCACCAGCGCTGCTGTACGTTGAAACTGCAAAGGAAGGAAAGCTAAAGAACAGGATCACTGACAGCGCGCAGGCTCTCGACAACAAGACCCTCTCCCGCCTCGAGGCCGCCGTTTCCAAGTCGCAGTACGTTGGCCAGGGCCAGAAGCTCAAGGTCGTTCCTAAGGTCAACCCCGAGATCAAGGGCGGACTCATCGTTGAGATTGGCGACCGCACCATCGACCTGTCTGTCTCCTCCAAGATGGCCAAGATGAACAAGCTCCTCAAGGACACTTTGTAAATATAGCAATCTGATATACCGAGCGGCAAACGTTCACCAGAAAGCATGGTTGTGGTAGGATTGTGTACTCTAGATGATTCGAGAAGAGCAATTTAGTTGGTGTTCATCTACAAGATCAGCCGTGGACCGCATTTCTCGGCGCGCTTGTTGGACCTCTACTACTCACAGTTGTAGCTTCCTTGAGTACCGCACAAACGCGCAGTCCAGCATCGAGAATTCAACCTCACATCCAGCGTCAACTATCAGTCGATTGAACCCCGCTTAAACCGCCCACCCGCAGCTACGGACATCTTTCTCCTTCACCTCGCCATGGCTCGAGCTTACTCGACGGTGAGTGAGACCTCGAGCCCAGCAGCACCATGCTTAGCGTTGGAGCCTGGGTTGACTTCACCACCACTGTTCGCGCGATATAAGAGGGGTTGAACTCCCCACTTCTTCGTTCAGTCCCGCCTCACGACCTGGGTAGGAAGACTCAGCTCAAGATAGCAAGTCTACTTCGTGCACCAGCAAAATGAATCCCTCGACTCCTCGACCGTCGACGCCTCCACGACGTACCGGCCTGCTGACTCCGCCTTCGACTGGTGGTCTTCGCAAGCGAGAGCTGTTTGTAGTGCCACAAGAATCTCCTACCAACCCTAGACGCCAAAACAAGAGCCACGTCCACGAAGGAGAGTTGTTGGGTGAGTATTTCAAAGACTTGAACGAAGGGTCAGACGCTCAGTCCGAAAATGAGAGCACCACGCGCTCACATCTAGCGGACGACAGCTCATCAACTTCGGAGAGCGAGTGCTCAGCTGGAGACTTTGCCACGTCGGCGTCATCAACTACTCCTGGTGCTGCGCGCTTTGAGGGTCCCAAAGCCCAGAGTGCTTCCACCACCACCTTCGTCGCTGTCTTGCCGTCTGGGCCATTCCCTTTTCTAAAGTTGCCACTATCTGTTCGTAACATGATCTACGGGCACCTCTTGGTCATTCCGGCAATCATCTGCGTGCGCCAAAAGCATACGGTATACCACGACGAGAAGAAGGCCTTCTTATACGCTGAGCGGCGTGAGCTCCTGCCCGGCATTGCCTTCGATCTCGCCCAGACCAAGGTTGACGGTTTTAAAACCCACTTCTCTCGATTCGCAAACATCAACCTGAATATCCTTCGTGCAAGCAAAGAGATCTTCAGCGAGGCACGAGCTGTCATGTACAGCAAGAATGAGTTTGAAGTTGTGAAGCCCAGCAATGAGCAAACCCCAGAGCCTGACTTTAGCATACCGTTGTTCCCGCCAGGCTACCAGCGCCTCGTTATCAGACTTAACATCCGCGTACGCACCTTCTACGACCTTGACTGGCTGCTCAGTGGGGGCTATAACGTTATGCGAAACTACTACCGAGGTCTCGATACCCTAACCCTCATACTGGAGATGGACTCAGCGACCAAGGGTTTCGGCCGTAAATGGAGCAGGAAGAAGAGCGAGAACTGGGTCACGTACATCAAGCGACTGCAACGTGACCTCGCTGATGATCTCTTCGACGGAGTCAAACCCAGGGACAGGACGATCCCAACGTGCCTCAATCTGCGAGTCCTCTTCAGTGGCAAGACGTATGATGGCAGCTCAGGCGCCTTGACCGAATTCACTGGTATTTCCATAACTGACAGCACCAAGATCGAGCAATCCAAGCATGAGGAGCTCAGAAATGCTCTGGTGGAGTCTTGGGAGCTGTTGAAGAAGGGCGGACGGTAGTCTGCGGTCTTCAGGTCTTCTCATCGAAACACTAAACACGCTCAGATCTATCGGATCTCAATGGTCTCGACCAGCTTTCACGCGCCGTTCTTTTCGATACGATATCACGCCCTTTCTGTTCTTTGCGTTGCCTAAGCAAACACGGATTCGGGTCATGGAGGCATTCGCGATTTTGACGTTGCAATTATGATTTGCCGGTTGGTACATGCAGGTCACTGTTTGCAGAAGGAGCGGAAGGAAGTAGACCCTGGTGTCAAACCACGTCTACACCGATCAGGAGGGCATTGAACCAACGACATGCTGCATTATAGTCGACAACAGTTTGAAAACTTTTGGTCACTTTTGAGCTAGATAGAACATTACATACCCTGTTAGCGCAAGAAGTAATGGTCTCTGCACTACTAGCCATCTTGAACTTTGATCGTTGACGCTTCACTTCCCTCCTTCCTCCCCTCCATCTTCTCTATAGACCATCTCAACACCTCCCTGCCACTTTACTCATTCCACCTTTTCATGCCGCCTTTTACCAGGAACTCCTGCGCTAGAACCCTCCAGCAATACCGCGACAAGCTCTCCACCATCATCGCATCCACCCATGCTCAGCGTCTCCGTCCGCTCTTAAGAGACGTAATCGTGATATACGAGTGCATTTCCGCTCTCGCCGAGGAATCTGGGCGTCAGCGGAGATACTCGACACGTCGCTGGTTCACGCTGACTTCGAAATAGGAGCCATGGGTTCTCCCGACCCCGCCAATGGTGATGGCTTCCTCGGGCCGGCTCATTTGGATCACTGTGAGTAGGGTGAGAACGGCGAATGTGGTTGTGCAGAGGAATTTGATACCCCGGGGATGCGAAAGGACTTCCTAGAAGCGTTTATATGGTCTTGCTGCGAGGCACGTGGAGATGAGGCGGGGTGCGAGGAAGGGCCTCACTGACCGGATACGATAGTAGTAAGAAGGCCAGAAATGCATGAGATGAACTTCATGAGGATTTGGGTGTTAGTCGAGCGCGCACGTGTAGCGCAGCGCTGGAAGGATATGGTGCTATATACTTCGACACGATGAAACCGAAGGATCGTTACAGGTCACGACCCCCTCACTCTGTCCGCTCGGTCAGGTCGATACGGTGCCGTCTTACAGCCTCTGCCATTGTGTACCTTATCGCAACACGACCATCTGAGCCCCTTCGGGTAGTTGATTCTAGATCTCTCATCGTCGATCGTACCGTGCATCTCCTCATTGCGATCATCCCATGACCCACTGTCCCAATCCACTTCGCTCTCACCTAGTCTCTACATCGGCATATTCACATCAAAAAGCACAAACAAGAACCCACCAGAATGCCAGCGAAAACTCTCCCTCCCATTCTGCAGCACATCACACTCTCTGCCGCACTGTCCGTAGACCTCAAACCGCTGCCGCGAACACACACCCTTCCCCTTCGCCAACAAAACCCCTCCACCCTCTTCAGCAGAATAATCTGAGTCCGCAATCGGCCCTTGACCAGGCCCTCTGCACTCCCCAGCGCCCTTCTCAACCTCACCTTCGCTGTCCCAGTGCTTGCAATCGTCCTCTTCTCTCGTTCCGCCAGTCTGCCAAGGCGCCGCTCTTTTCAGGTCGCCTTTGCCGAGCAGCATACGCGTACCGATGGACTCAAAGGCTTCCTGTCGCTCTCGGCAGACTAATCGCAGCAGGACTCGCACGCAGGCCTTGGTTGCCGAGTCGATCAATAGGAGATGGAAGCAAAGTTGAAGCTACAAGCGAACATAGAGAGGACGATGACATCAACTCATCACGTTACCTTGATGAAGAGGATGGTATCAAACTTGTGGGTCTGAATGACAATGCAACTAGCGAGAAACGAGGGCGCGAGTACTCGAGACAACGCTTTGAGATATGTGGACAGTGCAAACGGGAGCACTGACTTGATGCATAGGTGAGGTTGAGGTCGACAGTGACAGGAGTTTCTAGTACCAAAAGGACTGAAACATAGCATTCTGCGGACCACTTTATACAGCTGAGTCACGAGAGACAAGTCTGAAAGGTTGTAAGTGAAGATTCTGTGACAGATTCATGAAATGATAGGGGGTAGAACTGGACCTCGCCAACCCGATCGTGCAAAAATGGTTAGGACACAGTTCGTGTGGCTTCACTTAACTCCAAAATCATGTCTAGCCGTCGCGCACCGTCACACCCTCGACAGCCTCAGCAACCTTGTTCACGATGCCATTTCCGTTCCGAGTCGCACCTTCCCTCTTCTCCAACTCTTTCCTTACACCCGGCAGGATGTACCTTCCGTAATCAATCGCATCATTGAGATTGTCGTACCCACGGATGGAGATGAGTTCGCAACCAAGGTCGACATAGTCCAGAATCGAATCGATAACAGTTTGGTAGCTTCCTACCAGCGCAGTCGAAGCTCCTCTTGCATTCGTCGCTGTGACAGTAGGATACCACAAGGCCCTGTCTTGGACCTCGCCCTTCTTCGCGATATCGAGCAGTCTCTGGCTACCAACGTTCTGTGGCGCGGGAGCATTGGCAGGCACCTTGCCCAGGCCAGCGACACGGTGCGTCTGCAGTGCCTCGAGTGTCTTGTGTGCCTTCTGCCACGCCAACTCCTCAGTCTCCGCCACGATGGGCCTGAAAGTGACCCAAATCCGCGGCTTATCCGTCCTTCCAGCCTTCTCAGCCTCGGCGTAAATCCTGTCAATCTGCTGCTTCGTCTCCTTCAACGGCTCACCCCATAGGCCAAAGATGTCGGCCAGCGAACCACCAATGCGATACGCTTCGTCACTGCTGCCACCGACTGAAATCGGGATGCTCTTGCCATTGACTGGCCGAACGCGGTTGCTGAATTGCTTGAATTGGTAATATTTACCTTCCCAGTCGAAGGGCTCCGGGGACTCCCATGCGCGCTTGAGGATCTTGATGTACTCTTCGAGACGACCGTAGCGCTCATCTTTGCCTAGGAAGTCGCCTTCCCTGGCCTGCTCGACGTCGCTGCCACCGGCGATGAAGTGGACGACTGCGCGGCCTTTGGAGAGCTGGTCAAGAGTTGCTAGAGACTTGGCCGCTACTGTCGGGTAGACTGTGTTGGGCCGAAGTGCAATGATGACCTTGAGGTTTTTGGTGTGGGTGGCAATGGTAGCACCGGTTGTAAAAGGGTCGAAGTATGATGAGTCATAAGGCTGGAGGGTATAGTTGAAGCCATAATCATCCAGATTTTGAGCGTATCTCTTCAGGAAGTCAGGGTCGATGGGTGCGCCCAGGATGGGCTCCAATTCCGTGGAAGCGTTGGGGAACGCTAGAGATATGAATTCTGTAGGCATGCCGGCGGATTTGATTTGTGTTGCTCAAAAGCTGGTGTTGTTTCGATAAAAGAGTCATGACAGCCAACGTTGCTTCTCTTTATAAAGTTCCTCGTTGCGAGTGTCAAATGTCGACAGCTGCAAGCTCAAGCACGTCAACCACCAGTGGGCCATGAGAGCATGGGAGCTACCGATGTCGCTCCAATCGGCTTCTGATGTGCTGACGAATGCAAACACTCTGCCCCTCCTCTTGTAAATAGCTTCGGCAGTCGTCGGTGTCTCGGGCCATCTTATCTGGTGTTGTTGGAGAAGTGAATAATGAACGCCGGTGGGTGGGTCGCCGGCTCGGTGTCCCCACTAGCGTGCTAAATGCCTGCACTTTTCCACAGGAAGAAAGAGCGAATGTACAAAAGTCCACAAGGTTGGACAATGTGAGCCGCCAAAGGCACATGTCAAATGTCGTTTTACCATGTCCTGCAATGAGCATTATGTGAGCCTCAAATTGGTGAAATGGCAGGAAATGACCACGTAACGTTGAAATCGAGATTCATATACTCGTGGTATCTAGAGAAGTGGCATTATCATGCCTTGTTCATTCGAAGTTCTGCGCTTGTGCAGACCAGATACATGACTAAACACCTTTTGTGACCTGACCAATGCACCGAAGGATCCCCAAACATCACCCTTACTTCTTAAGGAGACGCTGGTAGAAAGCGAGCTCCTCACCCTCAAGGACGTAACCGTCGCAACGGCCTGACTGACCGGGACGGGAAGCGACAACAGCGTACAGACGACCAGCCTCGAACTGCTTCTCGACGGCAGAGTCGATCTTGCCGGAGCCGGAGAGACGCTCAGCCTGCTTCTTGGCGACGGAGTTGGACTTCTTGATGTCCTCGACCTTCTCGCCAGACTTGGCCTGCCTCTTGCGGCCAAGGGACTGGCCGTAGTGGGCCTCGTACCACTGCCTAAAGGGAGCGGCATCGATCTGGACAACGGCGGAGCGGGTCAGGGTGTTGGTACGGACGAGCTCGTTGTTGGAAGGGTGGTAGACGACACCGATGACACGGGTCTTCTTGGCGATACCCTCGGAACCCCAGGAGAAGTTACCGGCATCGAGACGGAGGGCGCGGAACTTGCGGTTGCCGCCACGGGTGCGGACGAGGTGGACACGCTTAGCGCCAATACGGGTGTTGGCAGGCTGGCGGCCCTTCTCGAAAGCCCTGAAGCCATGTTAGAAACATGACTTGAGATGCGATCGGTTTATGCAAGAAGCTTGCTTACCTCTTCTTGCGGTAGTATGCGCGCTTCGCACCGGAAGCGGAGCGCTTGTGGCGAGAGTCGCGAGAGATACTGGGACAAGTCAGCTTTGGTATTGGGAGACGAGGTGGGCGTGCATAGATACCCCATATTTGCGGTTTACAGAAGACTGCTGTTCACTCTGTTAGCCCTTGTTCTTCCAATATCTTGTGGGCTAGAGCTGCAGCAATTGCCTCGAGACTTCCAATGCGAACGTTCTGCCTCCCTTGTCCACGCCGCTAGCAAACGTATGAAGCCGTGACGATTGGTGATATCGCGTGCGCCGGTACGTTGCTGAGCGGTGTGCAGGTCGAAGAGTGTATTCGCAGGGTAGTCTTGAGATCGCAATGCGGGCAGGCTCTGGTGTATCGTCGGGTTCGGTGGTGTGAAGCGTACCTTTGGGGTCGTCTGTTGGGTTAGTCGGCTTGTCGAGGTCGAAAATGCGTTTGCTGTGGGAAGGTATTTTCGACCTGGGAAGGTGCTACCGCTAAGCGAGTCTTGGTGCTGGCCTGTGCGCGCCCCACCGTGGCTCTCCCTTCAAGCCAGTGGCCACCAACACTACAGTGAGTTCAGAAACAACACCAACAAAGACTGTTCCTGGCATTTCAGATTCAGGTGCTTCGTTCACGACGTTGGCACATGTCACCAGGTCGAAATGTCTGTAACACGCGCCCAAAACAGACGTCCCCAGTCATTAGGTGTTGCGGTATCAAGGGCAAATGTATATAACGAGTGTATTGTGTTCTTCTGTGTTGTTGTTCTGCTTGTATCTTTGCTCTCCAAGGCTCGCTGCGGGGTCTGTTTTGATGACGTGTTTGTGATGCAGCTGAGGTAAGAGGTGTTCAACAACATGAGGAAGTAGCACCAGACCACCGCCAACAACACGTGATCTGCTTCTCCTCTCAACCGTTACATTAGGAGCCGAGCCACCTCTTCGCAGTACCGCGCAACCAGCAAGCTGACCATCGGACTGCTCCAGATGCTGCGACCGATTGAGCCATCAACTGGGTACCCCCGACACAGTCTGCAGAGCCTTAGTTGTGTGGGGCAAGCTGCGACATCACCTTCACACGATGGCAAGATGCCCGTAACAATATCGGCCCATGGTACCTTTTTTAGGCATTAAATCTGGTTGTGTAACTGGTACCTGGAAGATGTGTCTCCGTACGGGCCGCGAAGGACTCCACATGTAAGCACCTATGTATCATCTATATTGTTTCGATACAAGCTTGGGGGCCGCATACCTTGTTCTGTGGTATGACTACAGAGATGCTCCTCGCTTAGCCGTCTTCACCGGTGTCGCTCAGAGAAGCGGAATCTGGCTATAGAACGTATAAAGTTGCCGACCCTTGGTATTGCAGCCTTAGAATCTGCGGGATCACGAAGGTCCACAACCTTTCTCGCCGCAGTCCAAGATGCGTTTCCTCGGCTTTATTTGTGCTGCTTCTCTGACTCTTGGAATGTTTGCCTCGGCTTTGCCTCTGGATATCCGTCAAGAGGGCCTCTCCCCCTTCGAATTAAACGCTCTTGTTACCAACAGTCCGCCAGGTCGTCCTGGCAGTACTCCCTGTATGAGGCCTCCACCTAATGATTGCATGTCTGTTGCGCTGATCATGCTTGTAGGGAGCTATATTCGAGCGAATTTCACCGATCCCAACTCGTACAGCTTTACTCAGGGCACACACAATGGGACTGTTCCAGCAGGTCTTCAAGGCGTTAATTGCGAGGCCAGATGGTTTAGGCAAGAGTCGCCCGAAGATCGCACTTGGCCCTGCGAATACTCGGAACAGGGCTACTTCGCCATCCAGATCTTCCCAGGTACTGGCGCTACTGCGAGGGTAAATGATTTCAAGTTAAGGCTCATTCATGGAGTGGAGCCAGGTGCGCCGATTTCCAACATCTTTGAGCGTTACGATGCGAATGGATCGTTCAAATCGCTCGATAACCTGAATGGTAGATGCTCCTCCGGTGGAGTCTGCAACTACAGTCTGAAGCCCGAACGTAAGTATCTGGTACAGTAGTATCAAGCATGCGCAAAACTGACAACTATGCCACAGTCAAGCCAGTCTCGCTTCCAGCAGCAGAAGCGGCTCCTGTCACGGCTTGAGGTACTTGACCCCCAAACCAACAACTAGGGCCTGCCGCTGTACGAGCCGAAGAAAACCCGCGCGTCACCAACAAGCACAATATTTGTCAATTCAATACCATTGCCAAAGCTAAGATCTTCCTTCTTTGATCTGGGAATGCACGGCGTCACTTCAACCATATTGGCTCTACTGACATATATCTTCTAATAAACTTTGACCACTCGGCCAAAAGCATTGCCATTAGACACTGGAAACCTGAAAAGCTACAAGTGACAGCCAGCATTTGCTCTAACAAACACGTGAGCCCCGTGCTTGTTATTTCGTAACCTGTAAAACCACATTTTTCAACACGCACCTTGATTGGATCCCACCATTGCACCGATCTTCGGTCTCCTTTCTTCAACTTTCCCACTGGGAATTCGACAGGATGCCCTCTTGCCCTTTGAATTGACCACAAATTGGTCAATGAGTCCGCCCGGTCGTCCCTGCTCTAGATCTTGCACGTTACATATGAATCCACGTACACGACTGCTGGCCACGACGACTACGAAGGCTCATCCTTGCTGGCGCCATCGACCCCATCTTGCTCTCTCTCACGAGGCTCCTCCGATTACACGGTTCCGGGAGGCAGTCAAGGCTTGAGTTGTAATTACGTTGGTACAGAGGCGAGTCTCCCCAAGGTCTATCCAGTTCCTAGCCTCGCGACGCCATCGCCGACAGCCACTGAGCGCTGTAGGTGCTTCTTGGAAGCGATATAAACAACTCACACACCGCTACAAACGACTGCAGGCTAAGGTCAATTCACACCGTGAAGTCTAGTAGGTCATTGGGGAATAAGAGATGTGAGGATGAGGCTTCACTTCAGACTGGAGTAAATTTAATCGTTTGATGAATATTGGGTGGCGCTACATGTTAGGCGCAGACACTAAGGGACTATGTATGTTATGTTTGTGGGAAACTAATTGGTAGTCTTCCTAGACAAGCCATTGGCTGCTGCAGATGTGAAAGGTCTTTAGAGACACGATCAATCTTCCAGTCAATTCATTTCCTAAAAATCAGCTAGTTAGCAAAATTATTCATAACATCACTTAATAGCTGGAATGGCTCTAGTATTGTGGCAGTTCAGCTTGTGGTCCTGTCAAGACGAGCAATGGAGGTCGCCCATGATATCTGCATGATCATTTTTGGCTTCTTTCTTCTGATTGCCTTTCCCGTCTGGGAGGAGTTCTTCGCCCCAGTCACCTTTATTCCCTACGGGTTGCTTTTGGACCGCACCGTCTTCAGCGCTGGCTGCATGTTCGTTTGCATATACTTCAACAGCTCGGTATGGGGGTCGTGCTCTTCTTCCTTGCTGCAGGTTGTCTGGAACCCGAGCGTCACCGAGGCTTCGTACGTGACTCAGGTCTTATGTGTCCAATCCGGATGGTCCTTCTTCTTCCTTGGTCATCTTATTAGATACACTGGGCGCTTTGAGTGGACTCTCACATACTTCATGGTGCCACTCGATATCCTCGCGATCGGTCTCATAATCCACTTCCACCAGCCCGGTACCAGCATCGGCTTACATTGTGATGACCCAGTCTTCACCGCCGTGGCGGGAAGAAACATTGTCATCGGCGGTGAGCTCGCTATGATGGCGCCCTCTGATCATCAACATATTGCCCTCATCCTTGCTGTCCTCAACCTCTTTTGCTTCATTGGTAGCGCTGCCGGTCCTACAGTCAACGCTGCAATATGGACAGCTACCTTCCGCGAAAATCTTGTCAAGCACGTGGGAATACCTTCCAGTGTCAATGTCAACGACATCTACGCTGCTCTGCCCAAGCAACTGTCGTACAAGTGGGGCTCTCCTGAACGCCTGGGTATCGATCTGGCTTATGGACCATGGTGGCTCGCAAAGGCTCATGCTCATGAGTCGTCACCATCATCTGCATGCTGTCGTTGGCTCTCGTCTGCACCATCTTCATCCGCGACATCAATGTCAAGCACAACAAGTAAGTCATCGGTCGCCTCGCCTAGATTGTTGTGTCAGCTTCAACGAGGGGATATGAGCCGGAACGCAATGGTATGCCGGCAGAGCGGTTATAAGAAGGAAAGGGCGATCTCGAAAGTTATTGTAAAAGTTATAGATGCCATACACACAGTCATTATATCTGGACCTGCGTCGCATTGTCCTCTGAGGATGTTGCAGTTAGACTTACTGTCCGCTTTTGCGACGGCCAACCTCCAAGTCTTACCGTAACGTCAGGAGCCCGTCATGCCCACGCCTCGCAGCCGATGTGCGGCGCTGGTAGCTATCTGTAACCTGCACCATTCTTGTTACTCGATCAGGCTCTGTAAAATGATTTGCATTAGCGACTGCCGGAAATTGAATGCGCTCCAACGGACTGAAAGGGCCTCGGGCTGTCTCCCGCCCAGTCGAAGATTGCGTGAGATCAGATCGCGACTTCCGTCAGTACCCGCGAATTGGCGCTACCACCCTGCAACATCCCGGCCTTCAGCGAATTCGAGACCCTAGCTTGCCACATGCAATAAGCAGCACCGTTTCCGGTGATTGGAAACCGAATAGAATTTGGCAGCGTTGCTGGGGCTGTTGCGCTGATCGGGTGCGTTATCCCCGCAGTTGAGCCATGACCTTGGCATCATCACAAGCTGGGAGCTCTCTAACCATCCCCTCCGCCCGGGCGCAGTGCTGCTGGTTCACCACTCACAGTAGCCGGCCTAGCCTGCACCAGACTTTACAAAGAAGATCCTCGGTCCAGATTCGCGACGGGTGACGTTTGTGACATACATTATATAGCCTGGCCGCCCAATATTCTCCGCACGCATACATCATCGCAGCCCTCACTTTCTGCACTTTGAACATATTCGCAATTGCATACCACACAGAATTCACATAGAGATACTACCGCAATGGCAGCCAGCGCCGACTCTATCCTCCGCGAGGTCAACATCCTCGGCGAGCTGAACGACTCTAATCGTCACATCCTCAGCAAAGACGCTGCTGTTTTCCTTGCTCTTCTCCACCGCACATTTAACAACCGCCGAAAGGAACTTCTCCAGAGGAGAGTGCTCCGCCAGGCTGAGCTCGACAAGGGCAACCTCCTCGATTTCCTCCCTGAGACCAAGCACATCCGCGACGATCCCACATGGAAGGGAGCACCACCAGCTCCCGGTCTTGTCGACCGCCGAGTCGAGATCACAGGACCGACAGATCGCAAGATGGTCGTGAATGCACTAAACTCTGACGTCTGGACATATATGGCTGATTTCGAGGGTGAACATGCAATCAACGCCCCTCAGCAAATCGTAGATCTAACAACAGCCAGATTCCAGCGCGCCAACATGGGACAACATGATCAACGGCCAGGCCAACCTGTACGATGCTATTCGCCGACAGGTCGATTTCAAGCAGGGCGAGAAGGAGTACAAGCTCCGCACCGACCGCACACTCCCCACACTCATCGCCCGTGCTCGTGGGTGGCACCTCGAGGAGAAGCACTTCACTGTTGATGGCGAGCCTATCTCTGGTGGTCTCTTCGACTTCGGTCTGTACTTCTTCAACAACGCACACGAGCTCGTCAAGCGCGGATTCGGCCCATACTTCTACCTCCCCAAGATGGAGTCGCATCTCGAGGCTAGGCTTTGGAACGACGTCTTCAACCTTGGTCAAGACTACATTGGCATGCGCCGTGGAACCATCCGTGGTACCGTTCTGATTGAGACCATTCCTGCTGCCTTCGAGATGGACGAGGTAAGACACGACAGTTCTGCCGGGGTCGATAGCTGCTAACCATGATCAGATTATCTACGAGCTCCGTGACCACTCCTCCGGCCTGAACTGCGGTCGCTGGGACTACATCTTCAATACCATCAAGCGTTTCCGCCAGAACCCCAACTTTATCCTACCCGACCGTGATGCCGTCACAATGACCTCCCCCTTCATGGACGCTTATGTCAAGCTCCTCATCAAGACCTGCCACGCACGTGGTGTTCACGCCATGGGTGGTATGGCTGCCCAGATCCCCATCAAGAACGACAAGAAGGCCAATGATGCCGCCATGGCCAAGGTCAAGGCCGACAAGCTCCGCGAGGTCCGCGCCGGTCACGACGGTACCTGGGTCGCTCACCCCGCTCTTGCCAAGATTGCCTCGGACATCTTCAACGAGAACATGCCCACACCCAACCAGATGCACGTCCGCCGCGAGGACGTCAACATCTCCGCCAACGACCTGCTGAACATGAATGTGCCTGGCAAGATCACCGAGGCTGGTATCCGCCAGAACCTCGACATCGGTCTCAGCTACATGGAGGCCTGGATTCGCGGTGTTGGCTGTGTGCCTATCAACTACCTCATGGAGGACGCTGCTACCGCCGAGGTTTCGAGATCCCAGCTCTGGCAATGGACAAGGCACGGTGTCAAGACCGCTGAGGGCCAGACTGTTACCAAGCAGTACGCACTCAAGTTGCTCAAAGAGCAGACTGATAAGTTGAATGAGAAAGCGCCTAAGGGCAACAAGTTTCACCTTGCGGCCAAGTACTTCGAGGGTCAGGTCACTGGCGAAGACTATGCCGAGTTCCTTACATCGTAAGTTATTTGCGAAGTGAGGCTGCACGAAACATGAGCTAACAGATACTAGGTTATTGTACAACGAGATCACAAACGTAGGTGCCACCAGGCCTGCCTCCAAGTTGTAGACTCGCGCCTGTTTCCTTGCCGCGATGAATCTTCTTGTAGTTACCATACCCACCATATCAAGGTCCAATGAAGGCCTGTAAGCAGAATGCAAAAGCAAAGCTTGATTACTTGGTTTCATGTTTGCGCGCTCGTTCCTCGCTTACATCTGTTTGGGACATTTGATACGTTCGTGGAGCCTAACATGTTAACTTCTTTAGCCTATCGCGCCCACTCCGGCCGCAAAGCTGTGAGCACGTGACACCGAATTTCCACCATCCGAGGCAACGACAACATGGGAAGTTGAAACCGCAGGCATGGATACGCTGCGGGGAGGACCGAACGAGCATGGGTTTACGCATGTGATCTCCAATCACGGGCCGGCAGGACTGGACGAGACGACCGAGGTACAATACACTGATGGCACATTCAGCGACGTTTCGTAACATTTGGCATAAGATCATTCATGTAGCATTGCAGTCGTAAAGTTCCGTAATTATCCATAATTTCGTTATTATACTATTGTAGAGCGCATCACCCAAAATGTTAAACCGTCATTGAAACTCCATACATCCCTTGCAGATGCCAGAGCCTTTACATGTGAACTATTGAATCTCGTGTAACCTCCAAAATCATGTGGTGGGTCCAAATTTCCAATCCAGGTTGCCAGTACTCATGTTCCCTAAACGCCACGCTGAATGCATATTGGCAAGACGCCTGCCTCCATCACGCCAGCCACAAAAGCCACCCTGCAATACCAATCATCATACCTTCTACCCACTTATCGGCTCCTCCGCCATGGGCCCAGCTCCCTGCGCCCTTGCTCTTACTCGATTCTCCGATTCCGCTGGCGATGAAATCACCTGCGCCGCGCTCACTCGTTTCTATGCTGCTTGTTGTATTCGCGCTGTTGCTTGCGGGGGTTGAAAGAGAACTCGTCTTGCCGTTGATGACCAGCGCCGTGCTGCCAGGCGCAAGCGAGTATGTCGTTCCGTCGATGATGACTTCGCCGCCTGGCAGCAGTGTTGTGGCAGAGTTAAGTATGTACTCCACTGTTCCGTCGCGCGTCGTTGCGGTGACAGTTTTACCATCCACGACGATGGGAGGCGCCGCTGTTATGGGACCAATACTTGACCCTGAGCCAAGTGTGGACGTGACGCCGTTGATCACTACGACAGACCCCGAAGCTGATGCGGGAAGGGAGAATGTCGTGCCTGAGACTGTGACCACTCCACCGAGTGTGAGTGTCTGGTCTAATCCAAAAACAAATGCTGTAGTGCCGTGTGAAATAGTCGCAGTTGCCTCATCGCTACCCAGTGCCAGCACGGGGAGGTGCGATGGATTCAGACGAGATGTTGCGCCGTTGATGAAGACTGTTGAGCCTTGACCAGCGGTTGGCAGGCTGTATGTGGTGCCACTGACCACGATCTCACCACCTGGTGTGAGTGTCTGACCCGGCGCGAGAACAAATTCGGTTGTACCATCCACTACTCTCGCTGTGATTGGGACGTTATTGACTGTCAATGCCGGGAGGCCGGCACTGAGACGTTGAGTCCGTCCATTGATGACGATACTGGAGCCGTGGAATCCAGATGGAAGACTGTACGTTGTACCGTCAACAGTGATGGCGCTTCCTGGTCCAAGGGTCTTGTCGTCGACAACAAAGATTGTGGTTCCACCGAGGATTTTGGCCGTGATAAACTCTCCGCCAAAAGTTACAGCCGCTTGGCCGGCCATGGTGACGAGGGTCTGCGTGGCACCATTCCATATCGCGATTTTCCCATTTGGACCTAGTGTGAGTGTGTTACCATCTACAACTACCATTGGACCCCCTCGTTGCAGTGTCTGAGTACCCACAACGAATTGGCCGTGCGAGTTAGCGGTTATCGTGCTATGCCCAATCTTAAGAACCGGCAATGGTCCTTGCGTTATCTGGGGTCCCACAGTGATAGTCTGGTCGCCAACGATGATCTTTGAACCACCTCCGTTGGAGGGTACAACAACTGGAACACCGTTGATCGTTGTAGTTTGACCAAAGGTGACCGTCTCGGTCCCAAAAATGACCATCGTAGGCGCATTTTTCTGCTCATTTGGCCCGCCTTGTCCCTGCTGCGTCGGCTGAGGCTTCACAGTGACTACGCTGTTGCCAATAGTTATTTTTTGTCCAGACTCTGTGGGTTGTTGGACCGGTTTCTTTGTCAATTCAGGATTATCAGAGCCCACTGAACTGATGAAATCTGGTATACTTGGTGTTGTCTTCACGTCAGGCTTTGGGCTTGAGGGATTCTGAGGCGTGTTCTGGGGCTGGCCTTGCGGTCGACCTTCAGTTTTCTGGCCATTGTTATTGTTTGTATTATCCTTCGACGTAGGCGACTCGTTCTTCTTCGGATCGGGCGTTTGTGGGAGTGCCAGATCATTGTTGATGTTGTTTGAGTTGGGATCTTGCAGTGTTGGCTTCGGCTGTGGTAGGTCGCCCTTTTTTGTGTCGCACCTTAGACATCCTAGCTTGGTTATGTGTTTCGATGTCGACTCAAATGTTGTCGAAAGGAAGGTATTGGTACCCGGAAGACTAGAGAAGGTAGGAAACGGTGAGAACGTCATTAATGGTGCAGAAGTCCTGGTAGTAATAGGTTGGATCGATATCTCTGCTGGCGCTGACGTCGGAGCGGGTCGGCTAATTGTCCTGTTGGGATCTTCGATGAGGTTATCCGCAATACCTGCCAAAGTACAAGTGTCGATGTCAGCTCCCTGAAAGTGCTGCTGAATCTCCGGATCTTGAGCCAGGAAATTCTGTAACTTGTCAGGTACCGGTACAGCGCTGTTGTACGGTGTCGGTTCTGGCGTCGATCCGTTGGTAAAGGTCTGGATGAAGAAGTCCCAATCTACAGTGTTGGTCGGTAACCAGTCTCTCAGACTCGTGACGTGGGGCTGACAAGTGCTTGACGTTGGCAGCAGCTTGCTGTATGTTTCATCATTGCGTGCTGTGGCATTGACGTTTACGGCAGCGTCAGGTCCACCAAACAGATCTGTGTAGAGTACGTAGGTTGGTCCAACATCCAAAGTTAGATACAATCCAGGAGATGGTAGGTATATATTGAATTCAGCCGCGGTTTCGGTGATGCCATTCACCATCTTTGTCTGATTGATGGTCTTGGTCTCAGTGACGATCGTGTCGATTGTAGCATTGTTCAAGTAAGTGACAAACTGTGTGAGAATGGTCTCAGTCACGACCAAGCTTGTCCAGTTGCCAAAGATAACAGATTCGTAAGATGTCGTCACTGGGTTCAGCGCGGCAAGCGCGCAGCCTGTACATTGTCCTCTGAAGACTGTTGTGGTTGTCGCAGTCCCTGGACTGGATGATTTGGTATCATTCTTGTAGGGGGACTCTACCGGAGAGGACACATATTTGTTGACCTCAGAAGAGGATGTTGGATAATGTGCAGTCCAGTTAAGTACAGTTGCTTCTGTCGAAGTAGAAGATCGTTCAGAGTAAGTGTTTGACGGCGCATCCGAGGAAGGTGCAACGGGGACGAGCGTATGACCTGACGGTGTCTGTATCTGGACCACTGTGGCCGTGGCAATATCAGGCGACGACGCCTCTTCCGTTACTAGATAGCCCGAACTGTCCAACGATAGGCCGTCGGATACAGGTGTTTGGTTCTCCACTAATGTGTTGATGTTTGAAAGCGTCACATCTGCTACTGAGTAAACGGCACTTGGTAACGAAGGACTGCCAGACACTGCTGGTATTGAGGAGTTGTCATCTGATCATTGTGTTATACTCATACCATTCAAGCTGAAGTCGGTGAACATACATCCTTGTCTGTTGTTAGCCAGTCCTCTCAGTTGTGTAGAATACAAAACCTACTCTTTGCAACGTTTGGAGTGCTATGAGAAGCGGCCACAAGTGACGCCGTCCCCAACAGGGCGTGCCTCCACATTCTTTACCTTCTACACATGAGCGAGTGACAATGCAAAAGTGCAAACAAAGGCGTGGCAGCGCAGAATGGGAGTGAAGACGGTAGCCTAAGAGGCGAAAAGTATCGACTGAACGCACACAAATCGGGAGACTGGACAGCCTCCAGCCGCTATGAATAGACATCTGTGTGATTCATGCGCTCACACCCTCTAGTGGCTGCTAGCGGCGAGGCACCCACGAATGGGCTGCAGCAGATCACTGGAAATGTGGCCGTGCTTGACGGCTGAGCATGCCTAGCCGAATCAGCCAAAAGTTCTGAAGTTTCGACGATAACGTATCATCAGGTTTCCTTCGCGATGTTGCACCGTCTGTCAGCTCTCTCAAGCGGCGACACGTCAATGATCCCTTCCGGCACTTTGAGCACCCCGGACACCAATCAGAAGCCTGCCCTGGCGACTGGGCGGCTGGGCGAGGAACGTGGAATGCAACTCTCAACTTGGTAGCACAGAAGTACGAAATTGTCCGTTTCGGGCATCGCGAGCGTCACGCTGTTCTCACTTCGACAGAGAAGGTATTGCCGCTCAGCTCCTACGCTTCACAAAGGCGCTTTTAAGATACAAGTACCTGAAACAGTTCGCCTAGTTGAGCAGACGGCGCTGCTGAGCGTGCAGGCATTGCTAGGGTGTTGTCGACGAGGTTGGTGGCTCGAGATCAGCTTTCCGAGATCGAACGCGTTAGCGTTCTGGGTGCGCCTTCCCTCATTGGCTCCATGATCGACCAGGCTCCACCCCTGACCTCATCCCATCGCTCCATCTGCGCCCCTACCGTGGTACCTCGTATTTCTCGCGTCCAGTTTCCTGCACGCTCGCAATGCGGCCGAATCATGGTGCAGCGTTCAATATTGGCTGGGCTCGCCAGGCCTAACAGCTGTTAGCCAAGCTTCAGCTGGCAGAGAACCCAGGATTCGCACGACTCCTCACGGTGTCGGCAACTCCCCAGATCACTAGGTATTCCTTTCTTTCCGATCAGGCCTCGCCGGGACTCCGGGACTTGAAAGTCAATTTTCTGACATTCGGAGAAGGCAGCTTCGACATTGCGGCTCCATCAAAATGCACGCTGAATAGCTAAATGTCCTGTGATTTGAACGCTATCCATGACCTGATACCCTTGGCTTTTCTCTAATTTTCTTTCTCTTCCTACGCTCGTTACCGCAATAATGTCCACTTCCAAGACTATTGCGCCATATAGCGTCCGTCCCTCGCAGCAATTCGACGGCAACGACGGCAGTTGGAGCACCTTCGAAATTAGTGTGGGGATACCAGGACAGGACTTTCGGGTCCTTCCCTCAACCAAGAGCGGCGTCACATACGTTATAGCACCCGAGGGCTGCAATCAGCCCACCGATCCTTCCAATTGCGCAAATCTGCGTGGCGCAGAGATATTCGATTCAACGCAAAACACAGGGTTTCAGGTCACACGGTCGACAATGTGGTCGGCAATTGGGCAATATGGCGTGGATCTGGAGGACGCACTGAACATGACAGCAGACGGTCTGTTTGGATATGATCAAGTTGCGCTGGGTCCTGCGCAGGACACCAATTCCGTCACCACAATGGACCACCAAGTCGTTGCTGCAGTTGCAGACATGGACTACTTCATGGGTGTCCTGCCGCTGGGCACGGCACAGTCAAGCTTCTCGAGCTTAAGCGAACCTCAGGAATCCCTTATGTGGAATCTCCGGAACAGTTCTCGAATACCGAGTCTGTCTTACGGTTACACGGCTGGCGCAAAGTACAGACTGAAGTCAGTGTTTGGGAGTCTGGTCTTAGGCGGTTACGACTCGACACGATTCACACCCAATGCAAACGATTTCTCCTTTACATTTTCCTCGGATTCTTCGAAACTGCTCACTGTTGGCATCGAGAGCATCACGGCAACGAACACCTTGCAGGGAACATACTCGCTGTCTTCTGGATCTCACTTTTCAGTGATCGACTCGACAGTGGCGCAACTATGGTTACCAACAGATATATGTACACAGTTTGAGCAATCCTTTGGCCTCACGTACGACCCCTATACCGACCTTTACCTCGTAAACGACACAATACACGCCAATCTCACAGCACTTAACCCTGTGGTCACAATCAAGCTGATCAATTCGCTGGATGACGCGGCGACAAAATACGCCAACATTGAGCTACCCTACGCCGCATTCGATCTTGAAGCCTCATATCCATACTACAACAATGCCACAAAGTATTTTCCCATTCGCCGAGCTGCTAACGACACGCAATATGTGCTTGGGCGGACACTGCTACAAGAAGCATACTTAATCGTCGACTACGAAAGGGCAAACTTCACAATCGCTCCAGCAACATTTCCTGATCCACTACCGGCCGCACAAATTGTCACCATCGATTCACTTGGCGATGGTGAAAATAACAACGATTCTTCGTCACTGGGTGCCGGCGCTATATCCGGCATTGTAGTCGGCGTCGTCCTCGGACTTGTCGTCCTCGGTGTCGCCGCATTCTTTATCTGGCGCAAACGCCGGCAGTTAGCACAAAAGTACGAGCTCGCCACAACCGAAAAGGACACAGATTTTGATCCCCGCCTCACCGGCACTGGAAACAACGCCACGATGAAAGCGCATGTGCCACGACCAGCACAAGAGATGGGCGGCACGCCGCTCTCCGAACTCGCTTCGCCAACTGTCATGGCTTTCCCGACAACACTTGAGCGCGCTATCAACGTAAACAGGGAACCGGTTGAATTGCCCAGCGAAAGCGTAGTGTCTCACTCACCAGCGACTGCGAGACGGGAGGAGGTCAAACTTTCGCGACCAGACGGGCACATCGACAATGAACGAGAAGGTGAGAGCGGTCGCATTCCCACAGAGAATATGAGCTGGGCGCCGAGCGACGATGCGACAATGATCAACTCGCTGAGTGCGGGACTTGTGACGAGAGTCAGTCCGTTGACGCCAACGTCTGGGAGGAAACTCTGAAAATTTGGTTGTGAATAGCATTGTACCATGTTGGCATTTTTGAAGACGGAAAGAACGACGAGACTCGTCCTTGGCAGGTACTACTTGTATAGATGGGTTGATTCTCTGTTTTGACATAGGCATGATACACATTGATCCTTAATGACGAGAGTGAATACACCGCACACTTCTTCCCAAGCACCCCTACCGCAACACATCCCCTTGATGGCGAACTGCCTCGCAATCAGCGATCCTCATAGCTGCGGAGATAGTGAATGCCTAGCCAGCAGGTGTTGTCAGACACCTGACATTCAGTACAGAACGCCTGAGCCTCCCTCACCCAGCCGTAAGGCGTATAGAGCTCGCGGCCCATACTCACTAAATCGCTATCGGTGCTAAGCACATACATGACGACTCAGACGAACTGCTTTGGACGTCAGTCAGTAGTCGACTGCTGACATGATTGCATCAGAATACAGAGTGCATCTGCTCGGGCTCAACGCCCCATGAGATCGAAGTGGAGCAAGATGACAGATCAACTCTCAACTTTTGGTCTTGACATACAGGGTACTCAAGAAAGATCGCACTATGGCAGGTGATTCCGCATCCCACACTCCCTCCTCGTCCAAGGACAAGTCTAACGCGGCATGTTTCAAGGGCCGCGAGCAAGTGCGGCGTGCACAATGGTATGTTCATGGCCCTCTTCTTCACTCGATACGTTACGCTAAAACGTTATTAGAATACATAAAGAACGCAAAGTACCATATATCCACGCGCTCGAATCCGAGGTCCTCGCTCTACGCACGAAAGCGAGAAGCGTCGAGGAGCAGAATTGTATCCTGAGTGCGCAGGTAGAGCAGCTGGAGAGAAACTTCGTGTGCACAATGGTGGGGGCGAGGACTGAGGTACACAGTGGAGAGCTGGTGGTGATGATGTTGGGTCGATGAGCGCGGAAAGAAATGGTAGATATACTGGGTCGACAAGCGTTGGAGCATGTCCAAAGCAATGGCTGAGCACGACTACCGATGTGCCGGCGCAAACGTGTAGTGCTATGGCGTCGCGAGTGGATCAATGAACTGGTTGATGCCAGCGCACCATGCGAATATGGTCCTGGAGTTCGTCTTGACGTACGAGCTGGTCCCTAGCGTTTGCGTGATCTTTTCAGCCTCGACCAACTTGACAGACTGGAGAAGCTGTGCATAACGTGGGCGTAAACTGCTGTGTTCGATCCGCTGAACGCATACCCCACAAACCCTTCCCCAGGTCGCGACGAGTTGACACTGTACCATTCCTTCGTGGAGGACAAGCTCACCGTACCAGACTCTTGTACGCAAGGATATGTTGCCGGCAGCCTAGAAAATTTGCTAAGCTTGTCTTCGAGGCTCGATCTTGAGCTTGAAATTACGCCTGTTCAGGCGTGGCTGCAATTATGTGTATATCTCGAGCTCGGCGCGGTGGATCTAAAGGGTTTGGGGAAGCTTGCGGCAATATTGCTGAAGCACATTAGGGGCTAGGGTATGTGCTTCGAGTTTGGAGTTTGTCAGTTACGAGCTGAAAAATGGGTAGCTTCGGTGCAGTGATTCCAAGAAGTGTCCTCGATGCAAACTGTAGTAGAGCGTTCACGGTATGGCACTTGAATAGGAGTTCGTAAGGTTTAATTGATCGTTAGGCGAGGCTGGGTAAGACCGTTGAACCGCTCATTCTCCACTCAAATCATTGTCCCATGTCTTGCTCTTGCTTGTCATGGAGACCACAGAAACCGTTTATCGAATAACGGGGTTCTGGCCAGCGGTGGCAGCAGCGCCACTGAGGTTGGTCTGCCCAGCCGTCCTCTCAGCGTGCTCGCGTTCGAGCTGCTCCTCGGTTCTCTTGTTGCCGCGCGCGATCAGCTTTTCAATCAAGCCACCCTTCTTGGGCTCGTCGTGCTTGTCTGAATCGTCGTACTCCCTGAGGTAGGCTACGCGCTCGTCTGGGGACATGGTTGCTAGCTCCTCATCGAAGCTGCCACGGTCCTCTATGGCATTGTCAGCTCAGCCTCGTCTCAGAGATTGTATATTCACATACCATAGGTGTCCTCGATAGTGTTACCGCCGTGGGTGCCAGCGGCGCCAGCAGGGGCGGCGTGACCGGGGCCCGAGTTGAAGGTGGTGCTGTGCACTGTGTTCGATGTGCCTGACGTAGCAGAGATGTCGTTCTCGGGCTGTGACTTGCGGCGGCTGGAGCCGATGTGAAGCTTCTCCTTGATCTTATCCATTTTTTGTATGGAGGTGTGAAGTGTCTGTAGGTCTTTTTAGTGTCGGGGAAACAATTGATGTGAATGATCTGTTCAGAGGGTGTGGAGGGGTTGGAGTGATGCGCCAGCTAAGCTTGACACTGGAACCGATGATGTCACGTCCACGCAGCACCACTAGTTAGTGGAGCGGGGACATCACAGCTTGCTTGCTGCAGGCGAGCAACTGCCTGGCGACCAATGAAACTTGTTCTAGCTCTGAATTACAAGGTGTCAAATGTCACGCACGGCGTTGGGCTGAGCTGGACAAGGCTGGTGTGCATCTAGCTGGGCGATCTGGAGACCTATAGGGTGGTCTGAAGGCAAGGTCCGGTACCTGCAGTTCAAGAACGCGGATGAAAGAACCCCTTGTAAATTTGTCAATCAGAAATAGTGGGGGGCACTGTCAGCAATTAAGAAAAGGAAGTTCAAGCCCGAGTCGCGTGGACGGCGAAGGAAGGCGCGCTCTGTTTGTAGCCGCTGACCGTCTTGAAGCACCCCAGCACGAGCAGGGCTTCTGTTGGGTAGCAGTCTCAATCTCTGTTGGGATGGACCGAAACTGAGCATTGCGAAGCCGATTATCAGTGACCCTCAACACTCAATTGACTGTGCTGGTCGCCGTGGACCCGCTGGCCGATGCACCTAAAGCCTGAAGCTGTCAGGTCGTGACGAGATTGCACCACACAAGACTGAGACATCGTCTCTAGCTTTGCAATGGCCTCACAAAGCATTTGGGGAAGTTGCGCGTGGACTGCCCTCTACGAGATCGGGCCCTGTGACAGTAAAAAACATCTCCTTGCATTCATCTCGACGTGCTTGGGATGAACGAGCTTGAACCCTGGCAGATCTCGACGCTAGATCTGGCTAGCTAACCGTTCCCGTGCGGCGGACCATGTCGTCGGTTGCATAACGGGATAGGCATGACAGCAACACTCAGCAACCCTCAATTGGCGGTGCTGACATTCTTGGGAGCCTCACGCACGACGACCGCCATGACGCTGGACAGACGCACCAGATGAGCCGCCCGCGCCGACTACCCTCCTTACCATGTCCCCGTCGAATATCCGGGTATTCGTACAATGGAAGGATGCAACCGTGTTTGCCGGCGAAGATGTTCAATGCACAATTACGTTCAAGAACGTAGCAGATCCTGAAGGACGCGATCCGTCGTCAGCGCGCAAACACAACGGCTTTGCGCCGGGAGGGGAGCGACAGCGCAAGCTGCCCCCTGTCCATTCCTCCACGAGACCATCGATATCGCGCAATTCCTCCTTCGTCTCCCAGATACCCGGCTCTCCACACCTACGCGACCACCGTCCAGCACAACCGTTCTACGCTTCATCTGCAGCTGGAGACGTGCGATCATCCATACCACCAGGCGGGGCGTTTGGCAACAACGGCAGGGGTCACAAGCACGGCAGATCGATATCCATCATATCTCTAGGCACAGATGCTGCCGTCGGAGGGAGCCACAATGGCAGTGTTACACCAACACGGCCAAGTCGAGGGCATGGCAGGTCTGCCAGTATGCAAGTCATGCCAAACAGGCCCTCTTCGTATCCAGGTACGAGCTCCGAAGGGAATACGCTTCGATCACTGACAAAGCCACAGTAGCTTCGCCCGGCTTCCGCTCAGCTACCCATCCCTCGCCGCTCGCAGGCGGTGCATCTTTTCCTCCTACCATACAAGAGCCATCGAACGAGTTCACATTCCCAGCGCGTCCATCGAGAAGGAGACCAGGTGCTACTACAGCGCCGAGCACACCGATACTACCTACGGCAGGGCGAAAACCATCAGGGTCTTTCTCGTCCAATTTCAAATTCCCAATGGCTCCTCCTCCAACGGATCCGTCCCCAGAACGACTCGAGGTGCGAGGCCCTGCACATACACCTCCTGTGCAGAAATCTCTGGGGCCTACGCCACCTGTTCAGGTACCACGAGCGCGAGGTCAATCTCCACAGCCAACGCACGGCAGTCGTCGAATGCCTACGAACCCTCACTTCGAAACACTGTCCCCCGTTGCCAGGATAATATCTGCGTCTAGCATGGAAGGCACGCCACGAAGTAGCGGCGAGTTCTACTCTATGAGCAACAATTCGTCAGAAACCATGGCCTCCGAATACGTCGCACACCCCTCGGCACGACTGCTCCCTAGAGCAACACATCAACGACAGGGCAGTCATCTGGCACCGCCGAAGAGGCAGCTCCAGCCAGAATCATTGATGATGGGATACGCTCAGATTATGGGCTCTTTCACGCTTGACGGTTCTTTGATCAACCAGGCTCCATTCGAGGAAGTGAAGAGAAAGGGCGTGGTAGGTGGCCAGGGCAGCGGAGGTGTGGTGGGAGTTGAGAGACCGAAGCGTGAGAGCGGGCTCTTTGGTGCACTAGGCTGGGGAAACATAGGCGAGTCACTGGGCGGCTTACTAGGTTCGGCTGAGCCCTCTAGTATCCGCGAGATGAGGACTACTGCCAGTTCAAAGACAGTTCCACTCATCACTACACCACAGTCGATCCTGTTCGTCGACTTAAAACTTGCTCCCGGCGAGAGTCGCAGCTACACGTACAGCTTCACTATGCCTCGAGGGCTCCCACCATCGCACAAGGGGCGTTCAATGAAGGTGAACTACCATCTCACAATCGGTACACAGCGTGCTGGCTCCACCAAGGAGCAGCAAGTCAAGCAAGTTGACATCCCCTTCCGGGTATTCGGGAGCGTCAATGGTATGTCAGCTCCTTACCACCCAATTCTAGCTTTGCTAACCTATCAAAGGTCGAGGAGATATACTCGGTCACGACCTGATGTCTCCGTACATTATACTGCGCGATCAGGCCCGGACTGCTAGCATCGTTGCAGCAGAAGTCACCTCTGCATTAATCACGAAGAAAGGAGCTGCTGTGGATAAGGCAGGGCAGGACCCGTTTGCCGAGTTTCTCACATACGTCGACAATCTTCTGGAACGACCGCGACAAAACTCAAGTATGGGATTGCTATCACCAACTGACACGGTACCTGGACGGTCATCAATAGTAGAAGACCACCATCCTCAAACCATGAAAGACTCGATTGATATGGCTGTCCTTCGAAGCAACCTCACAGGCGCAGCAAACCAGAGCGCCAATCGATTTGAGATCGCCCGTAGCGGCAGACGCGTTGCCGTTATCATGCTAGCTCGGCCAGCATATCGACTCGGAGAGACTATGTCAGCCGTGATCGACTTCACCAATTCCCACATACCGTGCTACTCTGTTCATGTCTCGCTCGAAACCTCGGAGAAGGTTGACCCAGCCATCGCGCTCCGCTCGAACGCATCCATTTATCGTGTCACCAAAAAGGCTCATGCATCGTTCTCGGAGAATGCGATCTTCGCCCAGAAGCTAGCTTTCTCACCCACGATCCCACCAAACGCGACACCGGAGTTTATCACCAGCGGTATCAGCTTGGAGTGGAAACTTAGGATCGAATTCATCACGCCTCGAGTCACAAACGAAGAAGGTGGAGTGCAGACATTCGATGATCTGCTCGAAGAGATATCTAGTGACGACAGAGGTGTCATCCTGGCTGCTGCGCAAAGACTGCCAGCAGAGAGCTTCGAAGTGCAGGTTCCAATCAAGGTCTACGGTGCAGCAACAGGAGCACCAGATGCGCCAGACGAAGAAGGGCTTCCAGTATGAAGCAGTCCACCAAGATCGCTCTGAACTGCTACGACACGCCACCACGCGATTCCCATTGCAGACCCACAATCATATGCATATTGCATATCGGGAAGGGACGCTCAAAAGAGGTAATAACTTCGGTCACACTATCACCAGCTACTAGCTTGGACACTTTGGATAGACGACATAGGCAAGCCATGAGGGTCTTGCATCAGGCGCCGCTCGACACGGGTACCGGAACATGTGGGCACATCAGACACAGCAGTGCTGAACAGTAACAATGATAATTTTTACAAAATCAAATGAGTACCAGGTACATCATGCTCTTTCCTGTGCGCCTTCTCTCCCCTACCCGCTGCGAAGATAACTTCCCTAATCTACACCAGAGATGCTGGCGTCCTGTCTCCAACAGCTTGCAGCATTTCTCCTACATTTGTCTTTGCGCCTCTGGCAGCTCCTGTTTCCACGTTTGGTTTCCGAATAAAATTCCGGATGAGCTTGCTCTCGCGCAACCTTCTCGGGCATAGATACCTCGGACAATGTGGCCTTCTTGTTCGAGCAAGTTCGAGGTGGGGCGGCCCCGAAACAAATACCACTGCCTAGCTATGGACAAGAGAGACCGTTGCGGAGCTTTCACGGAGGCCGGGCCGGACATGGGCCGGCCGCCATTGGAGCGTCCGGCACCGCAACACAAGCTCCGGGTGAACAGGTCACTACTTTTATCTTCTTCGGTTCATATGTAGTCAATTTTTGGAAGTTCATCTGAGATCGGAAAAGAGCTTTCATGATGTCTTTGTCTCCCAGTATGGCAGCAGATCCCTCTGATAACGCCGTAATCACCAAACAAAGCCTGAAGAGATACCATGAGGACGATCGCCAGCATGACAGAAACGTCCGAGATTTGTTGTTGACGCCTCCTGGGGAACATGATCAATCTGAAGTAAGCGATTTGCTGCGTAGAGAGTTCCTGTATTTGACACCCCTAGATACCCCAGAGTAACAGTCACGCCTTATCCCGCTCCAGAGCTCACGAAGATATCTACGGCCAACTCTTTTGTGCATCTGTGGAACTGAAGATTTGGGGTGTCGCTGCACGAGGCTTACGGTTACGAAGCCCACCGACGGTGTTCCCGGAATATACTAAGCCAGGAGAGGACGCGTATGTCTACCGAGACTTCCAGTTCTGGACCTCTGGTTTTTTCCCAGGAAGTCTGTATCTGCTACTTGAGCGAAGGAGGAAATACGAGAACATACTGTCTACCACGGTACAGTCGACGCCGAAGCTCAACACACTGCAACTAGAGTGCGCTTTCCAATGAATGTTCAAGCAGATGCGATATACTGACCAGGGATCAGGTTTGCATGTCGATACTGGACGGATACCTTGCACCAAAACGCACACCTCACCAACACACACGATCTCGGCTTTATGATCATGCCATGGGCGAAAGTGGCCTACGAGCTGAACCATGATCTCCGCGCCCTAGAGACAATCAAGACTTCCGCCAACAGCTTGTTCTCCCGCTTTGACAGGCGGATTGGATGCATCAGGTCTTGGAACAAGTGTATCACGAAGAAGTATAATTTCTACGATATGGACTCAGACTTCATGGTCATCATTGTGAGTACTACAGGGGCGCCTGAACAGTCGGCCGTGATATTGATGGTGATACAGGACAATATGATGAATCTCGATCTCCTTTTCTACGCAGCCTCGAAGACGGGCAATAAAGATATGTTTACCGCTGCTCTTGAGCACGCGCGTACGACCGCACGCACACACATACGCGCAGATGGCTCGACCACCCATCTTGTAGTTTTTAATACTCAGGACAGTGAAATCAAGCACCGGCTGACGAACCAAGGATATTCCCACGACTCGTGTTGGGCGCGCGGTCAGTCCTGGGCGATCGCAGGGTTCGCAGAGACATACACTTGGACACGCGATACCGAGTTCTTGGGCGTAGCCTGCCAATGTGCTGATTACTTTATGAGTCGGTTATCAGCTCCCGGGATTGTGCCGTGGGACTTTGACGCACCGGTTGCTGAAGATGCTTCGCAGCCACCAGATGTTAGCGCCGCAATGGTCGCCGCGTACGGGATGCTGCTGATCCACCAAGCGCTTACGGCACTTGGAAGGAGTTCACAGTATTTGCAAGATGCCTTAACAATCATTCGATCAGCTTGCATCCATCATATCAACCCACCAGCCAGCTTGGTGGCCCGTGACGAGGTGGTGGAGACCGTCGAGTGTGGCAAGACTGTCCAAACCAGCTTGGATGTGGATATGGGCAAGGGCGACACAATTCTGAAGGGCGCGACCATTAACAACTATGAGTTCGCACCAAGGAAATGGGCAGACCACGGCTTAGTCTATGCCGACTATTTCTTCTTGCTTGTGGGGAACAAGTTGCTGGAGATGGGAATTGGACCAGCAAACATGGATAACTTCGCAGCCTAGGTGATCTTTGTATACGTATCGCAATCTGACGCATCTTCAAAATCTTTACATTCCCTGTGGGTTGGAAAAGGCGCTCACTCGCTGATCCGGGAGGAATGGGTAATCCAGATAGGACGCCATGTTTTCGAAAGTGATGTTGTTCCCAAGCGGTGCTTCTGACGGTAAATGCGCGTCTTGATGATATTGTGCACCAGGATCTTGCATTTCGCCATTCAGCATTACTGCAGGTGGTACTCTACCCTGGACTTCGCTCGTACTTTGTGCCTCAAACGCCAGCGGTAGGGGCGGGAAAGCCAGCGTTATGCTGTCAGGGCTTTCACCTTGACACACGGGCAAAGGCAACACTTCGCCGAATGTTCCGAGAGAATGATGCAGACTGCTGTGCTTGTAGACATCGCCTCGTGCATTGTTTTCGTCCGGTCTCGGCGATACGGCGACAGACGGTGCCTGGTCCTCAAAATATGCAGCCTGGCGCATGTCCGCATGTTCGAGCCCAGATTTTCGAGCGTGCTCCAGGCGCAAAGCAAATTTGGAGGCCAGGTTCTCAGTCGAAGCTGAATGAAGACCATTCCATCGCCGTGACATCTCGTGTAAGCTGTTGACGAGGTTGTCGAGCGCAAGTGGCAACTGATTTTGACAGTAGAAAGAGTGCGCAATAAGCATGCGACCACAAACGAACAGACAGAAAGCGAACTGCGGATTCGTCAGAAAGTCTGTATTGCGGAGAAGCTCCTCAGCGATGATCGATACCTCGATCGCAGCGGCTAAGCATGTGTCTGCGCTCGAAGCAGATGGCAGATTGATCGGTACCGATTGCCACTCGGAAGACGGGTACGCAATGCCTTGGTGTAATAGTACGACAGCGGTATTGTGGGTTATGTGAGCCAAGGTTAGGTTCGGGTCCATGTTGCCATCATCGTTGAGAGCACAAGCCTGCCGCCACCGCTCTGGGAGGTAGAGTTTCCATCTGTAACGCGATTAGCTCGTGCATATGTCAAAAACTTGAATTAATACTCACTGTATAAGACGGAGATCCAGTTGCTTGAACCTCATCAACCACACTTGTATGTCATGAACTCGTGCCACGTCTACCGCCTGCTGCAGGAAGAATGATGTGACCAAGCTCAAATTCTCAGTAGCTTCGATACAGTAGGCAAAGCCGCCCAGTGATGCTTGATCTGCTGTCTCAGAGCGACTGTTTGGTAGCTGGCTGCTTGCTTGCTCGGGTGGACCAGATACACCGAAGAATGGAGTTAGAATATGTAGCGGGTTCCCCTCTTCCCAAAGCGCCCCCTCGCACGGCAATCGCCGTCTGACTTCAGCACTGGTCAAACAGACGTTCCAGCCTGTAGTGACGCTGCAGAACCTGTCCATCAGGAAGACATTCCAAAAGACTCTGCATCGTTCTTCTCGTTCACTCCAGGTCTGACATGGCCTAAGAAACTTCATCCTCTTGACAAGCACTTTCGTCTCGGATGGCATGTGTTGCGGGTCTTCGTCTTCGATGCTGAGTTGCAACTGTTCGACCGTACGAGCCATGCTTCCAACAATTGACCAGGCAGACGGACCTCGGCCACTTCCAATAATATCGAAAGCGCATATGATCAAGGCTTGAAGGTTAGTGACTGAAAAGGACTCCATACTTTGCAGGATCACAGACTGTCGACATGACTGTGCCAGTTGAAATCGTTCTGCAGCTGTCCCAAATCGAACATTGTCAGAGAACCGGACGCAGGTCGATGTAATGGCACACAAGATGGTGCCAGCATCGTCCCTGCTTTCCGAATTCAACTGCCTCCGAAATTGCCTAACGTGGAGTACGGGAATCCAGGGGTGGATGCGCGCAAAGTAGATCTCGACTAGGGAGTCGAGTAAATCGGCTGGTATGGACTCAAAATTGGCGAATGCAGACTGAGAGCGCTCGGTTTGAAGGCGATGTTGAGCGTCTTGGGTACGTGGCTTCTTTTTTGTGTTTGGCCCGGTGGAGATATCGTGGTCATCGATGCGTGCTCTCTTCTGACCTAGAGACTCCAAAAATTGTCTGACTTGCTCAGTGCCGCCGGACAAGTCGCTGCGTATCGATATTGGCGGGGATTGTTGATTATGCTGCGATTGGGGGGCATTCCACACCTGCTGCCAAAGAAGTCCCTGACCAAGGAACATATTCTCTAGGACATCCAGGCGTCGAGTAAGACGCTCAATGGCGCCAGCTTTCATGCCTGGTCTTCCCTTATCTTTGTCATAAAGACAGGAAGTCCCATTCTTGATGCATTGAGAGCAAGGTGTCTCTCTCGAGCATTTTGCTTTCTTCTTACGACACGCTTGACAAGCTGGACCGGCAGAATCGTCTGGTCTCTGCTGGTTACGTCCATTGCTGACATCGACCTCCTCCAGATCGGATGCATCGTCAAGCTCATTCATGACGGCGTGCGCACCGCAGCGAGCTGATGAATGCAAAGCGTGAACAGCTCCGGAGATTGTGGGGACGCATGCGTGGGATTTGCGGGGTGCAGCGGTCGCTCAGGAGGGGCGGCGGCGGAGGAACTCACGGCGGGCTCCCCGAGCTCATCAGAAGGCCTTCCCCGCATTTTCCATGCATCGAGCACTCGCGCTGATATGAACCGAGGGAGACTTCTTATGGTTTTTCGTACTGACTCCTTTACTTGTGCTGGAAGCCATTGTTGCGACGAGGTTGGGCGAACGCCCTGCCACCAAAAGGTTGCTTGTCGAGTGACCCAAGCGTCTCCTCTGCGACTCATCTTTTAAATCGTAACAATGTGGACACGAAACTTCAAGCATCAGTGCATATGAACGCCGGACGATACACCACGAATCCGGGATTGATTACTATTAAGCTTGACATAAAGCCACCTCGACAGCACATTAAATCACCAGCAACTTGTGTTTGATCACGGCCAACCTATCTGGATCAGTTCGAGCATCGTTCTCTGATCATACTTACACGACTTTTCAACAGCATCAGCCCGGTCAGTTGTGCAGGTGATCGACGTTGCTCTACCCGAATCCTTGCCCTCTGGTCATGAGGCTCTCCCGGCCCCCGATCTGCGCTGCCTCGTGACTCGTGAGGAAGCGACATCGTGTATCCTTCCTCTTCCAAACATCATGCTCGGTCCACGCCGAATGATACTTCATCACATATACACTGCTAGCGTCAGCTCGGAGGTTATGCTTCGGTCTGATGTTCTTTGTCCTGTCACTGCACTGATGGTGTGAGACGAGATAGATTGCTTGTCGATCAACGCGTCCAAGTCGTACACAATTTGACGAGGTCCTGGAGACGAGAACGTGAGCAGAGCATCGTTTAGCCGAAGCAATTTCCATTTGAGAGCGGCGGCGTCGATCGAAAGGTTTGGTCACGACTAGACAAGAAGAATACAATAACAATAGGTGGGTATAAAATGCCAGAATACACAGACAAGCACCAACGAGAGAGTACACCAGCCCACATCGAGCGCCATGACCGCCATCAGATCGAATAGGAGCATTACCTCCGAACCCTCAATCCTCGTGATATAACAAACGTCTCGCAAAAGCAACGATTCGATCCACGACATCACCGCTCAAGTTGACGCCTGCGCAGCAGCAACTAACACATCGATCACCGCCGCATGACTCGCTGCACTACTGCCATCGCCCCCCTGCCAGCGATCCCCGAACACACCTTCACCATCCCTGGCATTCGCAAGCGCCGAATCAGCATTCCTCTTCAAGAAATCAGTGTACGCCTGCTGTCCCTCGTTCTCATTGAGCGCCGACAGGCCCCTGACATATGCGCCCTTGAACATAGCGGCTGTCTGATCAAGCGGGTGCTTAACTGGCTCCGTCAGAATACCATTATCACTCAGCCTACTCATGCTCGCGCTGGCGAGTTCGTTCGCGTGGCGAATCAGATCGCCATCGCTTTTCGCTCTCGCGAGCTCAGAGAGGCCGGCGAGGACAACACCTTGGTTGTATGTGAATGTTGTTTTGCCGTCATTTCGGCACGTTTTATTGTCGATTCCATCATTGACTAGACCGTCGCCATTAATGACGCCGGACTCCCAGAACCAGTCCCATTCCATCTGTGCCCAGTTTTGGTAGTCTGATTTCTCAGAGGCAGGGACACGGTTGGCAAGCGACGCGCCGACGGCGAGGAAGAGCTCGTTAGAAATAGCGGCAATGGATTCTTTGGGCTTGTTCCACCAGAGGCCGCCTTTGCAGGGCGTGGTCCAGCCGGTCGTCATGTCTTCGAAGAGGTCTTTGGCGGTGTTGAGGTACCTCTGGTCGCCGGTCAGGTCGTAAGAGGCGATCCAACCCATGGCCCACCAGCCTTCGTCGTCGTAAAAGTCGTTCTTCCAGTTGCTATAGCCCTTCTGGTTTGGAGACTTTTCGTATGTGTTTGAGACAATGTCGATTGCAGCTTGCTTGAAGTCCTCATCCTGCTTGCCGAACTTGGCGATGGTCTCTACGATATTGCCGGATTGCCACCACATATCATCCCTTTACATAGTATTTAGTATGAGGTAGCACCCAGCCAAGATTTGACATACCATAAGCCAGTCTCTATGTTGTACCATTTGTCCTGGAGCAGCTTGATCGCGGACTCTGCGTCGCTTGCATAGTCGGCATGCGCCATGTCCAACAACAGGAACGCAACGGTCAGTGAAGGGAGGTACTTCATTATGATTCTATGCAAGACAAGAGACTTGATGGAAGTATTTGTGCAGAAAGTGCGGTACTTTCTGGATGCTGTAAAGCCGTCAAACATGCGGCATGCTCTGTGTTTTATGTCCCAAGGAAACGATGCGAGTGTGCCAAAACGAAACGAGAACCTTGGGGCTGGGTATTTTGGATCCAGAGACATGTTTAGTGCCAGACCTTGACGTGTTCACTGATGACAGGACTGACAGTGTACTACGCCTAGCACGAGAGCTATACAAGCAGACCATTATGCCCTTGGCTATGTCGCTGGTCGCAACCTTCCGCCTGAACAGGTGCTTAAATTTCCAGCCTCTATCATGGAATGGATTTGGCGCTGCCAACAAGGCGACCTCTGAGAGTAAGATAGAGGATCAGGCGGGCGCTGATCTTGGGCAAGTTAGTCGCACTTACCACAGCCATCCTACCAAATGATAACGGCGATTAATCTATCGTGGCAGCCGTCGGAGGTGAGTGACGTTGGAGCCTGACCAATGTGGATCCTATAATGAACAACGATGCGGATATTGTCAAGGATGGGCTTCATCTGATGTTCTGAAACAGTTGCCAGAGGTGGCTTTCACACGGAGCCAAGTCAATAATGAACCCTGATTGGCGTTAACGTTTGGCGGGCCGGAAAATCATTGGCGACTTAGGCAAGAAACGGACAAGACTAGGAACGCTGGAACGTGGCTTGTGAAAGTTCTCTCCTGTGCCTCCACAGCCTCATGGGTGGAGGCCACAAGGCGAGACAGCAAGGTCTCAGCTAAGCGCCAGCTGGTTAGCAAGGCTCACCAAGTATTGGCGTCACAGAGCAGCATAGCGTTACAAACTCTGCTTCCGCGAGTGCAGTACAGGGCCGGTCGATAGATTGTTTGTGTCTGCGATCGCAGTCTTTTGCGCGCAACCACAGAGGCCTTCGGAAGACTTTCTTCTCCAAGACTCAAACCGCACACGTCGAATGAAGCTTGATGATTGCGGTGAGCCGCATGACTGCAATGTTCGGCTGGGACACTATAGAGAAGCAAAGAGGTTGCGCCGTTCGCTGTTTGCCGGCAAGCAGTACTTTGATCATGCCCGTCATCGGCTCACAGGGCTGGTGGGTAACATGACGACCTGCGACAAGCTGCGCTTGCTGGCAGCACATTCGTGGGGCCGCGTTGTCATGATGAGATGGATCACGGGCAAGAACACGATAATTTCTCGTCCTGATGATGGAAGGCGGAGGCGCTGTGGAGCACCAAGGCGAACAGTGAACATGGTCAAGCCAAAGCCGAATGCAAGCGGCTCTTTACAAGCCCGTGCAACAGGTTTGCGCAACCGTTGCTATGACCCTGTGCTCCCATGCCACGTTCAGTGACCACAATAATGACGCGTTGCACGCAGGCGCGACTTCCGAGCTGTGGCGCGCGATTTGCGTGTTTGCAGTGACGTCGCGGTTGAGGGGCAGTCGCGAAGCCACAAACAACCCCATTCGCCATGCAACAGCGGGACAGAACCCAAACATGTGCCTCGAAATGACGGAACCGCCATGGAATTCCTGTCAAATCCCATCAATCACGCTGATGCTAGCTATATGATCGACCAATAGTGGCTGTCATTGGAGCTGTGGCTATCAGACATCCTTACAAGTGAGCTCGACTGCTGCCTTGTTGCGTGCAACCCTGCTATGATCGTATGCGGCAGGGATGATTGTGTCGAATTGCGCGTTCTCCCATAAGCTGCCGTCGAGCAGTGACGTGCGGATTTCGTAGGAGGAGCGAGAGGACAGAGTGCCTACTTAAAGGCCTGGCTGCGCAGCTCCAAGTATCTTTCATCAACAAACTCTCCAACTCTCAACTACAAGCTTCAACTTTCCCATTAACCCAACCACCAACCCAACTACCAACCCCATACTCAACATGTCCGACAACCTCCGCAAGGGTCTCGGCGAGCAGGCGTCGGAAAAGAGTGAGCATCACCCGGCTTGCCGTTACCCAACAAGCCACTGACCCCACGTCCAGTGACTCCTGACTCTCAGAAGTCCACCCTCGACAAGGTCGGCGAGAACGTCTCTGGGGCCGGTGACCGCATTGCCGGCGCCGTCCAGCCTGGTCAGTGCCTTGTACCCGTCTCTCACCCTTACATATGCTAACATCTCGCAGAGGGCCAGAAGTCTACCGGTCAGAAGGTTGGCGACACCGTCCGTGGTGGCTCCGACGACGCCTCCCAGCAGGGCGAGGGTGTCCTCAAGCAGGCTCAGGATGGCCTCAGCAACGCTGCTTCCTCCGTCCAGAACGCTCTCGGCGGTGGCAACAAGCAGTAGACTACCTAGCGGTAGCTCTGTTTCTACTCATTTTCTTGCGGCTTAGTATGCTAGGTGTCCATCATTATACCCTATGATACGAATGGAATGAAAAATCGAACCACACTTGACTCTTGTTGCTGTGATGTGATCGTAGTGAGATGCTGTTGCCTACGCAGGTTATTCGTTAGCTTTGCCCATCCGTTAGTGTACGCCAGTTTGACATGAGGCTGGAATGTAATGTGCAAGAAAGAGTATCATGTGTGACAGACCGCCTATGGTTATCTCAAAGATCTTCATCCTCAACTTCTTCCATCTCAACGTGCCGTAGCGTGTTCTCCGCAACTCTTGCTTCTGACGATATTCCGTGCATCTTCCCCTGTGCCTCTGCCGCCATCATGTCATACTGCGCCTCTTCAACCGCTGCCTCTGCTGCTTTTTCAGCTGCCTCACTAGCTGTCGCCTCCAAAAACTCGTCGAGCTCCGGATCAGCGTCCGGCGCAGCTTCGGGCGCAGCTACAGGTGCATCCTTAGCCTTCTCCTTGCCCAGGTACCCGTCTTCTTGCAGTTTGTCAAACTCCTCTGGCTCCAAGAGTCTCCCCTCACCCTTCGCCAGCTTCATCTTCTGCGCGACCGCAGCGGGCATAAACTTAGTGGCCTCCTTGAGGAAATCGCGCTTCTGCGGCGCCGCCTCGTAGACAATCTGCGCTTTCTTGGGCTCCGGCGCCTCCTCCTCCTTATCCTGAGCTTTACGTTGGCGCTGTCGTGGTATTGGCGGTGGCGTATCGCGCGGCATAGGGATACTCGCTACATCCACATCCGTATCACTGCTGTCGTCTTCCTTCCGCTGCCCATCCCTCGTCCGCTTGCCCAGCACGCCGCCGCCGTGCCCCCTCCCATCTCTCCCGCCACGCTCTGCGAAGTCATCGTGCCGTCTTTCCGGCTTGAACTGCGGTGCCTTGTCACCGAGCGCGGTGCGCGCTTTGTTCACTGCTGCGAGGTCCTTTTCCAGCTCTGTAAGGCGCTGGCGCTCGTGTGGGCGCAGTGCGCCGCTCTGGTCGAGCTCTTTGAGCTGGTCAATATCGCGCTGGATGCGGGCGGGGTTGCGGCGGGCGAGTTTTTCGTTGCGCTGGGCCTGCACGGTGGCTTTTTGTTTGCGGAGGGCTTTGGCTTTGTCGGCTTTCTTCTGCTCTTGCACCGGGTTGTAGTTTTTCTCTTTCGCCATGATTGCTGTTGTGCGAGCGGTATCTTGGTGTGATTTCTAGGGATCGAGGCAGTTTGGGCCTTAGAGAGACAGTAAGGGGAGTCGAATTTTGATTGTGATGTATGAACGGAGCTCGAGGTTCAAAAGTTGAGGTTGACGTAGGTCGAACCTTTGTCCGTGCGTCACAGCCGCGCGCGGTCGCGTCTTCCCTCACTCCGTAACTCTCTTCCTTGAGACACAAGCTTCCGTGACTGCCTTCGAGATGTTCATCCCGAGAGCAGTCAGGCTCAAGGGCGTGAAGGAGTCAATAAGACCAAAAGTTTCGAAGCCATCGGCAGAATCCCAAACTGGCAAAGATAGTACCAACAGCAAAGATGGGCTTGTCGAAGCAACAAGCGACACAAGCATGAACTCACCTGCTCCTCAACAAGACACAGCTTCAGATGCACCAGCTCCCACTCGTGGCCCTCGATTTACTACCAAACCCATCACAGCAGAATACATTGCCCAATTAGCTGCTGGTATCGAGCTGATCTTCACAGATTACGCACATCAAGAAAATGAGCGCTCAAGATGGCTTAAGAACAGATACAGGGTAGTCGACGGCGAAGAGAACTGTACGTTGTATATCCCGGACATGCTGTGCCTGGGAGCTAATTGGGATTAGACATCCATCTTACAGCAATCCTCCAACATCCATACATCTCGAAGCTGAAGCCGGAAGCGACTCAGATCCTCCTCAAGCAGGCCCTACATGATCATCCCTCTGGAATCCTCGAGCTCTCACGAAATAAATACTACGTCCGCCGCCGACCGTCTACGAACCCTCTACCCTTCGTTCCAAAGGATTCGTTTGAGATTGTAGACGATGATGGGCTGAGCTTCTGGGACCAACGTACCATCTATGTAGAGCCGCATCTACACAACATATGTCCGACCCCAGCAAGAGTAGCGCAGTGGCTCACAGAACACGGTCAGCTGAAGCAAAAGTGGCTTCCTATCCAGGCGGTGCACACGCTCTGGAACAGCTGCGCATTCGTTGTACTAAGTGGCAACGTGATGCATGAGGGGGCATGGAACAAATGGAGGGAAGCCGGCAAACCAGAGGACTGGAAGATCATGACCAAGGTCGAACACACAAGACGCACTGCCGAGTATCGGGCGTTACTCGAGCAAGAGAATCCCAGAGGCATGCGCAGAAATCAGGAGGACGACAGCAAGCTCCCGCCCATTGCACGATCCGCAACGCTCCCAATGGCGTTTGAGCCGCTGCCCAAGGATACAGCTGTCAAATCCGAAGGCAAGAAGAAGCGGAAGCGGCGCAAGCCTGGGAAAGCTGGCGATGAGACTGTGAATGTTGAGCAAGCCAAGATTACAAGAGCCCAGGGAGCAAGCAACGAGCCCGACGCAGGTATGGCCGACGCATCAGAGGAGCAGCCACATGCCGCTGAGCCAGCTACAAGCAAGAAGAAGCGCAAGAGGAGGAAGAGCGGCAGAGCAAATGATGTTGATGATACTGTCGCAGCACCTGCCAAAGATGACAGCCCCAGAAAGAAGCGCCGCCGGTGACCCATGTCCACTGGGTGGCAAACCCAGCATGGCCTCACGAGAGTTTCGGATCACATCAAATCCTCCGAACAGACGGATCAATGTTCCCGCTGAGCCTCACAGAGGCGCACGCTAACCCCAGATTTACCCCGCTTACTCGACGACCCTGACTTCACCCGAGTTACTGTACCGACGATCGCCTGTAGTACTCCGATTACCGGGGTAACGCGTCGACAGCTCCAAAGCTGAGGAGCCGAGGAACCTTGAGTCGACGCGAAGGACAGTCGTAGCCGGTCGATCCGCCAGCTCATATAGACAGACGCGCTCAAGACCACAATACATTCACTGCCGAGAAGCTCAACTGACCATTTCTGTCCCTTGCTCTGAACCTATGCATAGGTTCTGTAATTCGTACACTACAATACAGCGCTCTGCATTGAAGCTCACACGACCAGCATGACGACGACAATCGTCGACAGAACGCCAGAAGGCATCATCTACCGCGCCGCAAAGACATTGCCTCTCCCGGACCTCGACATCCTCACGCTCCTCTTTGGTAGGTTCGACGTAACACAGCGGTCACACATGCAACAGTCCAATCCGCGCGCCACACAGGTCCAGTCTGCCACAACTGCATACTGATTTGAACAGACTCAGAGCACTCGCTCGCAAAGGAAGACACACCAATCCATATCTCGGCCGCCGATCCGTCTCTACGGGTCACCGTCTCCAGCTGCCGGGCCCTCGCACAGTCGACTTCCGCCGCGCTGCGCAAACACTTCAACATCGGCGCTCATGGGCCAGGGAAGGACATCGTGTCCATAGTTTCAAACGGGCACTACCTGCTGCCGACGCTCTTCTACGGCATCATCGGTGCAGGCGGCGTCTTCAGCGCGGCGAGCGCGGCGGGCACGGTGGGCGAGCTGAGCAAGCAGATCGTCCAGGCTGAGAGCAAGATAGTGGTGACGTGCGAGGCGACGAGGGAGACTGCGGTGCGAGCAGCGGAGCAGGCAGGGTGGGGACAGGGTGGTGGGGGACGCGTGATCGTCATGAGCGAGGGTGCATCGTGGACGCTCAAGGCCGTGCAGGGCGACGGAAGTCTGGGCCCCAACCTGGTCGACGAGAGGGAAAAGCTGGAGTGGCAGCGCATCACCGACCGCGCCGTGCTGGAGAACAGCCTCGTGATCCTCATCTACAGCTCGGGCACCACGGGGCTGCCCAAAGGTACGTCTTGCTCCCCGCACACTGTTCCCGGTTGGCCGTCTAACCCGCCCAGGCGTCAAGCTCTCCCACGCCAATCTCGTCGCCGAAACCATGATTCCCGGGAACGTGCTCAAATCCTGGCTGACGGCTCGCAACGCGGAGCCCAACCGGCCCAAATTCGAGTACAGCACCATTGCCCACTTGCCCGTCGCCCACATCGCAGGCATCCAGGGCTACCTGCTCAACCCGTTCTACATGGGCGGATCCGTGCACTGGATGCCGCGCTTCGACTTTGCCCAGTTCCTCACCTACAGCGTGAAGTACCGACTCTCGTACCTCTTCAGCGTGCCGCCCATCTGGGTGCTCATCGCCAAGAGCCCCGTCGTGACGGACCAGTTCAGGCTGCTTGAGGTCGCCGTCAGCGGCGCAGCGCCACTGGGGAAGGAGCTGCAGCTTGCCGCGTCGGCCAAGGCGGGCGGGCCCGAGTGCTTCATCAGCCAGACGTGGGGGCTGAGCGAGACGACGGGCATGGCGACGATGCTGCCGCTGGATACGCGGGACGACACGGGCTCGGTGTCGTCGCTGCTGCCGAACATGGCGGCGCGGCTCGTCGACGACGCCGGGCGCGACGTCGAGCCCGGGGCGCCGGGAGAGGTGCTGATCAAGGGCCCCGTGGTGTGCAAGGGGTACTACCGCAACGACGCGGCCAATGCGGAAGCGTTCACGGGCGACTGGTTCTACACGGGCGACATTGCCGAGTTCAGGAACGGCATGTTCTACATTGTCGACCGCAAGAAGGAGCTGATCAAGTACAAGGGCCTGCAGGTTGCGCCGGCGGAGCTGGAGGCGCTGCTGCTGAGCCACGCGGACATTGGTGACGCGGCGGTCATCGGGGTGGATGCGGACGAGGGCACCAACGAGGTGCCGCGGGCGTATGTCGTGGCGGACCGGAGCAAGATCAGCGCGCAGGCGATTGCCGACTTTGTCAAGGCCAACGTGGCGAATCACAAGCAGCTGAGGGGCGGCGTGGTGTTCCTGGATGTGATCCCCAAGTCGCCGAGTGGGAAGATCTTGCGCAAGGACTTGAGGGTGCTGGCGAAGCGGGAGCAGGGTGCGAAGCTGTAGGGTTGTGTACCTACAACCACCCCGGAGCGAGGGACCGAGACGCTGTGTAAACAAAATTGACACGATGACCACTTCGATCGAAGCGTGCCACCTGCTTGAGAGCCTGTCGCACGTTGCATCCGACAGCCGGGGGCGTTGGAGCAGCACGGCGACGGAGAACCGGTCGACGGGCCTTGGAGACTCGGCAGCACGGCAGCACGGCAGCGAAGAGGGAGAGAAGAAGCGGGAGGGAAGAAGCGGGAGGGAAGAAGAAGGAGAGAAGAAGAAGGAGAAGAAGGAGAGAAGAAGAAGAAGAAGGAGAAGAAGAAGAAGAAGAAGAAGAAGAAGAGTCAGATTGTCATTTGTGTGTACATCAGAGCAGCGGCAGAGCATCATCAAAGCCAAAGTCGGCAAACAGGTCCGACCGCACAAATTCAAACGGGTCCAAGAGCTCGCCGTCGGATCCTAGATCAGACTCGCTCGCTCGACGGCGCGGGCTCTCGTGCGTCTCCCCCGCCGCGGCTCCTGGTCGCGCGCAAAGCACGTTCTGCCGCAGCGCGGTCAGCGTCTCCAGACACGCCTTGACGGGCGCGTACTGCGGCAGGTTCCGCGTCAGGATGGCGACGCAGCGCGTCCACGCCTGCTGCCAGGCCTGCTCGCCGAGGACATGGAAGACGGGAGGACATGCGCGGGCGAGCAGGACGACCATGGCTGCGGTGCGCGTGTAGAAGACGTTGTACCACCAGGCGCCGGTAGCGTCTGTGGCCGAGTACTCGTTGATGGCGGCGATGAGGTCGAGCGCGGTCTGGAGCGGTTCTGGATAGGATTCGGTGCTCGTCGCTATCCCGTCCGGGCCATGTCCGGATTGGTGTCGGCGGCAGAAGGTTAGATAGGACGGCCGGAACAGCAGGATGCGCGCGTGCAGGAAGCGGACGTGCAGGACGTGCGATTGCCGCTCGAAAAGGCCCGCAGCTTTGTCGCCTCCTGTCGGTTGCCGCTCGACAAGGCCCGCAGCTTTGTCGTCTCCTGTCGATTGCCGCCATTTCAGAGCCGCTGGGAGGTTCTCGGCCAAGTAGGCAAGCTCCTCGTTGAGCTCCATGGTCACGTCCTTGTTTCGTTCTTCTTCTGCAGCCCCCATGTTCTCAGAGTGCTCGTCGTTGCTCCTGTAGACGTTCAGGAGAATGCGGCCGACGATCCGATATAGCTTGACGGTCTCCGTGAAGAAGTCGATTGACGACGGGTTGGTATTGCTGGCGGCCAAAATGGGAACGTCTTCTTCTCCCGACTCGAGGGGTCTCGGCAAGCTTCGCGCTTTCGATCCGAGGAGCATGGCTGGGCGGCCAAGCGTCATGCTCACGACAATGTCCAGAGTCACACACCCATGCCAGACGCGTCTCCTCATCTCATGCTCATCTGGGGTGAGGGCGCGTTGGCCAGGGAGAGCCTTGTCAATGTGTAAGTCAAGGCCTTGGGCAAGCCGGCATGCCAGACCGATCGCGGTCCAGCATTTGCTCGGCCAGTTGGTCGACTGAAAGTATTGCGTGAGCAGCAGTAGCGTCTGGACGAGCGCTAGACTGCCTTGATCGAAGAGGTCCATTTTCAGCAGGTCCTTGGACTTTGCCAGACAGGCCGACGACAGCCGCTCCTTTTCGCCGAGTGGCAGGTCAGAGAACTGCATACCAAGGGCCAATGCTGCGTTGAGCGCGCAATGGAAGACGGGCGACGACGGCCCGGCTGCAGCGCCGAGTCCCAGCGCTGACGATGGTCGGTAGTGCAGATGGTGCTGCGCCGTAGGCCTCCACAGGTCTTGGTAGGCTTGTTCAAACGAGCGCCTGTGCAGGACCGGATAGAGAAGATGCACGCGGTCCCAGTACAGCTGCATCAGACGGTCAGCGAGCTCTCTGGGCAGGAGCGAAAAGTTCTCGGGCGCCGTGTAGGGCGCTGTGGGGGGGGCTGAAAGCGGGACCATCAACGCTGGATCGATGGGAATCTCCCGTGTTGTGGAGTCGTTGTCCTTTTGGAGGGTCAACGCTGGATCGATGGGAATCTCCCGTGTTGTGGAGTTGTTGTCCTTTTCGAGAATGGACCCGTACACCTGCCGCGTGAAGCCATGTGCAGACGAGCTGCCATAGAACGGCTGGCCGTCCACGGGAAGCTGCTCGAGCGCGGCATCTCCGCCCATGGCATCCACGGGTCCCAGCTCTGCCGAGGGCGGCCCATAGTCGGGGAACAGTCTTGGGTCAATGTTGCTGGAATCCGGGAGGGACGGTGCTGTTGGCGGTGGTGCGATTGGGGCCGTCGACAGTCTGAGGATGGTGTTGCGTGCGTTGTTCAGCTCTTGCTCCAGCTGGGACACGCGGTTGACCAGTGAGTCGACATATGCATTGGCGCTTTTGACGTCGGGAGCTGCGTGGTAGATGCACTGTTGGTTGCGTTTCAAGCAGGCTTCACAGCTGGGCTTGTGGCCATCGCAGCGAATCTTTCGACTTCGACAGGGTTCGCACGCGGTGGTGGTCTTGAGCTTTTGGCGCTTTGGTAGTGGCTCTGACATTGATGCTCTCGAGGCTGCGCGTCTTGACGCTCTCGAGGCTGCGCGTTCTGGCGTGGCGTCTTGACGATGCTCTCGAGGCTGCGCGTCCTGGCGTGCGCCTTGATGATGCTGTTTTTGAGATTTCGCCTTCTGGCGTGGTGTCTTGATGATGCTGTTTTTGAGATTTCGCCTTCTGACGTGGTGCTTTGATGATGCTGTTTTTGAGATTCCGCGTCAAGGATTGTGGTGCTTTGAAGATGCTGTTCCGTTGCGTGTTCTGGTGCTTTGATGATGCTGCTCGAGGTTACGCGTTCTGGTGGTGCGCTAGTGTAATCAATTGAAGGAAAGCACAATCGCACTGGAATGAGCGAGGCAAACTAGCACGTTGAGCATGTCATGGCGCGTCGAGTGGTGTGCAATATTTGCATTCATGAGTCCATCTATCGTAGCAAGCTTCTCCGTCGTGACTAATATTACAATGTGTGCTGCCAACTTTTTGGATGCGTGAGGGGGGAATATACAGAGACGAGCCAAACAACGCCGTGCCCAATGTGTCGTGCCGATACTCGTACAGGCGTAGGGTGTTGGGTCAGATTAACACTACAGATGCGAGACCAAGCTATGGAAAAAAGCCACGGAAAAAAGCCACGGAAAAAAGCCATGGAAAAAAGCCAGCGTGGTGCCTAGGCGTTCTTGACGACGCCGACCTTGGCGGGCCGCAGCACGCGGCCGTTGAGGTAGAAGCCCTTTTGCTGGGTGAAGAAGACGGTGCCGTCCTCCTTGCCTGGCTGCGGGGCCATGAAGACGGCCTCGTGGACGTTGGGGTCAAACTTCTCGCTGGCCTCGGCCGGGTCGAAGCGCTCGAGGCCGTGCTTCTTGAGCGTGTTGATCAGGATGCCGTCGGTCATCTTGACGCCCTCGTGCAGCGCGGTCAGGTCCTGGTTGTCGCCCTTGAGCTTCTCGGGGGCCACGGTCGAGAGCGCGCGGTCGAGGTTGTCGACCGACTCGACGAGGTCGCGGGCGAAGCGCTGGATGGCAAAGTCCTTGGCCGCCTTTGTCTCGCGGGCCGTGCGCTCCTGGAGGTTGCGGAAGTCGGCGACGGAGCGGAGGTACTTGTCCTGCAGGCCGTGTCAGTGCTGGGTCGGGTCGGCCGTCGGGCGCAGGGCGCGAGGCGTGCGACGCGAGGCGTGAGACGCGAGGGCAGCCCACCTTGAGCTCGACAATCTCCCTGTCCTTCTTCTCCATCTGCTCCTTGCACTGCGCCGCCTCGTCCTTGGGCGCGTCCTCGTTCTTGTCAGCCGCCTCGCCCGCGTTGGCGGCGGGCGCCGCCGCGTCCGAGTACCATCGGACGGCGGGCGCCGCGGCTCGTGTGCTTGCGACGCGCTGTCTGCTGGGCGCGACGGCCGGTCTCGAGGCGCGGAGGAGGGCTCTCTGGAACATTGCGGGGCGAAATGTCGGCAGGGCGATGGGACGAGGGTGGTGGAAGCTTGCGGCGTGTTGCTGTGTTGCTGTGTTGCTGTGTGGCGCCCGGAAAGAAAATGATTCCGCGGTCATCGCGGACAAGCACGCGCCACCCGCGCTGGCCTGGCGTCGCCTCGCCTCGCCTCGCCTCGGCTTGCCTGCATACGTCGCAGAAGCCGCCTCGAGCGTCGCCACGGCCCTCGATACGTGATGCGTGATGCGTGATGCGCCCCTCGCAGTCCCTCGCCGTGCGCATCAAGGCCCACGTCGCCCGCCGCGACACCCCCAGGCCGACGTCGCTCCCCGTGCAGACGGCCGTGCCCGCGGCCTACTACCGCGGCGGCACCTCGCGCGCCGTCTTCTTCCAGCCGCAGCACCTCCCGCGCGACCGCGCGCAATGGCCGGCGCTGTTCGCGCAGACAATGGGCAGCGGCGACGGGTTCGGGCGCCAGCTGGACGGCATGGGCGCGGGCCTCTCCAGCCTCAGCAAGATCTGCCTCGTCGAGCCGCACGGCGCGCGCACGCCCGTCTCCAGGCAGGCGGTGGCCGACCGGGTGCGGCGGCAGACGGTCGACGGGGCGCGCCGTCTGCTCGCAGACGTCGGCGCGCGCGGCGAGCCCGTCGGCGGCATTGACGTCGACTACACGTTTGTCGGGCTGGGCATCCAGGACGCCGTCGTCGACGTGGCCGGCAACTGCGGCAACATGAGCAGCGCGGTCGGCCCCTACGCGTACAACGCCGGGCTGCTGCCGCCGCGCGTCTACGCGCAGGGCAACGGGGCCGTCTCGGTGCGGATGCGCAACACAAACACCGGCACAATCATCACCGCCACGTTCGACGTGGCGGGCGGACAGGCCGCCGTCGCGGGCGACTACACCATGGACGGCGTGACGGGGCCTGGCGCGCGGGTCCGGCTGGACTTTGAGGCGCCGTACGGGAGCAAGACGGGCAAGGTGCTGCCGACGGGCAACAGGATCGACCGCATCCTGGAGCACAGAGTCAGCTGCGTCGACGGGGCGAACGCCTGCGTCTTTGTCCGCGCGGGCGACGTCGGCGTCGACGGGACCATCCTCCCCGACGAGTTCGACAAGCTGGCAGAGAAGCTCGCGCTCCTCGAGCGCATACGGCGAGCCGCCGCCGTGGCCATGGGCATCGCGCCCGCCGAAGACGCCGTCCCGCGCACCGTCCCCAAGATCGGCCTCATCTCCATGTCGTCGGAGCACGCGACGCTCGGCGGCCGCACCCTGCAGACGGCGCAGACGGATGTCGTGGTCCGCTTCCTCTCCGACACGCAGCCGCACCGCGCGATTCCGCTCACGGCTGCGCTGACGACTGCCGTCGCAGCTCGCATTCCCGGCACGCTCGTCGAGCAGACACTCGCGCCCGACCCCGTCGCGCACGGCGCCATCACGATTGGCCACGCAAGCGGGACGCTGCAGGTCGACGCCACCATGGACGACACGGACAAGACCTTGCCCGTGAGCGGGACGGTGTTTAGGACAGCGAAGCGCCTGTTTGAGGGGTCCTCGTTCTGGCTCGACCACTCGCCCGCTGCCCCGGCAACAGAAGCGTCTCGCAGCGCGCAGGGAACGTACAGAACGCAGGGAACGTACAGAACGCAGGGAACGCAGGGAGCGCAGGGAACACAGAGAACGCACGGAACGCACGGAACGCACTCCCTGGGCATGGCCTTTGTTCTGGAAAGCCGCGGACAGTCTACAGCAGCCCTCTTCGCGGGAGAGGAGCTCACGCAAGAGGACGAGCCAGACGTCGAGGGCGTCGACGACCTCGACGACCTCGACGTCCCTGGGCTGTCTGTCGTGCGGAAATACTCGTCCGCCGACAAGCGACCTGACAAGCGACCTGACAAGCCCGCCGACGACGCAGATGCTGCCTCCAGAGACTGTGCCGCCGACGCAGATGCTACCCCCAGACACTGTGCCGCCGACGACCCCAGCCCCCGAGACCGTGCCGCCGCCGCGGTCAACACCACCGACGCCGCCAAGGGCCTCGAGTGGCACCGCTGGGCCAAGCAGACGGCCCAAGCCAAAAAAGGCCTGCGTCTCGCCGCAAAGAAGCGCGCGAAGAAGGACAGGCAGCTCGCCGCCGGCGTCCAGCCCACGACGCGCGCGGAGCTCGGCCTCGACAAGTGGGGCCGCCAGTACACGAGCATCAAGCACAGGGCCGACCGCCGCGCGAAGCGCAAGGCGGATGAGGCTGGCCGTGGTGAGGTTGAGCCGCATGTCCCGCGCCGGACAGAGGGCGAGGAGCTGGCTATCCGGGAAATGGTGCGGCGCGATCAGGCGAGGGAGAAGCGGTGGGCTGACGCCGCACGCTCGACTTCTCCGCCGGATGGGAAGGAATAGGGAATGGACTGGGAAATGGAAGCGAATAGGAAACGGAAAGGAATAGGGAGTGGAATGGAATGGGAAATGGAAGAGGAAATGGAAATGGAAAGGAAGAGGAAATGGAAATGGAAAGGAAGAGGAAATGGAAATGGAAAGGAACATGAAATGGAAAGGAAGAGGAAATGGAAAAGTAAATGTGGGATACACTGCAACTTCAGTCAGATTGGAATGCTTGACTACGCCTCATCGCCAGATTGGAATACTTGCCCGCCTCATCGCCAGACTGGAATACTTACCCACCTCATTGCTAGATTAGAATACTTGCCCACCCCATCGTCAGATTGGAATACTTACCCCATCGCCAGACTGGAATACTTACCCCATCGCCAGACTGGAACACTTGCCCACCTCATTGCTAGATTAGAATACTTGCCCACCCCATCGTCAGATTGGAATACTTACCCCATCGCCAGACTGGAATACTTGCCCCATCGCCAGACTGGAATACTTGCCCCATCGCCAGACTGGAATACTTGCCCAAGCCATCGCCGGACTGGAACACTTGCCCACCCCATCGCCAGACTGGAATGCTTGCCCACGCCTCATCGTCCCACTCACCCGCCACCCCACGCTGCAAAGCACTGCGACCATCGCACATCGTCCACGCCAACACCACATCGCTACAGCCTCACACATGCAGCCCACCTCGCGGCACATCATCCCGGACCCTGGACCCCGGACGCAACCTCCGGTTCGACGTACTCGACTCGTCGTGCCTGCATCGGTCGGGCCTTCCCACCAAACCTTCCCTCAGCCACCAGAACCCAATGCACGACACCGCACCCCGTGCAACGCAGGGTTCGTTGTGACACATGCAGGGCACGGTGTTATGCGTGCGTGCGCGCGCATGTGGGCGATGAGGTGCTGCCGCTCACTGTGTTGCGTGGGCGACGAGGTGCTGCCGCTCACTGTGTTGCGTGGGCGATGAGGTGCTGCCGCTCACTGTGTTGCGCCACGGTTTCTCCCGCGCCATTCCAAATCCACGACCGGTTTGGAGCCACACGACCTGAGGGGTTCAAACCTTGTGGTCGCCAAGTCATCGAGCCTCATCTGGATCTACCGTGGACTGAGACCGTTGATGGTCTTGCCGGCGGCTTTGCGTGCATCTCGGACGGCGCTGCAACCCACGAGTCCAATACGTCATGATAATCTCGCGACGCAGGACTCGTGAGACTTTGGCCATGAGAGAAACATTGCCGCAGTCATGGGAAACGCATTTCTGCATCTGGCCCGCGCGAAACACCGGATCTGCGAGTGCGTATCTGATGCCGAGTGGGTCCTCTACGCAGGGCTGCACGAGCTTGGCCAAGTCACTGAAAGCTTGTGAACACTTCTGAACAGTAACATTGGTAACCATGGGTTCCTGGCTCTGTTTTGCGGCCAAGAAGTCATCGTGCAATCTCCGCGGTATTCCCACTCGCCCAGCAGCATCACGACGTTGACGAATCACGTGACACAGGGACGATATAGAGACTAGCAGGCAAACTTTCCATCATCGTCCGTGAGTCTTGCAGGGCCTAGAGACTCGAGATAGGTATAGAGTTCCCGTTTAGAGACTACACAAGCTTCTAGCAGGGGCACCGGATGGACAAGTCCGCCAATGTGTAAGAGCGCCTTTGTAGAGGCCGCGCGCACGGAACCAGAGCGTCTGGTAGACTTACTCGCGTAAACGATCTTCGTTCGTTCGCAGATCTCGGAATCGTATACATCTCGGAACCGTATGCATATGCAGTAAGGACTCCAACTTCCTATTGCACCCAAATACGACCACGGATGAATGAAGTTGGGCCACTTGCAAATACCATGAGGTGAGCCAAGTGGGACCCGGAACAATATTGGAACGATACTGAAAAAGCTGCAGCTGTAGGATATCGTCTAACGGCTTGGAGTGGACATGGTTGGTTTGACGACGGTATAAAGTTTGGCCCGGGCGGTCCATATCGTGACTAGTTACGTTAGCGCAATGCACTCACTTGCAAAACATGTGTCGCTTTGCCAAGAACGTCAGACCCTTTGACAGCGGGGCAGTTAGTGTCGTCTACAGCCTAGCGACAGATAAGATTTGGAACTTCGCAATCACTAATTCAGGCGTAGTGCCACAGCGTCTCATCCCTTTGACAGCAGTGGCATCACCATGTGGCGAACGATCGCAATCTCTCGGTATGCAGTAGCTCGTTGGACACATCAAGATAGCCTCAAAGTCGGTGTAGTTTTGACCCATACTCCTGAACGCCAGTAACGAATGAAAGCATATGCTCTTGGGGGTATACCGGATTTAGTCAACGGGCGCATGCTTGAAGAGGAAAGACACACTCTCGCCGTTGTGGGTACGTCGACACGCCTCGGCAAGCTGTAAAGTTGTCAGGCAACAAATCATCATCCATCATCACGTGCTTACTTACAGTGGGACTAATGTCGATCGTCTCTATGCGGTCGCAGAGCTCCTTCTTCTCTTCGTGAGGAACAGTGTTGGTCACAACAATCTTCTTGAGTCGGCTGCCGTTCAGAGACTCGATGGCGTTTCCACTCAGAATGCCGTGGGTGACAATGGCAATAGCGTCCTTGGCTCCACCTTGGTCGATCAAGACACTGGCGGCCTTGACGAGAGTTCCGCAGGTGTCCGCCATGTCATCCACTAGGATAGCAGTCTTGCCAGCGACCTCTCCGACAAGAGTCATTCTAGAGACCTCATTCGGACGTGTGCGCTCTTTGTGGATTAGCGCAAAGGGCAAGTTGAGACCGTCAGCGATAGAAGTCGCTCTGCGCCATCGTCAGCATTGCACGACCGGAAATAGTGGAGACTATGTCCGAGGCTGCAGCCACGTCCAAGTCACAACCTCTGTTGCAATGGATGGGCTGCGCCTTTTTCAGACTTGGACGAGCATGTTTCACACAAAACTGCCTTGTGAGCAGGAGAGCCTTACCTCTTTGCCCCTCCGGCATCAGGACTGACAATAACACAATTCTTTACGTCTAGGTTCTCGCGGATCCATCTCAGCGTGCTGGGCTCTGCGTAAAGATTGTCCACGGGCACGTTGAAGAAACCTTGGATTTGACTGGCGTGGAGGTCCATAGTAATCACGTGGTTGCATCCAGCAGTCTGGAGCATGTTGGCCATCAACTTGGCGGTGATGGGTGCACGGGACTTGTCCTTCTTGTCCTGGCGAGCGTATGGAAAGTTCGGCAGAACGGCAGTGATACGGCGTGCCGACGCAGTCTTGCAAGCGTTGATCATGATCAAAAGCTCCATGAGAGCATCGTTGATGTCGCCTGGTGGGGTAGATTGCAGGATGAACACTGTCGTATAATGAGCTCGGAGGGATCTTCACGATCTGCAGGTTTCCATACCATCCTCATCTCTGACGGATTCACCGATTGTAACGGAAGTTTCCTGATTTGAGTACTGAAGGACCAAGATTTTGGTGAGCTCGATACCGAGCCTAAATTAAGCTGTTAGTATTGTGCACGACCGAAGTGCTCGGAAACGAGCATGCTAAGACCAGCTCTCAGTGTTTCAAGTTTGAAAGTGAGAGTGGCAGCTGGTGTTCATGTGACCAGAATGCCTTTTTCGGCAAGCTGTCGAGCACATGTGCAGCCGAGTCGACGCAAATCCAGCCTGCCAACGAGCGCTTTGGGTCGTTCGGAACAGGCGAAACGTACCTGTCAGCAACCAGCTGGGCTAGCTGAGGATAGCTGTTGCCGGTAAGCAGCTTTATGCTGTTTGTCGCCATGGTGATGGTATGAGGTGAGTGTGCTGGTCTTGTCAGTAATTGTGTGTCGTTCCTGTCGAAACTTTTCGAGGTGGCCCGTGCGAGCGACACCGCCAAGCCACTCGCCGTCCTTTCCGCAAGCATGCAGGGTTCGGGCTCGTGCAGCCCACCACATTCACTCTTACCTATTACTCATTCTGGATTGGGCCTGATCAGCATGGGCGGCCTCATTCGTTCCTGAGCTCATTTCCACCCGTTGAGCGTCTGCGTCTCGAGACAGGGTTCTCCTGCGCAGAACTTCTGAAACGCGGCCTTGGGTTACCACCCTCCATGCCGACTTGGGTGTCTAGTGTCTTTTTCCTCTGTTGTGACTCTGAGTACCTACCTAGTTGATGGCCCTTGGACACCCCCACTGAGGCCTGTGCCCCTACTTTTGCTAGAACTATAGGGCCTTTTTGGGGGTGATTTGGCCTTGCGCACGACAAGACCACCAACAAAGGCTTTGCACTGACTAAGAACCACGCTAGACACCCGAGCCACATGGCGGGTGTAGCCTTCGCCAAGTGATATCGAACAATCGGCTTCTTCGTGCTCAACGCCGTCACGTTCTTAGCTCGGATGCGCACTTCCGTATTCCCATGCAAGCCAATGTCTGGCCAGGCCGAAAATTTGCAGCATCTTGATTCCTGATGCCGCACGGGAAGTCTTCTCAATCACAGCAAACGGCCAGGGTGAGGAGCAATGTGTGTTTGAACTAGTGCGCAGTGACCCAATGGCCCCGCACGGCTCTACGCATCTAGACATACGCACTCGGGGTTTGCAAACGACCCGACGCCGTTGAAACAGACTATAGCTGTGAAAGTCTACTTTTAGTCTCATGATGACCCCAACCGGTTCTTCCCTATTCTCGAAGAAGACGTTATCTTCGAGAGACGGGTACAGGCTACCGCTCTCGCCACATGCATCTAGCTCCGGCGTGATGTCGACAGCCGAAACAGCTCCTGGGAATGCTAAGTGCGCAACAGCGGATAACAACTGGAGCTTCATGTCTCCGAGTGGCTCAGTCAGTGCGAAAGGGGAGACACCGAGCCAGCGACTCGGTGCTTGGGTCGCTTGTGGCTGAGATTCAATCGCCACCTCATTTGCTTGAAACGCAGAAACTGCCATGGTATGCGGGGAATGTTTGTGAATTCTGAGGCTCATTGGAGCGTTACCGATCTATGCTACACCATGCTGCAGTACTCCTGCCGCTTCTGGATCTAATCCGCCCTGCCTGAAAAACGCCTGGAGATGCTCACCACCCGCTTTGCGAAAGAAGAGATGACGTATTGAAACCAAGTGCGACCCGGGTATCGGCTGAAATCAAGATAAAAGTGGGATGTCGTCGGCAAAGGCCGTGTGGAACCACACTGTCGCCAGATAACTCCACGGATGATGAATAAGGAATGGGAAAGAATGAAAATACAGGCCGTGATAGTGTCGTGGTAGAGTCGAGGGGCGGTGCGGTATTAGTGAAGTGCCACATAAGGCGTGCTGGTTTTGCTTCCGTGGTAGAGGAATATGGAAGGAGAGGCGGCATTGCAATTCAGAAGGGCTGTGCCAGGCTTAGCACTGTTGCTCGCACAGCTGGCCAATTGCCTTCTCGATGTCCGAGAAAAGGTTGAGAACATGACCGTCAGCGTAGATCCTGATCGACTCTGTCCTTTTCCGCTCTGCACGGGCTGGACTGTTCTCTGCTTTGACGGGGCTCCGGGGCGGAGTCGTCTCAGCAGCATCACCACGCATTGTAGGGCTAAGGACCAGAGCTGCAGCTACATGTTCTAGTAGCTTTTGTCGGAGACGCAAGCGTCGATTCTCGGACTGCTCTAGCTTGGCGATGAACTCATCGATGGAGTTGTCTAGCTCGGCGAGAGCTTCCTCCTGCTTGAGAAGGGATTCGCGGGAGAAAATGACAGTCTCGCCGCGTTTCAAATAAGAGATCATCCGGCTGTGAAGCTTTTGTCGCCCTGCTCGCAGAGACTTGTATGTCTTACGAAGGTAGTCGCAGCGTTCATCCAAGGCTCGAAGTTCCTGTATCGTGTCAGTGTATGTGAATTGAGAGCTGTGTTTGGTGGTCTTACCCTGGATAACGAGGCTACATCACCCTTGTTAAGGACTTCGAAGTTTCCGGCTTGTTCGTGTGCCTGCTTGTGAAGTGATTGTTGGTCCACATCGCTCATGCGCCTTGACGCCTCGGGTACACGCATGCCTCGGGGAAGCGTCCAGCTGTCAACCACCTGGCCAGCAGGACCAACAGATTCGGAGCAAGCTCGGCTGTGGGAGCTCTTGGAACGCTGAGCTGGACGACCACGGTCCATGATCGAGGATTCTGACATGTTGCGGCCGTGCGAGCCTCCTTGTGTGACCATGGGGTCCTGCTTCTCGATCTTTGGGGAGTCGCGTGGTGATGCTGTTCTGAAAGAGTACGATACTGCAGAGGAAGGGGTTTGTAGAAGTACCCCGGTATTTGGTGAGCGTCTGATATCTCCCGCACTGGCAGGGGTGGCTCCACCTGGTGCAGCAGATCCAGGGGTTGTGAGCGCGGTCCTGCTTGACTTGGAACCAAGTTTGAGTGGAGCAGGCGACCCATTGCGTTCAATAGCAGGCGATTTGGGTGGTACTTCAGGCGGCAACATCGGATTGGCGGTATCTACCTTGAGAGACGGTTTTGCGCCAGGGCTCAAGATCGGAGAGAGTGGCCTGCCGCTATTGCTGTCATGAAATGTAGTGGAGTAAGCGTGCTGTGTAAGGACGGGTGAGGGCCCTGTGACACAGGAGATCATTGCATCCCCAAAAGGACCAGCTCTCCAGGCTCTACCAGGGGCACTGTAGGACCGCTCGTGGCCAACTGTCTCGTACGATGGCCTGCGTAGAGGCGGTCTGCCTGGAATTGTGGCTTTCACATTGTGAGTTGTCGCCTTCAAAGTAGTTGCGATTGCTTACGAGAATCAATCGGTATCTCTTGCACCGTGGTCATCATGCCCGAAAGTTCGGGAACACTAACTTTTCTTCTCCTCGACATTGAACCTGAACGTTGCCAGAACGGAACAGTCTCTGCGGGAACAGCAGTATCGCTGAGTGATGTACCAGAACGGCCAACAGATAAAGCAGCCAGCTTGTCAGACGGCGATCCCACAGGACTCTTTGCTGACAGCCACAGTTGATATCTGGAGGTAGCTCGAGGCAGGTTGGAGTCTTTTGTAGCCTGGATATCTCTTAGCGACCAGGACCGGCGGGGCATTGGTTCATTGAGATTGAAGGAGGTTGTGTGCTTGTGGGCGGCACGTACGCTCATCCTGTAGGATGTTTCTTGGTTTATATAAACGGAAGTCCTAACAGCATCGGGCCGCATGCAGCTGGCGATGTGTGTCATGGTCGTCGTTTGAGGTTCCCGTGGCTCACTGTCTGAAGTGCAAGGTAGGTGAGACTTCGAAAGTGGGCTTGTCAAACATAAGGGCATTCCCTGCATGGCATCTGGCAAAGGCAATGCAGCGCCTTAAGTGTGGCTCCTCCAAACTGCTATTGATACATGCAGCGACAAGGAATCCCCTGCTACGGTCATGTACTTTAACAGCGATGCGTCTAGGCTGTCGGGGTCGCATCCTGATTTAGTCATGGTGGGCTTTGGTGTGAAACGTGAGCCGAACCTCCCATGTCTGGCGACTTCTGGGGAACGTCCAAGGCTATAACGTCACGAATAAGGACCAGGTGGATCTGCACATTGCGCATCACTGCACCTTCCTAGCCAGCCCGCTTCTGGCATGCTCCCATCTTTATGCCACGTTCTTGGTGAATAGCATAGTGTTGATCTGCAGGACGATGGGGAAGCGCCCTCGAGAGTTCGCTCTAGCGCATCATGTCGAGCACATGACGCAGCAGAGTTCCATCACAATTCCTGACAGCACCGGCGCTGTCGATGGCGGAATACTCCTCAGAACCGGGGCCGTTTAGCTAAACCGGCAGGAAAGCCGATTAATTGTATGCCACGCGTGGACGGTTAGGCGGAAGGAGCACAGCTCATCGTGAGGTTGGTTTCACCTAGCAGAGTGGGCGAGGCAGTCTGTTGGTATCTCCTGAAGTCGCCAAGACGATAGCTGCGCGAGCGTTGCTGATACTGTTCATTTGTGCACGATGTTCGCAGAGTCATTTCGCGGGAAGATTGGAAGGCCGAAGCGAACGGTCGCTCCTTCCGGCTGCCTTCCTGCAGCTGCCACGCGAGGAAGCACCAAAAGCAGGGTTTGACGTACGGCACAGCTGCACCTCAGAACTTTCCAGCGCAACCTTCGGAGTGACCTGCGTGTTCCGTCCAAGGCACCCGCCCTCTTGAACCGCTCCCCGCTGCACAACGCCATCCTGCGCAAGCCAGTGTCATCGAGCGGGGTCGTCAAAACAGAGATGGCCAGGGTCCGAGGTGGTTCCCGAGCCACTCCCTTGCGCGTGTTACAAATGAGCAACGACCCATGTTGATCGTTGTACCGGGCTGTAGATCAGGCACAGAGAGCCTGCATCGCCTTTATTACATCGCCTCTCGCAGCTATGGCACGGGCTGCTCACCACTGATCTACCATGGTACACCTAAGCAGTGGCCTCTCCCAGCGCAGAGGCACAACCTCGTTTCGCCTCAGCCCGTAGCGGCTGGGTCGTGGCTGGCATACATGAGGTCGCTCCAGACGGCGTGGATCCATCAATGATGAACGAAAGGCTCGCGGGATCATAAATATATCTTGTCGTGCTGCCTGACGTCGGAGCCTCTGTTGCACATCCAGCTTCCCCGCCTTTGGCCGAAACCCACGAATTATACCAATAGAGGAGCTTGACAGGCAACACCCAGTTTCGTTCAACGAAACCGCGAGGGATAAGCTTGCCAAGCTTTTCCAAATACATTTCGCTGGTATGTTTGACTCGCGTCGTTTTCTTGCTCCTATCTGTTTGTCTTTCATTCTGATCTGCGTCTGCAGTCGCGACGCGGTGATGGACAGGGGGCCACCAGCAGGACCCTCTTTTCCTATTACAATCATTCGATTCGGCCCGCATACAGTTACCTCCTTTCCAGTTCTTTCCCGAGAACTGCTGTGTGCGTGCTTCGTCTTGCAGCGTACGCACACATGTGGCAACGTGCTTCGTCTTGCAGCGCACGCACACATGCGGCAACGTGCTCCGAAAACAGGTAATTTGGCTCGATTCGATAGTCGTTTTTTGCCTGTGTGGGAGGCCTATATGCGAACTATCGCAACCACATACTAAGTCTTGCGCGGACTGTCTTGATCCTTCAATAGTTGTTGGCGAGCCGGAATGGCAAGCGTGTCCGCGTTCGACTGTGTTGACAAGCTTGGATATTGCGCTCTTCACATAACACGTCCGTCTTATCAGCTTTGATTTCACGTCAATCAAAGCGTGACGTATTCGAGTCGTGACGATGCTCGGCTGTATCGCAGTCCTGCCGTCATTGCTTTCATCTTCTGTAACGTCGACCGGGGCAGTCTCTTGGCCACGCCTACCCGCATTTACCAGACACAACGTGTAGGAGACACTGATCCTGGCTTGCCGAATAAACGAGCCCTTTCAGATGATCGGATCCCTGCAGGCGATAAGGTGCTGACAGGGTCGCAGCGCGCTTAAATTACGCAAACCTACATCCGCCGCTCTGTCTGTGTGTCGATACGAACTCAATCAGCGCGTCCGTTGTGTCTACCCTACACGCTTGCCTTGAGCCTTTTCATAGGGGTTGTATCTCGTCAACCACGCCGTACGATTGCTACGTTACAATGTATCGATACTGAAGTTTGCAGATCTTTTGGTCTCGGCATACTTAACCAGCCGGCTTCCGGAGCCTCATCCTGCAGCGTTGATTACAGTAGCTGCGCGAGGTCGGCAATGGGCGGAAGTACCGAAACTGGTAGCCACTGAAGCTCATTAGCGGACCGCTCGCTGCAGCATGTGGCCGAGTGTGAGTAGGGAATTACATGAAGGTATAGGAAACCAGAAGGGGGGGTAGCAATGGGGTAGCAAAGAGCACGCAACCTTGCACAGCAATTGCAACAGTCCATCTGTCATACGCCGTTGTTGCCTATTCAAATTCTTCACATCTCTTGCAGCATTTTGGAGGTTCGCCGAGCATCTTCCCGGTCTGTCCTTGCCAGTGCAAGGCTGCTGCGGGAGCCGGCCATCTATCACCAAAACATGTTCTCGCTCGCCAAAACGCGTGCCACCATCAATGCCAGCCATACCTCCAAATCTTTGATCTATGACTGCTGAGTGATCGAGACTCTCGAGGGCGAAATACGCGCGTCTAGGTCCAACACCCACAACCCTGGAAGGCAGAGTCTTGTCTTCTCTGACTCTACCGACGACACACCTGCCGGAGCCGCAGTATTGATAGGCCGATTATGGTCGGAACTGGATCTTGAAGGGACTGCAGTATCAACCGCAGTCCACACCGCTCATATGATTCACCGGACAGACCACCATCACTGCCGGCAGAAACTGGCCATACGGAAACAGTATGTCAACAGAGTCCAGGCACTGAGATGATCGGAGCTTCTCCGGACTCAGGATCGAGCGTGCCGTTGTACCAAAGACCGTCACTGATACCGAGTGGTAGAACATGCATGATGGAGGCTGGCACTATCGAGGTTGCCACGCAAAGAATTCAATCGTCGATCGACATGCAGACGCCGCTGTGACTATGTTCATGCCTTCGATGCAAGAGCCGGCTTGAGGAGCATCTGCAGCCGGCACTTCTCGGTCAACAATCGCAGCGGACGAGATGCGTGTGGATCCCGGCCAAATACAGCCGAAGGCACGCGCCGACGTGCAGCAAGACAGCGCTCGTACGGCTGTCTGGGAAATGCAAAGCGAGTGACACGGACAGGTGTACGTACTAGAGTCTGCGATACACGGTGTCGTCCTCCCTACATGCTGCACATTGCAGCATCTGCGACAGCCTACGCCAGAGGTATGCGGCGAGTGACCATCACAGACACGTCACTCATACGCTGCGGTCCACTCCCCCACAGCTCTGCAGCAGCAAAGATAATAATCCTAGCGAGTATCACGTATCCGGAACCGATGATAAGGGCAAGAGCAAGAGCACCACCCCATCTCGAACGATGAGCATCAGTCACTAACAAAGCAACGGCCCAGCCGTCTCAACCGCGTCGGGAGGGGTATCATACGATGCAGTGCTCTGTTCTGTATCCGTAATTCAAAGTCAGACCGAGCGGTAGATGCGGCGCTCGAGGCCTGCCGCGTTTCGGCACCGCATCGCATCGCAGACTTACCGATGGGCATGTTCGACGGCGAAGCTGAATCGAGGGACTTTTGGTCTCCAGGAAGTGGTCTCCAGGAAGAGGAAGGGAAGATTGTAGCGTCTCGGTGAGTGAGCGGCGTCTTGATGCGGGGCGGAGCTGCCGGGCTGGAGTCAACTGCGCTCTGGGTCGGGTTTTACTTGAGGTTGACCGGGGAGGGGAGAGCGGTGTGTGTGTTGTGTTGTGCTGTGCACGCTGATCTCGCCATATGCGGATCTGCTGATGACGCTGGTGATGCTCAGCTAGCCTTGTTAGAAGGTACATCATGGTGTTGGATGAAAGTATCTCTGTACACGACGTCTCAGCAATCAACGCTCTCCAAGAACAAAAACCCGTTCCCCGTCGTACATTGGTCTACATATAATACACACCTCGCCGTTACCATTTACATGACCCGCCAACGCACTACCGCAGCTCCACGCCCAGTCGCGCGACCAGCAGCGTCCGCAGCTTCTCGTGTAGCGTGTTCGTCTCCTCGTTTGTCAGCGTGCGCTCCAGACTGCGGTAGTTGACGCGGTAGCACAAGCTCCTGCGGGCGGTCTTGGGATGCTCAAACTCATCCACGAGCCGCACGTCTTCGACGAGGTCGCCGCACACCTCGCGCGCAATCTCCATGACGTCATTTTCGTGGAAGGACCGTGGCCCCTTGTCCGCAGCGAGCCAGAATGAGACGTCTTTGAAGCACGCGGGGAACTTGCTGAACGGGACGAAGGTGCGCAGCGGTCCCGCCTCACTGAACTGCGACAGGAAACGACTGTCCTTGCTCCAAAACAGGCGGATGTCGGGGATGCCGTACAGCAGCATGGCGATGCGCTCGAGACCTAGGCCAAACGCCCAGCCGACGCGGTCAGGCACGGATGCATTGTCGAGGATCGGCTGCGACACGATGCCCGAGCCGAGGACTTCGAGCCACTCGCCCTGCCACCAGACCTCGAGCTCCCAGGAAGGGGACGTGAAGGGGAAGTAGGCCTCCACCCAGCGAACCTTGAGCGGCTCCGAAACTTCGGCGCCATCGGTAGCGGATTGGGCAGCGTTGAAAATGGTAATCACCATGTCTTCCAGACTGCGCTTCAGATGCGCTGCGATAGCCTCGACCTCGTCCGCGCTGTGCGTGGCCTGGAGGGGGTTGCGGTCCGGGTGGATGGTGGGATTGGGGTCCTCGACGACAACGTCGTGCTTGGGGATCTTGTCGACGTCGGCCCAGATGGTTTCCGCCAGCGACTTTCCGGACGCTGAGGCGGCGGCACGGTCCCACGTGCGAGCGCCCTCCATCTGGTGGAACACGGGGTAGTGGGAGCGGTCGACGGCATCGCGGCGGTAGACGTCTGCGCTAATCAGGTAGCCCTCGGACTCGTTTGCGCGGAAGGTGTCGGCTTGGTGCGCGGAGGTGTGGGTGCGCAGCACCGTGTGCTTGTTCAGGTAGTACGTGTCTGTTCTGTTGCGTCCCACGTGGTCCGCAGGGAAACCTAGAGAGTCGAAGTTCTGGGCTGTGGTGACAACGGGGAAGAGCTCGTTGTGTGTTTTGTAGCCGGGAAAGCGGGACTCGATCAGTTTGCGGGTAATGGTGAGTGGGTGGTCGGGCTGGACGTGGAGTCGCCGCGGGATGGCGTCAAGTATCGAGGCAGGCGTGTTCATCCACTCATCGGTTTTGTATGTCCGTCCCTCGACAACGACTTCATTCGGAGATGCTGGCCGCGTTTAGAAGCTGTCTGAAGCATAGTCGTGACAGCAACACACGGTAGAAAAATGGACACAAGAACACGTAACGTGACTGGGAGGTGACGACGAAGGTCGGAGACAGAAAACGACCGAGAGAATGCAGCACCAGGTGGACATGTACGAGTCGGGTGTTTGATGGCCGAACGGAGGATCACGTGACAGCTCACTCACCAGAAGAATTGCATCTGATCGACTGCAGCGCTGGCCGGAGACGTAGCCGCGAGGTGCATGTCCGCAATGCTATGCTCACATTCGCCTGGCGACACAGCGCCCTGGACAGCCCGGCCATGTACATTATTATTGCGCTGCTGAAGACGTCGTTGTTGGTGACGGGCGCGTCCGCAAGCAAAACGCTGGAACGCGAGCGTGACGCCGGGACCGCGGAGGTCGAAGCGGCATGTCTCGGCAGCACAAGAACCACCGAGCGAGATATCTCTCTCTCCACTCTCCGCGACAAACACTCGCGGAGACGTCCTTGTTAAGCTCGCAGGGCCCGCGGACAGCTACATGCAGCGTGTACGCAGTGTTTTGCAACCATGTCGGCTCTCCAGACGCAGAGAAGCCGCTCCGAGGCGAGCAAGAGCGCGGATGTAGCGCGCAAAGCTGTGCATTATCCCTTCTGGTTCGGCGGGAGCGCGAGTTGCTGTGCGACGCTGTTCACGCACCCGCTGGATCTCGGTAAGCTGGGGCTGTCTCGCGCGAGGGCCTGGAGCCAAAGCTAATCCGCCCCGTGCAGTCAAGGTGCGGTTGCAGACGCAGCCCGCCGCCGGCGCGAAGCTGAACATGTCGCAAATGTTTGCGCACATTGCGAAGACGGACGGCATCGGCGGCCTGTACCGCGGCGTACGCCCCTCCGCACCACCCCACGGGCGTGTCCTGCACTGACACACCGCGCAGCTCTCCGCCGCGCAGCTGCGCCAGATGACGTATTCAATGACGCGCTTCGGCGTGTACGAGGCGCTCAAGGAACGCTTCACCACGGCCGACTCGAAGCCCTCGTTCCTGACGCTCGTCGGCATGGCGTCCGTCTCGGGCGCCCTCGGCGGCGTCGCCGGCAACCCAGGCGACATCCTGAACGTGCGGATGCAGCACGACGCCGCGCTGCCGCCGGCCCAGCGCCGCAACTACAGGCATGCGCTGCACGGCGTGGTGCGCATGGCGCGCGACGAGGGCGTCGCCAGCCTGTGGAAGGGCGTGTGGCCCAACTCGGCGCGTGCCGTGCTGATGACGGTCGGCCAGCTGGCCACGTACGACGGCTTCAAGGGCGCGCTGCTCAACCACACGCCGCTGACTGACGGCCTGGCGACGCACTTCACTGCCTCGTTCCTCGCCGGCTTCGTCGCGACCACCATCTGCAGCCCCGTCGATGTCATCAAGACGCGCGTCATGAGCTCGCACGCCAAGGAGGGCATCGTCAAGCTCGTCACCGACATCACCCGCCAGGAGGGTCTGTCGTGGATGTTCAAGGGCTGGGTGCCGAGCTTCATCAGGGTGGGGCCGCACACGGTGCTGACCTTTTTGTTCCTGGAGCAGCACAAGAAGTACTACCGGCAGTTCAAGGGCGTAGACTAGGAGCAGTAACGCCACCGACACGAAGATGCCGCTGTTGTGTGCCCAAAAGGAGACTGCTTTGCTTTCGAGTCTACCAAAAGGAGCCTGTTTTGCTTTCGAGTATATTGTTGGATACCAGTGCGCTCGCGCGCATGTCGCATATGCTGGCGTTTGGGTGAGTGTGGGGTACATAGCTGCTAGAGCGTAGACAAAGTCATACATTATCTAAGCCAAGTATGATGCCTTGGAGTGTGGCTGAATTTACTCGAATTTACTTCGATACAACTGCAGGCACAACATGTGCCGTCTGAGGATATGTGTGCCATCTGAGGATATATGAACAGCTGAAAACAGGGCTGTAAGGCCCGACCCACCAACGCCGTTTGCATGCCATGCTGCGTCCACCCAATGCTACTTGTAACGCCGAAACAATGAAAAGACAATCAACCCCCGCTCAGTGCATCAACTCGACCGGCGGCCTCGCAGTGCTCACGTTCCTTCCCAGCGCCTTCTCCGACGCAATCGCGCCCTCGACGCCCTCCATCGTGTCCGGGCTCGGCATCTCGGGCATCTCAGGCATCCCAGGCAGCTCGGACATCTCGGTCGTGTCCTCGACGCTTATCGCCGGCAGCTGTGGCGAGTCGCCGTGATCCTCTGGATGATACACCACCACGGTGCTACCGGTCCGCCGTCTCGACATGGAAGGCGACGCGCCGTCTGAAACCGGTGAGTACGCATCATAATTCGGCCGGGCGTGCAGCTTCGCCAGCGCCTCGGCCAAATCCTCCGGATGCACGAGCGTATTCGGCGCGTCCTCGTTGCGCATCTCCCATCCCATGGGCGGGCTCGGCGGCGGGCTGATGAAGAACAGCTTGTCGCTCTTGGGGAGGGGCAGGTGCTGGTCTGACGGGTTCATGGGCGTGTTGATGCCGAAGTAGACGCGCATGCGGTAACCCATGATTGCTTCACCGTCAAGCGTCTGCCGGATGGTGATGGCGTCGCTCTCGCTGAAGAAGGAGACGACGATCCGCTTGAACGACTTCAGCGGCGCCCAGGTGTGGACCTTGGCGTGTGTGTCGATGGTCTGCCGGATCTCTGTGAGCGTGGCGGGCTGGAAGATCTCGGGTGCGAGGAGATTCTGAGACATGTTAGTTGAGCGCTCTCCCCGGTGGGTGAGACCACTCACTGTGATAATCAATGTATTCGAGGGCGGCGACGGCTCGACAAGAGGCGGCAGATCTGAGAGGTCGAGGAAAAGTGGCGATTTGCTCCCTGACGATGCGCGCGAGCGCGACGGTGATGGTATGCTGACCTGCATGTTTGCAGCTGCGATCATGTGTAGAGAGGTTAGTACAAGATTCGGTGTGTGAGTCGGTGTGTGAGTCGGTGTGGTGAGTGGGCGATCGAATGGACTCTACTGGAGTCTTATATCGAGCGTGCACACGTTCCAGCTTCGGCATCTGTCATGCAGTCCAGTTGCTTCTGCGCTCTGGGGCAGTGCAGTAATGCCAAGGCCTTGCCAGAGCATCCGAATTCTGGACCACCCCCGGACGACCCCCGACTTCTTGCACCCGGTCCGTCCTGTCTGGGCTGTCTTGCACAGCCCGCCGCGCTTTTGCTTGCAACCCGACACGTTGTGTTGTGTTGCTGTTCATCGGCCGACCGCGCGGCGAGGTTTGGCAATGCACAAGGCCGAGTAGTGACGCAGCTGCATCAGCCATTTCCTCGCCGAGCAACGGTTGCGGACGCTCAACTCAGCCTCGCAGGTTGGTCGACAGCTGCCCAGAGCACCTTCAATCACGACCAAGCAATGCCCCAAACCACTAGTCTGCCGCCAGCTTACCCCAGATGGGATTGCTTGTTCCGTTCAGATATCCCTCAGACATAGGAACTATCATACGAGGCTATCTTCAAAAGATGCAACTCGTGACCGCGAGGGCTCATTGATGGTCACGCTGTGTCTTTGAGAGTCTCGAGTACCTCGGATGCGCGCGGGATCGACCTGTCAAGAAACTACTGAAAAGATGATTTGAATTGCGTCTGGTGAAGATTGTTCAGCACAAAAGACTTCCGATCGAAGCATGACGAAGGGTAGATAGTGAAAGAAGGTGTGGCGCAAGACAAGTGTGGCGCGTGCAGTCGCTCGGACAAAGCGCGACTCTCACCTGGAACTTCGAACCTCGAGGCCGTCAACAGCATCCCAGCACCGCCGCAACCCCCCTCCCCACCCTACACACCACTCTCCACCTCTCGCCGCAGTCGCGTTGATCCTGTGCCACCTCCCGAAATCCAATCCCACCGAGTCGACGCGTCCACACCAGCCCGCGATGGACTACGACACCGAAGGCGGCGCAATCAACGTGCGCTTCTTGCAGGTACACCGCCCGTTTTGTCAACACCGCGGGAGTCAAGGGACTGACATGACTGTTTGCAGGCCGACAACCAGCGTGCCCAGTTCATCGTGCAGAACTTCAACCTCGAGACGGCCAACTCAGTGCGGCGAGTGATGCTGGCTGAGATCCCCACGCTCGCCGTCGATGTCGTAGAGGTCATCGACAACACCTCCGTGCTCGCTGACGAGTTCGTGTGCCACCGCCTCGGCCTCATTCCCCTCTCGTCAAGAGGCGTCGAGGACCTGCTGTACTCGCGCGACTGCGACTGCGAAGGCTACTGCGACAACTGCTCTGTCGTCCTCACCCTGAACGCAAAATGCACAGGCAGCGAGATCATGAAGGTGTACGCGCGAGACTTGGTGATTGAGAGCAACAGGCCGAACGACGAGGTTGGGCGACCCGTGATTGTGGATGCAGATGGCACAGGGAGCTGCATCGTGAAGCTGCGGAGAGGGCAGGCAATCCACATGCGCTGCATCGCAAAGAAGGGCATCGCAAAGGAGCACGCAAAGTGGGCGCCATCTTCGGCGATAGGCTTCGAGTACGACCCTGCGAACAAGCTGCACCACCTGGACTACTGGCACGAGGAGGATGCCGAAGCGGAGTGGTAGGTCGATATGTCTACATGGGCTGCTCTTTTTGACACTGACCGTACACAGGCCCAAGGACCAAGACCGCATCAACCTCGACGGCGGCCCAGCCAACCCCGATGAGCCCTTCGACTACAACGCAGTACCAACCCGCTTCTTCTTCGACGTAGAAACAGTCGGCGGCCTAGATCCAGACCAGATTGTCACACAGGGCATTTCAGTTCTGCAGACGAAGCTGGCGGAAGTCATCAAGGAGCTCCAGGGAGGCTCGGGGCCAGACGGCGTAGGCTTCGAGGGCGCGCAAAGCCCCACGATGAACGGAGGCTATGGCGGTGGACCGGAGGCTGGATACACAACACCCGGATACGGCGGCGCGAGTCAATGGGGCGGCGCAGGCGGTGCGCAGGGCGGCACGACACCGTACGGTGCGACGCCTTATGGAGGATCAGGGTGGTAGAGGGCTGTATAACATTGCATGGGTGGCGTTCAAAAGGCGCGCATTTGACAGGGGCATGTTCACGGAGAGGACGGCGATAAAAATCTTTCAATGAGGAGGGAAGCCTGAGCAGCGCATCTATACCAAAGAAGGACGCATTTACTGAGCACTTGAACCATTGATATGTCAGGAGTAGTGACCGCAGTATGCATTTTGTGTGTTGATGATGAGCTTCATCCTTCACGATCTGAAGACAGTCACCGCAATCGGGAGAATGCAGCATCAATTCGACCAGCTCATCCTCAATGCCGTATTCTTGCACACGAGCATGTGGATTCGACGTTCATTGCGCTAGTGCGATTGTTCGACCCACCCGCCGACCCTGAAGTCGTCCAATTGGCTCGCTTATGACTAAGCAATGTGGGAGTTTTGGAAAATCAAGTCCAACACCCGGTCGGATTTCTCTACGACCAGCTCGATACTAACGTTGCAGCACATCGCCGTCCGCGACCCGACGTCAAGATGAAGCTCAACATCTCCTACCCCAACAATGGCACCCAGAAGCTGATCGAGATTGAAGACGAGCGCAAGCTCCGCGTCTTCATGGACCGCCGCATGGGACAAGAAGTCCCCGGCGACTCGGTCGGCGACGAGTTCAAGGGCTACATCTTCCGCATCACCGGCGGAAACGACAAGCAGGGCTTCCCGATGAAGCAGGGTGTCATGCACCCCACCCGTGTTAGGCTGCTGCTCGCCGACGGCCACTCGTGCTACCGCCCCCGCCGCACTGGTGAGCGCAAGCGCAAGTCCGTCCGCGGCTGCATCGTCGCCATGGACCTGTCCGTCCTCGCCCTGTCCGTCGTCAAGAAGGGCGACGCCGATGTCCCCGGCCTCACCGACCTCGTGCACCCCAAGCGCCTCGGCCCCAAGCGCGCCACCAAGATCCGCCGCTTCTTCGGTCTCAGCAAGGAAGATGATGTGAGTTTTCTCATAGCTTCTTCGCCAGCCGGTGTCCCCCTGCGACTGCGAGTATTGCGAGTCCTGCGCGCGCCAGCGAGCCATGGAGCATCAGCTCGATGGCTGCAGCCAGCAGTGTCCTCTTGAGCAAGCTCGCAGTTGCAGCGACCGGCTGAGTCTGAGCTACAAATGTACGTTTAGGCATGCATACTAATCTGCGTGTTCCAGGTCCGCAAGTTCGTCATCCGTCGCGAGGTCCAGCCCAAGAAGGAGGGCGCAAAGCCCTACACCAAGGCTCCCAAGATCCAGCGCCTCGTCACTCCCCAGCGCCTGCAGCACAAGCGCCACAGGGTCGCACTCAAGCGCCGCCGCGCGGAGGCTTCCAAGGACGCTGCCGTACGTCTCCCCTTGCACACACCACATCCTACAGCATACTGACAACACACAGAACGAGTACGCTCAGATCCTCTCCAAGCGCATCTCCGAGGCCAAAGCTGAGACCGCCGAGGCCCGCAAGCGCCGTGCCTCTTCCATGCGCCACTAGACGTCTACTTCTGGCGGTGTCATGATCTATGATGAAAAGTCGTGAATGTTCCTTCTGGCGTCGACATGAAAACAGGGTGTGCGCTTCGTGCTTCTGCGAGCATCAAAGAGCTCCGGGATATTAGGGCATGGGCGTCGGATACCACTGACTGCACAAGGCAGTTGTCTTCAATGATACAATTGCAATACTTCACGATCTGAACCACTTCTTGAACATGTGTTGCGACTTGGAAAATAGCAATGACTCTTGGTCTCATGTACAAACCAACAACACCTAGTCAGACATCTCGTTCATCGAATGATAGTTTCCTGCCTGTCCACCCCGTGCAGCCCCTCGAGGATATCGCTGCCTCCAAGCAGCCCCGTCGTCCCACCCAACAGCCCACTGCCAGCTGTACCTCGTCCACCCGTCCAGATCTCGTGGAACCTGATGGCCATGTCACTCGCCGCAACAACCAAACATCCCGCCTCATTGCTCGCCCCCTCATCACCGTCGGGCGTACCACTCGGGCCCCCGGGATATGCCACCGCACACAAAGCACGATTCTCATCCCACCATGGCACAGCAACGACTTGCTCGCAACTCGGCCAGGCGAACACCGCAATGCGGTACGGATGGTCAGGCTGCGCGAAGCCAAACGTAGCTGCGATCTCGCGTCTGGTCTTGCTCCACACAAGACTGGTGACTTGCGCCGCGCAGTCGATGGTCGCAAGACAGGTGCCTGAGCGTGTGTGGTAGAAGTGTATGCAGCGGTCATTCGAGCCTCCACCCGTCGCTACAAGACCGCGATGCCAAGGGCAGAATGCGATGGCTTTGACGGCAGCGTTCAGAGTCCATCTGTGTTTCGCTGCTGTGTGAGGCAGGTGTAGGACCGGCACTGAACGATTGGTGACAGTGTAGACAGACTCACCTGCGGGGCCTTCACGGACCTCGACGGTTGCTGAATTTGTTGTCCCGACATCCGATTGAAGCACGCGTTTGGTCTCGAAGAGGTAGCAGTTGTTGTCGTTTCCTCCACTGGCGAACATGTCGCCTGCCGCCGACCACGCCAGCCCACAGATCTGCTGAGTGTGTATGTTCATGCGGGCGAGCAGAGTCATTGCTCCATGCCAGCCGAATAGCGCACTTTGAGTCTCCGAGGGCCATTCGACACTGTAGAAGTAGATGTGTCCAACTTCATCCCCAATGAGTAGTTCCTCTGTGGATACAGTGATCGCCCTGTCGCGAAGTGATGGACGCTGCACGGTGGTGGGTCGAAAGGCTATACAGGATATTGGCTTCGGCTGTGTAGCATCGAAACGTGGCTCGGAGTCGAATGGGCTCCAGAGGACGATGCGACCATCTGCTCTCCCCACAGCCAGGATCGCCTGCCCGCCTTGCTTAGAGGAGAAGTCAAGAGATGTGATGTGCTGGGCATCAGACGCCACGTTAGTGGGAATAGAGTTCAGTGCTTCAGGAGTCTTGACACCATCTCGTTCTGACCAGAGATGTACAAAGTTTCCGAGGCCCACGGCAAGACACTTAGCGGTATGAGAGTGCGCGAGCAAGGTGCAGTAGTAGTCGTCTCGCAGCTGAGGTGCGTCGAGTACTGTGAATAAATGTCAGTATAGAGGCTCCTTCCTAGGTATGACCGTGACATATCTGAAGGGTAGGATTGGCACGGGTCTTCGGGTCTTCTGTTGTAATCGTCGTGGAGCTTGGAGTATTTGTTAGTAACAAGCCCCACGAAAGTTTGGTGGACTACGAAACAAACATGGATTGACACCGTCTCGAGCCCATGCGCCATCTCTCCAGATGTGTGGTTTGTGTGGTGGTGTGTTTTGCTGTCTCGAGCCTGGGCGAATAGATGGTAACGGCGAATGGCACAGCACGCGCTCTGTCTGATCGACTCCAAGGGCTAGTGCAAGGCGTCTCTCGTATGCTTCAAGTTCGGCTTCGGGATCAGCTCGATTGAGGAAAGTTGATGTGTAGAGAGGGGCAATCGTGCCACTTCCAAGCATGCCACCATTACCCGTAGATACCGCAGCCACAGTGTCGCTGACAGCAGAGGACCCGCCGACGTTCCAGACAGCACCGGCACTGATCTGTCGTGCGGCCGTTACCAAAGAGCTACTTCGAAGCCTCAAGTTTGAACTTCGCACACTTCCTGTAGACCTGCCTGAGATGACGGTATGGGCTTCTCTCAATCCTTGGAGCTCAGTGTTTAAGCGCTCGCTCCTTCGGACTCGACGACTGAAAGGATCGCCCCCTGCGCGATGACCTTGTCGAGAGATCTGCTCACGTTCGTTGGGTTTGTTTAGCTCGAAGCTCTCGCGTGTTACTGCTGGTGGACGACGGGAGTGAATGAAGCGATCTGGAGTACTTGTTTGCGACTTGCGTGGAGACGCCAGCAGACCGCCGCGCGATACCCATTGACTTGGTCGTAGAGGAGAGCTCGAAGATCGAGTGGGCTGCTGAAGCAACTTCGTTGGTGAACCGAACGCAATGGAAGTTTGCGTGTCGTCACGCTCGATATCAGCACCGACCTGACCTGGGGGGATGGGTGGAGTTGCATATTTGGCGACAAGCGCATCTATTGAGCCTTCAGAAGAGCTACGCTGACTCCGCCTCTGTTTCTTGTGAATGCTGCTACCCGAAAGCACTCTCGTGGAGGGCGAAGGTACACGAAGAGGAGTTGCGGGTTCCAAGTGATGGATGGCGGCGGATAAAGAGCGATTGAGTGAGCCAGCGAGATTCGATGACCGCTGTGCAGAAACACGATCGAAAAGTGGTACATTTCTTTTGATGGGCGAGTCATCCGTCAAGATTGGTGAATTAGGATTGCATGTGGTGGGCGACAGGACCTCCGGTATCAAAAGCTGGCCCAGTTGAGCTGCGAACTTCGGCTTTGTAGGGGATGGCGTGAGGAAAGAGTCCTCAAGCTCATGGTCGATGTTTCGAAAGAGCAGACAGCTTCGACTTTTGCGTGGTGATCCGGGTGTCCTGGGCGACGACCAGCCTTCTGTGCTGATTGTTTTCGTTGGTGATAAGGGCGGTGTTGTGTAGCCAGATTCAGATGGAGTCGAGTCATCGTCCGTAACATACATCGCGAGAAGCGCTGAGGGTTAGTGATAGCGACAATGGAATCCAGGCTCAGTGCATGTCGAACAGCGATGGCTAGATGTATGTTGACTACGGAGGAGGGTGGTGTCACTGGTCAGGACGTCCGCGTGGATAACCCGTCGTTTTGTCGTTAATGCTGCTCGGTTAGTCGTATAGCAATGATTGAGAGTCTTATAGGACAATGCGGATTCTAGGTCGTGGTTGTGTTGGAAGAAAGCGGCCTTCCTTCAAGGTGACGCAAGGGAAGGCATGGTGGGGCACCTGATTTGGCGCGATCGCACTCGGAGGGAGCTGCGTCCACAACACCTGCATGCGGTCAAGATGGCAAGTGTAAGTTGACATTCGCAAGAACCACGGCTTGACTAAGCTCACTATCTGCAGCATGGAATCTCGCGAGGCTCAGAGCCGGTGGTTCGCACAGAAGAGGCGCGACAGAAGGAGCTGCAGCAAATTGAAGCCTACAAGGACTTGTCCGATCTCGTCAATACCAAGGTTGGTCGATTGCAGTACTTTCCAAAATGTATTTCTGATCAGACCTTACTTTATAGGTCGCAGAGCGGCAGTACACAATAGAGGTCCTCGGTCTGATCACGAAGCTTCTGAACGAAAACCCTGAATACTACACAATCTGGAACCACCGAAGACGGGTCTTGATTGCGTTGGTCACTGAAGAAACACAATCACCCGACGAATTGTTACAGGGCGAATTGCAGCTGACGTTCGTGTTGCTGCGTAAATTTCCCAAATGCTATTGGATCTGGAATCACAGGGATTGGGTGCTGCAGAAGGCAGAGTCGTTACTAGGACCAGATGCAGCACAGAAGCTCTGGTCTGGGGAATTGCAATTGGTTAACAGGATGCTACATGCTGATAGCCGGAACTTTCACGCCTGGGACTATCGACGTATCGTAGTGTCCAAGATCGAGCGTCTAGTCTCTCTCACGGATCCTGCAGACGCCAGCTCCAGCCTTACACAGCCCGAGTTCGACTATACCACCAGAATGATCAAGACCAATCTCTCCAACTTCTCTGCCTGGCACAACCGCAGCCAGCTTATTCCTCGGGTCCTCCGCGAGCGTGATGCAGATGCAAAGGCACGCCGCGCTTTCCTGGCATCGGAGCTGGAACTCATCTGCGAAGCCATCAACACTGATCCATTCGATCAGTCCATATGGTTTTATCACCAGTATCTCATGTCGACAATATCTCCGTCCTGCTCTGCAGAGAGCCGTATCGTCCAGGATCTGACCAATGGCGAGCGGCAAAAGTACTATGAGAACGAGGTGGAGTACATCAAGGAGATCTTAGAGGACGAGGCGAATTGCAAGTGGATATATGAGGGCCTACTCGGACTTGCAGAGGCGTACTTGGAGGTCGACGCAGGGACAGGGGCGGTCACGACGAAAGATATGAGGACGTGGCTGGCCCAGCTGAAGCGCCTCGACGGAATGCGGCGAGGCCGATGGGAGGACCTGGAAAGAAGGCTGCAGCTGTGAGTGCATGCGACTGCGCACGGTGCATCACGGCTTCTGTATCTGCGCCTTAACCGTGGGTTTCGCTGGTGCTTCCTGAGCGACAGCCGGAGCCGCTACGGAATCAGGTACAAGATCCTGCCGTGGCTTGCTCTTCCATGCCCAGAATCCTAATGTATCAGACCATGAGGCTTTGGCTGGCTTCATCTCGTCTTTACCAGGCGATGATGTGGCAATGGGTGGTGGCGTGACCGTCGCTGCAGTAGGCGCAGCAGCAGCTGGGTTCTCGCTGTTTGCAGCAGCGGCGGCAGCAAGATCTCTGAACACGGAGATCAGCGAAGGTAGAATTAGAACTTGTATGAACAGCCTACCGGTTGTATTCCTCTGTGAGTCTCGCCATCTGTTGCGCCTTCAGCTCTTCGCCAAAGGTAGCCATGCCAATTGCGATGCCGGAGATGGTCGCCAATGCAACCGGAAGAATACGTCCAGCCATCTTTGCTTTTCGCTTGTGCTCGTCCAAATGTCTGGTGTTGTTAGTGAAATGGAATCAATGACGAAACCGGTCGCCAGCAAAAAGTTCGGCGTTCTGACCGTCGCGCTAGTAGACGCGTCGAGCTCACCCATGCCGCCTGCCACTCAAACCCCACGATACTCGAACACAAACGACATGCAGAGGGGACCAAATGTCCGAATGGCGCCAGAGAGGATTTGTCCAGGATTCGGATGAGGAAGAGGAAGAGTCCCAGATTGAAAGCCAGCACTCTGAGCAACATGCACACTTACAAGAACGCGTCGAGCGCGTTCTGGAGGATCAGAAGGGGAAGGGAGGGGTCGCAGATGCAATGACAGAGGAGCAGAAAGATTCGAGAAGCATCTATGGTTCTCTGGAAGCGGGTTCGAGGGCATCAGAGAGTACTGCAGGTGACCGAACACCCACGAAGCGCAGCTCGCCTATAAGGCCAACGCCTTCGCCCTTTACGCCTTTCACAAGACAGATGTTTCGTCATGAGCGCTCCGAGAGCCCGGATCCTCTACAGAGCTCGCCCAAGTCGAACCGGCAGCTACAAAGACCCGCCCCTTCTTCGCCACGAATTCGGTCGTCTGTTCATCAACGAAACTCTCAAGAGGAAATCGAGCTTCGAGCATTTGCGCTCCCTTCACAAATACTCGGCGAGACCGTAGAGGCAGTTCAGGCGAATTCAAGGAACAGCGATGTGGGACAGGGCAAAGATTCAGGCATCCTTAGCCAATTCGGGATATCAGCTTTCTCAGATGACTCTGGGGACGACCTGAACCCAGCCCGGGATTCAGATGCGGAGTCAAAGCTTTCAGACTATCCTTCAGACCTGTCCGACACAGATGTTCAACCAGCAGCACAGTTTGCTACGCCTCATCGGCGAACTGCTGTCCGAGTGGTGATTCCCTCTTCCACGGCTTTGCAGCATCAGCTTGCGCAGGAGGAAGCAAGACGGCGCCACTTCCGCCAGCGAAAGCCAATTCAGCTACACCCGTATGTCCTGGAAGGCGAACGATACCGCAGAGAAGTCCAGAGCAGAGGCCTTAAGCCGGTCCCTCGAGAACGATCTCCGCAACAGAGGCAGCGGCAGAACAACCAAGAAACCCAGGAGGAAGACTTCAATCCCTTCGGACACTGTTCCAGCAGTCCCCCAGATCCTGAGATCTTTGTCTCTACGCCCGTTGCACAGCATTCCAGCAAGAGTGGTCAGCAATCTTCGACGAAGCGGCCCATGACTGGTTCTGCACGACGCAATTCACCCACTCTGCAGCTCCGTGTGCCTAAGCCAGCAAAGAGAAGGAGACTCGATGGATCACTGGCACAGGCTGTGACTACCCCAGCAAGGACTTTTGAGAGCAGTCCTGTCCCTATCGACATCTGGTCTGTACCGCCTAATTCACCGCCCTACTCCAGCAGCCCTCCGCTCAATGCAAGAGTGGACAAGCTGCTCTCGAAGCAAAATATTGACAGTCTTCCTACGCCTTCCAACTCATCGACTTTCCACGACGAGACTCCGCAATTGGTCGAGTCGGATTCCGACCCTGTCCCTCGCAGCGCTCAAAGGGCGGGCAGTGGGTTACGTTGGCCAAGGAGGACTATTCTTGGCGATGAACTGTCGTCAGACTCAGATGGAGCTAGTGGCGAGTCAGAGCAAGGGGAAGGGGAGCTGCAGAAGGTCAGCAAAAAGATCAGAGGCGTACTGCCGGCATCTTGGCTTCGAATCGATCAGCAGGCACAGGAGCGACGACAGGTCCTTGCTCGCCAACAGGCTCGATTGAACGCTACTCAATCCCCTGAGCCTGCAGAACCTCAACGAGGAGTGGCGCAAAGGGTCACTAAGGCCCCAGGCCGTCCTGCAGGGTTTGCTAGGCCAGCCATTGACCCAGCAGGCGTGATGGTCATCTCAGATGATTCCGACACAGAGGATGTAGAAAGCATTGTTTATCGACAAGCTAGCGACATACAGGACTCGATCGAGGAGGCAACTGCTCTCGCTGCAAAATTTGATGATCGGTACGCTGACTCTGGCGATGATCTGGCAAGCATGGAACATGATCGACTTCAATTGCCTACTCTTGGGGGCTCGGGAGCAAAGCGAAAGCGACAGCCCAAGATCACGGACGCGTGGGGCAACACCAAACGAACGAAGACTCTGATGGCTCAGCCTAAGAGCTCTCGCCATTCAGGGCCTAGGTCTGGCCCGTCTACGCATAAGAAGCATACAGGGCGAAGAAAGGCACGACGGACCCCGCCACCAGCCCTCAGTGTGCTGGATATCGAGCTACCCTCAGTCGTACCCCAATTCCTCCGGCTTGCGAGGCGAGCGGCACGCCGAGACATCAACCAAGCACGTCAAAGTCTGCATCGCAAGCAAATACGGTTGCACACTGCACAAGACACCGAGGATGCGAATGCCGCCCTCCAGCAGTGGAGACAAGGTGTTTTGAAACCCAAGGTCAAGCCTGCCTCTGGCCGGAAATATGAGGAACGTCGACCGCTAGTCGATACAACGGACAACCAACAATGTACCCCACGAATCCCACGAATGAGCAATATCGAGAAGAATCCCGTTATTGATATCACAAGTGATTCAACACCAAGGGATCACCCACAGCCACGTAAGCGTAGAGCTGTGGCTCCTGCCCTCCGGGTGCTTCAAAGGTCCTCAAACCCCATCAGTAAGCAAATGCTACCGAGGAAGGTTGCAAAGACGGTCGAACCATCCGGAAATTTCATGCAGCGTGGACCGTTGCCTCATAGGGCTGCGCAGCTAGAGGGTGAAGAACAGAGTTTTGGCAGCAGTCACCGCAAGATTGCGTTTCAGAAGGGCTTACAGCGGGTGGAACAGCAGGCTGCTAATTATAACGCCCCCCAGCAACCTCTCCTGAATCCGCAGCTGGCGCGCTTTCTTGCTGATGACGATGCTGTGCTTCCGCCGTTATCGACAGCTAAGGATATTGGTGAAGTCCAGATCGAGAACGTCGGCGACAGCAGTACTGTCGCTACTGCTCCTGCACCGAGGGAACGCCTGGTGCGCAAACCTCACGCCAAGCGAATCGATGTCGATGCACGAGAGTACAGACAGCCAAGCGAACCAACGTTCGATCCCGTCGTTGCTGTTCCAGCGTCGACCGCGGACGAAAATGTCTCTACAGAGAAACAAGTCGACGCATTGCATGGTCTTGGCCCCTATGGCACGCGTTATCCCACGACTTTCGATATCACCCCGCTGCGAGGCGATACGTACTTCCAGGCGGACACATTTGTCGGCTCTGAAGATCTGCGACGAGCTTTGTCGACTGGTAGGCCTGACGCTCGAGATCTGGATGAAGCCGCCGGGTATTGCACAATCTCACATGATTCAACTACGATCAGATGCGGGCCATGGAACGACGAGACGTACTATCAAATCTGCGACCTGGCGACAGCAATTCTGCTCCCTTTGAATGACAGCATCAACTCTGAGGTCAAAGATGGAATTTTCTTTGCAGTCCTCACATCTCTCTCGACTATATTGCGAGCGCTGTCATCATACTTTGCAAGTCACCTTAGCTTCCTAGATCCTATCGATCGATCGGACTTCATGAGGAAGATGCAACCTCTTCTGCAGACGATTTACGATCAAGTAGCCACGATCCACCTCGTTAGATCTGAAGCTTCACCACAATCAGAGCAAGCACGTGTGCTGAGTTACCTATTGGTTGTTGGTATTCAGGTCCAGCAGATCGCAGGAGATCTTATGAGCAACAACCCGGACAAGGCCAAGCTGTCAGACATGATCAAGGGCATCTCCCAGCGCATCATGAAGAACATTGCTAAGAGCACAAAATATCTTCACGGTTTTCACGAGAAGAACAAGTCGTACAAAGAGCGCGAAAGTGGCATCCAGGAGCACGATATTTGTGTCGAAAATTTCGTCGTCTCTATGCATGCGCTAGAGCTGCTCAATGCGCCATCTTTGAGCGTCTGGGATGTGATGAGTCAAGAGCTATCCTCGCACCTGACTGCGGCCACACAGGTCCAGATCTTCGAGAACGTATGGGCTACAATTTTTGCGCTCCTGCCCTTAGCAGAGTTTGATTTGTCCGGCATCCCTGATCGAAGTCGAACCCATTACTTCAACAGAGATAACTGGGGCTGTCTGTGCGATCTCCTCAGGCGAGTCCTGGGCTCCTACCTTGGAACATCACAGCAGCAGGCCCTTTCGGCGAATGAATACATACGCATTAACCTCACAAGATGCTATGTCCTCATTAGTGAATGGCACTGGAAGCGTCCGGACCAAGTTCTCAACGTCATATTTGACTTTTACGGCAGGCACGGTCTGAGACCACTTCGTCGCGAGACTGCAACAGGCTCAGCACAATTCTTGCAAAACTTCGCAGTAGTTGGCAGTTTGGCTCTAGCACCCAACGACAGCTCATTCCACATCGCACTCAAATGTTTAGCAGTGGGCTTGCAAGGCATGACAGGTTCGTATCTGGAGAAGAAAATACGCAGCTTTGTATTCAGGCGCATACCAAACCATGGCCGCACGTACCCGAAAGACCAACCACTCGAGGAGGCGAGCCTGGCTGCCTTGCGGAATCATCACGATCTGCTATCTACACTCTACTGTGCGGCGCCACCTTCCTGTCGTCCGAAATTGGAGCGCATTCGCGATCTTGTGAGCCATGAGACCTCACATCGGGAGGCATGCCGAGTCAGTGTACGTGCATGGGCAAACCTGAGCACGTTCCAATTGTCGACCGACGAGTCATACGACAGCGCGAGGCCGTTAGCCTACTGGTACAAAGACATTATGCATCAGACTCTGAAACAATACCGACTGGCGAAGATCGAAGCCGAGGATTATCTGACATCTGGAGTCCTTGACGGCACCAGTGAAGTCGCCAAGACCATGGTACGTCAAACAATGGCGAAGAATCAGGAGCAAGCCATCGCAACGCTGCGTGATAGTATTGCAGGCATGAGGAAGACCGTCGGGTGTGCCAAAGATCGAGCCAGTCTCGCAGCATTCTTGGCAGACTCTGATTTTGTCCAACTGCTCGAGCTCCCGCATCTGGATGACCATCGACTTGTCACTTTGGTCAGAGACACACTAGCAGTCCTCCGACAATACGTAGCTTTACGACGGGCTGAACAGCAGCAGCAGCACGTGAGCCAGTCAAGAAGCGAGGAAAGTCAAGAATATGGCGATTTCCCAGACCTGGATGATCTGGATGACACAGAAGCACTCCAACCTTTCCAGGCGACGATCGTGCCTGGAGCTTCGCGGTTCGAGTATATACAGGGTCCGCTTTGGCACTTGATGTCCAACGCTTTTGGTGCTGAGGGTTTGCGAGACGATAGTCTTCTGAAGGACTGCGTCGACATATGGGTTGACATTGCCAGTGACCGAGTCACGACTGGTGAGAAGCGGTGGTCTTACTACATAGAGTCGTTCGGTCAAGTGTCCTGGCAGCAGTTGCGGCGTACCGAGCAAACGAACAAGTTCGGTCCGTACTTCATGGCGGCTGTGATCACCTGCGATCCTACTGCCTACGCACAGCATCGTCACGAATTCTTGACGGCGCTTTTGCTGTGTCTGGTTGATAAAGAGTCCATGCTCAGATTCCAACATCGACTATTGGATGCCATTGTACAGACAGACACTAATCACCCTATGCTGAGAAATCTACCATTCTACACGGTCGAAAATGGCGGTGGATTGGATATCACCTCAGAAACCTTGCGGTCAAGACGCCTCGCACTTCTCTCAAGCCTGCTTTCCAATATGAGAGAAGACTTGGACGCCCTCGCCGTACAAGAACCGACACGTGTACCAGAGGTCAAGAGAACATACGCGGCGATCTTAAAGGACTTCATGAACCGGCTGAAGAGCAACTACCAACAACTGCAGCAAGGAGATGCTGTGACAGGAGCATACGTGGAGTTCGTGCAGAAGATTGTTCAATTTCTCAAGCAGTACACAGGCGACATCTGTCCCGTTCTGCCCTTCTTCACAGATTCGGTCGCCTTCCCATTACCATCGACCGATCCCACATATGTCGTCGGTCGTCTTTGTGGATACGCGCCGAAAGCGAAAGACCCAGGAACCGCCAAGCAGCTCTCTGTCTTCATACAGACCGTGGCACAGCAGGCCGCCGCCGACAACCAGCAGGTCTACCTTGTTGGTCAGCTCAAAAGAGCTCTTTGTACCAACGAAGCGCCTTTTGCTGATCGAGCGGCGTTACGTACTGTGCTGCTCCAAGCCATCTTCCCAGCTTATATCGAAGTGGCATTCTTGTCACGACCAGGTCACCTTGTTGCCAGGCCAATCCTGCAGTGCTTGTCTGCGGTGCTTGGCGAGATCAATTACGACTTGCGCGTCAGCCAGCCCGAATCCTTATCAACAGCCATCCAGAGCATCGTATCCATTGCACATGCGTTCATCCGCGCCACGGAACATCTGAAGGGCGATATCTCGTTGTTCCAACAGTCGAACACCTCGGATGGGCTTTTGCACATGTTCGATATCGCCATGACTACTTCACGCATATTAGACTACATTGTAGACCGTGTCGTCGGGGTCGGCAGACCTCCGCTTGTCATCTACCTTGAGGAATTCAGCATATACACTGAGCAAATGCTCAACGGCACAGTACCAGACGAGGTGCCATCATACCGGGGAGACGCAATTGCGGCATCATCGAACGCGCAATATGCCGATATTATGGCATTCTGTCAGAAAGGCTTGCTGGACAGCTTGAAAACGAATTGGAGCGCTGATGACGTCTCCATCTGGTTCGGCCAGGGACACACGAAGAAGCAAATCGCGTACGACACAGGATCGGTCGAAAGTGGGAAGACAAGGTTATTGGCCGCGCTGCATGCATTTCAAGACACCATACATGAATTGGTAGGAACCGAACAGCATTACCTGGCACCGACCATTGGAGAGTACATCATTGTTTAGTATTTAGCGATTTTTACTTAGCGGCATCAATGGCGTTATCGGGTAGCGTTAGAACGACGATCAACGAATGTGACGATTCATCAACAGCTTGATCCTGGTGAACATTTTGATCACGAGGAACCGTGTCTTCGTCGCGTTACGGAGCTATGCCCGCTGATGCCAATGAGGTGAACAGTCGCCCGTGTATCTCCATTTTCCCGCCTTATCATCTCCCTCTTGTATTACCCCAAATCCACAAAAACAACATCAATCACTTGCTGGACTATCCCATTGTAAGAGCCGTGGGTTGCAAAGCATACAATACCACCCAATAGGAAGGAGGGAACGGATGAGAGCTCTGCCACCGCTACGCAGGGAGACGATGAAGAACAGCAGGAAGGCCAATCTGGATGAAAGAAGTCCACCGCTCAGGAACTTGTCGAGATCAACGACGATGATGACCTCAGTGACGATGATGGACCTCACTTCACTTCATCCTCTAACAGGATGCAGAGACCGCCTACACCACAAGTTGATCATCACACGGGAGATGTGTAAGATGCTCATGGAATACCGTAGGATGAGCAACTATTGCCGCCCAGTCTGTCTTATGTCTCCATAATGACTTCGAGGGGTGAGGGTATCTTTGAGTGAACTTCGCAAGTGAGCACAACAACCGCAGTGGAGATTTTAGTGTGCTGACTGGGGCAGATCGTGCTGTCCAACAAGACATGAGCAAGAACGATGAGAATGCGCTGAAGCATAGCTGGGCTGTCGTCCGCGCAATTGCCCTCTGGATCAACGAAGTCGAGCAAAGCTCGCTAATGGGCAACGAGAAAACCAAAGAAGTAATCGGTCTAATTGACCACGTACTTATTTATGGTCTTGCAGCTCTTGACTTCACAGACCAATCAAAGCTGGACACCAAATTCTCCGACATTTTCATCGCTGTTGCCTCATTCCTCGATTCCTTCAATGACCTGGAGAGTGCGGTATCGAAGGCGGCGAGAACAGTGCCTTCACGCCGCTGCTTATTTCAGGAAAGGTAAGTTCGCGCACGAGAAGAGCTTCGGAAATACCTAAGCGATGCTCGAGGTTACGAGGGGTGGATTAGAAGGCAAGCTCGTGAAGAAGAGTGACGAGGCCGGGCTTGAGTTGTTCAAAGCGTATGAGAAGAAGCGTAACTCGGGCGGAGATAAGATTGAACATTACAAGTATGATATTCCAAGGATGAGTTGAAAGTAGAGAAGACATGGACTCAAAGGAGGGGGCATTTGGATTGCATGTACACCCAGTTCTGTAGGACGAAGTTTGGCGTAGAAATAGCATCTTGTTCAGCGACATGGTGATCGAGCGAAGAAGTATGGCAAAGGGCCTTGTGAGAAGAGACCATGTCCCTAATTGGTGCTTGCTTGCTAATAGGTGTCTGGGTTCAGAGATCTCTCGGACGTGGTTGAAGTGGAAAATGTTCCTCGATCGACAGAATACTGCACAGCCACAATATCTGTTGCGAATCACAGTGCACAGCCACCACGACTCTGTCTGGCTCCTGCTTCCTGCTTCATACTTCCTGCTTCCTACTTCCTAGAATCTTCAAATTTGTTTACTGATATCAAGCTGGCGATCCCCAGCGTCATTCGGCTCAATACGAAGGGACACACTACGCAAAGCCTCGCGGCGCTTCTCCAGTTTCCCTCGGTCAACTGCGCAACAACAGATGATGAGCGCTCAACGCAGCGTTCAACCGAACACGTGCGGAGTGCATTCCGTGGCTACCGCGCACCAAACTAACTCTGTCGTCAAACCTGCTTGCAAGTCAGACATCAAGCAGCGCACCTTCACAAATCAAATGATAGCAAGCTTGATTTCCGCACAGCCAAACACTTGCTCAGATGGCAGCCGCTGGTGGCCTGGACCACCATCGTGAAAGTTCGGTTCACGTCCTCGACGCTCGACCCTGTGGCTTCTGCAGCTGATGTTGGCGCGACGAACGATGCAAGGGCAAGGAAAAGTGGCTTGTGGTGCACGCTGACGTCGCCTGGCAAAAAGCAGGGGAAATTGTGGCGTCGCACCGATCGACCAATGACAGTGCCGTGAATGTGTACGTATGACGTCTGCCGTGTGTAAAGCTTGGTATGATCGACAACAAAACAGCCTCGAAGATCGAAGGAACAACAAGGCACGGTATACAGGGTCTGTGGACGTGCGAATGATGTGGAGGCTTGTGAAACTGGAACACAAGGCTGTCGTCATAGGAAGCAAGACCCATAAAGGCGGCTGCTCTTGCAACCGCAGATTTTCGACATCCAATAACACAACTGTTATCAACCTACCTCTGTCAGCCTTGAACAACTTACCTTACACTTGATTTCTTACCTACCCTCCTTTCGGTTCAACTCCTAACTTTCGACAATGGCTTTCGGCGGCGCTGCGCTGAAGTTCATCGCAACAGCACTCTACGCTCTTGAATTCTGTTGTGCTGCGATCGTTCTTGGAATTTACTCCTACTTCCTCTCGGTCCAGGCCGATCGTAATGTCACCATTCCCCGATGGCAGCAAGCCGTAGAGGGTCTGTCTGGTGCGACCGTCCTCTACACCATCGCCGCAGTTGTCTTTACCTGCTGCCTTGGCGGCAAGACCTTCTTTGCTCTCACCGGCCTGATCTTTAATGTCCTTTGCTGCGGTGCCATGATCGCTGTCGCCATTTTGACCCGTGACGGAGCATCAAGCTGCACTGGCAACGTCAACACTCCCCTCGGCAATGGCGCCAGTACCTCCAAAGAAGGCTTTGGTAGCAACGGTCAGGGCAACCAAATCACCTACGCTGCATCTCTCGGCACTACCTGCAGGCTCAACACTGCTTGTTTCGCGGTCGCTATCATCGGAGCGTAAGTCAAATCACCACTGCACACCAGTCACACTGAAACTAACGAACATCAGCCTTCTCTTCTTGCTCTCGATTCCCGTACAGGTCCTGCTCAGCCGTCACCACAAGAAAGAGAAGCGCTTCGGTCCCGGCCCTACCAACGGCTACACCAAGGGCTCTGGCAAGAAATTCTGGCAGCGCAGGTCCCGCAACAAGGAGCTCCGCGACCCTGAAGTCGCTGCTGTCCCCGCTACCTCGACCACCGGCCACGCTGCTCTTGCTCCTGGTGCTCGTGACTACCGTCCCAGCCACGACACTCACATGACCGGTTCCACCGTTGCTCCTCCCCACGGCACTACTCCTCACGGTCCCCTTGACAACCACGCTTACAGCAAGCCTGTTACCGGCGGCTACCACACCGCACCTACCAGCACCTATGCAACTCCTGGCACCAATTACTAGATAGTTAGGGCTGACTCAGTCTACCCATCATAAGATGATTGTTGAGGACGGTATGAAACCTGGACTTCACTGCTTTTGTTACTTAGCGCTTTATACCACGGGATGGTTCAGATATGACCCGGAGGAAACAGAACGGTGTAATATACGACCTTACGAACTTAATAACCTAATAAACGATTGTCCATGACTCTTGTGGTACCATGTCTATAGTTATGCTCTGCCTTCATCAATAACGATTGGGTGTGCCCTCGATATGGACAGGACTGCTCTTCGATGCATAACACGGAATAGTGAATTACATGCCAATTGTGGATCCCTGGAAATCTTTGACAATAACATCTCACGGTAAGACAATGTTCTAGGTACATTTGCTGCTCTTGAACACGCAGGTCCGAGGGAAGACAAACGCCGGATTCACTTTGATACACTAACATGAGATGAATTGAAATGATCGATGTACAGGTGATAGGTGCCTCTAATGTAAGCACCTTACTACAAATAATCTTTTTGTGTCTGAGACAACAAGCAAGATACAAAGAAAGAATACGATTAGACCCGAGATGAAAGCTGCTTAATGAAATTAATAGAATCGTCCGACAGATGGTACTGGAGCCTGCGCTGATGCCCTTGCGGATAACAGCATGAGCTAGCCCGCGCTGTACGACGCACGTATACAAGTATGCACCATCCGCAGATGACACTAAGGACATATCCCGACAATGAGCTCGCTCAAACATCAGCGACCCAATGCCGGTGATGATGGTCACGCAGAGAAGAGAGCCTGTAGCGACCCTGGTGGAGATGGACAGGCGAGTCTGAGGCGACTCCGTGCCAGACTCCAACACCTCCACCCAAGCATAAAATGTGCCAAAGCGTTGCATCCAAAAAATTGTAACTGCATGCAATATGCCGCACGCCACATGCTGTGCCTGCTCAGACGCACGCCTCAACGGCCTCAACTCTATGTACTCCCTGGATGAGCACGCCTGAGAATCGAATTAATGTCGTTGGCAGTACTAGTGTTTCGGCTGTCAAAGTACAACTTTCACTCGGCTCTTGATATGTGTTGGACTTATCCGGAATCAAAATACTGTGACGCTCAAACCAACCAAGGCCATCGCCACCGACGACTGCTGGCTGTGGCCGAAATCGAAGACGTGCCAGATACGATCAGAGCCAGCTGCGGTCCTCGGGACATCGATATTACCCACTCGACGGACCTGACAGTGGACGGCTTAAGAGCCGAAGTGGCACGACTAATGCAGTGTCATCTAAGCCAACTCACGCTGAGCGACATCGCATTGCACAAAGGAGGAGTGCTGCCCAAGATGTCGGACGACAACGCCCTGACATTGTGCGCTTCGCATGTAAAGTTCGCGTGTCACTGGTGAGGAGTTCGAGGACGACAAAATGGAGGTTGTACAGTACGACTATGGAGGGTGTTGCGAATATTGAGGCAGCCGGCGTATCCGTATGTATGGGCTCGTCGCCCATTAATACACGACCTGAACCGCGGTCAGCCGTATGGCACAATCAGTCTACGACTGACATCGCAACAATGCAACAACTGCGTCAAAGGTTTTCAGGACACCGTATCTACCTCCAACCTCTCTCAAAAACGCATGCACGAGGAGGCAATTGTAGTGTAAATACCGGGGCGGTGCGCCAACAGACGTGCGACTTTGCCGAAGGTGCACAAAGCTTCGGCGACGACAGGTCACCTCGTCGCAAACTAACGCATTCCTGACTTCCGCTCGCCCCATCTCTGCGACAAGATTCTGGGCACACTACCTACGCCGATGAAGGTCAAGGTGCTCATTGAGTCCTGTTCTCCGCACGAGGCTGTGTTTGCCAAATTGAATGAATGGACAGGGGCTGTCCCGGGCGTGTGTTTACATCATCAATTGACGATCATCATTGGGCCTCCGGACCACTCAAGGAGCCTCGAAGACTGACAGTGCCTGATTCAGTGCGAGTCATGTGATCAGCAGCCCAACTGAAAAGCTCTCCGATGTTAAGGTGAGATTTTCGGCAGGCCATTTTGGAACCTACTCTCAACTCTAAGCTGACCACCGGACATGACCGCAAATTTCGAGTGAGAACACAAGGTTGCGCTGGTCAAGGTCTCTCGAGCCTGCCGGTACCCCTAGGCTCTGGCGTACCGCTTTGACCTCGCCAATCTGTCAGACTTGTTGCCGTGATTCGCGGAGGGTCAGTGTCGAGGTGACCATAGCTCTGTCTGTTCGCATCACGAGCGCAGCAGTTATGAAATGCTCCCTTGACGGGCTGCCCAACAGCCATGACCCAGTCACACGTCGGTTGTCTAGGCGTTTCACACACCGCATCGGCGTCCGCTGAACCAGCATGTCGGACATGGCATGCGCCAAGAAAAGCTTCTTTCCATGTGCTTGTGGCTGTTATACGTCAGACACTATAGCATTGGCTGATTATGATCATACAGGAACTGTCGGCTCCGCTTTTGAAACCTTCGTGCTTTGACTTCTGTCTTCCCCTCAGATGCGACGCAGGAAGCGCTGTGCCACCAGCGCAATCTTGTCTTGGTCAAAGAGCACCACGACCTCTCAAACGACAAACCCGCTTCTACCTTGTGAGCTCCCGAATACTCGACAAGCGATTACGTGGTTGTCGATGCATTGACGTGAGCTCACGGCAAAGAGTGGAGCGTGTCAATCCAAGTTGAGTCCAGACATCCGAGCTCCGTCGCCATCCTATGTCTTCAGCTGCTGGGCTGCATTTCAGACCTCCACCAATCGTTGAGTGTATCACGCAAGGCCGCTGTCTCGGCATTGGGCGGAAAATATTCAATCCTCACCAGATCTGCACCAACTGTCTTACTCGACACGACCCCCAACAGCTACGCACGTGGGCCAACAACAACCGTACACTGCTTGCTCTCATCGACGAAGAGGTTGGTCGCAAGTATACTGTTAAGTATAATATCGAAGCACACGGTCGCTTTCTCTGCGCCTTCGAAGACCCAGACTTCCGGTACTGCAGGTGGCGACGGCGTGACCTAAACCTTCGAGGAACCCGTCTCACCTGCAAAATCGTTCGCAGGAAGGGGACTGCCTGTGCAGAGTGTTGGAGAAGGCATCTGCAGAAGATTGGTATCGTACAATACTTTACGCCAACTGGGTTATGTCATGAAGAGGCGGACAAGGTTGTGTCGTCGAGGCTGGTAGGATTGGAGGAAGAAGAGGACGACGATGTGGAAGGATACAACGAGATCCTGATTTGATAGCATCCCGTTCCGGATGGCAAGTATTTCCTCTTCCGCATGGAACCATAATAACGAAGAAGCATGTAGTCCGAGTCACAGCTACCTAGGCTTGGGCCACCACCGATGCTTGGGCCGCCACCGAAGCCTCACTGCGCTTTTGGAGCTGCCTGCAATTCTCGACCAGAAGGCCATGAAAGAGGTCCGGATATCTGCGCCTGGTGTAGAAACATGAGCTTCGATGCTCTATACGAGCAAGCAGCGTCTCACCCTTACCGACGCCATCTGAATCGTCTCATTAACGCTTACATGCACCAACTAGATCATGACAGCAACGAAAGGATCAGCAAAGGGTGGTCCTATCTCTGTGCCAGCAAGGACCCGGAATATCGTTTCGACGCGTGGCGGCGCAGCTTTAATCCTAAGGATGTTCGACTGTGTGGCACAGTGCGGCACCGCGGTCAACTTTGCGCGCGCTGCCACCACAAGGCTCAGGAGCAGGGTTGCTCTTGGTTGGCGGAATTCGACGGAGATCGACTCGGGTTTCCCTGTGTATTTGACGATGCTCGGCTTAATAGACCAGTCGACCGCAACTGGAGGGTTGGACCACTGGATGAGCAGGGCCAGCCTGATCCACACTGGGAGAAGGATCCTCAGAGACATGGCCGGTGTGGTAGGAGAAGAGAGAAGAATAGCGTGTGTCAGCGATGCTTCAATCGCATGTGCGAGATCAGGGGATTTGGAAGATACTTTGATGCTGAATGGGGGACACTACGCCAAAGCTTTGGACTGTAACAAATGGAAAATGGTGCCAGAGGCACCCAATGTCTGTACACCTGAGCAGGAGCTAGGAAGAACCAATGCGCAGGCATCAATCGCAAACCAACATGAGCCTTCTCTTCACTTCCCTTACAACCGACGTAAGACTTCCCGAGCCAAAACTCCCCAGATCCTACTTCGATTCCCAAGTCAGTTCTCAGAGGTTCAAGATCGCGCAGCCAAAGTGACGTCAGAAAGGGAAGATAACATTCGAACTCTTCTCAAGACGGATCCTAGGCTCTCGGCTGACTCTGACTTTAGATTAGGGATGAGGATTGCGGCACCAACCAAGTCAGACAGTGGAGGTTGATGAGGCTCGGCCTTTGACAGGGCAGCCCTAAGGATGACAGTTGATGCAGGCAGAATAGGCTAGTGCGGGGCTCAATTGGAACGCCTCTGCCTCTCCGCCTTCGGCTTCAATAGATATGAATGGACGAGTCACCAAAACCCTGCATCATCAATTTCTCCGGCAATCCTCATTAACCGACCGTGACTCACGTTGCACTGCACCTTAGAGAGGTCAACTCGCCTTCACGGCTCACCAGACAAGTTTTCCACACACTCGACGCTCAGCCCACCATGGAGCACATCAAGAAGACGTTTGCACAATGCAAGAAGGAGGGCAGGGTATGTCAAATAGACGCAAATCACTGCAAGAATGAAGGTTGACAATGACATAGTCGGCCCTCGTCACCTACGTGACAGCTGGATACCCTACTGCCCAGGAGACGCCCGACATCATGCTGGGCATGGAGGCTGGTGGCGCAGGTACGCACGACTCACACGAGCAGCGATTGCACGAGAAACAACCAGTTGACCTTTCCAGACATCATCGAGCTGGGAATGCCCTTCACCGACCCCATCGCCGACGGCCCCACGATCCAGACCGCGAATACGCAGGCCCTGAAGAATGGCGTCAACACCGGCGATGTTCTCCAGATGATCCGTGATGCGAGGAAGCGCGGCCTCAAGGCCCCCGTTATGCTCATGGGATACTACAACCCTCTCCTCAGCTACGGCGAGGAGAAGATGCTCCAGGACGCAAAGGAGGCTGGTGCGAACGGATTCATCATGGTCGACCTGCCGCCCGAGGAGGCTCTGCGCTTCAGGAACTTCTGCCGTAACTATGGCCTGTCCTATGTTCCTCTGATCGCACCTGCTACTTCCGAGCACCGTATGCGTGTCCTTTGTCAGATTGCCGATTCGTTCATTTACGTCGTCTCCCGCATGGGCGTCACCGGTGCTTCCGGAACCATGAACGCTGCTCTCCCCCAGCTCTTGGAGCGCGTCCACAAATACTCCGGCAACAAGCCCGCTGCCGTTGGTTTCGGTGTCAGTACCAGGGATCACTTCCTGAGCGTTGGCCAAATCGCCGAGGGCGTCGTTATCGGCAGCCAGATCATCAACGAGATTGCCAAGTCTGAGCCCGGAACTGGCGCAAAGGCTGTCGAGGCTTACTGCGACAAGATTTGCGGCAAGAGCAGCCGTGCGACGACTCGCGAAGTTGGCATTGTTGAGGCCATCGACGGCGCCAAGGAGCCCACTGGTGTCCACGTCGACAAGGTCATCACCGATGCTGACACCCCCGATGGTCCCGGACTCGCGGATCAGCTGGAGCAACTGAACACTGGCAGCGACGGCTTTGATGAGGAGCACGCGCTTCCACCCCGCTTCGGCGAATTCGGCGGTCAATACGTGCCCGAGTCGCTCATGGACTGTCTTTCTGAGCTCGAAAAAGGCTTCAATGCGGCAATCGAAGACCCCAAGTTTTGGGAAGAGTACAGATCGTACTATGATTACATGGGTCGTCCTGGACATCTGCATCTTGCAGAGCGCCTCACGGAGCACGCCGGAGGTGCGAACATCTGGTTGAAGCGCGAGGACCTGAATCACACCGGAAGTCACAAGATCAACAACGCGCTTGGTCAGGTATTGGTTGCCAGACGACTTGGAAAGACCGAGATTATTGCCGAGACTGGTGCCGGTCAGCATGGTGTCGCGACTGCCACCGTGTGCGCCAAGTTCAACATGAAGTGCACCATCTATATGGGTGCTGAGGACGTCAGACGCCAGGCTCTTAACGTTTTCCGCATCAAGCTGCTTGGTGCCTCCGTTGTTGCTGTCGAGGCTGGTTCTCAGACCCTTCGTGATGCGGTCAACGAGGCCATGCGCGCCTGGGTCGTCAACCTCGACACCACCCACTACATCATTGGATCTGCCATTGGACCTCATCCCTTCCCCACCATCGTTCGTACTTTCCAGTCGATCATTGGTAACGAGACCAAGCAGCAGATGCAGGAGAAGCGCGGCAAACTCCCTGATGCGGTTGTTGCATGTGTTGGTGGTGGTTCCAACGCTGTTGGCATGTTCTACCCCTTCGCTAATGACCCATCAGTTAAGCTTCTTGGTGTTGAGGCTGGTGGTGACGGTATCGACACCAACCGCCACAGCGCTACCTTGTCTGGAGGGACCAAGGGTGTGCTTCACGGTGTCCGCACCTACATTCTCCAGGACAAGCACGGACAAGTCAGCGAAACTCACTCTGTCTCTGCTGGTCTTGACTACCCCGGTGTTGGCCCTGAGCTGGCTAGCTGGAAGGATAACGATCGTGCCAAGTACATCGCTGCTACTGACGCTGAGGCTTTCATTGGTTTCCGCCTTGCTTCTCAATTGGAGGGTATCATCCCTGCACTTGAGACTGCTCACGCTATCTTCGGTGCGATTGAATTGGCTAAGACTATGAGGAAGGACCAGGATATCGTTATTTGCGTCTCTGGTCGTGGTGACAAGGACGTACAGAGTGTTGCTGAAGAATTGCCCAAGCTGGGTCCCAAGATTGGTTGGGATTTGAGGTGTAAGTCTTGATGACCGTTTGTTCGTAGATATTTTGCTAACCATTCTAGTCTAATCTCCGTGATCCTCGCCTCAAGAGCTCACTACGGCAACCTGATAGCTTGACAGCCGTTGCGCCATAGCCACATTCTCGGATTACAGGCAGCAATAAGAACTACACCTGTTTCTCCGATACCCACTTTAACTTTGCCGTAGACTATACTATGCAAATGCAGCTACATTGAACCCTGATTAAATCCATAAGCATATAGCCGACAGATAAGGCTGCTCGGCTACTTCCTTCAAATGCTGCTGAGATGATTGGTCGCGTTGCGGGAGACCCTCGGCAGTGCCCGAGTCGTGGGCTTCGACGTTTGCACCTCCAGATCTCCAACAATTGCGTCCGCGACGCGAACAGAACTGGTAACGTGATTCGATCAACAAAAGTGGTATCACTCGTGCTGGCTACATGTGCACAGTCGCTCCTGGTGGTGATCTTGTGTCAATGTGATTGATATCACTTGTGTACGTCCAGAGCGGAGCTACCCCGGATCCCTAGGCAAGCTTCGATGCAACCGAGGATTATCTCCATCATTAGGAGGGGCGCCGGGTAACTAAGTTAGCGCCACTGACCTGCACAATGTCGTTCTTGACATTCCTCTTCGCCTCTCGATTATTGATGCCGTCCCCTCTTTCCTGTTCTTCTCACGATGCGGGCGTTTACGCGTGCTATTCAGCGGCAGAGGTTCAATGCTCGCAACTCGCCCTTCCACCAGTCAAGACAGGGTCGTGGCTTTGCAACCGTGAACGCTCACGACGTCAAGGGCTTGACTGTCATTGACCACCACTATGAGTGAGATCTGAGTCGATATCACGGGCCATGATAAATATGGCTGACACTTCCCAGCGCTCTCGTCGTAGGAGCAGGAGGCGCTGGCCTTCGCGCCGCCGTAGGCCTTACGGAAGCTGGACTGAAGACAGCATGTGTGTCGAAGCTCTTCCCAACACGATCCCACACCGTCGCCGCACAGGGAGGCATCAATGCTGCGCTCGGCAACATGACAGAGGACGATTGGCGTTGGCACATGTACGACACAGTCAAGGGCTCAGACTGGCTCGGTGACCAGGACGCAATACACTATATGACCAAGGAAGCTATTCCTGCGGTCGTCGAGCTCGAGAACTACGGCATGCCGTTTTCGCGAACGAATGAAGGAACAATATATCAGAGAGCACTGGGTGGTCAGAGCTTGAAATATGGGAAGGGGGGGCAGGCGTACAGGACGGCGTGTGCTAGTGATCGCACAGGGCACGCTATGTTACACACGCTGTACGGACAGAGCTTAAAGGCTGGAGTGCAGTTCTTCATCGAGTGGTTTGCGCTGGATCTCATGATGAGTGAGGGAAAGTGCGTTGGTATCACGGCTTTGAATATGGAGGATGGCACCTGTCACCGTATGTTTGCGAAGAACACTGTTCTGGCTACAGGAGGTAAGTGCAGTCTTGGCCATGAGAAAAGCCGTCCCTGACAAAGCTAGGTTACGGCCGAGCATATTTTAGCGCAACAAGCGCCCATACAAGCACAGGCGACGGGAGCGCTATGGCAGCAAGAGCCGGACTTCCCCTCCAAGACATGGAATTCGTACAGTTCCACCCATCTGGCATATACGGCGCTGGTGTTCTCATTACAGAAGGTGCACGTGGCGAAGGCGGATATCTTCTCAACTCAGAAGGCGAGCGATTTATGGAGCGCTATGCACCGACAGCCAAGGATCTTGCATCAAGGGATGTCGTCTCACGGTCTATGAATCTCGAAATCATCGAGGGTCGAGGCTGTGGTGAGGGCAAGGACCACATTAGTTTACAGCTATCGCACTTGCCGAAGGAGATCATTCACGAGCGGTTACCAGGTATTGCCGAAACAGCGGCGATTTTCGCGGGCATCGATATCACGAAGGAGCCGATTCCAGTGCTACCAACTGTACATTACTGCATGGGCGGTATTCCAACTAACTACCATGGTCAAGTCCTGGATGTTAAGGACGGGAAAGACCACGTCGTTGATGGGTTGTACGCTGCTGGCGAGGCGGCATGCGTCAGCGTACACGGCGCAAACCGACTCGGCGCCAACTCGCTGCTCGACATCGTAGTCTTCGTAAGCTCATTTCCACCTCATCAGTCTTGCCAAACTGATATCAATCTAGGGCCGAGCAACAGCACTCCACATCGCCGACAACCACACTCCCGGCGCGTCCCACAGTCCTTCAGAAAAAGACATCGGCCTCGACTCGATCAGCGAAATTACCACCTTCCTCGATTGCGCCGGCTCAACACCCACCTCCTCCCTGCGCTCAGACATGCAAACCACCATGCAAAAAACCACCGCCGTATTCCGCACCCAAGAATCCCTCGCTGAAGGCAACTCTGCCCTCGGAGGCATCGAGTCAACCTTCAAGCGCGACCTGCGCATTACCGACAAGAGCCTGATATGGAATAGTGATCTTGTTGAGACGCTTGAGTTAAGAAATTTGTTGACGAACGCGAGCCAGACTAGCAAGGCGGCGTTGACGAGGACGGAAAGTAGGGGTGCGCATGCGAGAGATGATTTCAAGGAGAGGGATGATAAGGAGTGGATGGTGCACAGTCTGACGTGGCAGAAAGATATTGGTAATGATGTCAAGTATGGGACGAGGAAGGTGACGATGGGGACGTTGGATGAAAATGAGTGTAAGAGTGTGCCGCCCATGAAGAGGAGTTACTAGAGAGCTGTGACCGGGGTAAGACGGGCTGAAGCCGATCTGGAAGAATAGAACAACGTCTTACTCTCCGACATTACAGAGAACCGACCTTTCCATAACCATCACCGCTACCGTCAAAATCTAGCCCCGACTGTGCCTTCTACAACCGCAGACCTTCTTTTAAATTCCAACCACTCTTCCGCGCGGTCTATTGTTCGTTGCGTTGCAGAGTCCGTACGAGTTCCATGGCTTCTAGGGTCCGCAGGCGTGATTGACAACCTATATCGCTTAGCACATTGAGTGCAAGCAAGTGAACCGAGTCCGAACTTACAACTAAGGGTTGGAGATTCCCATCTACGTAGCTTCCCAGAAGCCAAGCCGACGATGAACAAGGCCAATCGCGACCACGACAGCAACTAGACCCAGTACTACCTCATCTGCATTGATACCGGTTCCATATTCGACCCTAGTAGGAAGTCCATCGACACACAGTGGAGCAATAAGATTAGGATGGGGACTATCGTTGAAGAGTGACAGCCGAGCAAAAAAGACTGAAGAGAAAGTAATATGACTGCGATTCCTGTTCACTCGTATTTCTTGTGTCAAGATATATGTTACTGCTGAGAATTCGATATTAGTGATTGAAGTCAAAGACTTCAGCCTGACAGCCACCCTGATCAACTATACGCGAACCATGGCGAGCTGCGCCCCGCTCGCCTCCGTTCTAGCATCTGAATCTGGACGGGTTGCAGCGGTGTCCAGGGCATGGCGCCTTTTCGCTATTGGCTCCAACATCATTCTCCATCTTCTGACTAACATCCTGCATGCTTCTGCCCATACTAGCTTCCTAGGTAGGTCAGATGGCGGGCTACCGCCCTGGCTATTCCTGCCCCTCTTAAGTGTCGATGAAGCGTTGCCGCTTTTCGACGCCGCCCGGTGATGATTGATTGGGAAAGAGAGCTGCCAGTGTTGCACAGAATGAATACTCCGCGCGTTGTTCCCTACAATGACAAGGGTTGTCAAGTACATGCTTTTGTGAGACTCAATGTTCGCTGAGCTGGTGTTGGTGTCCCACTTACGTTACTCATGGAATAGAGTGCCGTTCTCATAATACGATCGAGATGTGAGGCTCCCTTTCGGAGAATGTTCAAGTTCGACAGCGGCTTGCTGGTGAAAATGAATGAGATGTACTCAAACAAGGGACCACGACGTCAGATACATTGCTTCAGTGCTCCTGCATATTCTGCAGGAGCTGCTGTAGACAGAACATGGACTCCAGAGATGATGCTAAACTGATCAAACAAGCAAACTACCTGCACTTCGCTCATCCAAATGGTCCAATCCGTACAACACATTTGTGACTAATATTTGGTCACCATTCAATCATCCCAGCAAACCTTCAGCGCTACGACGAAGTTAGTAAATCAATCCAAGATACAGGACAGGATAGTGACTTACCACAAGGGAACGGGAAATACATATCCCAGTTCTCCGTCAAATACGCATGATACGGGTACTTCTCCCCTGGATACATCTTCTTCTCGACCTTATGCAACTTGCCCTGCTCTCCCACCGCAGGCCTCAAATTCTTCAATTTTGCAACCTCCTTCAGCATACATGTGAGCGTCACCTTGGCCATCGGCAGTCCGAGGCACTGATGCGGCCCGTAACCGAGATGGATATAGCTGTCCATCGGCCTGTTGAGGTCAACCTCGTCTGGATTGGAGAAAATGGCGGGGTCGTGCGATGCAGCGCGCAGATTGATAAAGATCTTGTCGCCGGCTTTGAAGGAGAGCGTACGGCCGGAGTCGGTGACGGTGGTGTTTTTGGCGGCGGCGCGGATGACTGCTGTTTCGCCGGCAAGGCGGGAGCCTTCGAGCAAGTAGCGTTGCATCTTTTGGAAAGCGGCTTCGCTGTCGTCTTGGGCGAGTTTCTGGATGTCGGGCCAGTACTTCTTGCCCTCGCCGAGTAGGTAGTACTCAATTGTCTGGCCGAAGAGTTGGCCTTGGTTTGAGACCATACCGCCGGCTGTGCCGAGCATGTGGCCATAGACCAGCTTCTCGGGCTCGATGCCGGATTTTAGGAGACGCTCGATGAAGTGGATGCCGTAACTCTTCAGTGCTGAGTCATTGGGCCAGATCGCCTGGGTGATCTTTGACAGTATACCGGAGTGTGCAATAGCCTCGACGTTCTTAGCGACAACGTTACCGAGGATCTCCGTGGCCTTGTGCGCCTTTAGGTGGAGAGGGAAGGAGCCAGCAGGATTGACGTCGAAGAAAATGAGCGCGAAGACACCTGACATCATCAAGTAAAGCTCTGCCTCTGTGAAGATGCCGTGTGGGCGCTCATCAGTCTTCAGCGGCAGCATGAAGAGCTCAGCACAAAAGTGCACGTGTGCAAGGTTGCCAACATCGCGGATGATGTCGACCTGGTTGAAGTTGGCAATCTTCGCGCTCTTTTTGGCAAGAAGCTCACGTGTCTTGGCTGTGTAGTAACTGCGCATCTCCTTATCCCAGTCGGCAACGTATAGCGCTTCCTTCACCATCTCACGCGACTCTGCGTTCTTTTTGCCGTCGCCGGCAAGCATAAAGTCTTTTGAGGCGTTGCCCATGATGTACTCCATAGCCTCGCCCCAGGTGACCTTGAAGGTCTCCTGGTCCTTCATGATCTCAGTGGCGATTTTGTACTCCTTGATGAGCTGAGGGTGCGAGCTCGTGCTGGGCTTCGAGAAATCGTATAGCTTGGCCTTCCCAAGGTCCTTGAGCGATTCCTGCATGGCCGATGGGATCGTGAGCGGATAGTGTACGTAGACACTGTTTGACTTGAAGTGGTTGGGGAAGGCGTCCAAGAACAGCTTGTAGAATACACAACCGTGGTCGACGCCAGTGTCATAATTAACCAGCGAGTAACCCCAGTTGGTAAGTGTTCGTGGATTGTAATCGTGTGTGTAGAACCGATCTCCACGAACAAGGCCTACAGCATCTGACAACACAGCGCGTGAGACTGTGTATGGTGGTGTGAGGCCAGAGCCGGGTGCCATGGCCTGCTTTGCATCCTCAACAACAATACCAGGGTAAATTTCGATCTTGTCTGGGTGATCGTACAGATGCTTGAGCTGTTGCTGGACATATTTGTCGCTGGTAACGTCCTCGAATGTTCGGTGGGGCTCGAGGTGGAAGTACTTCCTGAACTCATTCAACGAACCCAGGTTCCACTTTCGTGCTTGCTCGATACCCATTATCTCGATGGCACGGAAAACTTCAGGGACTCGGTTTGGACCGAATGAGTTCGCACAGTCTTCGATGCTGGAGGTAAGGATTTTGACAAGGTCGTCATCTGGGAGCGTACCATCGGCATTACGTTTCAGATTGGCAAAATTGCGCTTTGCTGGGTTTGCTTCATAGTCGGTGGCATAGACCTGGTGCAGGCCTTTGACAAAGTCCTCCTTGGTCAGCTTCCTGTAATCTTTGTCCTTGAAGACCTTCTTCATGAGTTCTTGTGTCCACTTCTCGTCACGGTCAGAGACTGTCGAGTGCCACCGGTAAACCAAATTGAACTCGGCAGACACTTGGTTGCCGACACCGAGGGGAAGATCTTTGACTTCAGCACGAGGATTCAGCTGCCAGTTGCTGTCGGTTCGATTGAGATCCAGAATAGTGCGGACATAGTCGATGAGGATAATGTTAACGTAGAGACCGCAGGTGATGAGACGACCGGTCTGGAAGAGGTCATTGTCGTATCTAACCCAAGCCGTCTCCCACTTCACTTGAGCAGCATCGTCATCTTTATGCATTCCTGTAGCTTTAGGAGGCTCCGCAGATGGCTTTGTGAAACGCCCAAGCTCGTTGATGGTCGCCAGGTTTTCGACAACGTGGTTGTGAAAGCGGTTGAACATAATCAAGATCGCGCCAACACCGGGAGGGAAGAACAATAGGCGGTTCTCAGAGAAACAATCTGGGTGAATCTTTCCGTCCTTCATGGTCCTCATGGCGTCCTGCTCCTTCTGATTGCTTCCGTACAAAGGAGCCAGATCAAGGTATGAGCTCGTTAACGAGTTGGAGTCGAGTCCATCTTCAGTATGCTCAGTGCGAAAGCAATCGTGAATGATGATAGATGCAACGTAAAAAAGCATGCTCGAGATCCTGTTCGGATGTAATTCGGCGTGCTTCCTCGTCATAATGCTGTCAAATACAACGCCAGCGTCAGGCCTCGCTGGTGTCTGCATCATCGATGGCTTCACGGTTCTGGCGTATGGCGTACCGGCAGCACCCAGCTGAGGGTGAATCAGACTGTTATTGGATCCATCTGCGGTTCTGTACTGGTACTTTGCTCCAAGGTATGACTGTGGTGGATGCTCCAGATCGTTCCAAAGCTGTGTGAGGAATGTGCTGGTAAGATCATCTCGCATCTTCGAGCCATCTGGCAATGCTGCTGCTGTGCGAATGAGACCTTCCATGAGGTAGGTCTTGTCATCTGTGTACCCGCCCATCATCTTGTCCTTCTGAATCTCGAGCAATGTCTTCACATTGTCGACGCCAAGATATGAGAGATCGCCCAGACCGTCTGCAATCTTCTTGAGAATAGTAGGATCGTCCTCAGGGGCAATCTTCGAGCCATCCCCGGTTTCTGGTACTGGCGCTGCTGCAGCACCAATGACACCGGCCATCTTCTTGAAGGGGTGACCGAGAGCATTTCTCAGCTTTGTGAGCTCAGACGGCTCGGCAGCCTTTGGTAATGGTTTTCCTGTCCTGGTGTCGACGTGTGCGTCCCAGACGGCCTTTGCTTCTGCAGCCATGACGTATGTTCGTTTATACTGCAAGATCGGTATTAGCGGCGTATGTCGTCGAGACTTGCCCAAGAGACGCATCGAGTGTCGATGGAGACATTGATGTAAGGTGCAACGCGCTTGCAAAGGCATTTTGGGCTACCATAGCGACCAGAATGGCTCTAGAAGGTGCGGATGACTTACATCTACTCAAAGACACCAACAACTCAGCCTGCTAAGGTGAGGTTCAAGGTGTTTCCTGCCTTTTGCCTCTTCTAGGATATGTGAAGAGCAAAGTTCAGTATATACAGCTCCTGCAGGAAGTTCAAGGTAAGACGCTGTTCAGTACGTGGGTGACGAGGCTAAGATATAAGTATTCGTCTTTGAGTCGAGACCAGGGTGATACTGCTTCGCTTGCAGGCGCAGTAGTGTGCTCAACTACGAATGCAGCTCCCACAAGACCCGAGGAAGCAGCCTCTTAAATGGCATTGCAGTCCTCCTGCAAGACTTGAGGCCGGCGATAGTGGCCTCTGCATCCTTCAGGCTGACGATTCCGTCGGTCGTGGGGCCAAAATGAGAAGTCTGTCGTCTCAGCCGCACTCGACCGGCTCAGCCCTCAGCACTGAACGCGGTCCGCCACGGTCCGCCAAACTGTTTAGTGCACCAATAGAACAGATGGAATTGTCAGGGCATTGTAGCTCAAAAAATAGTAGATCATCTGGCCCGCGCCAGGTGTGGGGTCAGAAAACCTGAGAACGACACCCTCTTCCTCCAGGAGTATGCTGACATGCGGCAGCCGAGGGACTCGGGCTACCGGTGAGACTGGATCTGCCAAATCAAAGGCAATTCACGATGTCGATGACAAGGATGGGGTTTGCTGCGAGATTCTGAGTGGTGGGAGCCAGCAGCGAGGGGCAGGATCGTTAATTAGTGCACGCTAACATGCAGGGACGCTACGGCGTGCTTGCAAGGCAGGCGCCGCGGTTCGAGCTAGTTGAAGTGCTGCATTACTTCCGGCGTGAAACAGATGCAAGAGTGTATCGTGTACGAACCCGGTCGTCGTTCATGGTGTGAGCAACTACCGGATTGAGGTAAAAAATCAGACGGAAGCCGCTGTGGGAACTCGTCAATGGCCAGTCAGGAGCTACTCATTGTTACACCGAAGCTGACACACATTATTACTTTTGTGCTGAGTGGGCCTCGTGACTAGTACCTGCCTGACCGAGATCAGTTGCCTGAATGTACTTTCGTACAGCTTTTCTCCGCCTCGGGCTGCGGGACTCGATGGGCTGTGCGCCAAGTTCTCAGCCTCGCGGTAACCGCCCTCTCCCCTGCATGGTCCTCCAAGCCACGTTCGCGGCCCCAAATGGATGTGTTCACCAGATGCCGGGCAGAATAGCATACCTCTTGCGCTTGTACTTGTCGCCGAATTCCTTGCGGTATCTCTTCTCCTTCTTCCACGCCCACACACCCATCTGCCCCACAGCAACGATGATGAAGATGACCGTGCTCAAGCTCCAGTTGACAAGTGCCACACCAATCCATGCAATCGCCTCAAACATGTAGTTGGGGCATGTCACGAGGTTGAAGCCGAGTCCCTGCGGAATACCTCGGTCTGTGCTACCTGGACGACGCAAGTCCCTGAGAGTCAAGTGTGTGCAGAAATTGCAGACCTCTCCAATCACGAACAGAGCCACGCCGATGTATGTGAGGAGGGGGTTCGATGCACGAGTGGCAGGGCTATTTGGACCGTACGACCAGTATGCTAGGTTGAAACCAGACAGGACCCAGTAGTACCCACTGTTCTTGACGATGTTGCTTGCCGGCATTGTCGCAGAAGAAAAACGGTGGACAAAGAGGGTCTCATACTCGCGCTTTGCGAAGTGGAACACACACATGAGGAGTGTGAGCTGCTGTAGCTGCGAAGCCGGGGTGTTGGTGCCATAAATGTATGGGCGAGCGAGGTACATGAGCGGGTGGATGAGGAGAGGGCCGAGGTATTCGACGATGAAGACAGTTCGCCAGGAGATTTGGGCACCTACACAGACTGATTAGGAGCGGAATTTTTCGGGTGTGGGCAACTGGAGCATACCTAGATCCTTGACATCGACAGCACTCTTATTCCTTAGGCCGGTCTGATGAACGGTAACGCCAGCAGCATTGGGAACGGCTGATCCATCGCTGCCTTTCGTAACTCTCAGTCGATGGATCGAGAACTTCGAGACACTCGCAATCTTGCGGAAGATCTCGGACGCTGGCGCATCAGAATCGACGGTGATAGACTCGGGGAGGCCCCTGATCGGGCGACCTGGCGGGGCAGTCAGCTCTGCGGAGAGGAAGCCAGGGGCCACACAGGCTCAATAGAGCGGTGGCACAGAGACACATACCACGCGGACGTATCACAAGAGTGAAAGAGGAAGAAGACATTGTGGCTGATTCCTGCAGGGTGTCGTTGAGAGCTCATGCGACTTTTTGAGGTTTGTTGTTTCTTGGCAAGGAGCCTCGGTACGTCATCGGTACTCGAAGTTTATTGGCTACGTGAAATTTCATAGTGAACGCTGAGCATGAGGTGGTATGTTCCGACCATCATCTGTGACTACAATTGCCTCTATCGTAACCGTGTCATGCCTTCATGTCTACGGATTCAATCAATCCACCTTTGTCCATTGTGTTCGTCAACCCAAGTCAACCACGATCTGCGATGCAGCTTCAGACCCCAGACAGGCAACCAGCTCGCCAATGATACCCTTTATCGAATGTGGTTGCCGGACATCACCCTCGTCCCAGGAGAGGAGATGCTGAAGTTCTGTCAATGGTCGCTCAAAGGTCCAATCACTAGAAACTCACTTGAGCTTCGGCGAGCCGACCCCTCACCCGAATCGGTATTGACCCAATTTCTAAGGAACTCTCGATCTCGTCTTCAGTCATAAGTCCGGGTATCTTCAAGTCGAATAGTGACGTTCCGGCGCGGACCGCATCGCCGGCTTCGGCTGCTGTAGGGAAAGGGAAGCCTGCAAGGCCACCGTTGTCGTTGTCCTGAGCAGTAGCATCATCGTTTTTCGCTTGTGTAGAAGCCACCGAGTCCTTCCGTGCGCGCTCTCTTGAAAGTGAAACATACTTCTTCTTGTCAAGCAAGCTCTTCAACTCACCATCCAGTGGATTCCACTCGTACGATTCGGGGTCCAGGACGTGCTGTGGCTTGTAGTCACCCTTGTAGCGCATTTTGGTGCAACTGTGAATGTAGTAGCCCATGTAGTAGTACTGATAACCGCCTTTGATGGTGAGAGCGGCTTCCCTCAAAGCACTCAATTTTCCAAATTGCCACTTCTCGTAGTCTGAGTGGTACAGCAGATACACGCCGCTGACGCAATGCGGCAACAGATCGAGTACACCCATTGCAATCAGTCTGCCGTCCAGTCGGTAGCATTGGTGGTAAGAGCCAAGTTGCTGAGGCTTGCCATCGACTTGTCGAGTGGTGCGCTGTAGTGGGGAGGTGCACAAGAAGCGCTTGAAACCAGAAATGGATATGTCGCTGGGCTTCTCCTTGTGCACATGTGTCTGATAGTTGTAGAAGAGAGAGAACTTTTCTCTCGAGAAGTCGGCCGGTTCGAGTGTGACCTCGAAACGGTGCGCAGGCTCCGGTGGCTGCTTGACAATGTCGAGGTCAGCCCTGTGTATCTCCAGTAGCAGGTCGAAGCCATTCTTGAGGCGTGCTTTTTCCCTAGCTCGATGTCAGACGGGCCTATGTTGTGTCACCTTGCATCACTGACTCTTTCGACACCGGATGAAGCTTCGCATTGTCCTTCTTGTAGTCCTCACCTAATACGAAGTCGTTCCATCTGTTGACTGTGCGTCGCTGGTCTTTTGATGGCTTTAGCTCGGCTACAGGTAGTCTATGCCTTCATCAGTCACTGTAGACACTGCCCTGCATGTGCAGCTTACCGGATCGTGTAGTGTGGACAGCAGTGTCGCAGAACATCAGGCTTGTAGAATATAGTGCCGGATCTTCTCCACCCGCGATCCACCAAGTTCTGGTAAACATCTACCGACAAGCTTTTTGACGAGAAATAGTAGCTGGCTCCTGATTATGTAAAGCATGTCAGTACTGGTGCGGTTCCGATTTCCTCCGCATAAGATCTCAGACGAACATGAGCAACGGCGTGACGTGGCAGTCAGAGTGGACAGATCCCTTTCTGACTCGCTCATTTTTGCTGATCGTCGGTAATTGCGTATTTGCAGTTACCTGGGAAAGTATAAGGGTGAAGATGAGGCTTGGCGTTATTGCATGCTCCCGTGCAGATGCTGGACCGTGCGCCAGTAGTTTTGTTTCAAGCAGCGCGGGGGATGCAATGGGTACACGTGAAGGGATAGCCTTGACGGAACATCAAGGCAAACCAGTCCCGCGGCTGCGATAATTTGACAATGTCGATTATTCGGGCGCCTTGACCGCTCTGACAGCTTCATGCACGCGTGACTCTGGCTGACTAGAACGGGGAATGAACGGAATTACAACGTACGAGAATTGAGCCTCCTATGGCCAGTCGATGCATCTTTGCAGTATCCGCAGGACTCGCTACTGTAGCCTAGGAAGGAGCATCAGCAGTTGCTGTCGCGATCCAGGGATGGCGGCTGTGAAGTATGCAGTGTGCAAGTCGTGGAGGACGGCTCAGTGTTCAGCCATATCCAGCCAGACAGCCACGGGCGGAGTCCAGGAGAATGGTTGGAGCAGAACCTACCGAAGGGCTGCACGTACGAGAGGGCCATCCGAGAGCTGGCCTACGACGAGCTGCAGGAAGGGGCATAAGCGTGGGATTCGGTCAAGCGTCCAGTGGGGACAGTCCAAGCGGGAACGGCGTGTGAGCGCAACGAGAGCAGCGTTAGCGGTGGAGAGCAACGGCAGTCGTTATATGTAGAGGTGAATAATAGCTCCCCTGGCGGCGCCGACCTGTCAAAGCAGCGACTCTCCTACTCAACTGACGCTGCAGGCTTGTCACTTCTGAGCGGCGCTGTCTGCGTGCTCGGCCGTACCTCTACGGAGCAAGGCGGTTGGCGGGGGGTGCTGCAGGCTATATGGGCGATGAAGGTGCCTGTATACAGCACGCGCAAATATTACGGCGCCCACTGAAATGCATGCAAAAGCCCCCGTGATTGTGCCTCGCCCAACGTCATAGGCGGGCGCTCTACTGCGCTCTTGCTGCGCTCTTGCAACGCCTGCCCTGTCGCAGTCCCGAGGAAGTGAGTCGCAAGATTTTGCGTGCGTCCGCCGCGGTCTCGCACGTCTCCCCGGGCCCAGCGGGCACTGGATCGCTTGCTTGGCAGGGAAACGCTCGATTTTGTATGCGGTCGAGCACCTAGCCTCCCACTCCACCTGTCTAATAAAACATCACCATGGCCTCTTCCACTACTCCCAGGGTTCTTCAACATCCTCCGCCCCGTTCCCCCCGGGACTGAGCAACCTTCGCCCAGCACGCTGTCATTACAACCACTCCCATCCACGCTTGCCTTGTACCTAGTACCTTCTTGCTGGCTACGCACGCCCTCGCTGTTTGCTCGGCTTCTTTTCACCGCTATAGTGCGCCCTTGCCCCTCCGACCAAGCCCCTCCTTTCGGCCTTCTCTGGTGTTGTGCGCGACTTGCCCGTCTGCGGTGCTGCCACTCTTCGCAGTCACATTTCTGACCGCCATCATGGCTGCCACCCAGCAGCTTCCCATGCAGTCCCGCACCGGTCGCGTGAACCAACGTAAGTGCGCCCACGAGACCTCTCAATTACGCTCCAGAAGGCAGCCGTTGCGCTGGAAACGTGTGCGGGATCGCCGTTTGCAGTGACATTGTGCTAATTTCCGTTCAGGGTACGGTTCTCAGGGTGAGCGACTAGTCGCGGGCGTCGTTCCGCTCTCCACCGACAAATACTACGTGCTCCTCATTCAGTCCACACGACGTGGCGGCTGGGTTCTTCCCAAGGGCGGCTGGGAGACCGACGAAGCCACTGCCCAAGATGCCGCCAAACGTGAGGCCTGGGAAGAGGCCGGCATCATCTGCAAAATCAGTTACGATCTTGGCATGATCCCTGAGAAACGGAGAGCCGACCAGCTCACAGCCACCGCCCCCAAGGCCTCATACCACTTCTTTGAGGCCGTCGTCGAGAAGCAGGAAGCACAGTGGCCCGAGATGCACAAGCGGTCGAGGCAGTGGTTCACGTACACCCAGGCACGCGAGGCTCTGGCGCCAAGACCTGAGCTGCTTGATGCACTCGACAGGTGTACCATGCACCGGTAGACCGTGCCTCGGTGCTTGCAAGCGTAGCAATGGACGTTCTGCGCGCAGGCGCCAAGTGAGGAGTACTGGAGCATACCCCATTCGGATCTCGGAGTCCCTTCTTGTCTTGTAATACCACACAGCGGGTGTCGGAAAAAGCTACGGAGGTAGCGGCTTAGACTTTGGTCTGATCTCATTCGCAATCGGCGTTGTGGTTGCTCTTTCATTGGTAGAGAGATGCATGTGCGGCTCTAATGCACATGAGCATTTCGGGCTACTGTGGCTCGCCTCAATCTATTTTGGCCAATGCCAGTCACGCTCCCATATCAGCATCCTGAACTTGACCACACTCTAGAAATAACACGATCACGTGACCCTCTATGGTTCTCGTCAGCTCTAGTACCACGACGAGGCTGTCGAGCTTTCGTCTGCTTCAGAATCACTTCTGGACCGTGACTTCGGGTTTGTGCCTGGGTCTTACTCTATGCCTTTGGAAACAATCGCAGCATCTTCTCCGGATACTGCGCTTTGTACATCACCGCGTAAGTGAACCGATTTTGCTTACGATCGATGCTATAAGTGTACAGTCAGCGGTCGGCCCCGTTTTGTATGCGTACCTCAGCACTGCTGAAGATTGGGATCACTACATTGACGGTCACAACCATCCGTCCGATGGCCTGAAGATCGAACATGTGCCACGTTGCCTCTTCCTCATTACCGTTGCATACCATGCATGCGCCTGGATGCACGCAGCAAAGCGATGTGCAATAGAAGAATTAAGGCATCTATGCTATCTTGCGCCGTCTTAGTTGGGTGGTTCGTACGAAACATACAAGAAGCCTGGGTACAGACTACTCCAGGAGACATCACAATCCTCCAACAGCAGTACATCCGGGTCTTCCAGGGCGAGCAGGCACTCAAGCGAGGCGACGACTTTTGGACGGTGAGGTGCGCTCTGGTGGAAAATGTGCACAGAACGTCATGGCTGGAAGTCTGCCGTTAATGGTAAAACAGGGGTTAACTGCGAGTGTTAGAAGTTGCGCGGAGGCTACCACTGGAAGTTGCTAAGTACATATTGATCGTCATTCACACGCATGAGTGGCAGGAAATGCTTCCATTCCAAATTCCCGCCCCATCTACACGACACCTGCATTACTCAAATCGAGCTGAAGCTCTTCCGCCTGGTGACTGCCAGTGCCCTGTCGTTGTTTGGTCGGTTTTCCCACCGGTCTTTCCATTACTTCGATCGCTCGGCGTCAATCAGCCTGTGTTCGCGGAAATCTAATTCATCGTCATTGATGCAACTGAGTGTTAGTTTTTCATCTTTAAAGAATACGGAGCATTTTCTACATCATACCGTCGGCGATACATCTCAGTATGTACGAATCGAACGATGCTGGTGGTTGCTCACGGCCCAGGCCAGCCTCATACTACAGCTCGCGAACCGTCATCAATACTGCCGCCCTCTCCTGTCCCTTCTGCCCCTTCTGACGCCGCCCTCCCACAGCACGCACCCTCGCAGCTTACGGGAAGGGCACCCATGCTGTTGGCAACCTAAAGAACGCATATGGAGAGCGGGGCGCTTGGATTTATGCCTGCTGCAACGAGTGCAACAAGACCCCACGACTGAAGGAACGAGAGTGCGCGCGAGTAGCCCCAGAATATCTGCAGCAGTAGAGATGCGCAAACTGTGATGGGGAGTTCAGGCGGCAAGAAGTGGAGCGTGCCGCCCGCCTTAATACAGAGGAGGGTAGCTGCAGAGCGGCGATTTCGGTTTGCAGAAGCTGATCGGAAATGATCGGAATGCCCTGTGAAGAAGTGCCCGAAGTGCAAGGTACCAACGCAAAAGACGTATGGATGTGATCGTATGATTTGCCCGTGTGGTACGCATTAGTGTTTAGCATGTGGTGAGAAAGATCAAGGGCTCGCGAGATCTATGACCATACGCGCAAGGTACATGGAGGTATTGTGGTGGAGAAACATGGCGACGAAGCTGAGTGGTCATCGGAGTCGGGCCATGTGACTAAGGGATCCAAGGTGTAACGTTAAGGAGTGCTGCGATGTCTAATCGGAACAACAAGTACACAACAACCAACAAAAATACAAAAAAAACATTCCCTCATACTGGATACTCCTCTACAGTATGTATGAGGGCGGAGGCGAACTTGGGCATGGATTTGATGAGGACTAGTAACAGGATACCTAGTCTCGCATGAAGTTCGATGAATGTTAAACCTGCGTTGCATATTGCTATCTGGCAAGGTCTATTTGCGCCTAACATACTGCCAGTTGGGCCGCATGACCCAGCAATAAGCGTGATGCGCCCTGGATAATCATTCGTCCACCTACACTGCGCCTTCGGCCTAATCACAAGGCCCCACAATTCTAGCCTACTTGTGCGTGATTGTAGGCATACGAGTTCTGCGACAGAACGCCCACTTCCCACTTGCACGTCTACTTATGATCTCCAACCATCCCCGTTTGTCTCCACCATTAGCTTACGTTCTCAACTCGGTCCGTCTGTTCTAGGCAAGGAGGTGTAAAGACTTCAACCACTGTAGGTCTGTGGGGGCCAAAAGTTGTCGTTCGTGAGGCTGATACGTCCGGAAGCGGTCTATCACGCCGTAAAGAACAACTCATGTTTTGAGAATTTTTGTGATCGCATCAGTGGTTCCAGATCCGCTTTGTATAGCAGGGCAATGCGAAAACTACTTGAAAGCGAGGGGTTTCATTGACTGCTTTTCCGGCAGAAACGTTGTGTGAAGTCTGTTTCGAGGCCACTGAAGTTGCGAGAAGGTTCGGGTGGCGACATGTGCGAACATAACTCTGGTGTCTAAGACTCTGTCAACGTGAGGCATTGGCGACATGTGCATGCAACCGATTTACCGAGCATACTGAGTCCCGCCGGATTCGTGCTGCTTGCTCCAGAGCTTGACCTTCGTAGGTGTAGGTGATGCGGAGCAGGTCGTAGATTGTCAGGCGGGTTGTCGACATCGTGTAAGCGCAAGCTTGAGATTCAGAAATTGGAGAAGACGAGTCTGCTTTGGATTGAATGAGCAAGACGGGCCTGCTATACAGTATTAAGGCCACCTTTGCGTGTGCAACGGTAATCAGAAATCCTCGCGATGTCGTTGGTCGGTGTGAGGGCCTAGCTAGATAGGGCGGCTTACGCAAAGTCTCAAGCAACACACATATATATGCAGCCACAACACCTCGCGAACAACGGTCGCTTTATACCCCTCGGCATTTCTCACATGCAGCTTCAGTCAATCCAGACGCTAAAGTGGAATGGAAGGAGTCGCATTTAAGCAATGCATGTGCGATCGGAGGTGGCGACACGGGAAGGCCGATGCAGGGGCGTACGCGGCTTGCAGAGGGTATTTGTGGGTTCTGCCTTGGAGGAGCCGCGATGTCCGCTGTGTCAAGGTGGAGATATCGGGGTCGGTGATGGAGTGTTTCGAGATGTGACGCTGTTGCCTGGAGAGTTGTGAGAACATCCAGGGTCGACGTTATGGCGTTCTCCGGAGATGTGCTGACGGCCGAGCAGAAGTCCGGATGCGAAGCCGAACCTCGAAATCAGCGAGGAACGACAGGGCCAAGACATCAACATTCGTGCAGCTGCTTCCAACTTCCTCTATACCCCACCTGTGCTGTCCAGCCTTGACAGCACAAATCTATGCAGTCTATTACCTACGTGACGCTGGGCATCTACTCAGCACTTGGGACCTGATCATGTACCCTCCTCAGCAGAGGCACCCTTTCCGCATCGACGACACGGTCATCGTCGCTCTCGGGGTCTGTGTAGAGCATCTTGGACCATTCGCCCTTCGCAACCTTGTGGACCCGCCATGTTCTCGTTTCACCAGCTTGCTTGAAGAACTCCTGATTGTCATCAAAGCTCCTGCCGCCAGTCTCAGGGAGATAGAGGTAGGTCCACAGACCGGCGACGGCGTTCGTTCCGGCAAATACCAGGAATATGAAGTAGGATAGCTTGTTGAACATGACGGGTGTTAAGAAGGTGATGCCGAAGTTCGCAATCCCCCATATAATGACGGATATGGCAGTTCCCTTGGCTCTCGCCGTGGTGGGGAAGATTTCCGTTGGTATCAGCCAGACGGTAGTAAGCCAACCGATTCCGAAAGCACCTGGATAGTATTAGCTGCTGAGTCACAAAAATGGTGTTTTCCTCACCTGTCGCGACGAATAGCGTGATAGAGCCGAGAATACCTGGCACAATGACTGGAACGTCGATCTTTGACGAGTTTTCTGAAAGACCGCCGAAGACGGTCAGAATGAGGAAAGAGGTTGCAAGTACCACAGAGCCCTGGATGAGCAACTTGCGGCGACCAAGCGCGTCGATAAGAAGCCAGGCGAATGTCATTAAGAAGAAGTATGAGGTATAGTTGCCAAGTGTGATGTACTCTGAAGTACGAGTGTCGAAACCAAGAAGCTACACAGGGGTCAGCCACTATCACGTTATGAACCCGTGTAAGAGCTTACCTGAAAGATTTGAGGACCATAGACAGAGACAGCTCCGTATCCAGTGAGAGCTTGATTGATCTGGCCCATGATGGTGACCATGGTCGGGTGAAACTGCGGATGGTAGGGATTAAGCATGTCGAAGTAACCTACGCTGTCGCCCTGTTCCTTCTCGTGCGCCTCCACCAAGTCATCGAACTGTTGCTTGCCCTCGTCGCCATATATCTGCTCCAAGGCATTCTTGGCCTCGTCTTGCTTGTCATTGAAGATTAACCATCTTGGACTTTCTGGCAGCGTCCCGACCAGTGCCATGAGCACAACGGGGTACACCTGCATCACCACGATGGGAATTCTCCAGGCCCACTGGTTTGCTGTGCCCAGAGCTACAGTAACACCTAAGTTGATACCAAACGCCATGACCAGACCGAAGATGTTGGACTGGAACTCTTGTGCCAATGCCTTCCCTCTGGCATCGTCGGCAGACAACTCGGACGAGTACGTTGGAATCACAGCGTCGATGCCGCCAACTCCAAGGCCCATGATGATCCTGCCCGCTAACATGACCCACAGTGCCGTCTGCTGAAATTTAAAGCCGGCGATGAACATGATTGCATTGCCCAGACTGGCCGAAGCTAAACTGAAGAAGATACTCTTCTTACGTCCAAGCTTGTCCGCCAACCAGGAGAAGAACACAGCTCCGACAGCAGTACCGAGATAGTACACAGCGACTACAACACCGACGATTGGCGACTCTTCTTCGATGCCCATAGTAGACAGGTAATCTTTGTTCGTGTTGATGAGTGACATCATACCCTGGGTTGTTTAGCAATGTAACATATACAGAGGAACGAAGCTTTAGAGACCTGATCGTAACCATACAGCGCAATTGCTGTTGCAGAGAACGCAACAACGTGCGTCTGCTTGTCATTCCATGCAGAGCGCGCATGGTCAACGATGAAAGACATGTTGGCGGTTCAGGTTGTCAGGTGCAAGTTGCATAGGCACAGGTGAAGTTGTAGTAGGTCTGAAGTTGCCGCGTCAAAACTACGGGGCCATGGCAGGTGCGCAGATAAAGACGTTGCTTGTCTTCCCGCGGTCTTGAAAAGCTAGGTCAAACGATGGATACTTGCGGGACATGATGACGATACGCGCAGTGCGCCTTCCTTAATGCGGGTTGGTGTACGCTGCGGCAGGAAGGCCCCACCACGTTCACTGCTGCAGATCGTCCCTGACATCGATCTAGATCGACAGCCTCATCACTCAACGCCACCGCACGAAATCTGCGCGACTTTAAGATCCTCCTGAGTTCGTTGAAGCGCCTCCATTATTACGGGTTTACATGATCGTGCTTTTGATGCAGTTGAAACAAGTCTCATCAGTGGTCTTGATCCCAGGATAACAAACACAATTGTAATCAAGTTCTTCCTTCCATAGGAAACAATCCAACCTTTACTTGGGTTGCACTTGGTACCAAAATCGCTTGTTTATTCTCCGCATCAGTCGGCGCAAATGGACAATACTGAAAGGTTGCATGCCTATACCCAAAGTCAGAAAAGTGATGCACCTGCTCAGGCCCTAGCGGCAGTGCATCAGCAAACGGTGCACTGGCGCATGCGGCATCCTCCCATCGCTCCTAGTAGAATCCACCATCTTCGTCCAGGAAGCGAAAGATATCCAGGTACTGCGGTGAGCGGAAGAAGTCCATATCCGCAATCTCGAAATTTGACCAGAAACGGCGCATATTCCACGATTTGCCGTTCGCATTGCGGTAACATAGTATGTAACGCGTCAAGAGTTCGTTCGCACCTAGCGCGTCATCCCCGCGAACACCAATTCACCCATACTGCTCTATTTAGAAGGGTGCTGGGCATACTACAGACTAGGTGTTTTGCTACAACAATAAGAAATGGGCTCATAGGATGATCACAGAGGTGCCTACAGGTTGTCCGCCTGCTTAGATAGTGTGGGGTGTTATATGGCTAGATGTACGCAGCAGACCTTAGAGGAGTCCTCTCATCATTATGGAGAGGGATCTAGATGCTCCCTGTGGTGGCTACAGCAGCTAAAGTTACATCAGAACACTCAAGGCAGGCCTAATACCTCACTATTAAGAGTCTTAGATTTCTATGCAGGATAATGCGCATATACCCACATTAAACGCCGTGCGTACCTTCCTTGCTAAGCATAACATTACTACTCTTAACTGGCCAGCGTACTCCCTAGGCCTCAACCCAATTGAGCCGCTACAGTGGTGCCTTCAAAGGGTGATGTATAAGCTATATCCCTAGTTCAAAAACTATATTATATCAGAAGAGCACTGGGGCGAGTTTTGTGACGCGTTGAGAGAGTGCTAGCGCCCCGTCATGAACAGTCTCATTGTAACGACGCAGGCAAGAAGAGAGATATCCGGAACAGGTGTGAATCCGCTACTAGGCATATGGGAGTGCTGGGATGATAAGAACACCAGGATATATATTCTCTACACCTATAGGTCTTGTACGAAAGAATACAGAAAAACTACTCTACAATGCTACAGTTCCTGGCTCCTTATATAGGGAGGTTCGGAGGCAGTTCGGTGCGACCTCATGCTATGCGACAAGGGCCATGGTCATGAGTCGCTGGACCGTACCCTAGTGGTATCGGGTCATTGTTGGCAGCGCGTTGTTACACTAATACTCAAACTCATCCAGAGTATGCCATCACACCTTACTGCCTGCCAGGCGCGCAAAAGGCTGGCAAACGAAGTACTAGTATATAAAAATTACAACCTTAGATTTTGGAGCGTTTTCACTGTTTGTAGCTATCTCAATTGCCTCATAAAATGTAGGTGCTGATGTGGTGACAACGCCGAGGTTCGCTTAGGCGGACGAACTTTTGACCTAGTACTGTATCTAAATGGCCAGGTTATATAAGATGCGGCTATCATCGAAGTCCAGAGCGATATTGTGAGATAACGCTTGTTTGCTTTGTGTGCAGAGACCTTTTGGAATAGCGAAGCTGTCGTTCGACCGTTCTCCCAATGCGCAGTGGTGTATCCGTATGTCTTGTTGTGCTTGGCTATCTCAACGAAAGGGTCGTAAGTGATTGAACAGGTGAAGTCTACGTCAGGCTCAAAGCGCCAATATCACTTGTAAGGCTGCAGGGCGGAATGGTCGTGGAAAAAGCTGGAAGTTAGCTTCAGCTAGCAGTCAATATGCTGCACTAACTATTACGTACCGTCTATATCGGAGTTGCGTGTAAGTATCATCAGGGTCGCGTTGGCTCGAGGAGCGGTAGTGAGAACGGGTTCCTGACAGCCGTCGAGGTCTACTGCAGGACGTACGATCGTAAAGCTGCGAATGTGGAAGACAAGCTCAAGAAGTAAGAAGAATATCAGAAGAGATGAGATCTTCCATTATCTCGTTGCGAAATATCTGAGGCGATACAGCGGGCTCGCAGTACGCGTAGGACGCTGGACGAAGGCGAGGGAAAGGCATGACAGATGCCAGAAACAGCTTCTCCACAATATAGAAGGACATGATGGACAGATAGAGTGAAGACATGCAGAAGATTAGTAGACAACAAGAAGTGGATGCAGCTTGGCAGTCCGCCTTGCCGATGAAAGCTTGGAACTTTGTGCACTTGTCGTCCACCAGAACACTAGAGTAAGGTAGATCCCTACAGGCGCTGCAGCTGCAGAGCACGCGTTGACGTGCAGCTGAAGCCATTTCGCACGATTGGAACAGATTGAATCATGTCTGGGATGTAGCGATGGTGGCGAGGAAAGAGAGTTTTAGGTGACACAAATTTCCAGGTGTAGACGGTGGTAGCACTGACAAATAGTTCAAGATGCTGAATCAATAACGTTTTTGTAGGTGCACGCCATGAAGCTCGTGTCGAGGTGCTGCTGTGCGAATCCTATGTGGTGCACGAAGCAAGCCGAGTGCCTCGAAGGCTGTTGTAAGCACTTGTGAGCAGCAAGAGCAAGTGGATGTAATGCCACGTGAGGCTTGTACAACGAAGGGGGCGCATTTATCTGCAGAACATTCTGAAATAGGATAAGACAATGTTACATCGGTCGATCTCATGCTCATCGATGAGAAAAAGTAATGAACATCAAGGGCAGAGGACAGGTGGTACGATGGCAGAATAAAGATACTCCGCAAAGACTGAGTACTCGACTTGGGTATGCCCACAGATACTCCAAACAGAACGCATCTAAACGCCAACTGCCGTGAGGCACCGAATCTCGATATCATTCCTAGAGTTTTCCGAGCCGCGGGGCTTCCTCTCTTATAGATGTAGTATGTGAATGTTCGCTGCGTGATATGATGTCGTGAGTCGTGGATCGAGAATTGCCTGGGCGTGCAACTATGCTAGAAACGGCGGTCCAGATAGTCAACGCGTGATTTGAAGCCCTTGACTATCTCACCGATGCGGCGTACTTTATCAAACTCGACTTGAAGCTCGTCAATCTCGCGAAGTATAGATCGAAAGCGGGCGATTTCAGCGTCAGCCATCTGCATTGCGTTGCCTGCACGGTCATATTGGATCTGGGTCGCCGTCTGGGTCTGCTGGGTAAGCTGCAGTGCTATCAGCATTCATAGGTCCGAGTTGTTCGCGAGAGACGCGCTGTCGGCTTACGTATTGCCATCGTTGCTGTATCGAGTACATCAAACGATCAAAGTGGGCGCCGAGCGCCTGTAAACTGGTGGGATCCAGGAGTAATCGCCCTTGACTGGATGCTCTCGAAGCGGCGCGGGAAGAACTACTGCCCTGTTGCGATGCGGCAGTTGCAATTTGTTCCTGGAGAAACCGCTGCTCTGAGGAGTTGAGCCCCAGGTCAGAGACCCGAACGGTGGACATGTGCACATTATCTTAAGGACATTGTCGGGACGCTCCTCAGCCCACAAGCAGCTAGCAAGCGTCGCACGCTGTGGGTTTGTCGTACGTTACAGCACCCGCAAAAGGAAGCCTCAGGCGTCGTGATGGCAGGAAGAGGGGAGCGCCATGGTAGGCGAGGCGCCAAGGGCAACAACCAAAGCGTGCTGGTGCAGCCGCCGCAAGAAGCAACCAGCCATCATTTCCATCACACACACCACAATCACTACCCGCAGCCCTAAAGAATTTCAAGCGCGTTGATTCGCGGTCACTGTTTGCCCATGCACCCATCTGCGCAACATTCCTCGGTACAGCGCGTGGAGATGCACAGGTGCCAGTCGAAAGGAACGCTGAAATCCACAGCCCCTTGCTTCAGTACAGATGTCCGTCACTGTATCAGTGAGGTCGTACAGACATGACGGCGCAACCCACATATGCGTCTTCTGTTGTTTTCCCGTTTGTCGGAGACCAGGATCTTTACTTTTGCCGCGAGAGTGGGCAGATCCCGCGCCCGCCATCTTGCACGGAGTCGCATGGAGGGGTCAATCCCACAACGAGAAGGTGATGTCGGCAGATGAAATGGACCGTCGTGATGCTGACTCGACAGAACACACCCTCACTACACCGACTGATTGGCAGCTCCTGTGGCGGCCTTGCCTCTCAGGTACCGGAGCATTCCCTTCCGTGGATGGGAATAGGGCAAGCTACCGCGCGGGCTAGCAACATAGTATGCTCGATGCCAATTAGGAGAGGTAAAAGTCCTGGAAGAATGACGATATAATAACTACAGCCGCGTGTTGTGTCATTGAACGTGAATGCGTCCTTATAAAGTAGAACTGCATCCATATTCTTTCTTCTTCGTCCACAATTTGGCCAAACACTGGAGATCGCCCAGAAGTCACTATGATGTTAACGAAACCTCTGTTGGCATTCGCAGCGTTTGTAGCGACTGTAGGTGCCGTGATCTTACAGAACGGCCAGGTTCGAGAGACCCATTTTCTGGATACGAAAGTCGACAGCATTAGCGGCGGATGGAACTCAACAGCCTGGAGCACATATGGAGCCAATGCGTCTGAGCTCTCATACAAAGGACGATGGGACAGCCAACATATCTCCTGGTGGGCTGCACCCGGCCTCAAGTTCGCCTTCGAAGGCGAGGATATGGCCATCACCTTCGGTCAATACACTTCGAATGGCGTCCTTGTGGCATATCGAGTCGGAGGCTTGGACTGGCAGTTCACAAATATTACCACTAACGCGACTCACCATTTGGTGACTGCATCAATCCCAGGCCTGAACCTTACGCAATCCGATCAGCGCCCACTCACCTTCGAGATGAGGGTCACAAATTGGGGCTATGGAGTTCAAGTCTCTACCATTCATCTATCTGCCGGCTCGAGACTCATCAAGATTCCCAGCTTCTCCAGATCGATCGAATTCATAGGTGACTCCCTCACCTCTGGCTACTCCGCAACATACGAGGCCTTCAGCAGCTTCGGCTACATGATTGGCGCAGGATTAGGCGACGTTGAGTTCAGCGTCACCGCTCATCCAGGCATCTGTCTACACGACGCAGACTGCTGGGGCAACCCCCGAGGGCAAGAACACCAGTGGTTTGAGACCTACGACACCAACGGTCGCGCACAGGAGATTCATGGCAACAACACCGAACCGTGGGACTTTTCTGCGCATCAGCCTGCGGATATTGTTCTCATCAACCTCGGTACCAACGACAACAACACCGCAAACAACGTGACGAACGAAGAGTACTACAGCTCTTATATCTCATTCATCTCCAAAGTCCACAACGTTTGGCCACACGCGCAGATTATCATCATGTCGCTCTGGAATGGGTTCGGTCAGCGCGGCAACACGTACTACGAGGTCGGTGCGTTCAAGGATGAGATCTACAATGTGTACAAGCACTACGAGAATGAGGGTTACGTACATTACTTCAACAGCACTGGAATCCTACAACACAATGACATTGGACCGCAGTACCACCCGACCGACGTTGGGCATATCAAGATCGCTAGTCATGTTCTGCAGTACATCAGAATCAAGTTTGGATGGGAATTCGCAGCGACGGGCCCGGAGGTGCAGCATGAGACGTTGTACTGGAACAACGAGGTGAGGTATTGATGTAGTAAGCTGAACATGTCACCTGGACATCGAGTCCTGAGCAAGAGGTTGGTGGAAGAAGGAGTCTAGTATTCGCTGCCCCACCATCAAGTCATTACATACAAAAGTAGTGAAAAGGGTATATGCACCGGTCCAACCGAATCGCTATGCACAAAGTCTAAGAAACGAGCCATGTGGCTTCCGCACTCTATAGCGCATAGTTCTCCGCATGCAAGAATATCTCATCTCTATTAGGATCATTCCATACACTTCTCTGCAAATTTGCGACCGTTTCGCTGACACTAACGCGCATGCTCGGTGGCCCGCAGATGAAGACGCACGTTCGCCGACCAAAGTTGCGTGAGAGTCCCTTCAACAAGAATGGTATGTCGGGGCGTCCGTACTCCGTGCTCCAGCCATCTTTCTTCTTGACAGCTGCGGGCAGGAAAGCAAAGCGCATCAGGTTCTTCTGGAATTCGGTTGGCGTGGAGGGGAAGCCGAAGTCGAACCCCTGGACATTCGAGGAGCCACTGAGATCGTAAACGTTGGGGTTAATGGCGCCAGAGCCGGATTTGATGGCTTGCGAGATATCAAGGGAGAGGTTGCGGTCTGTTCGTCGCGAAGCAATCGGATGAGGGGCCGGGGAGATTGTGTCGTCATTTGTGGACCGGCCAGAGTGGCTGCTCTGATAGCTCGGCCGCGGGGGTGCCAGGTGCTTCACATGTGACTGTGGGAGTGACATGATATGGTCTTCGTTTTCACGGCGAAGTTCGCTCTCTTTCTCAGGGTCGCCTTGAGCCACGTCGCGGATCAAGGCAGAGTGGCGCTTCGAGGAGATTCCTGATATTCCGGACAGACGGTTGTCGGCGATGTTGTTGAAAGCGTCGTTGACCTTGTCGTGGAAGAACATCGAGACAGGGCGGGTTGGCGTTTTCGCACTGACGAGTCCGCCTCCTACAATGCGCTTTGCTGCTGTGATGTAAAACTGGCACTCTACAGTCTCCGGTGGCGCAAACTCTCGGCAGATGCGCAGCTCTTCTTTGAACCATTCCAGTGTCTCGGGGCGCTTTAATGCCCAAACAACATGAATCTTGCGCGTCACAGCTTTGCCATCGCGCATCTTCTTGATGAGGCAGAGTAACTGCGAGATGATCGCGGTGATGCCGCTGCCACCGGCAATGAGTACAACATCGTCAAAGGCTTCGATACGTCGCTGCATGCCTCCGTAAGGCCCGTCCACGAAAGTACGGTATGTATGCCAGGGTCCATGTGTCAATGCGCTCTCTACAACCTTCTTGGTAAATCCACCGAAGGGTCTGAAGACAAGGACCATGTCTCTGTAGCCCTCGCCATACTCTGATGGGAAATCGTCATCGCACAGCGATGCGATGGTGAAGGGATGGTTCTCAAACACTGAAATACCAGGCATTCGTATGTAAACGTACTGCCCCGGTCTCCATTTCGTCTGGGTTGGGATCGTGATCTTGACAGCATTCTCTGGCATGAGGGTAACCGCAGCTTCATCACCAATAAGCCATGATAGCCGAAAAGAGTTGGTCCAATTGAGGTAGAAAAGCCGCATGAAATAGGATAACAGCCATATGCCGAGCGTTGAGAAAAGGTAGTGCCAGGAGGACAGATAGTTATTGCAGTGCCAGAACATCATGCCAAGGAAGACGATAGCGACTGGTACGTGGAGAGCGACGAAAAGCTCATACATTCGATGGCGGAGTGGGGCAATAGAGTGCGTGCAAAGGAAGCACAGAGGGACAAGAGCGGCGATACCTGTCAAGTATCAGCCGGTGGAATGCAGATGAACAGAAATGAGAGATCACATACCGGTACCATATGCGTAAAAGCCATCCTGCTGGAAGAAGCTTTCGAAGACTCTTCGCGCACCCTTATCCCAAATTGGATTGACGTAAAAGGGTACAGTGTGCAGGATACTGAGCACAAGACACAAGTACGCCGCCCATCTGTGCAAGACGTTCAGCCTCTCATGGCTGATACCGGTGACCAATGTGATGAGGTTAGCCTTCATAGAAAGCGCAATGATCCACGGTAGCAAGGCAACTGCCATCATGCCAGACCGGATGGCAAGTGGAGGCGATCCATAGGCGATGCTCTTCCAGAACAGTGGCTGGGGCAGACAGCTGTAGAGCAACCCTACTGCAAACGCAAGGAATACAATAACGACAACGCTCAAAGAGGGAAACACAAGCGGTCGCCAGCCTTTACGGATGTTGATCTGTCGAATTGGTCGGTAGAAAACGAATCGGAATAGGGCCACTAGGTTGTTGATTGGCACCACTGACGAAACACTCGACTGCGTCTTTGGCCCGCTTGGCAATGCACCTTCTCGAGGAAAGAACTTCATAGTAGACTTGTCAGTATGGAGAACCGACATCTCGTAGTCTGTGTCGGGGGAGGAGGCTGCTGAGGATTGTAGTACCTCTTCTTGGTGTAATGCGGTCCGGATCTTGTCCGTGAACAGGTGGTAGTATCGCATCAGCGCAGCGACGACGAGCAGTGGTATACAGAAGTAGACATATGCCAGAGCATATTTGCCACTCTCGTTCCAGGGATCCACTGTATTGGCTTCGACAAGTCCTGCTGGACTTGAGCTGTTGTGTGGTATATTCAATCGTCGTACAAGGGATAAGACGACCTCTGCGATATCGTGTTGCGCACGTGTGGCTGAGGTACCGAAATGTGCCAAATCCACACTTGCGGCATCTGATATCACCGGCATCTTGGTGGTAGAAATCGTATATGTGGGAGCTCGAAGCTCGTGGAATCTGCTGCCAGCAGATGCTGGATCACAGAATTGATTTGAACAGATCCAGTAGGCGATGAGGTTGGGACAGTGATTGCTTATAGAATATCCGGAAACTCGTTTCTACATGGGTACGATTGTGGAGTAGCGTCCGTTGTGTCCATGTGGTGTGAAGGCGCGGTAGAGCGAACCAGATTTGGTGTATTGTGTAACCGAATGATGCTTAGGCGGCGTCGGTGTTGCGATGCGACAACCCAACTCTTCATATGTGTACCAGCAAGATGCTCCTTTGCAGTGGGGATTGCAGAAGCAGGGAAACCAAAAGACATTTTCCGACAACAGCCTCCAGATAACGTATGTGATCAGCGGCCTTATGTGATGCTTATGCTCCGTGCTGGAGTGGAGAAAGTGTCACACGCAGGGTTCAGGGCATCCGCATAGTGGCAGCAAATGGCGAATCTTACTCAACCGCTCGTGGTAGCTCGCGCTATTGGGCCAAGGTGTGATAGCGATGTCGAACAGGGGCATCCAAAGAGGAACCGACATTGTGAAGCACTATCACGTTCCCGGAGCGCACTGGCGATTATATCTCAAATACTGCATGGACGGTATGCACCCTATGTGATGGATGCTGTGACTGGTTGGAAAATCTGAACTCTGCCAATATGGCGAGAACGGACGCCAGGGCAGTACTACCGTAGGCGAATCTTCTGAGCGGAATCAGCGGATGGCGTTCTCGATTGCAGCGGGACGTCGACTCGACCCGTTCCCGATCGTTGCAACATGCGCTGTCGACGCAAGGGGAGGTCACTTTGAGAAGTAGTGCAACGGCAGTGCTCGTCCAAATTGCCATTTTGTTCCACGTTGCATCTGAGCCTCCTCGTCACCTCAAAGCTGGGAAGACTCTGCTCACGATTCTTGTCCATGTTGAGGGCGGTGTGGGCGAGAATGCGACACTGAGACAGATCAGCCACCTCGTGAGCGTGTAGTCGAATCACAGCCATTGAAAGCATGTCGAGCTTGGGCTGCTCAGGACCGCACTGCGGAGCCCCCAAATGGGCCGGCTCCGGTTCGCATGACTTGCTCACAGGCGAATTGGAGAACTGGAATCGCAGTGCAATGACTGGAGGAGTGCAGGGCAAAAGTGATGTGGAGCGGGGTGAGTGGTTGATGATCGTCTTCTAAGCGCCCACTGTCTCGATTAAGCCTAGACTCAAAATCAAGCTTTGATTGACCCGTAATGTGCGGTGGTTGGTCGCAAGGCTTCCATCAACCTGTGCTTTTGCAATTCGGATTCATCGTCCGGCTGTACTGTGTGGAAGGATTTGACTTTGGGCATCGTGATAAGCTTCGGATAGGCGGTCCATGCTTACTTCGGGCCGTACACGGCTAGATATGAAGCGTTACGGCACAGCAGGATAGCAGGTGCAACACAGATGCGATTTGGCTCGGGATAGTACAGCAGGCTGCAAGATCATAATCCAAGACTCACAACCTGATCAAAAGGCGTCATCTTGTATTTGTTCAGACTTCCAATGCTCTAAGAGGTCCCAGAAAACAAGCACTTAATTTGTAACACGCTCAACCCAGTTGATTTCACGCTTGTTCGAATGACTTCAAAGCAGCATCAAATCCATCACACCGTAACGAAGAGGTCATCGCAACACCAAGCCACTGGGGTCTTCATCTGAAGTCCCTCCATGATATCACCATACAAACAACCCACCAAGTGGTACCTTGGCTGCCCAGCGACCTCCCTTGAGGCCAAGAGGTAAGGAGTTCCCTCTAAGCGCCAGCCCTACAGCATCGAGCCCACGACACATACATCGTAAAGCGGTCCAGGGCCCTGGATCAGGCACGGTCTGGCTTCTGGACTGTTACGCGCTCGAGCGTGTGCAATCTGGACCGCGTGGCTGCAACTCTAATTGAACGTGCCGGTGTGCTAGAAGTGCAGACTACAGTGTTATGGGGTAGGAGGGTGTATTGGAATGGGCGAGTCGAGCAGTTGGGTAATGTGTACCTGGAGGTGAAGGCGATACAAGGGTGGTGGCGTTGTAGATGTACTTGGCTAGTGTTACGAGACATTCGTGGAGTTCACAGGTACTTAGTCAATCTGTGCACAGTAAGCCACTGATAGCTGATGGGCGCGAGTGGACTTAGCGGTGTCTGTTTCGTCCATGGCCTGCAAACTGATGTTGTATGTGAAGGGAACCCCCAACTTCGAGGATTCCGTGCTGCACGCGCCAGAAGTCCAGCGATGGAGGGTTGTCGCAGTGTAGAGGCAATGCACTAAGCAGAGCATCTTCTACGCCCGCGTATTCGTCCTGCCCATGGCCCAGCTTGCACTAATGTTGCGCCCGGTTTTCCAATAAGCAACACAGAGGGAACTGCCATGTTTCGGATGGCCGACTCAAATCTCAATCAAAGACCCGTGCAGAAAGCGCATCTCAACGTTGAAATCCCAGGTTGACTGAACTTGTTGGATTGCGTCTATGCTGACCAGCGCCTATGGATATCCTCCCCCCAAACGTGAGCCAGCAATGGGATAAACAGAATGCAAATGCGAAAGTGGTCCCCCTCCAGAAATAGTATGGTCTTCGTCGATTAAAATAATATGAAGTCCGGCCAGACGTGCTAATCGTTGCCGTGGCGCGCGTCTGGGGAGTGTCGGACTGGGAGATGCTGGCTATCTAGACCTTGACGCTGGCGCGCGAGTGCGCCGAGTGTGGTCGTTCTGAAGAAGTCAGCACTGCATTCCAGGCACATGTTGCGGTTAGCGTACCCGGGATGTCCATTGTTTGTGGATGCCTTGCCGCCAGCGGACTGTTGGCAGGAGCCGTGTCCTTGTTGGGGAAGACACCTGAGATGGGGCTGCGGCGCTGGCTGTCCTTGGGCTTTGGCGGTGAGTCGCCAGTGGCCTGGCTCAGGCGCTCTTCGGCCTCTCGTAGCCGCCTCTGCAGCGCCTCGAGCTCCTGTGCTTGTGTGTTGACGGCTTGCTTCCTGGTAAGCGGTCAGCTGAAGCTACTTGGGACGAAACGTGCAGACTACTGACTTCTCGTGCACGGTCTTATCCAGTGTGTCGAGGCTGCTGTCGAGGTTGAAGAGCGCGTCGAGCTCACTCATGAAGTTGCGGGCAACGGTGCTGCATCTGTTAGCAGAAGCGGGCGTCATGCTAGCGGGTGATCATACGACTGAGGGCGGTTGTTTGGTTTCCAGCCCGCGTCAGGGTCCTGCACGGCGGTCTGGTTCTGCATGGTGAGACGTGGGGAAGGGCGAGCTTGGGTGGATTGGGAGTGAGGCGGACGGGCGGCGTCGATGATGCTGTGAATGTGGCCGTGGATGATGCGGGGGTGGAGAGGAGCAATGGGCGCAGTTGGGGGGTTAAGAAGAGAGCTGGTTATATGGACGCGTACGGGGATGTTTCAGAGGTTGTGGCGGCGCAATGGGGCATGAAGAGGGCGTGGCGATGGAGCATGAAGAGGGCGTCCTTTGGTCGAAATTGATGGCTTCCTGTGATTAATCTGCGGATAGGGGGTCGGCCATAGCTCGACGCTGATCCCTAGTGGAGCAATCGGGCACACGAGGTTTGGGGGCAGCAGCCACCGTTGAAGCGACATGAGCCCCAACGGCTGCGGCTGCTGCAAGTTCGATCGTGAGGAATGGAGACGGACGAGGCTCCCCCAGCAGGCCCAGTGACGCTCGACGATGATGCGCCGACCTAACGAAGCGTCCCAGGGTGGCCTTCCCGCTTTGCGCGTTCTGGACGCGTCTTGCCGATTGGGCGCCTGCACCTCTAACTAGCGGCCGCTGATGGCATGCACGCAGCTGCTTTGCGCCGCAACGACAACTTTTCATCACCACCCGCGCTCCACGCCATCGCTATCCCCTCGCTCACGTGACGCGTCCATCTGCCCGCAACCCTGCGATGCCCGCCTGCCCCTCGTGAGCCCGCACTCACCGTATCTCGCCGCCCTGGCTCCCATCCCGCCGCAGCAGGTCCGCCCACCGCGCGCTGCAGACCTACCCCGGGGCATGACAGTTAGCGTCTCCGCCTACACAACCCTCGAATCACTCCTCATCTTCCAGAGCCTTAAGAGCTATGGCGTGACACCAAGCGCCTTCAGCAAGACGTCAGAGCTGCTGAAGGCCAACCCAGAGGTCACAGCGCACAAGTTCTTCCAGGCCGGCCGTCTGAGCCCCGATGCCCTGCGCAGTTTCTACCTGGAGCGCCTGAGGAGGGAGATTGAACTGGAACAGAGCGGCGACGGTGATGCCCAGAGCAGCGAGAACCCCAGGAAGAGGAAGGCTACCGGGCCCACGTTGCCCACCGTGCAGGAGTCGCTGAAGTATGAGTACCTCATGCCCAAGCTGCTAGAAAAGCTGTACTGGACATGGCGCACTGCAATTGTCAATCAGGTCAGGGCCGACGAGGATACTTTGGACAGGCTGCAGCGCGAGATCACAGGTATCGAGCGCGGGGAGTGGGATGAACAGCTGCGGGAACGTGTGAATACGAAGGCGTCTTCGCGCAGTCCAAGCATGACCAAAAAATCCCCCCGTGTTGCGCACAGCCCGTTGCCACAAGCTGTTGCTCAGAATGGAGCAAGACGACCAGATGGAGCGCAACAAACACCGCAGCAAGGCCAGGCTGCAGCCGGCGTGCTCAAGACGTCACCAAGGAAGAAGAAGGATCAGCGACCAGTGGCTAGCGCTTCACAACCCATCGCTGCTTCACCGGGGCCACATCCAATCCAAACCCCTCCGCCGCACTTCCAGCAGCCTCCTCCTCCAAACGCAGCATGCAACGGTCCTCCTTACCCTCATATTTCGCCGTTTCCTCCAGCTCAGCAGCCACTCCAGCCCAGCCCACAGCAAGGCCATGCTCGGCCACATGCTCAGTCGCCTGCGCCAGGGCCACCGGGGCAATACCAGCAGCCTATACAACCCTACGGACCGAATGGAGCACCGCAGTATGCTGCTCCTGGAGGACCTCAGCAGTTTCCTCCAAACCAGCGCTTCCCTCAACAAGGGCCACACTCACCAAGCGTGCACACGTCACAGCAGAAGAACAATTACTTCCCACATCCTGCGCCGCCAGCCCATCCTCCTCCACCACAAGCTGGGTTCATGCTACCGCCTTTTCAGGTCTCACCGCAGAATCCTACCCATGTGCACCATCCTCCAGCCTCAACACCGTACCCACAGGTCTCGACACCCACCATCAAACGGCCTGCGCCACAGCAGCATCACCAAACTCCCGGCTCCCATAGGCCTGGTGCGCCGCCAATGCACCCGGGGGTGATACAAGCACGACAGTCGTTCTCAACACCTTTGAGCAATCGATCACATAGCGCTACGAGCACGCCACAATCAGCGAAGTCACGGTGGAAACAGCAACAACCTGGCACACCCGGCGGTTTGCCTGGAACGCCTCGTCCTGTGCCGGAGGCTATCGACGATTACGTCCCACCAAGCGCTACCAAACAAAGCCCAGCGAAGCCCAAATTTGGCCGGAAGTCTAGAGGGAGAGGCAAAGCGAAAGACAAGGACGTGGATGAGAAGGCTCTGCCCGATACAGAGACCCAGCCCGAGACACTTCTCCCAACGAGCTCGTTGGAGGTGCCTGCATCTGACTCAGGGACTCGACAGGGGCGATCGCGGCGCAAAGCACCTGCAAAGCGTGGAAGACCCGGTAGTGTCGCCTCTTCACGAGCAGGCGGCTCAGTACGAGACCGTAGTAGGAGTCGGTCTATCCTCTCTCACACCGACACAATCGCCGACACAGACTCTCAGACTGGCCACCGCATCAAGACCGAGCGTCGAGGTTCCTTAGACGATGGACTGGATGAAGAAGTAACCAACAGTCCCTCGCAGATGACCACACGTCGACGAGCTGCCGCGCCCACAACAGCACCATCCTCAACACGACGAAAGCGCAACGCCCGGCAAGCCTCTCTCGCAGAGTCCGAAGACACTCCCGGCACTCCCAGCCCGAACCGCACCATCATTGCCTACCGAAACTTCCACCGTACGTGCCAGGTTATTCTCGACGACATCACCTCTCACAAACACGGCTCCATGTTCGCCACTGCCGTCAAGACTAGAGGTTATCACGACATCATTAAGCGCCCCACAGACCTCTCCACCATCAAGAAAGCTCTCGCCAACGGTGCCAAGTATGTCAACGCCATGGCTTTGGACACACCCGTTGGCAGTCCAGGCAGTGCCGGCGCGACAATCGAGCTCCCTGCCAGCAGTGATGTTGTACCGCCCAAGGCAATCGTCAACCCTGCGCAACTGGAAAAGGAGCTTATGCGCATGTTCGTAAATGCTATGATGTTCAATCCGGGTGAAGAAGGCGTAGTGACAGATGCGAGAGAGATGTTCGAGAGTGTGCAAAGGAGCGTGAGTAATTGGCGCAATGTGCATGGGAGGGGGAGTGGGAGGGAACAGGGAGAGGGGACGCCAGCCGAGGAGGAAGAGGGCGGGAGTAGTAAGCGGAGGAAAGTGTGAGATTATGTCACCGGTATCTGAGATGAATGGAACTGAATACGTGATACATACGCAACCACAGGTGGCAACCTGAATGGCTCCAGCACCTAGACCGGTCACAAAAGTTGTGTGAAAGTAGACAATGTTGCCTACAGCTGGTTATAGAGGAATGTCACAAAGACCTGTACAAGCGTGCAGTCAGTCAAGCCCGTTGATGCTACTGATTAACGACGGCATGCAGAATCCCATCTATCAGGCACCCCGGGCGGCGTTCTCATGGATAGTCCTGGTTTGTCCCGTGTATCTTTGCTTGTTGCAGGAGACAGGTCAGCCTGCGAGCACCACGCACAGGAAAGAGCAAGGCCTCCAAATATGGACGCCAGCGTTCGACGTATGTGGCCGGTCTGTGTAGATGGTCCGCTTATCTGACAGCGTCAAAAGACCGCTTGACGGCTTGAGTGAGCCACCTCATATGCAATGCCCGGGAAGATACGAAGCTGGAGGCATGAAGCTAAAATGCTATTCCCTCACCAAAAGTCACGATAGGTATCTGACAATGACGGCGGAGCTAGCCAACGCCCTCAGGCAGAAGGAGTTCCACACTCGTGCTCCCCGCAGTCATGGACTTGCGCAATTCTTCATGAACATGCGTAAAGTTTCAAGAACAAGGTCCTCAAAGCTGTTCGTTGCCGGTGCTGGGCGAGCTCCCCGGGGTGTGGAGGAAGGAGAAAGTGCTGACCGTCATCGCCACTGCGAGTCGCTGTACTGCCTTTGGCGCTGCGGCTAGGCCTGCCTTACCGGCCTAGCCGCAGCGCCAAAGGCAGTAGCTCAGAAATTCTCGTCAGGGCCAACGAACCCTGCCCGTGCGTGGATAAGGGTAATAAAGCCCAATCTCTGTCACAGTTCTCCCCAACGCACTTTTTTCAGGGCCTCCGTATTTTTGCCCTTCGTTGTTGTACTTGTCTAGACTCTCCCCTCTTCGTCTGGAGCGTCTCACGAGCACGATACCCACGGTCTTTTTGTTTTTGCTCGCAGCTGCTTGGGCTCCGCCGCTTACGCTTCAGCCGCGAAATTTCCTTGTCGATAAGCCCCGCCAAAAGAAATCCCGCGACAGAAAACAGCACTTGTCGCAGACACCACGCTCAGCGGGATATGCCACACTCTGAGTCGCCCACCATGGCCTCCGCTATCGTCGTCGACAAGAGCGGCTCTGCGCCTGCGCCCTCGCACGAGGATGTCCAGGCGTTTTTGACGAGCATCGTCACCGCAAAGACATCGCACGCCTCGGTCGACGCCGCCTACGCCCTCACCGAGCTCCTGACCAACTCGGTCGGCTTCCGTGGCCTCCAGGGCTATGGCATCCTCGACTCGCTCAAGAAGTCGGCCACCAACAAGAAGGACCCTGTGCAGAGGGAGGGCGCCATGAACGGCGTCGGTGCGCTTTTCGAGCGCTTCCCTCGTGCGCAGAAGTTGGCTGAGGTCATCTTCTTGGTGCAGGACGAGACTCTGCTCCCTCTCACAATCGACTCGCTCTCTGACAAGGCTGCACCTGTCAGAGAGTCGGCCAAGTATGCGCTCGACTCGCTGTTCGACAACCTCTCCGCCGAGGCCAAGGTCATCGGCTTCCTGCCTGCGCTCATGAAATACCTCGGAAAGAAGTCTGGAAAGTGGCAGGGCGCAGTCGGCGCTCTCGAGCTGATGGGCCGCATGGCCGACAAGGCCAAGATGGGCATGGAGAGCCTCGAGGTCGAGCAGGAGAAGGATGTGCTCCGTGAGGCCATGGGCAAGAAGCTCGAGGGCCTCATTCCCATCGTCGAGAGCTACATGCACGACCTCAAGTCCGAGGTTTGTACCCCCACAGCACGACGAGAATGCATATGCTAACAAGGTCGCAGGTAGCAAAGCAGGCCGTCAAGACCATGAACAGCCTCACCACCCTCCTCCAAAACGACGACATCGCGCCCCGGATACCCCTTCTTGTCAAGGCCATCGAGGACCCCTCCACGCAGAGTCTACAGAAGGCCATCCACGCCCTCTCGCAGACCACCTTCGTCGCCATCGTCACATCGCCCGTTCTCGCCATGGTCACACCTCTGCTCGAGCGTTCGCTGAACAACCCCAACACCACACAAGAAGTCACTCGCCAGACTGTCGTCGTCGTCGAGAACTTGACCAAGCTCGTCCACGACCCCATCGAGGCTCGCGCTTTCCTGCCCAAGCTGAGGCCTGGCGTCAAGGCTGTCTTGGACCGCGCCTCTATGCCCGAGGTCCGTGAGATCGGTGGTCGTGCTTTAGCTGTCATCGATGCTGCCATCGCAGACAAGGATGGCAATGTCGAGCACGGCGCTCTCGCCCGCGTCTCACCTTTCGAGGTCTCCTTGGTCCTCGAGACACACATCAAGAACGCCGGTGGTCTCCTGAACTTCCCTGGCGACAACGAGGTCTGGGCGTCTGCTAAGGCCCTCATCTCTGCCATGATTGCCGAGGACGTCCATGAGCGTCAGGTCAAGCGCATCTCCTCGCTTGTTGCTCCTTACCTCCAGCCCTTGATGAACCCCGGTGCCGCCGAAAAGGTCTCGGAGGCTGTTTCTCAGTTCTACATTGATGAGGACCACCGCAAGTTCGGCCAGCCCGTTGTCGAAGATGATGGTGAGACTGAGATTGTCAACGCCACCTTCTCCCTCGGATATGGTGGTATGTTGCTCCTTTCGCATACCAACCTGCGTCTGCTCAAGGGTCACCGCTACGGTCTTTGCGGTCGCAACGGTGCCGGAAAGTCGACGCTCATGCGCAGTATCGCAAACGGCAAGCTCGAGGGATTCCCCCCTCAGGACGAGGTCAAGACCTGCTTCGTCGAGCACAACCAGGGTGAAGACGCTGAGATCACCATTCTCGAATACATTGTCAAGGATCCCCGATTCCAGGATGAGACCAGAGAGCGTATTTCCGAGGTCTTGGAGGAAGTCGGTTTCACTTCTGGTCCCGAGGGCAGGCAATCGCACAAGGTCGGCTCCTTGTCCGGTGGTTGGAAGATGAAGCTCGCCCTGGCGCGTGCTATGCTTATGCGCGCTGACGTTCTGCTGCTCGACGAGCCCACTAACCACTTGGACGTTGCCAACGTTGCCTGGCTGCAGGAGTACCTCAAGAGCCACACTGAGATCACTAGTCTGATTGTTTCTCACGACTCCGGGTTCCTCGACGCCGTCTGCACCGACATCTACCACTACGAACAGAAGAAGCTTGTCTGCTACAAAGGTAACCTTGCCGACTTCGTCAGGCAAAAGCCAGAGGGCAAGAGTTACTACACTCTCTCCGATTCGCAGGTCCAGTTTAAGTTCCCTCCTCCCGGTATCTTGACTGGTGTCAAGTCCAACACCCGCTCCATCCTGCGTATGACGGACTGCACATTCACATACCCCGGTGCGCCCAAGCCATCGCTTTACAATGCGTCCTGCAACTTGTCGCTTTCCTCCCGAGTCGCCATCATCGGTGCCAATGGTGCTGGCAAATCCACTCTCATCAAGATTCTGACTGGAGAAGTCGTTCCCCAGGACGGCAAGGTCGAGAAGCACCCCAACTTGCGTATTGGTTACATCAAGCAGCACGCTCTGGAGCACGTTGAGATGCACTTGGAGAAAACACCCAACCAGTACCTCCAGTGGCGTTACGCCAACGGTGATGATCGTGAGGTGCTGATGAAGCAGACCCGTGTCCTTACCGCGGAAGACAAGGCTCAGATGGAGACACCCATCGATCTTGGTGATGGCAAGGGCGCACGTAAGATCGAGGCATTGATTGGTCGTCAGAAGTACAAGAAGACCTTCCAGTACGAGGTCAAGTGGCTCCACATGCTGCCCAAGTTTAATACTATGATCTCGCGCGAGACCCTGCTAGACAAGGGTTTCCAGAAGCTCATCCAGGAATTTGACGACCACGAGGCGTCTCGCGAAGGTCTTGGTTACCGTGTTCTCGAGCCCAAGGTCATCTCCAAGCACTTCGAGGACCTCGGCATGGACCCTGAGATTGCCAACCACAACGAGATCTCTGGTCTCTCCGGAGGCCAGAAGGTCAAGGTCGTGCTTGCCGGTGCCATGTGGAACAACCCCCATCTTCTCGTCCTTGACGAGCCAACCAACTTCTTGGACCGCGACTCTCTCGGTGGTCTCGCCGTCGCTATCCGCGACTACAAGGGTGGTGTCATCATGATTTCCCACAACGAAGAGTTTGTCGGCGCGCTCTGTCCCGAGCAGTGGCATGTTATCGACGGCCGTGTTCAGCACAAGGGCCACCTTGCTGTCGATATGGCTCGCTTCGAGGACTCCTCTCGCCCTGGCTCGTCGGTTGCTAGCAGCAACGTCAGCTCCGCCGCACCCAGCTCTGCCGGTACACCGATCGGCTCCGACACCGAGGGTGATATGAAGTTCAAGGCCAAGAAGAAGAAGAAGATGACCAAGAAGGAGCAGAAGGAGCGTGAGGTTAGGAGGCGATTGAGATACATTGACTGGCTCAACAGTCCCAAGGTATGTTCTCCTTGCACCCAACTATCTACATTTGACCCAATACTAATGTTTCACAGGGCACGCCTCAACCTCCCAACACCGATGACGAGGCAGAGTGAATGAGCTCAACTGGGTAAATGATTTGTTGGCATGACATGATATCACCTTAGACTTGCATGGTCCGGCGTTCTAGAGGAAAATACTTGGGTTTTGCATTTCGAGTGCTCATAGACATGACGATCTCACGAGGTTGGCAATCTCTCTATTTAGCAGACTAAAAGCATCTTTTATACTTCTGTTACCTTCTAGATGTTGTCCTCGTCTCTTCCTCGTCGCTGCTACTCTCGTTTGCAAAGCACCGGTACATGGTGCCTTCCTGCCGTCCCAATCTGACGACGCCACGTTCTCCTTCGCACACTTTGCACCTTACAATCGTCCTCCATGACTGTCTCTGTAAAGAAGTGCAATTACTCCGCCTATGTGCGGCGATACTGCTCCCTAGCTTCTGCGCTACGGTGCGGTAGAAAGCCTGTCACGCTATTGGTGCAGTTTCAACATGTCACTGCGGTAAATTGGTCCTCACAGCTCTGAGCACAGATGGACTGCTCCGCTAGCCCATTGGCGAGTATAGATACTGCGTTTCATTGGCCGCATTTCTTCCAAACAAAGCAAAGAAGAGTCGAAAGGGCAAGGCTGGCAAGGCGAAGCGGGTGTAAGTCGGCCACGCTGAGAACCTAAAGCGGAGACAAAGAGGGACGGATCATCGCTGATAGGATTGGATAGAACGTACCAGCGCTCTACACGTTCAAATTCATCCAGGGGACCTTTGATAGATTGCTGGAGCATCCCAGCGCCACTGGACAAGCAATAGGACGCGTTCGTGAGGTTTATTTTGCAGAAGGCTCGTTCGTCTTCCTTGCTGCTCATCGCCGTAGAACCCGGTATCGATGGCGGCTGCAGGGCGTCGGGTGATCAATATCGTCATCGAGGACGACTCGAATATAAGTTCGTTCCTCTTCGTGTGCATTGTGTGTTGTTCGGTGGCTCACACCAACTCTCCCTCTTGCTCTTCCAACACCGGACTTTTCAGGTTGCAAAAGCGTTGTACATCAACACAAACCACCCCGCATATGTTGGTGATCGATATTGGTAATCAGGGGTACTCTTCGAAAGATCCGTCAGGCTGTAGGAGTTCTCAAAAGTAGGTTTGATTGTCTCTGATAGTTTTCGCCGGCAAATCCAATATGGGAGCCTAATGCGTGTCAGCGCTCCCCTAATCAAAGACCAAGACGATCGCTTCGACCAGCACTGGTACCCCCTCCCGTCTTCTCAGGGTTTCAGGAAATTGCTCAGTCCGATGTGCGCAAAGTCAAGAAGTCTGAGAACCGCTTTCTTAGATTCATGCCGCAACCTCTAGTGTTGCCAGCTCTTCATCAAGCAGCCTGAGCAAGGCAGGTAGAGCACGATCGTCTCAGGGAAAGGACATCTACAATCGCTACTGCTTGCTCAATGCTGTTGAACCTCCTTAACAGGTTGTGGAGAACTACATGGGCCTTGCCGCCGTACGAAAAATGCCTATCAACAAAGCGTAGCCCAAAGACTGGATGCCTTTCAAGCATTTCGAGGGGCCAACAGTTCAAGACAACGCCTTATATATTTGCCTCGCTGTCGGACTCACAGAGGCAGATGATTAGACCCAACGCCGCTGCTATGAGGCGCAAATGCTTTGCTAGTTGCGGAGCAACTGATATCTCTTGCTCCGTGAACTGTTAACTACATACCGCGACAGCTCTTCTAAGCACTTCGGGGTCTAGATGGACGGCTTCACGGGAAAGATCACGACGCTTTCGGCGACTGGTGGATTGGCAAAGCTCATCGACCAGAGCTCAGCCTGACATTAACGTCGAGGCCATGCAGACAGCATGCGGCTGCGGCTGGTCGTCATCACATTGAACGAGAACGACGACACAGACTTACACGCTCTTATAACCACGCTGAAGTACGCCACCGGAAGGCTTATTTGGCTGCAAAAGCGTTGCTGTGTCAATTCCGGATACCCCCACCCCCATTATATTGAGGAAAACGACTCTGACATATCAGGACCTGGAGCAGATAGGAGACAATGCAGGTGCTATTACTAATGTTGCCGCCCCGGTGAGTCTTGTTAACATGCTCGTCGTCTTTGGTGTTACATCCACTCGCGCTGACGCTGCTGATTAGTTATAGTACTTTACAGGCATTTCCGAAAGCAAGAGCTTTTGAAACTAGACCAGAACTGTTCCTACTTCTTTGTCGACGGGGTCTTCACAGGTGGTTTTCTCTGCTGTCACAAGACTTGGTCGTCGAGCCCACACGTGAAGACTCTCCTCGGTTAAATCCGCAGTACATTTGCAAAAGATCACCCCTATCATTACATCTGCACAAGTGTTGCAGGGGGTGAGATCTGAATCGTTCCCGCACTTGGCTGGAACGGAAAGTGAGGCTGCCCAAGTAGTCTGGTGTACCGCGGAACATTGCCAGATTGAGATGAAGGCAGCTCGACCATGAGATACAGTGACACTTGCTGGATAGTCGAAACGCGACAACGACTCGACGCAGCCTAACTCGACCTATCTGCGTACGCGGACATATTTATGTGGCCTTTTGGAGGCGAGCAATTTCGAGGAGTCGACTCAATGGCGACCTTGACCGACTCGCGACCTGTCCCGAGCGTTCGGAGAGATAGTGGGCTCGGTCTCGGTGAACGATTGCCCGGGAGATCGACCAAAAGCTCCTGTTTTCCACCATGACATCCAAACCCGGGATTTCATGTTCCGCCTTTGCAGAGTTTCGGTATGTGCCATAGCGTTGTGTACTTGATCTCCACACACCAGTCAGCAGAGCAAAGGACAGAAATCATTCTAGCCTTGCGTTGGCTAATCTTGGCATGCAACGGCGTGTGGAGAGTTTGCGTTGCGTCAATAATGCTTCGAGAAGAATTGCTAGCCGGCCGCCGGCGCTTCTCCGGACGTCGGTGAACCGTCATGTTTCCGGTCGCGAATCATGGAATGATTGGTGACGGCCATGTCCCCAGCCGCTTGCGGGTGTTGCTTCCGCTAGTTAGTCTGACGATGTGGTGCCCATGGGCCTTCCACACATTGTCCCACATGTTCCACATGGGGCTTTTGAAATTCAGGGATGACATTTTGTAGCGGACTTGGAGCTGGAGGCCGGCGCTATGACGCTGCACATCTGCTTGTTGATCTGATGCGTTTGCAGATACTCACTGCGTCGATCTTCAGATTCTGCATGCGCATCGTCTCTTGAAACAGATAGTACGCTGAGAATTGTGTGTATGTCGATCGGTGTAAGGATATGACAGCTCCACTGCGAGTGACATTGCAGGTCGGTACAGATGATGCTGCTGTACCACTCCCATTCCTGCAGGTGAAGGGCGCTATTGACGCTAATTGTGTTACGTACATACCGCCTCCTGAAGCTATCACGTGTGAGCTTCTGACATTCTTTGGTGTTGAGAGGATACAGAAAAGCTCGGGATCTCGGCGAAGCTAAGCGAGGAAATCTCTTCATCGTTACATCACGTGCTTTCAGGCAGTGCGGCGGAGGGAAATGCCACGTCTTTGATGCTTCCGACCAAAGTGGACGTTTGCCTACTGCAGAAAGGTCCTTTGGAGCGCCCGTATAATCACATTTATATTTAAGCGTTAGCTCAAAACACTCATCAAAGTACAGCAAGCCCGGCTGGCACAATCGGTAGCGCGTGAGACTCTTAATCTCAAGGTTGAGGGTTCGAGCCCCTCGTCGGGCTATCATTTTTTTCATCAAAAACTCGTCGATTAGTCAACTGGCTGTGGAGTTGTCATGCTTTTTGTTTCGGGAGTGATGCTGATAGTAGAGGTCGCTAGATTCGCGCCAGCACGCAGCGCTTATCAGGACTGACAACAGCCGCTGTTCCTGCCTGTGCTGTGTACAGAGAAACTTTCCCGCCTTTCTGTTACTTGGGTGACCACCGGTCGTCTGGCCGCTCCGAAGTGCACCTGCCGGGAAGCCACCGGTAGAAACAGTAGGCCATTTACTGCGACGAAGTACCGAACCGAGAAATTACACGACGGCGTGGATGTTCCCGCAGGCAAGTCTTAGGTTCGAAAGGCTTCATTATTTGCACTGCTTGCCAAGAACCGCGTGCTGATTGCAATAATGGAACACAAAGTCAACGATATCCATCGTCAAATCCTCTGTAGTATCCTGTGTAGCAGCATCACATGATGTAGAATCGCTGCGCTGCGCTGTGCATGCAGCTTCGCAAGCTTTTCACAGGCAGCATGGACAAACACAGAGAAGGTTTGGCCGCCTAAGCGCTGAGAAATCTGAAATGCACAAGACCATACTCGTTTCTGCATAGTCCACACACGAAGTACTGTGTGACTTTATGCAAATTCACAGGATATCGTTCGGACGGTAGAACCTTCCGAGTTGACCGGCCAGAGCGAGGCTCTGCGAATAGCACAGGCTCAGACGAGCTGACGTTCATCACATGGGCAGCTTAATATCGCCATACGCCTCGGGTACTCGTGAAACGACCGCCACACCTGCTCCAAGGCGCGACTTCACCAAATGCTCGTAAACGAGCTTTCAGCATCGGCATCGCTTACCAGCTAGGATAACGCATAGCATTCGCTTTATGCGAGTGATCAGTGATGCCAAGAGACTGGAGTGCAGAATGCATACGGATGCGTACGATGGGGTGCATGATCGGTGCTGACAGGACCATCAGCATCAGGTCGCCGTCGTACAAGGCACGCGGCACGGTGGATCCTCGAGAAATGGGCATGCATGCGTACGGACATTTTGCACATGATGCACAGGGGCTACGACTGGACGGATTGTTGAGTTCGTGTGTCGATGCTGGGTGCCCAGACTATTGACTGTCGTCGTTGACCGTCCACAGGCCAGGTCAGGAGTCTTATTTCTGATCTGCGCTTCCAAGCAGACAAGTTCTGGATCCCTTCCTTCATGCGGCACGGTTACTATCAGAAGTTAGAATGGGAGACGGGGCGGGGCGGAACGCGACCGTGAAGTGACAGGCAGGGGCGTAAGACAGGGCGTGGACGACGTCGATCGGCGCAGGCTGCTCTGCAGCTTTTTGCCGCGTGTAGACGATGCCGAAGATCTGGAACTCTCCCCGGCCGTATGGATTCGGGACGCCGAACGGTTGTGCCGAACGCACATGATGGCCCGGACGTTGATGCTGGTCCACGCATATTATGGATTGCAGACGATGTGACCTTCCTCAACGGCCGTTTCGCGCGCTTATCGCTCTTGTGCTTGGGCATCACACTCGCCATGACAGCATATTTGTGGCTTACGGAGATAACTCAACATAATGTGGGGACAGAGTGACGAGGGTGGGTGGGTGAGAGTGGGGACGAGATACTCAGTGCAGGAACACGTCCGAATTCTTTGCTCGCTAGCCGGATACGGACATTGATGTCAGAAGTTGCGACCAGGCATCCTGCATAAACAATGTGGAACTTCAATAGTGTCTTGTGAGCGCTGAGCACACAAACACTTCTTTGTGATGAACTGTGCTGTTCTGGCATTTACCGGCTCCAGGTTAGCGTGCAGGCGCGGACTCCCCTAGCGCAGGTAACCGCGCTCCTGCAGCATGAGCAGGTCACGTCCATCCATAGAGCGACCCTTGTTTACTGCAACTTCCGAAGCTGTTCATGTACAAATTCCCTGTCCATTGGTTCATATGCACATAATCTTTGTCGACGTCCTTTCTTTAGACATGGTCATTTCGCGCGCCCCCCATAACGGTAATATTACCGGTCGCCGGGGACTTCCGACTCTTCAAGAATTGAGCTTGTTCGCGATTCGTGACAGCGATCAACATCCACACTGCCTTTCCCCCGACGGCGACCTTACTGTGTAAGGTACACGGCACAGCAACGACGGACCTTCCTCCCGGCTATGTGGTAGCGGGGGAGCTAATCACGAAGAGCATATTGCTGTGTCACAATCGCATGAGTGGGCGTTATTAAGGATGAGGAAGTAGAATTAAGCGCGGCTGGGTGTCGTAGGCAGCGTAAAAGCGGGGCATGATTCCCGAATTACGGCTGTCGGAGTTGTTTCTGATTTGCGGAAGTCTGGAGCAGACAGCCATTACACGTGCTGGGATACGTTCATCGGTTGCATCTAGTCAAACGTCAAAGAAACCCAAATCGATAGCTGACGGAACGCCGTTGCTGCCGTTAAGATTAAAAGGCGTTCAGCGTTCCGGTAAGGTTTGGTGCCGAGGCACCCCAACTATATGACGATTCAAGCGTACAGAGCGTCTTTTGAGGATTTTGTAAGAAATAGGCTTGGAAGCTTTCTCGTATTCGGCCGGCTCGGTGCTTCTTTTGTTTACTAGCAGCCGAACCGCATCGCTCGCACGCTCGAATTGAACGTGCAAAGATAGAGAGCATGTGAGTTCTCGAGTCGTGTCTTACTGGAACATGGATCGGATTCCTTTCCGGTCAGTGCACCGGAGAACGAAGACTTGGATTGGAGAGGAAGTAAGTCCGTTCAGACGCTCTGACTGGTCCGTACTGCAGGATGTAGTTCCGGTGCATGCTCATAGAATCATCCTGTAGCTTGCAAGTAGTGGGTATCTTCGCGTATTTCCCCAAAGCCAGCATCGAGCGTGATGGCCCTGGTCTAGCCATGCTTTGCCACACTTAGGCTATGTGTGTCAGGGATCGCAATCGGCAGGCATTTGCCTCAAGATAACGCCATCGGAGCCGAATGGATACGGAAGCTTGATGCGCAACCAACAGGAAATGTCAAAGTGTCGTCGCAGGAGGAAGTAATGCGCCTTTCAGATTGGTACTGCGACTGCATTGATGGTATACTATCCCAATACCTGTTTGATGCGTGCGGCTCTCTCTCGCATTGTCCAAGAAGAAGTACGAAACTGTAAGCGTGTCGAACTAGTGGTGTAGTGCGCTACGTTAGCGAAAGGACAATTGTCTGATGAACTCGATGAGAGAAAAGTAAAGGTCATAGAATACCCAATGACCTTCTGCGAATCATGTTCGCTTCATGTTTATGCTACAGGCTGATGTGCAGGCTTTCCTTTGACGCCTGCCCCAAGAATCTGACTCCGGCCAGATAAAGCTTCTATTCGTACATGGGAAGGGTAAGACGTAAGTCGAGAATCGAGTCTTCCTATGATTTCTGAGGAAGCCGCCAGTCTGTGGCAAGCCTTCAGCTGCCCGTCTCGTAATGCGATGGATTTGTTGAAGCAATCGTGGAAGATGACGTGGGGGTAATCGAATGAAAAGTGTTTTGGCCGTGCGTGTACGAAACTCGAACTTTTTCAGTAACCGATTGTTCCCAAGTTGTTACCATACGCCTGAAGATCGATGTAAAAAGCACCAGCCGCTGGTGATCGTGATCAATATGCGCCGCCTCCCGTTCTGAGTCTCTGGAAGGGTTCTATGGATTTAAATGGTGGAAATATAGTTGGAGCGTCATCCTGATCGTAGGGTGAAGTTGTTTTCTCTTAAATCATGGGCCGGAATAGTATTGGCGTATCCCGTGCTGTGTGTATGCCATCGGTGGTGCGCCTTCTTCTTGCACTTGGTCTAGATGCCCAGGCTCTGCGTACCATTGCGCGCTCATGGAGCGGCTAGGGACGTGCATTGGTGACATCTGGTTCTGTTCGTACGAGTTCCAAGCTGGGGGGTAGAATTGGTGAGATTGCAGCACTGGAGCTGAAAGAGGACCAGATGTTGATCCTCCCATAGTGGTTGTGTGCATGTTTGGCTGGTTTGTATCTATGCTGGAGGGATAAGGGTAGGGTGAAGTTCTTCGCCCGAAGTCTTGCTGGATCCCCAGTCCTTGGCCATGATATTGTTGCGGTAACCCCTCAATGTTTCCGTATGACATTGATCGCGTCGGCGGTGGTTGAAATGGTGGTTGTTGGCCCCATGCTTGGCCTTCTGGATGGCCATATGACATTGTGGAGCTTGTGCTCATGGTCGCTGGGGTATGGACGCCGGAAACCCCAGACTCGCTTCCGTACACGGAATTGGCCGTAGACGGGGACTGTCGCCAGTATCCTGCGCTCGAGTTCGGGCTTTCTGCTATCGTTGAGGATGGGAGATAGCTGGTTGTTGGAGGCCACTGGGTCTCTATCGGAGGAGGATACGGGTAAGCTGCTTGTTGCACTGCTGTACATTTTAGCGTACTCAATCCGGCTGATCACGAGAGAAATCTTACCTCCGCTTGATGTTGGCGTATGATGGGGATCAATGCCTTGTTCACCAGAATAGCCATAAGGCGGATTCGGGGCAGCTGTGACACCTCCATGGTATGGCAGACGAAATTCGCCGATCTTTTCCCCTGAGTGTGATCCGAGGTGCCGTGGGGATGAGGCTACAGGTGTTTTTGGTGTTCCTGTACCCGGGTCTTTTACTGCGCCCGAGGGACGTTGTGGGTCGATGTTGTGGTCCACGGGAAAGAAGTTGCACTCTTTCTTCAGCCGAATGCAATTCGAGCAGCGGCTTTGTGGATCATCTGGTGCCAGAAGACATCGAATCTTGCGTCGTCGACAGTGACCTGCATTCGTCAGTATATGTTCTTGCCACTGTGTTTGCGGCGCAAAAGCTGAATGCTCTGTTGACGTACCGCACGCAACCGATGTCCGATGGTATCCTAGCTTATTGCGCGCCTTGTTACTTGTTGGCGACAAGTCGCCTGATTGTCCCAGAGCCAGGTTGCGCATGTGTGGCGTTGATGTTGATCGTCGAAGTTCTCCAGGTACTTTGGCTTTAGATGAGCGTCTTCTCTTGCTAGAATGCGGAGGCGCGAGAACAGTAGAGTCCGGTCCTGTCAAGGTGTTTTCAAAATCCAGATGTTCCACAGAGGTAGGCTCGGGAGCAAGACCATCAACGCCAGGACTGTGATTCGGAGTGTTGAGGCTCATTACTTTACGGGCGGGCTGTAGAGGCAACGGGCGATCTAGTCTGGAAGCGGTCTTCTTCGCACGGCGGTCCGTTACAATAGCCATGTGCAGTGCTGTGTTGTCGCAATTCCTGAATCTAAACGCACGAAACCAGAGATTGCATTGAAGAGGCCTGGGGATATGAGTATCAAATGTTTAAAGTTCGGGAGGGACCCACCGCGCAGATGGGAATCTAAGCGATGTACGTACCTAGACAGTCAGGCAAGATGACTTCTAAAACGTTGGAGCCCGCACTAGATTTTGATCACGACGGGAGCAGTCGGCGGAGGCGATTGCGGGCGATCGACCATGTCATGGGCCTCTAGGCGCAATAGATATTATGGGCAGTAATCCGAGGGGTAAGGGCCAAATGACGGTAATGCTCGGGGTCCAGAAGTGAAGACCAAGGGAAGGAGGAGAGTGAAGCACTGGTGCATGTCCTGTATGTAAGCTAGCTGCCACCACCGCAGGGACCACTTTTCACGACCAGCAAAGTGACAGGCGCCAAAAGCAAAGCCTGCGCGAGACGAAAAGATTCAGGGACTTGATGTTGAATTTTGGAACGCGCTGTTTGGCTGAATCGAGTGGATGAATAAAAGTGGCGAGGCGACACACGCTATTGCTCTAATGGGCCAGCTGCGTTTGAGTACCCAATCACCCAATTCACCAGAGGATTTTGCAGGCATCCTGGTGGCTTGGCCTCCATAAGACGATCTTGTGCCAGTGTGGAAGGAGGGATTAACAGATCCCTGTACAGTTGGCTCAGACCAACTGATGTGCGGGATGGATGAGAGCTCGCTCACTCACAGGTTGAAGAGTCCGTGCGGTGTCGTCCTGCTCCGACCCACGGACACTTTTAATCCTACCACACCATCGATGGTTGACAGGCATGCCGATGACACGACGGTAGCCGCCGCCTAGCGTCAGCGGCGGGCGTAGCCCATACTGTTAGTAGGGAATGAGTCTTTGTTCCCTTGAACCTTGGGAACTGTAGACGGCAGTTTTGGCAGCTAGTCGGCCATCGCACATCGTTCCGAGGGTTCGTCTGTAAGGGGCCCACCTGGACGCACGATGCAGGAGCCGGAGACGTCAATTTAACCCGGCTCTGTGCGCTGAAACGAGGGCTGGGGAACGCGGTTGCATCAGGGGTACTTTCCATCAACATCGCTGGATCTGAGATGACGGGGACGGTCGTGGAGACAGGGCCGAAATGCCTGAAGCCAACGCTGACGCGCTTGGTGGAGACGCACGAATGGCGGCGTTTCTCGCAGTACTGTGACGTTCCAGCACACGATGTCCCCAGCGATGGTCCTTCCATGTCCGTGCAGACGATATTGCTGTTGCTGGAAGTCCGTAGGAAACGCAGGGATAACGCTGGCGTGATTTGCTGGCGCCGGCACTCGCAGCGAGTGCGGTTACGCTGCGACACATGGCTTCAGAAAAGGAGTCCTTTCTCCACACTCGTTCATCTCGCTAACAAGGCCCTCAGGAAAGCCTCGATTCATTTCCACATGCGTCATCGTGAGCAGCGAGCTGCACTGTTACTAACACTGTCACACAGCAGATGTCACTGGCTGCTGCAATTGGCGGTACGCGCGATGAATGAATCGTCAATATTGGAGCGCTGAAAGGCCGACAGAGGCCTGACCCAGTGCAGTGGCTCTGAAGACGTGCATGACGTCTACCATAGCGAAAGCCTGGGCGATTCCATTCAGGGTAATCGCACGTGGGACTCGCCTGATCAGAAGCTAATCGGGCCTTCACACCATGTGTCTGTTGCGAACGCAGGCGGCCGAGACAATGCTCATCAAGCTGCTATGGACGTTCCCCGACGGCAGTGCCGTCACCTCCCCACATTGGCGCACTGGACCTGGTCCCTAGCTTGGTGGCCTTGCAGCAGACGACATTGCGGCGTTTTGTGTTTTTCTTTGCCTCTTTGGAGCCTATTTCTCGCTCGGAATCAAAACTGTTTGTGCGCTTCATAGTCAGCGAATGAAAGCTACTTTCGACCGCTCGCATTGCGCGTGTCAGTTATCGCAGCGCACCTCCGAGACTTCCTCTACTATGTGCCTGCAGAGCGAATTAGCCTCGTTTCTGCTGACTCGGTACTGGCTCCATTGATACCAGGTCGTCGGATTCTTATAGCCGAGCCTCACGGAGCGCGAAAATGAGGCTCGATTTGGGCATCGTGCGATTGCGCTGCGACCTGCCCCATCCCAGCTGGTCTTGGCTCGCTAGTGAGTAGACGCCAACATTACAAGCAATGCAATTGCACCCACAATGATCGGTAATCCTGCGCTATCGCGAGTCGCTAAGGACTGCGCTCTTGCAAGTTGCATTAGACTAGTCTGCGAAGTACAAAGGTCTTGAGCGACCTTCCACGATAGCGCATAAGAATAGGGCTTCATCCATATGCGTGCGTAACATAGGTCGCTATCTAACCCTTGTGTAGTATGTAACTCGAATAAGAACTCAAGGCCATCATTGCTATGGCCGGTAAAGTGGAACACCCCCAAAAACAGGTCACCTTACACAATCTGCTTGGTGCGATGTACGACTACAATAGAACAGGGATGCTGTCAGAAGGCAAAGATTGTACTTGAACGGTTTCGTCCCTCTTCAAGTTGCCCAGGGTAAATGTAATAGGGAATTGTCTCAGGTCCGAAGCTCTGAGATGATCATCGACAGTTCCGTCCGAATGGCTGGGTCCATCATCAGGCGGCTGCGACTGTAGTTTTCCGCAGCAGCAAATCAGGCAAAACGAGACGCTGCATAACTTGCAACTACGGTATGCTCCACGTCTATAAGACCAGTCCCATAGCCATGCTGCCTATTGCGCCTATTGCGCTACTTCATGTGCATGGACTGGGATCATGTAAAACAACACGCAGGTGCTCTTCTGCACCCAAGAAGCCAAAGTTTATGCCCTTTATCTCGATCATCTGACGATGACTTACAGCATCCAGTTCACCAAAATCCAAGGTTCTAGCTCGCCCACTGACATGGCATACAGCATCTAGTTCACCAAAACCCAAAGTTTCAAGTTCGCCTACTGATATGACTACTGCAGTACCATAAGCCACAACGCTGGACCCTATATGACAAGACATATATTGCTTGGACGGAGAAATTATGATTATCACCCGGCAATCACAGCACACGAATCTGAGCCCAATTCACCTAACTAGTTACAAGACGCGCAATTCGTCTCGACTAATGCCGCGCTCCATGCCTTGAATACGCTCAAGGCTCCCTCCACCAACGATGTTGCAGATCCTACTTGTTCAAGATGCAATTCCGCTTCTAACGGCCCCGTTCGAGCTAAGCACAGCGTCGGAGCTGTGCGTGAAACAGCTGGCGGACTCGGAGTTTAATCCGAGGATATCCAGCTCAGCTCATTGGACGCCACAGCCGATCGCATCTCATATCACATTCGACAGCTGTCTCCTTGTTGATAGAGTTCTCGCCTTCAAAGCAAGCCGGCACTTTAATTTTGACCGGAGAGCGAGCATCCGTGTCTTCAGGCCCTCGAGACAGCGCCATGGCTAAGGTTGCGCCGTTGTGTCGGGCCTTAGCGAAGTCAACGAGCACTAAGATTAGGCGCAACACATCGCAACCATCTGGTTCTCTAGGCTTTCAAGGGAAGCGTTTGCGATTCATCAAATACTTTACCATTGTGGGTTGTAAGCTTGCTTTGTGTGCTTCGGAGTCTCCTTCCATGTTCAGCTACTCAGCACCCCTCTGTGACTGGTATCATTCATGGCGCAGCTCCGTGTCTTCAAATGAGCCCGGTACCTCGTCGGTCTCAACGACCCGAGCGATCTCGACGCTGTCACTATGCTCCGCGGAACTAACATCATTAAACTTTGACCAGGTTTGACATTCGGCCGACTGCTCTCGACCATGGAGAAGGCTCCATTTTCAGCCTTACTGTCTGCAACCGCGCCATTGCAACCTTCGTACGATCTGCACTATCAGGCATGCAGGCGTCTCTGGGTGTGTCTTCACGCGCTCAAGAGCGTCAAAGAATGGTCTCGTGCAAGCCTCCCTAGACGCTCAAGCTACTCTATCGGTTGCATTGGCTGGATAGGTTTCCGCCACTTCTACAGCCGTGACGCCTGTCAAAGGGTCGCTGTCTCGCTACCGATGAACAGCGCAACCATTTTTCCGCTTCTTCAAAGGCGCATATTGAAAATGCGATGCATTCCAGATTGAGATGGGCACGGCACTATGACGTGCCTACTTCAAGGCTCAGATTTTGGCCCCGCACACCCTCCGCGCTACTGCCTACAAGCACTCTCGACTTTGCTTCTAACCTGTCCAAATTGCCATGCTTCGGCAGCATTGATCCTACAACCTGGAACTTGTCATCCACGTTAGAGTTTGCCATCCGTTACGCGGCTCTGAGTTGCGGTCTACTCAATCTACTGACGAATAATGTCGATTGGATCCACGTGCCACCAGCAGTTCTGCAGACTAACATCGTCGTATTCGCTATGCATATGCACGCTGTAGCGACTGAAGAGATCGAGCTATACTTGCGAGCACGGAAATGTCTTGGACGGACCCTGTTGTTGAGATCTGGAACATACGGACTCCATGTAGAGCTCTCTACGAGCTGTGCACAACATCAGGTGTCTGTGGGATATGCAGGACTCTAACTCAAGGGAGATGAGTGGAAGAGTCGCCAGCCCAAGACTACCAGTCGTACGTTCAATTAGGACTACACTACCAGCGATGATTTGAGTACGAGACTCTCTTCGAGAGCGCGTCCCAAGGCTGAGCTCGGAGTGTTCGTCGACATCGTGTTCACTTCACAACAGCCATCAAGAAGCCATCAAGAAGCCATCAAGAAGCCATCAAGAAGCCATCGTAGTTCTTGTCTCCGACTATCTGGACTACCACGCCGTCGAGTCTCGGATTTTTCCCCACGTTCTCGACGAAGCGTCGCGCGCCTTCGATCCTCGGGTCCTCCGCATCCTGAGCAAGGTGCCCCTTCCTCACAACGTTGTCGGCCATGATGCATGCTCCAGGCTCACACAGTTCAAGTGCTTTGTCTAATTAGCTCCAGTTATTCTCCTTATCTGCACCGACGAAGACGAGCTGGAACTTGTCCAACTTGCCCTGCTTGACCTCCTCCACGATCTTAGGCAAGACTTCGGCTCCAGGGCCGAGACGCACATCCACTCGATCAACTACACCAGCCTCTATGTTCTAACGCGCAACCTTCGCGTGGCGGTCATCTACCTCGACGCTGATCACTTTTACACGCGAACTTGCATTGGCGAGCCAAATGGTTGAATAGCCACCGAGGGTACCGACTTCGGGGATGTTCTTTGCCTTCAGCATGCGCGCTTGCAGCTGGAGGTATTTGCCCTGCGAAGGTGACACGGCGATACCAGGGAGACCTTTGCTGTTTGGAGTTCGAGAGCGCATGCTGAAGCACGTCATTCGAGGGCGTTGTTCGTGATGTGGGGTGAAGGTGGCCGAGTGAGCATGTGTAGACTGCGCTTCAGCGCGGGTCTTTCCCATAAGATTGTCCTTGCCCTGACATATTGGCTCCTGAATGTCAGTGGAGCCTGTTGGTGCGCAGCAGTATGAGCTCAAGTCAAGCTCGATGCATATGGGAACTGAAAGGTAGGTTTTGTCAGTTCTCAACGGGCGGGGTCATGACTGCTTCGTACAGGGTCGATAACACGACATGAAGCACGTCGTGCCGTTGCATCTCGTGACTTTGGTTGCCTTTTTGTGGTGGTAGAGCCATTGGTCGTGTAAGACGAATGACGCTTTTGCCGTGGGTAGGACGCAGATCTCGATTGCAAATTTATCGCACATTCTCGATTGAAGACTATCATCTGTCTCAAGCAGATATCTCCCACTCCTTTCCTTCATCATCAATATCCCGCAGAGGTAGTGGGGGTAGGCTCTTGTTCAGATCGATGGCCGGGGGGACGTGCACACTGTCATGTTTGGAAGGCGCCTTGTTCGGCGATGCGATCTCCATCCCCACGAGCCTTGCAGACTTGCGAGCAGCACTTAATCGTAAAGCGTGAGGCGCACCTTCTGAATGCCTGGGAAAATGAGGAGATGTCGGACTACGATCACCGCGAGGCAACGGGTACGTGTTTCGTCTCTCGTCGGTACTGTGTGTTGCTTTTGCGATATGCTTGGACCTCATCGACTCCCGGCTTTTCTTGCTCACGCTGTCCATCGATATCCGGCCAGATTCGATAGCCAAGGACGTTTGGCACGCCCAATCTGGACTGTCGCTGTCCAGGTCGGTCTTCTTAATGGATCTGGCAGAAGGAACATCAATACCTAGTCTGCGAAAGTTGTTCGATATCGAGTTGGACCTGGGAGGTCTCCTCGTCGATGTGCTGCCCCGTCGCTTGATGAAGTCCAGTGCAGCCCCCTTTGGCGAGACCGGAGCGCCGGGGGCAGATCGCGGATGCTCGATTCTCTGATTTGTGAGTGATAGACTAGACAAAGCGTCAAGAGGCGATCCATGATGATCGCGCAGGCGCTCCGTAAACGCGGCATACGTAATATCTGGTGAAACGATCTTGGGAGCATCTCGAGGGCGATGGACTTCTGTTGCATGACCTAAGAGAGAATAATCACCGTTGGTCGCTGTTGAGTCTGACTTATTCAATTTCGTGATAGCTTCTAGTCTCCTCTTCTGTTTCTCGAGCCTGGATCCCGATGAAGAGATGGTGTCGACAGCAGCCCCTCGAAAAACTTCATCGTTGCTTTCTGTAATGTGCCCACATGAGATCTCACAGAGACCCTCCACGATCTCGATGGCACATTGTCCTGCGCGCTCGTCTGTCTCATTGCTGTGCTTGATTTTCTCGTCCTCGTGCATGAGAGCTGTCTCTTGCTGGCAAGTTGCTGGTAGGGCCACAGCCTTCGTTTGGATTGGCATGCCCCATACCCTTCTCGCCGGGACTGCTAGCCACTTGCCGGCACAGTTAACAGCCATTGCCTGCATCTCGAGGCGGTGAGCGCGATGCTCGGTCTCAGTAACATGTCGATGAAGCTGCACAGTCGCGCCTGGATCATCGCGAGGAATTTGCCGCCTCAAGACACCATCCAACCCCGTCATCTCTACCTTGTTTGCCAAACTGGAGGGAACAAGTGCTTTATATGTTCCCAGAGTCTTCTTTGGTCGCATCTGTGGGTCTTTGTCGTCTTGTGCCTTTGCCGCTTTCGCGCACCTGAGGCAGCGCCCCTGACAGTACGTTGGCAAGCCTCCCAAGCGTCGACCGAAATCTCCAAATACCTCGGAGGTGATGAGGTTATGAACTATATCTCCGTCTTCATCGCATCGCACTTCGATGAACTCCTCTGGATGGCCACATCGGAATGTACGGCGGAACATTTCAGCTGCGCTGTTAGGACCAAGGAAGGTGTGGAGTCGTTCGTTGCGATTGTGCAACGTCTGTGGTGAATTCAGGCAATTTTTTAAGGTGAAGCGTTAGTGATATGAAGTCGCCGATATCACAGTTGCAGCGTTTGCTACGCTCATTGATGCAGCAAATGCACTTGCGCAAACGGACTTTGAGAGTGAGAGAAACACGCCCGTAGATTCCAAGTATTTCCTTTGAACACGGCAGGCAGCAATCGCAAAGTATCTTGCTTACAGAACACGGACAGCGAGAATCTTCTGGAAGCGGAGGTATTGTCGACAATGGTTTGACTGAGTCTGACCTATTGCTAATGACTACGAAAGTGGCCTCACTGCTATGCATTACAAATCCATCCCGAACGCCAAACCCAGAGTTATGTAAATACAGTTGTGGAGATGCTTCCCATAACATGTTCCCTTGGTATTGTCACCGAGGACCTCCTCGCAGCTTCAGGTCCATCCTGGTGGTTTTATGCTTGTTCATCACTTCCGGTGACTCGTCGAGACAAGGGTTGGGATGGACGATCATCGACTGTTGATCAAATCAGTCGCAAGAGATGGTAGAGTGATGTGGTAGCGTTCGTGCTTGCCGGAGGTGGGTGTGGTCCAGGTAGCGTCTTGTAAAGAACCATGCTGTCTGATACGCTCGTTCGTGCTTCCTCCTGGTACTTGGGGCGCTTAATGCAGGACCTGCTTCCACATGCACTCTTTGCATGAGCCCTGACTCCTGGCAATGACGTCGTGATCTCGCTGTGAATCGGGGCAAGCAAAGCCGAGGCGTTCCTCTTCAGCTTGTCTGCAGATTCGAAGTATTTGTCCGTTCGGTCCGTAAGGCTGCGGAACCCAGCACCTGCACTGGTTGTAGATGATGTACTGAATTGTGCACATATTGACTGGTTTGGAGGCTGAGAGGTTGAGAGGTCGAGTGGGTGCTGTGAAGCCTGAGGAAGGAGGTAGGGAACCTGGAGGACAAAGACAGGGCAGTGGTGTAGGATGAGGTGATGAGTTGGAAGGCTTTCTGTAGCTGATTGTTGACTGTGTGAAGAGCTAGTAGAGGTGGTCGATGAGGCAGTAGTCTCGGGGTTGTATGGACTTAAATGTGAAGACTTGAAAAAGGCCATATACGAAAAAGCTCGTTGGAACGCAGCGCTGTGTAACACACAGCACTCCCTCATTTGGGAAGCCTTCACTCCACCCTTGCGGCTGACTTCGCAACCCCTTCGCCTACGAGGGAAGTCTCGAGAATACCATACGTGATACGGCAGACTGGGAGGACGGGCTTGCTCAAACGGGATTGCTGGCTGGGGTGAGGGACGACCCGGTGCAACGGACGAGTCGACTCGAACGGTCAGCAGCCACAAAGGCAGCACCACGCCCGATCGCGGCGCTCACCGCCCCCCAGGCAGCATGAGGAGATGAGAATTCTTCTTCGAGTCGACCAGCAGGCATGTTGTACGGAACAGATCTTGTGGGGTCCAGTGACGCAGGCACAGGGCGAGCCAAAACGTTCGAGGTGGGTACGATCGATCCGTGCTAGCCACTTCGGTCTCGCCTGCAGGTGCGGCCGACACCAACAACAACTCGTGCCCACGAGACTTCCCGCACCCATCTATGCGGCCGCCAGCAGACCAAGGCTCGGCTCGTCGCTGCAAGATCAGCGAGTATGCACAGAGCTGCTGCAAGATCAGTGAGTATGCACAGAGCCGTGAGAGAAGAAGCTAGGGGCGCCCTATCGACCACGGACCGCAGGGCTGGCTGTTCAACGTCGAACGGCAGCTAGTTATACGACCGTTACACCCCCGGTAGCATTCCAACGCACCTCGACGTACCATGGGGCCGGTACGGCCAGAAGTGACAGGAGGTGCATAACAAAGTGATTTTGGTCCGATATGAGGCCGCCATCACACATTCGACCAGGCTAGTTCCTGGAAAGCGAGGCTCACACGATAGGGAGAACAGCGGTCAAGATCCGAGATTCTGGTCAGCGATATTGACGTGCAGACGGAGGTTTTGGCTCGGGTCGACTGGGCCGAGATGCCATCTGCGAGGGGTGCTCGATTCGTGCGATGCTGGTGCAGAGTTGCACTTGACAGGTTCCGCTCGCAGGGGCGTATCATCTGTCACTGCAATACAACGTATCGCGTACCATTTGGCCACGCGACCATGTCGTAACGCTCACCGTTACCAACACCTCGAAGCAACGGACAGTGACTGGATGCTCAAAGACTGGATGCTCAAAGACTGGATGCTCGGTGACTATGGGCTTCTACTTGTCGATGCCGCCACCCTGGATGCTGTCTCATGACCCAAGTGGGTGCAACAATAACAGCAGGCAGAGACTAAGACGTTTCGGCGCCACGACAGAAGGTATCAAAACATGACGGCCGGTTTAGGCTTCGCCTCGACACTGTAACGGACCTGTGTACGATGCTCAATTGACTGTGAGTCTGTGACGGACCTGTACGATGCTCAACGGACCTGTACGATGCTCAACCGAGCTGACAGTATGCACCTCCCTCCCCATGGGGAAGCGGTGCATATCCAGCGCCATGACGGTGCTTTGCAGCTGTCCAGATATGTGCTGTGCGTATGAAGTCACAACACCACATATGAACAGACCCAGCTTGACACCTGACGCAAGATGTCAGACGTCGACTGACGTGCTGGATCGAATCCCCAGGCTGTTCTTGAGTCGTCCACGTCCCAGTTTTTACTGTTCCAATTCAAGATTGCGGCTGTCAGAGATGCGCCGGAAATGCTGTGCACGCTTACAAGTTACAACCGCTAGTCCAACAGCCCCTGCCCCCCAAGTCCGCCAGTCAAGCCCTTCATCCTGCGCCCCAGCAGATCATCCTCGCTCGCCAGACTGACGAGTGACTTTCTCCGCCCCGTCTCGCTCTTCCTGGCCCGCGCCCTCCCCCTCGCCGTCCGCCCCGCGCCGTTGGCATGCTCCTGCGGCGGGGTGAGCCTCGCCTTGTTCTTGGGCAGCACCGTCATTTCCAGCGGGCGGTCGTCGTCGGCGCTCGATGCGGTGCCGGAGCGGTAGTGATGGCTCGTCCTCGGTGCCGAGGGCGAGCGCAAGCCGCCGCCGCCGGCACCGGCGGCGCCGAAGTAGTCGTCTTGTCCGAAGCTGCGCTGCCAGGGCGTCGCGGCAGTCGAGTCGGGCCCGTCCGTGCCGTCGGCGGCGGCAAAGGCGGCCTCGATCCAGCGGCCGCAGCGGTAGATGTACTTCCAGCCGTCCGGGAAGACGCCGACGAACTGCAGGAAGCCGTGCGAGATGCCCGGGACGAGGTCGACGTTGACGCAGTCCTCGTCCCTGAACTCGCCGCGGGCCCAGTCCATGCCCATCTCGCGGGCCGTGGTCCAGTCGGCGCGCTTGGCGTGGCGCAGGCGGCCGGCGAAGATGACCGTGTCGTCGACCAGCGGGTCGCGCTCGCCCGTCAGCATCCAGGTGCGCGGGAAGCGGGCCAGCAGGGCGTCAGGGGCGAGGCACGGCGAGAGCAGGAAGTCGGTGCTGAAGTCCGGGCGGTGGTGCGGGCCGATGTAGAGGATGATCATGGCGCGCATCATCTCGGGGGTCAGGATGCGGTCGTTGAAGTAGGCGATGATGGACGAGGTTGCGAGCCGCGTCTTGATGGCTGTGGCGGGCGGGGCGGGTTGCTGGGAGACGCGGGGCGTGTCGTTGGAGGCGCGTGTGGCGACGGCGGACAGCTGGTCGGGGGCGGCGTCGGCCCGGGCGTCGGTCCGGGCGTCGGTCCGGGCGTCGGTCCGGGCGTCGGTCAGGCTGGTGGTCAGGGCGTCGGTCCGGCTGGTGGTCAGGCTGGTGGTGAGCCGAATGGCCGTCTGCGGCGAGGCGAGGACGCTCTCGCTGGCGGGCACTGTGCCGTTGACGGCGCGCGTCCTCGACGCGTCGTCGTCGCTCGCGTCGTCGTCGGAGCCAAAGGGCGTGTTCGGGGCGAGGTGGCGGTAGTCGGCGCTCTTGTGGCGCAGGATGGGCCGGTTGGTCTTGCGGGTGCGGCGGTCGCGGATGAGGGCCATCTGCTCGTCCGTCATCCAGTTGCCAATGTTCATGTCGAGGGCCGGGTAGATGAGCATGCAGCCGACGGGCGGCGTGAGGGGGCGCTCGCCCTGCCCGCGTCGCGTTGCCGTGGAGCCGCTCTGCAGGACCATCAGCACCATGGCCACGGCCAGGTTGCCGCCGGCCGAGTCGCCCGAGACGACGATGCGCGGCTCGACGTCGCCCGCCAGGCCGATGCAGCGCCCGCGCGTCGCGACGAGGCTGTGGTAGACGTCGTAGCACTCGTTCAGCGCGTACGGGTACGGGTGCTCGGGGGCCTTGCGGTAGTCCAGGCTCAGCACAGGCAGCCCCGTCTTGCCGGCCCAGCCCATCAGCTTGTCGTCGTGGTGGCGCGGGTCCATGGCCACGAAGCCGCCGCCCGGCACGTCCAGCACAATGCGGTCGTGGCGGTGCGTCTTCAGCGCGCCGAGCGGGCCGTTGAAGTACAGCCACGCAACGACGGGCTCGCTGTAGCTGCTGCCGGGCGGCCGCGGGATGCGCAGCTTGCGCGGCGGGTACCACATCAGCCGCGGGCGCATCAGCGTCGTCAGCGCGCGCAGGTACGGCGTCGTGCCTTTGTTCCAGCTCACGCGCAGGTGGTCGACCGTCAGCGAGGCGCGGATCTTGCGCACCTTCTCGTCGGCCTGCTCGGCGCACACGAGGTAGTAGGCGCTGAAGACGACGCTGCACGCGTCGCGCAGCGCGCGGCGCTTGATCTTCATGGCGGACCAGAAGCCCGCGTCCAGCGCGGTGGTGACCCAGGTCGCGCGGAAGTACGACCGCGAGTACAGCGCCGCGAGGGGCTCCGGGCACTCGAGCCCAACGAGCTTGCCAAAGTTGCGCGCCACGTACAGGTAGAGCAGCGTCACGAGCGCCGTCTGCCACACGGTGAGCCGCGACGAGAGCAGCGACGAGAGCCGCCGGACCAGCGGCGGGCCGTGGCGGTCGCCTCTGCAGTGTGTTAGCTGTGGTTGCGCTGTGACCCTCAAGCGGGGACCGCCTGCCTGTAGAGATAAAAGGACCAAAACGACACGACGGCCAGCACCTGCATCTTCCTGAACTGCACCGACGGCCGGCCCAGCACGTGGTCTATCATGGTCTGCTGCTCTTGCCTGTTCTCCGCGCTGTGTTCCGTGCAGGCGTCTCGCGTCCCAGCGTCATGGATGCAGCCGCTCGCAGTGCCAACACGCCTTCAGTCGAGTCCGGGGGAGGCCGTATGAGGTGGAGATGGGGGAGGCAGTATGAGGTGGAGATGGAGGAGTCTCAACACCCGTTCAGTCGAGTCCGGGGGAAGCAGTATGAGAGGAGAGGTGCTAGGTTCAACACGCCTTCAGTCGAGGTGCTAGGTTCAACACGCCTTCGGTCGAGGTGCTAGATTCAACACGCCTTCGGTCGAGATGCTAGTTTCAACACGTCTTCAGTCGAGGCCGAGGGGAAGCAAGCAGCATGGGGAATTGTGGGAGTTGCAATCCCAACTCAGCCGTGTGGTCCCATTGTCCGTCGTCCGCGACAAGCGCGTCGTCTCAGCTCCAGTCCGCACGCTGGTTGGTCCACCGCGTGCATGTGACAACGGTGAAAGCGCGCCGGCCATGTGACGCCCGCATGTGAAAGCCCCGTCATCTGGCTCGGCAGCGGACCTCACGGAGCCGAGCGCACCGACGCAGTCGTGGCGGTGCTGCTGAGCCACTCCCAAAGCCCCACCATCCGTTACCTAATCGTCGACCGACCAGCACATGTGGCGCACGCTCCCAACGAGGAAAGAGTCAGCTAAAAGTACAGCCAGGTCCGTCTGTGCGGTCCGTTGACGATCAACGGATCGTGTATGGCTCGGATGCTGGCGCCGAACAAACGCCCTTCCCTTGCCGTCGCCGACTCGAGGGATACGCAAGGGGCTGCGAGTGCCGCCGTGCAGCGCCTTTTGATCTCGTGCGCGCGCGTCGCACACCCGCCGGATGACTGCAGCCGCCGCGCAAATGAGCGCACCCGCGGCATTCTCCGTTGTCTGACGCAAGGTGTAGAGGGAGATGGAACTGTGGGGGACGACGGCCCTGTAGTGCTTTGTGTGCTGCAGTCCGTGCAACGCTGCAAATAACGATTCGAACGAGAGATCGCCCTCCAAGGGACGTGTTCAGACCCAACCGCCAGACGAGCGAACAATGACAGCGGACATGCACCGAGCAGCGGTCAATCAATAGTAGGAACAAGAGCCGATCGAACCATTGATATATCCACCCCCTAGTATCAACACTCCATATGTACCCCAAGTCCATGCCTGCATGTGTCCCACAAGTCCATGCCCATACGTGCCCCATCTCCAGCATAATCACAAGAATAGAAAGGAAAAAAATATAGAAAATGAAAGGAGAACATCGTCTCCCCTACCACGACCAAGAGAAGACGCTTTTATCACACCACCAAGCCCAAAGTATCCCTCCTCCCCTCCCACAACCAAGAAAGCCCCTTTTATCACACCACCCAGCTGCCACGACCAAGAAAAGACACTTTCATCACATCACCCTACGCATCCCTCCTCCCCAACCCCCGCACCCACTCCGAAACCTCAAACCCCACGCGCCGCAGACTCGCATCCGCGAACCTCGCCCCCTGCGCCTTCAGCACCGTCAGACACCGCACCTGCTCGTCCAGCTCCACCATCTTGCCCGCCGGCGACTCCTTGACATCGTAGCTCTCGACGTACAGCGTGAGATCCGGGCCCACGATCCCCCGCCACAGCGTTGCCATCCACTGCCAGTGATCCGTCGGCGAGTACGCGTCCTGGATCGGGATCCGCGACGCGTACGCCACCGACGCGTGCAGCTGGAACGTCGGCAGGATGATGATTGGCTTCTTCGTTGGCGCCGTCGTCGAGCTGGACGGCGTCGTCGAGCTGAGCGAGGACGACGACGTCGTTAGCCTGGGGGACGACGACGTCGTTAGCCTGGGGGACGACGACGACATTGTCGTTGGCCTGGGAGAGGCCGACTTGCGTGGCGAGTCCGGAGGCGTCGCCGAGTCTTTGTCGTCGCCTCTCTCCATACCCTCGTCTCTCCAACCTCCAGCGTCCACCCCAGTCATCGGCGTGGTGATGTAGCGCGTCATTTCCTTGGATTTGCCGTGCCAGACGCTGATGAGCTCGAGGTACTCTTCGAACGTTACTTCTTTCTTCGAGTCGCTGGGTGTTTTCGGTGGCTCGACGATGCGCGAATGGTACTCTTCGTCCTTGGAAAGACACTCGTTGAGCCACTGAGCAAGATCTTGCACCGCTTGCATATCGTCACCTTCGACGGCGATGATCGCCCCTCGGGTCTGCATTGCGGGACTTGTTGGTCCGGGCTCCTTCAAGGGAGCACAGATGCGACCAAGTAGCTTGATCCGCGCTTGATACGGAACGCTGAGCACCATTGCTTCAACGCTTCTGCTCTGATCGTGATGTTGAGGAACCACAATGTTCATGTCAGAAGCAGATGACCCGTTGCGGTTAGGCAGTTCATGGATCGGCAGCCGTCTGTCTTGGGGCGTGCGAGCAGAGGGAGGATGCATGCCAGCAGTGTTGGGAGGTGATACATGCACGTGGATGGGTGGCAGTGACTCGCGACGGGCCGCGCTCTGGGGATAGTACGGTCCCTCGGGCCTCCGAGCAGATGGAGGAGGTACATGGTCATATCGGCGTCGCTTCTGTCCTGGTGTGAGGGGGCTGTACATCTCCTGCTCACGGATAGAGGGTGGTACTTGGATGTTGCTAAGCCTCGACGGGCCAGGGCCACGTCGCGCAACGACTGGCGACTCAAGCGAGAGACTACCCATCATGGGCAGGTAGCGTGTGGTCGAGGTAAGACCTTCGGAAGTATTTGGCGGTGGCAAGGTGGGTGTGCCTTGATCTTCCGTAGGGTAGGGGCTGGTAGGTGTTTTGATACTGCGACCACCACACCTTGGGCAGCGATACTTATCAACAGTCGTGTGCTGGCCACCGGGGTTCAATGACGATGATCCTGGCTTGTTGACTCGGCGGGGCTGATATCGATAGTCAGGATACTGTTCGTGGTGTCTAGCCTTCTCCTCCTGTGTTATGTTAGCCTACACATGCGTGCAGCAAGGGAGGCTCGAAAATTACTAACCTGAGCAAGGTCCTGCCAGATTTTCTTCTCCTCGTCACTTTCGGCTTTCCACTTCTCGCCAATAATCTTGGAGATGTCGGGATTGTTGAGTCCTGGATTGCGGCGGATGATAGTTTGCTGATGGTGCTGTCGATAAAGAATGAACGCTACAAAGGAGTCAGCGGTGGATGAAATTACGTCGCAAACAAAGAACTTCAACTTCTTTGTCCACAAGTAGGGATGTCCGAATCGCGAAGTGCCACCAACCACCCTAGACAACCCAGCCGCTGAGACACCAAATAAAGAAAGATGGACTCACCATTCCTTGGACGGGGAATCTTCGGTTCGGGCTGGCAGAGACAGACATGTGGTGAACGATCCCCAGACCCCGCAGAACCTGCGCTTGCCGGAGTCTTTACATCCGTCGTGCCCTCGCTCTTGACAGATCCCTCCGTATTGCCGTCAGAATCGAGAGATGGAGTCCTTTTTCTGGCAACGCGTGGCGATGTAGACGTCGGCTGCTCTTCCTCTTTGGTATGTTGGACGTCGCTTATATTCGGCGCCGATCTCGGTATCTGAATACGAGTACTCTTTCTCAAACTGCGTCCAGAGTTGGCGTCTTCTGTCAGAGAGTGCGAGCTATCATCGCCCACTTGCATGTTTGACTTGACGTATCTCCTGGGCACACTGAAGAACGTTACAACACGAGGCGGAGGAGGGGATGAGGACCGGATTGGCGGCAATACACTGCTGGCCATTTTGCAGAAAATGAAGAAGCAGCCGATCTAATGGGTCCCTTTGAGAAAGCCGTTCATTGTACCGGTTTGACGGGAACGGAGAGATTGTCCGTAAAAATACCGAAGTATGTGGTACTGAATGAAGGCACTATGCGGCGTTGTCGTTAGCACTGAGCCTTTCCTTGTTCTTAGCCTGGCCCGAAGCGGCCAAGACAAGATCTGCCGACAACTCAGACATTCCTATTCCTGCAGCTAGTCATGTAAGGAGACAACAATGCTGCAACCACCTTGCACCACTCTGCCATGAATCCGTTCGTCTCGGAAACTGCATAACAGTGATCTGGCTGAGATATCATCCCTTCCTCGTTGGGCACAGTCGCTGCCGTCTAGCATTTCATTGGCTGTGTAATCATTGCCGTGTTCACCACGCGTCCTCAGTAGCCGGGAGGAAACTTCAGCTTAAAACTTGGTGTTTCCTTCCCTGAAGCCTTTTCGCCATTGTTAGAGCCTTGCGCTACAGCTCCGACGTTGACAATGTGGTTGCCGCGAAGCAGGCTTGCGGCTGCCTTTCCGATTAGCTGATGAGCGGGGCCGCTGAGATGTACATCATCCCTGTGTCACGTTAGACTGAGATGAAACGTTTGGGCGCACTAATGACTTACCAAAACAGGTGCTTGGATGCATCGAAACACTTCTCGACCCCGACTGCTTGCAGTGTCTCTGCGCTGACGTCCGCCGTGGACCTTACGCATGGCTCCTCTACGTAATCGAAAAGAGGCGCCTGCTTGCCCATGCCGGATGCATCAGACAAGTTCTTTGAGTATAGCTGCTTAGCTCGGACCTGGTCCGTGATCAGATTGTTAGGGTTTGGCATAAAGATCTCCCCGTGGTTCCACTGCGATGCTGTTCGAGACAGGGCCGTGTTCCAATAGGTCCACAGGAACACCAGGTGGTGCTGGTCTTCTGCGAAGTGTTCTTTGTCCATGTTTCGTCTTGACTGGAAGCGTGGCAGGAAAGTAACATCGATCAACTTGGGAGCCACGATCTTCATCGGCGCCGCAACATGTTTTGCCAGCAAGTCAAGGTTCTCAAATAGTCCTTCGATGCTGTTGTCGATCGCCTTGAGCGCATACTCTTTCTCCAAGGCAGAATACTCCAGCAAGTCCCAAAGTCCGAACGAGACGGTAAAGATGGTCCACTCGTCAACCTTTCGCAGCCGTTCCGGGACGCCAACACGGTGCTTCATCTTCTCATATTCCAGGAACTGCTGCACCTGTGTCTTGAAGTCAAACATGGCCTGGGTGTAGTTATTGTTGTTGTCTGTGACTGGGACGGCCTGGGCGCGGATGTCTGAATCAATGAGCGACCCTACGGTCGCAGCGTCAGTGTGTGGCGCCATGGACCGAGCAAAGTTGTCGATAAAGTCGCAGGCCAGCTACCTGATGTTAGCAGATGCAAATCATGAAATCAATGTGGACTCACTTCTTTACACAACGTCTCTGTCCATACGTCGCCACGATCGGAATCTCGGATAACCGCCTGAGCTTTTGATGGTGGAGAAACTCGATATTTCCCTGTGTCAGACCAGTCGTCGCCAAAGACAACGATCCTGTGCGCTGTGCCTTCCCATGCTTCATGTATGTTGTGCCCAAGGTGATCGTGCTGTAGCCACACGAAGTACAGGACGATGAGTATGGCGGCTGCAGCTCCAGCATGCAGGAGTCTAGGTAAGAACCTCATGCTTGCTTATCTGGGAACGTGCCGGAAGGAGCGATGCGGGTGCTTAGAGAACGACAGGAAGGCAGCGACAGACAGGGCAGTAAAGAATCAACGAATCGCTCAAGACAACAACAGACGAATGCGCAGCCAACGGTCAGCAAGGCCGTACGGGGTCCAAGACATGTTTGTTCACATATCGCGGGTCGAACCCAGTCTCACTTGGGTTTAGGCGAAAGGAGCATGACGACGCCTTGCAAAACAAGCATCGCCTCGCCTCGCAAGTCGGTATCCTGACGCCGGGGTACTCGGATCGCAGACAAGCTGATACGCCCAGAAGTGGGAACATGTCGCGTGCGGCAACGCAATCCTAGTTGAGGCTTTTCACGCCTGTCGCATCGTGGGCCTTCGGATTACTCGGCAAGAGGGGCGGGTCGGTCGTCATTACAGCCGTGGGGCCGTCCCGCTCAGTCTGACATTTCAGACAATAACCTGCTGCTTTGACACTCTGATGCTGGCGCGAAGATGCGATTAATCCTTTTCTGAGATGTTGAACAGGGCGCGGCAGGCGAGGACGTGGCCCGTCACTGCCGGATTATGTTCTAACTGCGTTGGGCAAGACACACTTGCGTAGGCCCCTGCGTAGTGCAGATGGAGATGGATAATGCCAAAACATGGATTCGTTGCTTCATGACTCATTAGAATAAGACTACGATTATCTGCTGCGCCTGCTGCGTATGTGCGCATTGATCTCTACTATTCGCCGACTCGACGCTTGCGCCGAACCTCTACGTGGATGCCGCCTCTCGTGTTGCAGAAAGGCTCGGCGGTAAGAGAAAACTGCCGAAATTATGGGGGGTAGTCAGAGTCCATCTGTGCATCGTCTGCAACTAAATAAAGCTCTGAAGGCTACAATTACTTCCGTATTGTAGTCGAACTTTTCTCGAACACGAGAGGCCGCCCACATGCGTCCAAACGCCACGCTTGATCATTGCGAAAATATCAACAACTCGCTAGGTTTTGAGGATACTGGCAGCTATCAGAATCGCAGCGCTTGTCTTCTCTACCCATTCGATCGCCAAGTCGGCATCTTCATCGAATGTGATGCTCTCGGTGATACCTGGGAAGGTGACGGGTGCGTAGCCGGTGTCACGGCCAGGCGCAAAGATGGTGTGCTGGTAGAACTCTCTGGTGGGAAGACCGCCTTGAGAGGTGAAACCGCGGGAGAAATCGCGCGCTTTGTGGTTCTGGACAGTGATCAGCTCGGTGTTGTTGGCTGCGACGGCCTGGTCGCGCAGGTCGTTGAATTGCTGTGCTGAGGACTCGAAGGTTGAAATGGCGTCGACAAGGGCCGACAGATCGACGGTCGCGTTGGCAGAAGCGATCGTGCTGTTGAGTGCCTTCAGGTAGGTGTTCAGCTCCTCGACGTAGTCTGCGGGCTGGAGAGGAACCACTGGGTCGTTGACCATGTGGTAGAGAAGGAGAGTCAAGTATTGACCTATAGCCTTGTGGGTGTGGAAACCAGGGTCCCCGAAGTTCGCCATCCAGTGGTAGGAGTCGTAGTTGGAGTGGTAATGGTAGACCGGGTCGTTTGGTCCGCCGCCTGCACCCATGTCGATTGCTGCAATGCCGCGGTGGAGGAAGGCAGTGTAGTCACTCCCGCTACCTAGAATACCGACTGTGCCATCGATGGTTGACCAGACATCATACATAGTCTGATTGGTACTGCCGCGGAAGGGGTAGATGATCTTCTTCATCTGCTCTTGAGCAACTGCATGTAAATCTGGAGTTGCTGAGACATCAGGAATAGGGCCGGCAACGGCTACGTCGATGTTCAGGTAAGATACCGCAGCACTCTTGAGCCACGGGATGTACTCCTCCATCCATTCAGTACTGTGAGACTGTCAGCATTTTGGTCTCGTGATGTGAGGTTGATCGCTCTTACCTTCCAACGAGTCCGTACTCCTCGGCGTCCCAACTGCAGAGCACAATTGTGCGAGCAGGCTTCCAGCCAGTCTTGGTGAGCTCACCAAAGGCCTTAGCCAATTCGATGAGCACCGCTGAACCTGAGTTCGGATCTGCTGCGCCGCCAATGATCCAGGCGTCGCGGTGATTGCCAACAATGACAACTTCGTCCTCATTTGTGCCATTGATAATACCAATGGCGTTCCAGATGGTGCCGTATGTGTCGTTCATGACGTTGCTCATAGCAAGACTAGCACCCGAACCAGTGCCGGCGCTGTAATTAACGCCAGGAATGGCACCAACCCAGCCAGTGCGATTAATCTCTGCGCTTGATGGGCCAAAGCCATTCAATGCTTGCAGCAGAGGCTGTGCCTCGGTCCAAGAAATCGGTAAAGAGGGGATTTGAGGAGTGATGAGGCTGCGATCAGACCTTGGAGAGTCTTCTTTTGATACATACCCGGGAGTTGTGGGGTCTCCGGGGTAGGTACTGAGGAATTGAACACTGCCTCTTTGCACTGTGGAGGGATTTCTTGCCGGACCATTGGGGTACGCCAACTGACCCTTGGCCTCAGTCATGTTACCATCATCACCTGGATCAGTGAAGATGACTGCACCGATCATGCCGTGATCTTGCGCGTTCTTGACCTTGAGCCCACGGAATGGACCACCGTACTTGGCCAGAGCGATCTTGCCCTTAAAGTCAACGCCGAGTGCCTCCAGGCGCTCGAAGTCGACCTGCTGACCCCTTCCAACGTAGACATATTCTGCAGATGCGTTGCCGGTGAAGGAGTAGCCGTGGAACGTCGAGATGCTGTTCGGGTAGCTGGTGGTAGGATCCTCTTCAAGTACGTCTTCTTGAAGAGTGGGGGTGTAAGTGCTGCCATTGGGGTAGGTCAAGACAAGAGAGTGGGAAACGGGATAGTTGAGGAATACATCTATATCCCTTGTCAGTCGATTATTTAGCGATTGCTTCTTGAGCGACCTCATGCAAGTCACTGCTAGTTCGAGGAAGGGCGAACGCCAGTGTTAGGGCTAGAGCTTACAGTATTCGTCCAGCCTCGAGGTAAACCCGAAGGATGCCCACTTGTCAGCAGTCCACTGTGCCATTGACTCGTTTCTTCCTGCGATGTGGTCGCCATGGGTGTAGTAGTACGACCATGTCGAGATGGAGGTGTTGTCAAACGAGTTGATCAAGATCTGTTCATTGGCATCCAAGACGGGTGGGAAGCTAGCTTGTCTCTTGACGTGGCCGTGAGCATGGCGCTTGAACATGCGCTCACGCTGACAAGCTTCTGCGCCAATAGCGGCGAGCAAGAAAAGTGAGGTTCTCATAGTGTACTACTCAAGAGGCACCTCACGATGGCGGGGCTCAGCACACGAGCGAGCCTCCTGCTCTTATAGAACCGAATTTTCATCAATTCAACCCCTGGTACTGGGTCTCTGATAACGTCAACCGCCTCGTGCCGATTCTGCCATGGCAAGACCGATGAGAAAGCTGTCATGGCGGCATTTCCAAGCATGAAGCTGCACAGCTTCTTCGTAACCGTGAGTGACTTGCGTAAGCTTCATACTGATTGAGGAAGGTAGCAGAGAGACCGGCGCGGGGTGAGCTCGATAGTTGCTTGGCGATAGACGATGACGGTGTGGTGCAGTGGGGTACATGGGGCAGCGAGGTGATGCTCGGTAGCCGAGCAAAGTCACCCGCTTGCTTCCGTGCTCTCTTTCTCCAAGTCGCAGCATAGCTGGAGCGAGTACAGCTTTAGCTCATAGTAATGTGACACTCGGGACATTCCATCCTTTGTATGACGGTACTGCACGCGGAATTGTAGCGGTAACGGCTAGTAGGCTTCCAAGGCGGGGGTCACGATCTGGAGATGAATTCCAGGATGTTGGTTTCAATTCTTCTTTCCACACAACACCTTGATGTCGGTCCTCGCAATGGCATCTTTGTTCCCAATAGTCGCCGATGAATCATAGTGCCCTTGTGAGGCACCGCAAGGGAGAAAGAGTTCAGCCGCAAGTGTCAGGCGTGGGCCGGCGCTACGAGGAATTCAGGCTAGCCTGTGGAGAAAGCGCCCACTGATGCATGCAGGCGCTCCTCAAGCGTTGGGAGTGGTCGCAACTTTAGGCTGCTGCGTAACAAACAACACCACGCTGCAGATGGAGCGCCGTTGCTAAGGAGAAGCAGCAGCGAGCATCGTCACGAAACACTGACACAGAGACCAGCACTCCCATCTGGTCCATCTGGAAGGACATTCGACAGCGGAGAGTCTCACAATAACTCCTTTGTACCTTCCACTTCCACGCTCCTTGCACATGTTCGCGCCGTCGCTCCTTCCCACCCACACTCTTTACCATGGCTGCCCTGACGTCGCCCATGCGACTGGCGCCACCTGTCACGCCGCGGCGAGCTCCATCGCCCATGATGTCGCCCGGAACCCGCAGAGGACGCATGCTGGGCGCATCTGAAGAGAGTCATCTGCGCGATCTGTCGCCCACGACCACCCTCCGCGCCTTCACCATAGAGCCCATACCGTTCGACACCACACGAGACGAATACAAGATCTTTGCCTGCATTGACAGTCTGACCGCCGCCGAACGCGACTTGGGCGCACGTGTCGCCAAGGCTGCGCAGCGCTTGAAGAGCTGGTGCTCTGAGATCGAGCAATGGGGGTGGACAGGCAGCTTCGAGCCGCCAAGCGAGGAATACAAGGAAAAGCGCCGCCGTAGCTTGAAGGCGCGCATAGCAGAGCATGTTGGCGACGCAGATGCGCTAGCGCCGCTCGAGTACTATGGCTCGCTGCTGTCGGTCGAAGTTGAGCAGCACGAGGCGCGGTTGGACGACATGAGCGAAGAGTTGCTGAAGATGGACGTGGACGAGCTGAAGGAGCACGTGCTGGACATGCACCCTCAGGGCAGGTCGCGTCCCGGTTCAGCCGGCTTTGGTGCCAGTCGCTCCAGCTACCAGCTTGTGGACGACTTCTCTTTCCTCATAACTCAAACGCTCCTGTCCGCCCTCCCGCACCATGCCCAGCTGAAGGACTGCCTCAACACCTGGACTGCCCGTGTTTCGATCCTCCGTTCCACGCCTCGCTTCCTCGACCACCTCACCCAGGCCCAGAAGGCTATGGGCCTAGGCTGGAATGCGCTTTCGCCGCCTGAAGACGAGACAAACTTCGCCTTCTATCAGTGGAAAGAGGCCGTAGATACCATATCAGGTGTGCTGCGGAGCAAAGTCAGTGACCTGGGCCGCCGGTTGGATGGGATGCTGGATACATTAGAAGGCCGCGACGATTGCCTGCCAGACCGCTGGATCGACACATTCGAGACGCTGGAGGCTGACTATGGCCGCTGGCTGCATGTGTCTACAAGGAGGATGATTGAGTTTGATGTGCGAAGGCAGAACCAGGCAAAGCAAGGGCACGTGCAAATTGTGCGGAACGAGACTCGTGACCCAGACAAACATTCCAATACACCCGCAGGCCCACCTACGCCGCTACTCCCAATCGATAAACGCGTACATCAGCTCTCAGCGGAGCCACAACTACCCCGACTGAAGCCATTAGATAGTAATGCTCAATCGCCTGCTGCGGTCTGGGTCGATTCAGCACGTGTGCCAGAAGATGCATCGAAGCCTGCGCCAAGTGTTGCGTCCTCGAGAAGCACCGAAGGAGACGTTCAAGAAGGCATCGAAGACGTTCAAAAGGCTGCTCGCGAGGAAGACCAGCAAGTCGCACTAGAAGACAGGCCTCAGCATAGACTGCACCCAACGGTCGTACCTTCCGTGGAGATCCCTCCACAGTCACAGCCAAGTATTGTCGTTGATGCCGTCAGCCCTGGCAATGCCGACGAAGTCACGCCGTTCACGCCGTTCACGATAATCCCGCCACCTAATAATATCAACTTCGAGACTGCATCGCCTTCCACTGACGGTGGCTACGAGTCTGATGAGGGCGATACTGTGGTCCACAACGAAGCGCAGGATAATGCCAGTGACGCTGTTCATGTCGTCGCCAGCTATGAGAGCCCATCTATCATCCCAATCAGCGAGGACGATAGTCCCGCTAGCTTTGTGCACAAGATTGACTCAAAAGCTTTTTCACACTATCCTGGTTTAGCTTCTATGGATGGCAAAGATGGGGAGGCGCCTCAGAATCCTCGTTCGCGCCGTCTGAGTACCAGCTCTGTCTCTTCTAACGCTTCCTGCGACTCCAGCCCTGTGAGTGTCATCGAGGAGTCGCCCACTGCGCGTCACACTGGAAACCGGAGTATTAGAGCTCCTCGCCCTGAGCTCAACGCAGCCATGACGAAGCGTCGACCTGCGAAAGATGCTTCCTCGTCCAACGTTGACAGCGCACCTTGGCCACCAACACAATTCAGCCACAAAAGACCACAAACGGCTGATGATCTCGAACGCAAGATCTCGGACATCCTGACAACGATACCGGCTCGCATTCTCCTCACCTCGGGACCGGGTGCAGACGCGCACGAAATCAAGCCATCTCGCGGCGTTGGCCACAAAGGTAGTAGGGGATACTTGCGTGCTGCTCGTTCAGCGAGTGGCCTGAGGACACCCGCACTTACCTTGTCGCCCGTCAGGAATGAGTTTGAAAGTGCTAACGCAGGCGCAGGACGCAAGTCTGCAAACGCAAGAATCGACAACGACATAAAGCTCTACCATCTCACACAACCTGGCAAGGAGCAACCGATCAAGCTCTTCATCCGCCGTGTCGGAGAGAATGGAGAGCGCGTCATGGTCCGAGTCGGCGGAGGCTGGTCCGACCTAGCCGAATACCTGCACCAGTACGCCGAGCATCATGGCCGTCGCACAGCAAGCGAGGGCAAATTCGAAGTCCTCGGTCTCGAAGTACAAGGCTCAGATGCCGGGTCTGCAAGACCTGGAAGTGCAATGAGCACCACGCGCCGCTTTAGTGGAGGCGGCCGTAAGACTCCCAACACGACACCAGACGGCAAGCTTGCGGGTCTTGGTATCTCGACTGACTCCCCGCCGCCGCCTATACCCCGGTTTGAGAGGGAATCTACGCCGGCGATTGCGGAGGAAGCGCCCACACCACCGTCGAGTAACTCCCAGAAGTCGTGGCATGGGACTGAAGTTGGTCTTGCAGGACCCAAGGCGAAGAGAGTGGAGCTCACAGGCGAGAAGCTGGAGTGGATCGAAGGCATGATGAAGCAGGCGCGTTCGGTCAGCAACAGCAATTTGAACAAAGCCATGAAGGAAGACGAGAGAGGAGAGGGGCGAAGCAAGAGTCGGAGTGAGAGTCGCTCGGCTAGTCGATCGACGAGTCGCGCTGCTGCGAGGAGGCCGGTGCAGGACTTTGTTGATTTGGGCAAGACTGGTAGTACCAGGAGGGTTTTCATGAGAGGAGGTGCTGGGGGCTCGAGCGAGCGGCTGAATGAGCGTTGATTTCGCATTGCGAGGATGGTGAAGGGGGATGTTGAGCATTTACTGCGTGGTGAACTACTATTCGTATTGATACCCTGGATATAGATATTAAGGTTTGTGGTTGTAAGACAGCAGAGCAGTCTAGCTGCGTTATGCGACGGCGTTCAGCATATATAGAAGGTCCTGATCAGGCCAGATGCACTCGATTGACTGTATGGCGTTCTTCGGTTTTGGATCATCAGTCATCGTTGGACAAGTACAATTGGTGTTCTTCCCTCTTCTGAATTTTTCTTTTAACGCTCATTTTACTACGAACTACTGCACACGTGTACCTTTTGTAGCCAACGCGCGCCAGCAGTCACTTATGCGACCATGTTCAGGATATTACGGTGCCTGCATAGCCCTTTGCAGCATCTTTCTCGCATGTTGGGGAGCCAATCGCCTATGTGGGCGCGGAGACTCATTGCTTGAAAGTGTTCCCGACAGAACCAGCTGAGTATCCGGCGTGCCGAACGGTCAGCACATATTCAAATATCAACTTTTTGATACTGCAACGTTATTTACAGGTATATTGTAGCCTCTCTGATGGGTCTGCTTAGCAAAAGCCATCTACCGCGCATTCCACTAGACGTCGAGGCCACAAGCCCCAATCAGGAGATTGCACAGCCATCGATCCCGTCACCATGCACGGATGGATATACGCGTCTAGTCCATGAGCACTCGAACGCAGATATGCCTTATATTCCTAGCGTGTGTCTGCCCCCCGATTCTTAAAGCCTTTGTTACACCGCAAGTAATTGTCCTTACCTACGAACTTTGGAACACAATGGCATATTCTCAAGCTTGCATGATTCAGCCATTCACTGCCTGCGTGTCCCGAGATAACATAGATGCCTGTAAACTCACGTCCTCACGCTACCTTTACCATGTCCAAGTTCCTTGCACCTCTCTTCACGTTACAACTAGTACGTCGCGTGCATGTCCTACCGACAACAGGGCTCATGCAGAGTCAAGACAACCAGGGAGCACGTAGTTTGTCTGCAGAGGCAATCCTGGCTCTCGTTGGGGTATTCGTTGCACTACTCTGCTGTATTGTTGGCCTCACGTGGCCGTCTTGCCAAAGACGTATAACGCCGACAATGGTGTACACGACTACATATACGCACGTGATACCCTCAACGCTGACGTGTCGCTGACTTCGATAGCATCGCAGCCTCACGGCGCCTGTCTGTATGGCATACATCTTGCTGACCAGCCGAGTCAATATCTTAAGACGCGCCAATTCCATGGTAGTAGCAGTATTTCGGCAGTCGCCATCATCACTATTACTTTGGTATTGATCCAGCGGATATTGGAATGGGCCGTGTATGCTCACGATGGGCTTTCGGTATAGGCATTGTAAGCAGAGATTCGCGCGTAGATAGCAGACAGGAAGACAGCAAGACCTGTATACATAGTCAGAGCCTTAAAGACATGTTCGACTCTTCGCTTCTGTGCAGATGGTGAGACCGTTTCGAGGCAAATTTGGCGAATTGTCAGCTTGTGATTGATGGGTGTAAAGTTGTGACCTGAAGGATTGCGGGGAACCGGCAATGGTAGGTATGTACCAGTAACGGGCCGTTAACATGAAGTGACCCATCCATGAGCTTCTCTACTTTCACGCTCACTCTCATAAATTGAGTCGTCACTTACTCAAGATTTTGAGATAATGACGCTTGATTAATTGAGCTTCCCAGCATGATGCTTTTGTAGCGCTACACGTGAATGCTCGACCGCGCCAACTTCGAGGCCAGGGTCGGAGAGGTTTAATGGATCATAGGACCAGCGTGGAATCACAACAGCCAAACCATCCTGCCCGCTTATCAGAGGTTCCGAGCAGATGGCAACATAATCCTAACTGTTCTAGCTCGGGGATCAGGCTAAGGTCGGTCCAAGTGGCGGTGCTCTGCGTCAACCGTTCTTTCCATTGGGTCGCAGGCGCTGCCGCCAACTTAGGTACACGATCCCCCGCATACCTACGGCTAGCTTAGGTAGTGTTGTACGTACTATTTTCAGTTCTTCTCACAAATCTGCCAGACTTCTCATAAAACTGGATCTTTCACGGCTGATTGGGCCCATGCTGCGCCGTCTACGACAATTGCGATTCACCACGCGTTGGCATAAGTATCATTACTCCTATGTCTCCGAAAGAGACAAACTCAACATCAATCACGATTTATACTCAACAGGTTCAAGACGGCCTCGATCATATACTCATTGTGTACACACCATGCCTCCGTTGTAATAACTCCACCAACTGCCTTCGCATCGTGCAATTACAAATCTACAACATGGTGAACACTGTCGCCTTACTCTTCATTTCGCAAATATTATCGCACTCACACGGCCTCCCAACTACGAAATCGACGCATGACAATATTGAGCACGCATCAAAGGGCTGGTCGACCGAAGCCATAATAGCTGTGGTCGGAGTGTTGGTTGCTATGATATGCTGCGTCATCAGCCTGGTATGGCCGAGGCGATGGAGGTTGATAGGTTCCCGAACCACCTGCAATACCGGTAAGCTCATCGCCATTCACAAGGCTGGAAAAAACTCATCCACACAGTGCCTCAAACAGAACTCGGATCACCCGTACAAATATCCAGAAATTCACAGGATCATTGTCGGTCACCTTCAAGACGGTATTATCGATGCGCTGTCTACACTGAATATGGCGAAATCAGGCCATGACGATACAGTACTAACGTAGTTCACAAGCGAGCGGTCCAACCCAAGCGAGCGGTCCATCCCAACCATGATAGCCTAATAACTACTTTGCATTACAATGCCATCCCAACGCAACGTGCAATTAACCTATACTGAAGGGACCTTACAGCTTGCTATCCAAGCTACAATTAAAGATCGCGACGAGAGCGAAAGACGCGCTATTGCAGCCTTCAGCGTACCTCGAACTACTGTCCGCCAACAACGCCAAGGAGCCCTCTCTCGACGCGATCGCGAGCCCAATTCAAAGAAGCTGAGCAAACTGGAGGAGGAGGCCCTTGTACAACGTATACTTGAGCTTGACACAAGAGGAATACCTGCTACAAAGGCTATGGTGCGAGATATGGCCAATGATCTGCTTGCTGAGCGCGGTGGAGAGCCTGTTGGCAAGCACTGGGTAGACAACTTCAAGACGCGTACGCCTGAGATCAAGCTTCGAAGGAGCCGTCCATATGATCGCCAGCGAGCCCTTAACGAAGATGCACGCGTTATAACGCCCTGGTTTGAGCTAGTTGCCAACACAAAGGCCAAGTACAGCATCACAGACGAAGACATGTACAACTTTGACGAGACAGGCTTCATGATGGGGGTTATCCATAGCCAGATGGTCTTTACAGGCTCTGAGAAGCGTAGCACAAAGAGCCTGCAGCCAGGGAACCGTGGTTAGGTCACTAATATACAAGGAGTCAACGCCAAAGGATAGGCTATCCCACCCTTCCTTATCTTCCCTGGCAAGGTCCTTATTACCTCATGGTTTCACAATCTACCTTAGGATTGGGTAATTAAGGTTAGTCCTAATGGCTGGACGTCGAATGAGCTTGGTATTGCCTGGCTGAAGCACTTCAATACCCATACAAAAGACCGGAAGGTGGGTGCACACAGGCTGCTGATTGTGGACGGCCATGAGAGCCACAGCTCACATGAATTCCACAAACACTGTGAGGAAGAGAAGATTATTGTTCTCTGTATGCCTGCTCACTCGTCGCACCTGCTGCAGCCACTTGATATGGGTTGCTTTTCGCCTTTGAAGCGGGCATATGGTGATGAGATCAGTGGCTTAGCACGGTACGGCTCCAAGCAGATCAAGAAGGAGGCTTTCCTACCAGCCTTTAAAGCAGCTTTTGAGAGGTCAATCACGAAGGAGAACATCTGTGCAGGCTTTAGGGGCGCTGGACTAGTTCCACACAACCCAGAGGCGGTGATATCAAAGCTTGATGTGGTCCTTCGTACGCCAACTCCACCAAAGCCAGAGGACACCCCATGGGAATCGAAAACTCCAAGCAACCTCCGTGAGATAGAGGCTCAGTCAACGCTGGTTCGTGAGCGTGTACGACTGCACAGAGATTCCCCAGTTTCTCCTCTGCTTAGAGCAGTTGAGCAGCTGAACAAGGGCATTGCACGGATAGGGCATGATAGCGTGTTAATGCGACAGGAAATAGCAGGGCTTCGCAAGGCAGTAGAGATAGCAACAGAGGTTAGAGGTCGAAAGAGGAAGTATATTCGGGCAGCAGAGAGTCTCACGGTAGGTGAGGTAGCTGATTTAATAGCTGAAAGGGAGGGTAGTGGGCAGCAGGGGGGCGGAGAGCCTGCAAAGAAGGTGCGCACACAGAGGCGTTGCGGACGTTGTGGAGAGACTAGCCACAACGCTCGCACCTGTGCAGTTGAAATTGTCAATGCATCTAATAGCGACGAGTCTAAATAGTATCTCTATCACCTGCAAATTGCAGTAAGTGGTGGTGGTGTTGCAGCATATGCATTGCAATCATCTTAACTCTGTTAGGTGGACCACTCGCTTGGGTTGGACCGCTCGCTTGTGAACTACGTTAGTTCAAATTTCTTGGATTCGCTGAGCCCGGTTAGTTACCACCAGCATGGGAAAGTCAAGAGTGGTGGGAAATAACGAGTCAGCTCGAGAGAATGTACAGCCTTGTCTGTTATGCTCGACAAGAGCCTCTGCAATGTGCAATAATGTAAAAGAGGGGACGCCATGCTTGAGGAAAGTGGGATGTTTGCAAAAAGTTATTTGTAAAACGTAGAGATCAGCGCCGAAACCCTCAAACGGTTCCTCTCGCCCCTGTACTAGTGCGCGACAGGCATGTACCCATCTGCACCCACCCTCTGCGTCATCATTGGCGGACCCGGGCTCTCTAGCGACGGCGTGTGGGTGCTGTCTCGACTGCTATCCCTGTAGTGACCCGAGACATATGCAGTATTCCCTTTGGCCAAGTCAACAGAATCAGCATGGATGCTCCAGCCTGCTGACTTGCGGTGGTCCTTCAGTGCTGGTCCACCATGGTGTACATTTCCGTGCTCTTCATCACCAGCTACATGAGCCTCGCCGTGCTCCACATGGTCGCCACCGTGGTGGTGCTTTTCCTCATACTCGAGGGCATATGGCTCACCAGACTTAATGAGGCGCCAATTGCACCACAGAGATGCGAGCTTGTCTGCGCAAACAACGATGAAAAGCAGGACCACAGCCATTGGGAGGATGGCTGGTGAGTTGAGAAGAGCGACAAGACTATCTCTATTGGCGAGAATAGCAAGAGCTGCTCCACCGGCTCCAAGGACCAGACAGCGGATGATGACAGAAACGAAGTCGAAGGCGTCGACCTTGTGGCGGCGGATGAGGAAGAGGAAGACGATGAGAGAGACGATGAGAGCGCAAAAGCAGGACCAGAAGTACATGTAGGTCAGCCACCAGGTCTTCTCCGCAACCTCTATGGGGTCCTCCGACGCTTCGAGCTTCTTGAGAGGGATCTTAACACCAAGGCCGGAGTAGACGCCGTTACCGATCGCGTTGTTGATCGACCAGAAGTCCTCAGGCCACAGGTTGTTAATCGTATCGCCATAGCTGGTCGCGTTTTGTGACGAGCAGATGCCAGTAGAGTTGCCGATGGATTCGATGTGGGATACAATGTCGTAGTAGTATCCATAGGTATCAAGCCTCATATTGAACTGATACTTGTCGGTAAACTTCGTGAGTGCATCCTGCAAATTGGACCCGTCCAGGTTCTGCTTGAGACAGATGTCCACTAGACCATTGGAGCCTTTCGCGACGTTCTTGAGGACATAGCGTGCCAATGCAACCTGCTGCGAACCTTCTACCACACCGACAATAGCCAGCTGGAATGGGAAGTGGAGCAGAGACCAAATTTGCTGTCGGATGGTTCCATAGTGTCCGTGTGGGAAGTTGTCGAAGTAGAGTGCCCAAAGCAGGACCTGTGCGGAATAACGTTAGTGCACATACTGGATGGCCACAATATGGAAGTGGACTTACCAGAATGACGATGATGCACATGATAGTGAAGCACCCTTCAGCGTCCAACTCCTTGCCCATGATCCTTCCAACTGTCTTAGTGACGCCAATGGCTCCTTCTCCGATGACAATGATGGTGAGAAGGCTCATACGCTCCATCAGATGTGTCTTCTTGAAGCTTAGCATACGCCAGGAGCATGATATCGTGATGGTAATGATGGATTCAGCAATCACGACCCCGTAGAATATCATGTATAGAGCTGTTGGAGCGTTCGCGTTCGGCCTGTAAGAGGGGAGCATGGCTGCAAAGATACCGGTGGCGAACACATAAGTTGCGATCATCAGGCCGAGGGGAAGGTAGAGCTTCGAGTATTTGGCGCTCATCGTGTAGAACTATATCGGTCAGCAATAAGGCAACGACCTTTGCAAGCTTCAGCTTACGAGCACCACACTGTACTGGATTGCCAACATTCCTCTGCTGATAATCAGGACATAGCAGAGAGTCGACAAATGCTGCTTATTGTTAGTCTTGGTCAAATGACAGTAGCGTATGGCCTACCTTGTGCGTCTTGTCACCTGTTGGATTGAAAGACGAGCCAACGAGAGCCAAGCCAACGAAGGCAATGAACTGAACAGTTTTGCAGACACGCTCGTAGATCGAGTCTCTGGCAAAGCGAACATCATGGAGCGTGATCTGAAACCAGGTCGCCCAGAGGATACCGAAGAAACCAATGTATGCGAGCAAGTAGTTGGAGTCTGAGATTGAGTGGTAGGCTGTGAATGTTGCAAGGTTGGCCACGAAGAAGAGATCGAAGAAGAGTTCAACCGAGTTGGCCTCATGCCGTTGCGAGAAGACAAGGCTTTCTTGATCGGCGCCAGTCAACGGTGACTCGATGATCGGTGTGGTCTTATGCAGCCGTTTGAGATGCTTCTCAGCATCACTGCTCGAGATCAGTACAAAGTTAATCACTCGGCCCACAGTCGGTGACATACACAGCTCGCTAGACAACGTTAGCTATCGAAGGTTTCTATGATCGACAGTACTTACCTTATGGCCATGAAAGCTCCAACCCATCGTTGCGTTCTAAGTAAATCCCACACTAGTGATATTATAGAAATCGGACGTGAGTGTCGCGTTGAGCAGACGTGAGGCCCGCCGTGATACAACCTCCTTAGCTGGCCGGTCGTTCTGACATTTATCTAAATCTCCGCACGGCGCTATCTCGACGGGTGCTCGAGCGGGATTTATTGTAAGAAGGCTGGCCCAAGCATGCAGCAGTGTCAATGCGCACTCGCCAAATGCCAGTCGTAGTGCACCACGGTCTGCTCGCTGTCTGTGCTTTCATAGGAAGTCCCAGATTGGACTGGAGTTGAGAGTCAAGCTGGGTAAGCTCACTGCCAAGGCGGACTCGACCAGGTTTCAGCGGAGCGCTGACCACGCCACGATGCGAGAGGGAGATGCATCACAACCGAAGACTCAAATAAGGTCCGCAAGGAGCATGACTAGTTTCGAGTTATGCATGTAAGATGATCCACAGCCACTGAGCTCTATCGGTGGTGTTCATCCCACCTTGGCAACAAAGCTTCCGCACCATCTCGACTCTGGCCGCTTGTGGCTTTGAGCACAGCGCATTGTAGCCAGCCTCCCGTCTACCTAATGCAGTGGTGCGTACTGCTACTATAGACTTATGATACTCATTCTGAGTTGGCATCGCGCCTTCGTGGTCCAGAGGTGTACTTCCAAGATGTTGTGTTGGCCGGTGTGTTAACATCCGCCCACTCCGGGCGCAGCGAAGCTAAGTTCAAAATTCAGATGCAGCCCCCGAATTGCGCGCATTTCAGGCAGTCTCAACGCGAGACCTCAGTCTCGTGAGTTGTTTGCTGTGCCACGTCGTGCCGCTGACGATATATGTGAGTAGTTGTCGTTTAGTGGAAGGTGAGGAGCGACAAGAGCCGCGTCTCGCCCAGAGCCCTGCAGCTGTCAGCTGCCCTCTCCTTTTCAGCATACGTTAAAGCCACTGTTGCACCTTCCTTGACCCCACGACAGAACAGGAGCCTGCGTTCGTGGACAATGAGAGTATGGCCTGGAAGTGATATCTCGCCTGAACAATTAGGCATCTAATCACAGAGTATATCCCTTAGATACTTATAACCATATAACACGCTCATTGTGCCGACCAAGCAATGCAGATCCTATCTATGTAACACACATCTGCACCGTAAAGTACGACGCTACTTGCGCAAAAGGCCGGACCGCTCGTCTGCATCTTGCCTGTCATCACTGATGTCCTCTTCCTCATCCTCGTCTTCGTCTTCGTCGCTCCACCCTTCGGCCTCAAGATTCTCACCACGAATGCCAAAACTCAAGAAAAATCCCAGCAGTGAAATGCCGGCGAAGATACCGAAGGGCAACGCCTCTCCCTTGGGCTGAATTTTAGTGGCTGCTGTGAACAGCGACCCTGAGATGAAGGGGCCTGCAGCACGACCGGCAGCTGAGAGCGTCTGCGCAAGCCCGTTCAAAGTGCCGAGTACGTTGTGGTTCGGGGCAGAGTTGGTGATCTCGAGGCAGGTTAGCACAACGTGATCGATGCCAGCATTCAGGGCGCAACTCACCAGAAGCAGAGCAGCTGTCAGGCCGCCGACACCTGCAATCGTCTTGATCACCAATACCACACCAAGCTCGAACCACAGCCATCCACTTCCTTGCTTGTTCTTGTAGCCCACGAAAGGCATTAAAATGAAAGCTACAACGAACAAAGCTAAACTAGCTCTGTATGCAACCTTGTTGCCAAGCTTTCCACGCAGCTTGCCAAAGATGCCTACTTGGAAGACGATCGTTATGGCACCTGCAAACGACAAGGACAGTCCTACAGCCTCAGGCTTCAGTCCTCGCCCCGTCGGTTCAACATCCTCGGCAAAAATAGGGTACAGAGAGTTGTACGAGATGTTGGCCAGCTGGAAGATGGTGTATGTCACTAAAAGTAGGATGGTGTCTCGGTTGAGGATCTCCTTCTTAGTCAATTCGCCGTTGGTCTCTGGGAATAAGGCAGGAGCGACGCCGTCTGAGTCAGCATCAGATGCATCGTCCAGATCCTCGTCTTCTTCATCAATGCCATCCAGGTGTTGTGAATGATGACTCTTCTGCCTGCTCAACCAGTGGGGCACGTATGAAGGCCTTGTCGAGCTCGTGAATTGCCACATTCGTGTGAAGAGATTTCCTATTCTCTTCCCGAGAGGTGGTAGATCTCGCGCTTCTTCCAGACTCTCCTCGAGGAAAATCATGCATATAATGAGATCAACACCGAGTACAAGAGCGGAGAACAAGTTCGGTAGTAGGTACGGGAAGGGATTCGTCTTCCCCTGGTCGAGAGGGTTCTTGTAGAACACCAATAGGCCTCCAACGATAGGTCCAGTAATACCGCCGATGCCATAGACCACAGGCAGATATGTGAAAGCTCGTGACTGGTTGCTGCGGTCTGTGATCTCGCCTAGGCAGGTGGACACGACGCCAGAATTGCCGTTGACAATTCCCATGAGGGCTTGTACGAGAATTGCCTGCCACAAAGTCTTGCAAAATCCAAAAGCAAGGAATGACAGCATTGTCAAGAACGTGCCAGTGATTATGACAGGCTTTCTCCCAATCTTGTCTGACAGCCAGCCCCAGAAGAAGTTGGTTGTGAACTGCGCCAGAGCGAAGGACGAGGCGATAAGTCCCACGTACAGCCCTGTCTGTCCGTCTTTGACCTCCGGAAAGCTCTTCGTCATCTCGGGCAGGTATGGACTGATCGAATTGAGGGCCGTCTGCTCGGCAAGCGCGATGATAGCGAGCACGATGAGCTGCTTCTTGGGCAGTGGTGACTCATGGTGTTGGTCGTCTAGCTCTGAGCCGCTGGCAGGACCATTTGGAGGTGAGTTGGACTGACGGGGACCTCGCGATGTCGGCGGCTTCGTGGGAAAGGTCTGGTAGTGCAGCGTAGACGACTTGCGCTTGTCGATTGGTGGCCGTCTTCCGCTCATGGCGGGGCGCACGAGGTCGGTCGAGGCTTGGGTATGTGGGTTAGCCTTGTGGAGGCGTGGCTATTCACTGCAGTTGTTGCATGCGTCAAAAGTCGTGAGAGGGGCGGAAGTGCAGCTGGAGAACGTCAAGATTGGGTGTGAAAAGACAAGATACGCGTGCGCTCCAGATTTCGTCATACCCGCGCTTGCCCCAGCTAAGCTCTCGGCTTGTCAGTATCGGCAGGAACCCGCATTATGGATCGACGATCATTCGTCAACCATCACCATGGACGTCTTCTAGAACGCATTACCATCTTCTGTCGCGTGCCTTCACCCGTATTCGCTGTGTTCGATGACATCGCTGCTAATAGCAATCGTGGTGCTTGCATTCGCCAGCATTGCTATTGACTATACTGCGACAGCACGACGCAAAGCACTGACCGGCTACAGTCTGACAGACCGAGTCCATTGAGGACGCTGCATTGAAGATCGGTACCCCGGCTTCGCGGTAACGATGACAGGTCACTGCAAGGCTGTCAATATGTTATGAATACCGAGTTCAAGCTCGATAGGTGTGTATACATTCGCGATCCAGCTAAGATCCTGTTCAAACAACATGGTTGCCCGCAAACACACCTGAAAGAATGTCTCGATGTACCAACAGCGACAAGCGCCGAGGGTTCTGCACGTATGCGGCGCTGCCCTGCCGCGCAGCCACATCAAATCCTTCCAGTAATTACAACGCCTAGTACGCGAACACCTCAACACCGAGCGCTTCGAAGCCAAAGTGTAGGATGCATGCGTCGCTGATAGTAGATAAGGAAGTGCATCATAAAGCGAGAAGAGTGCGAAGAGCGACAGGACAGTTCGTTCTGCTGGAGATGTATACCTTCGAGATCACCATCTCTCAGTTAGCATATTCGGTCATTGGACAGTCTGAGCGCAAGCAAACGCCCGAAATACCCCGAGCAACGGCTTGCATTCAATCGGCCACCCAGACGACCATACCCATATCGCCTGTAGCCTATGTCTTGGCTTATATCTTGGCTAATATGGCAAGCGACTCGAAGAGCTCGACTTCATCTATTCAGCTTACATCTTGCTCTCAGACAGCCGGGCAGGCGACACGTCTTCTACACTCACATTCCAGAAAACCAAGTATGTAGTGAACGACCTATATTCACACAGTCGCCCAATGATCTTCGACAAGTAGCTCTCAACACCGCGGCGCGACCCAGTCGCATGCAGGAACAAAGGCTTTGTACCGGTGTGTCTGTTTCCAGAACTTGCAGCTTGCTCATCGGGCTTGCGACTTGCGATCCACGCCATGGGGCTCGCGTATGTACTTCAATATCCGTAGATAGATTGCAAGCCTGGCAAATGTCAAGCTGCAAAGTAGAGACGGGTTCCCCTTGCGTCGTTGCCTACATAAACATTTCCCCCATCTTACCTGTTGACCAAGTATACCACAGCTTCTGATTCACACACTCTCCACAAGTATCAGACCATCCAAAATGCGAGTATCCCACACGATCCCGCTCATCGCGGCTCTTCCGTCAGCATTTGCTGCGCCTCAGCAGCCGCCATTCACAAACACAACCGAACTGCCGACTCGCTTTGCCATGCTGCTGCTCCCACACTTCCAAGCGCTCGACGTCTTTGGCCCACTCGATGTCCTCAACACTCTATCTATGCTTTATGGCAATCAAACAGCCATGAACCTGACCTTGCTCAGCAAGACTATGGACCCGGTCGGTACCACCATCAAAGGTATGCACGGCAAAGGCTATTTCGGTGAAGAAGTTCTCCCAACCGAAACTTTCGCCAACATCCTCGGCAAGAAGAAGAGTTTTCCTGCCAAACTAACCGGCGGACATGGCCAAACACCAACTCAGAGCTACGACACAGACGGCAACGATGGCTGGGGCAATGGCTACGCACGTAGACACGAAGGCCATGAGCCTGCGATACCGCACAGCCCGCCGATGAACCACACGATGCCTATGAAGGATATCGAAGTTCTCCTTGTACCCGGTGGCGGTGGTACAAGGCAGAACATGACCGAGGAGATAGCGTTCGTCAAGGCCATCTACCCCAAGGCACGCTCATCACAGTCCCATTTTCACCAAACACAAACGGCTGTACTGACTCCCTCAGCTAAAATACATAATCTCCATCTGCACAGGCGCAACCCTACTCTCACGTGCCGGCCTCCTCGACGGCAGAAAGGCCACGACAAACAAGCGCGCCTGGGCCTGGGCTACCTCAACCGGGCCTAATGTGACATGGGTGCCGAGCGCGCGCTGGGTCGAGGACGGGAATATCTTTACCTCGAGTGGGATTTCGGCGGGCATTGATGTGACGATCGCGTGGGTGGGGAGGGTGTATGGCGAAGAGGTCGCGGATTATCTGGCGAATAGTATGGAGTACGAGCGTTGGACTGATCCGCACAAGGATCCGTTTGCGAAGGTGTGGGATGTGCCTGGTACGGTTTAAGGATGAGCGCATAGGGTAGACTGATACTCAGACAATATAGGTGGGCGCAATTAAAGAATCTGTGATATATATTGGTCGATCTTTAAAAGGGCAGAGCGCAATGTGGTCAATTCAAACTTCAATGAAGGCTTGTATCGTCCCCGAAGACAGTCCGACTCTTTCTCTTACCTCGGTCGTGTCCTTGGTCTACCTTTCTATCATGATGAAGTTACCTTAAGTGATACAGACTGTATGTTGTCGCCAATAAGACCTTCCAGGTATTGGCTCAGGAAAGTAGAACGTCCAACAGGTCTGTGACAGTCTGTGCAAGTACATTGTGCTTTCGGGAAGATACACACTCGAATCACACTGTATCCATTCTATTTGTGACTGCCTGTCGGAGAGTTCGTAGGAGAAAGTGGTGAAGTGGATTGGAGTCTGATGCATGCACAGTATTGCTCGATTAATTGTACAAACCGCTCGTAAAATGTCATACCAAAATACCGACGCCATAGCACCGGAACGACTGACCTCAGCCAGATCCAGAATCATTGACTGCTAACGATAGTGGGACCGTTCATCACGTGCGGCTTGTCGCCATTTGCACCTCTCCCATGCTCTCGCTGCTGTGGGTGATGACCTCCGCGGTGTCCTCCTCTGCCAGGTCCTCCTCCCCCACCGCCACCACCTCGACCGGGCCGCGTGCCCCCGCGACCAGGGCCACCTCGGCCGCGCCCAACGGAAAAGTTGATGTTGACCAAGGGCCTCTCGACCCACTCGACGCCCTTCAGACCCAGACTTTCTTTCTCCCATTCCGCGAGTTTGTTGGCTTGGTACAGACCCATTAAGCGCTGCTTGTCGATCTCCTCTCTCCCTTGCGGTCCAACTTGTTTTGTGAGCTTGACGTCACGCAGCTCCGGAACCCATGCCTTGATGTATTCGCCCTGGGGATCGTAGTCCAACGCTTGTTTTACGGGATTGAACACCCGACCTTGTCTGGGATCGTTTCCTACGCCGGACACGTACTGCCAGTTGCCCCAGTTGCTCGGTACATCGTAGTCGATCAACATGCACTCATACCACTCCGCGCCGATGCGCCAGTCGATCTCGAGATGCGACGCAAGGAAGGAGGCAACATTTTGCCTAGCACGGTTCGATGTGTAGCCGGTGAGGAAGAGTTCGCGATTCGATGCATCGATGAGACCAACGCCGGTCCGCCCGGAACGGAAGCGACAGAATGCCTCCAGAGTTCGAGCAGGGTCATTACCCTGTGTTCGCTTGTCAATCCGCTTCCAGTTCTTAGGCGGAGGCGAAGTCTTGTTGTTTCTGCTTTCCTGTGGACGGATGCCATAAAGATGGAACATCTTGGATCCGAACTTGCGCATGCACAGATGGAAATAATCCCGCCACAGCAGTTCAAATCTCACAGCTGCTGTACCGTCATTCTCCCCCTTTCCGTATCCTTGTACACCTTTTCCGTTTCCCCGCCCTTCTTCAAAATCTAACATCGCCCAGTGGATTTGCCGAGCTGTGCAATGTCCCTGTGCGAGGTACGCAGATAGCTTGGTACTGAAGTCGCGTCCGAGCATGCCGTTCCGTGTAGCTTTGTACGAGCTCATGGCTCCGCTCGAGATCAAATGAGATATGCGCTCGAGCGCATAAGTCTCGCCTCCTGAGAAAGGATGCGCCGACTCTACGCCACCTCCAGGCCACTGAGGAGGCTTTACCAGGCCAAACGTAGGGTCTTTGTCGAATGGCGCTCGGAGGGCTTTCATCAGGTCATCGAAATTTGTGGGTATCTTGAACGGTGATGCCTGAGGCGCAATATCGGGTGGGAGCGGCGGTAACTGTGTGGGGGCTGGAAGGATACGGCGAGGCTGATCTCGTAGAGGTTCAACTGATTTGCGGAATGTCGTGTAGATGTTGGGGAGCTGTGAGATATTGTCGAAAGGCAGGTCGCGACTATGACGTGTTAGATCTGGCTTCAGGAGCAAACATGGTTGAGACGTACTTGTCGATGTAGTACTTCTCGTCATCCCACAGCTTGAAGTCGACTCCGTGCTGTTTCGCGTGTCCCTTGACCACTACCTCCTCTTCTTTCTCCTCGACCGACTCGTTTGCTGTCATCCAGACCCCAGAAATCTCGCCTTTGGAGCCGCCACTTTTTGAATAGTACTCAAGGATGTCCTTGACGACATCGCCAATCATGCCAACCCTGATTTGTAACCCAGAACCGCATTTCATATCCTCAAGCGACTGCTTCAAGTCCCAAACACCTTCCGCAATAAACCTCGCGCGGTGAGGTCCAGTGCGCCACATCTTTGCGTAATGGCTGCGTGCTTCTGGGTACGGCGACTTGTCTGATGGAGAGGCGAGGAACCCAGACGACTCGATTTGTTGTGCGGGAAATATATAAACGGGCAGCAGGTGGGTGAACGAAGATCCTCGGTGCTCCGAGGTCAGCGAATCGTCTCTTGTGCGCAGGTCCGCCTTGGATGGCGACGCTGAATCTTGTTGTCGTGTAACATGTCGTGCGGCAGCTGTGAATATGGGGTTGTCTGAGAGGCGGGCGTCGCGGCGCAGGATGTAAAGCAGGATGCGCGGCTTTTCGTCAGACATGATCGGATTATCGCTAGATGTGTGAAATGACCGACGTGGACACGAAGAGCAGAGAGAAAAGTTGCAGAGGTTGCACAGCGGCCAGGAGCTACTGCGTCGTAACATCAATGATAAGCGATTCATTGAACGAATCGACTCCTAGCAATCGAGATCGTGATCGTTCATAGGAGTTGCCACGGGCGAAAGAGTGCCGTCGGGGAACTCACAGCCTGCGATGCGTCATGACAGAACGGTGTGAGGCGAGTTGTGTCCCACTGAAATTCTAGGGCACGAGGCCGCTGACACTAGAAGAACCCTAATGTGTCATCTGTCGGCTACATCGAGACGCCTCAGCCAGAAAGGGCACAATTGTATGGGACTGAAGAGATGCTCGACTGCGTTTCAAGGCTGGTGATGCCTGCTGCAGTATCTCGGGGCAGGGTTATGACGTGGGCCTTGTCAGGAAACGTGCGCGTCATTGGTCAACAACCACTGCAGGGACGCACGCAAGACGAGTTTGGGACGGGCCGAGCGAAGGGTGAGCAATTCTCACGAGTTAACTCGTGGCGATGGTCGAGCTGTCATGAAAATGTGCTTGGGATCGCGACAAGCTTGACTGAGGTACCGATGCGCCTTGCCAGAAGGGGCTTCGTTGCACATGAGATCTAGATCTCTCTCACTGCCAAGCCGCCCCTCGCGGCCAATGATGCAAACGCATCGACGCAGATCTCGGCGCGAAATTTGATCTTGGGATTCCTCGATTGTTGGAACGGATCGCGTGCAACGCACCCATGCAGGAACACCAGACGCGGCTATCTCGTATCGCCCATGCGGCTGCCTGGGGCTCAATCTGCCTGACATCTTGGGGCTGCCGGCTCGCACGTTCCGACAGATTTGCCAGATCTGCCTTTAGTGCCGCTTCTCTCACGGAGATGAATGACGAGTGCTGTTTGGTCAGACATCAAGGGAAAAGGATTAACCGCACTTCTCGATCTCCACGGTGAGTGGTACAATCACAAGCCACAAGAACATGACTTTGCGGGTACGAGCTTCCGAATGTGGTTTACATTGGTTACATCCCTAATCCCTACCTGATCGCTTGTATCTGGCGACTAAATATACTAACACACAGATCGGTGCACGCCCTCGTGCATAGGCCTCTTCGCTTTGTGCCTGTTGTGAGCTCGGTGTCCAAGGGATGCATGCGTCTTCTCGGCGCTGGGGTTCGACGATTGCCAGGCTGCCAGATCGGTCGCACTCGTGTTCTGCAACTGCTCCATGACTTGGCAAATATCTGTTATCAGTCGATCAATCATATCCAAAGACAAACTCTCGCGTACGACGACCCGCAAAATCTCGGTCTTCTCCTCGCTCGGAGGAAGAGGGTAGTCTACACGTGTCAGCCACAGCACGCCACACAGTTGAAGTTACACTCACTCGGGATGATGTATTGCTTAGCGCGTAGCAGATTGCTGACAGACTCCTGCTTCACGTGGGGATAGGCCTTCTTAAAGTCGTCTGTGAGGGTGAACGCAACGACAGGAAGACCGGCGTTGTAGGCTGCGCTGTTCTCGCCCTCGTCGTACTGTGGCTTCCCCTTTTCAAACTTGAGGTCACCCTTCTTGCGGTGGATATCACTGACACAGCGGAACCAGCCGGTGTGCTCCAGCGCCCTGCTCAACAAGCGCGCATTGGCGAGTGTGTTCTCCATGATGCTGCGGAATCCATTGAACCCCAGGTGGATCAGGTTATCTGGTCGTGTTAGTGTCTCTGTCACCCAAAGCCTTCATGTGACCTACAATACTGTGCAATGATCTGCGCTCCGGGCCGAGAGAAGTTGAGTGTGTACGACTCTTCTGTGCCACCAAGGTAATGCAGCTCGAAAACCAAGTGCTTCGGCAGGTAGCTTTCGTCTCTCCAAATGATCCAGCCAACACCTGCGTAGACTAATCCGAACTTGTGGCCACTAGTGTTTATCGACTTCACGCGAGGCAGCTCGAAGTTCCACTTCTTGCCAGCCTTAGCATGGGTGAAAGGTGCGATGAAACCGCCAGACGCTGCATCCACGTGGATAGGAATGTCGTTGCCGGTCTCCTTCTCGTAAGCATCGAGGATGTCGTGGATCTCCTCAACGGGCTCGTAGTGGCCCGTGTACGTGCTACCAAGAATCACAAAGATGCCGATTGTGTTCTCGTCGATGTTCTTCTTCACCAGCTCAGGGTCCAAGCGGTACGACGAGTTCTCGGACACAGGCAGAATCCGGGCCTCAACCTCAAAGTAGCGGGCAAACTTCTCAAGAGCAACCTGAGCGTTGGCACCCATGATGATATTAGGCTTCGATGTATCCTTGCCTGCGGCCATACGTTTCTCCTGCCAGCGCCTCTTCATGGCCAGTCCACCGAGGTGGATAGCCTCACTGGAGCCTGTTGTGGCAGAACCAATGGCCTTCTCACCCTTCTGAACGCCCCAGAGGTGAGCAAGGATTGAGATACAACGTGCGTGCATGTCCATCATTGCAGGGTACTCGTCAGCATCTGACATGTTCTTTGAGATGTTCTCAATCATGAGGGCTTCGGCTTCGCGCTCCATGTATGTTCCAACAAATGAGGCCAGGTTCAAACTGGGACGGCCATCGAGGTCCAGCTCATCCTTGAGCAGCTGGTGGACGGTGTCTGCTGGCGCACCATCCTGAGGAATCTTGTATTTCGACAACTCAACACTCGCGGCATATCTTGATGAATATGGGGTGGTATGGCTGACTCCTCGCTTGTGAGCACCAGCCTTGTGAAGAGGGTGATCCTTCAGGGTCTCGATGAGCTACGAAAGATTAGCACCTACTCAGAAAGGGTGGTGCATTGCGATCTATGGGTATACCTCATCGGGATCGATGTGTCGCGCGAGAACCATTGTGATTAGAGTTTGGAGTGGTGATGCTAGTTGGTGTAGGAGCTGGGTAGTAATAATCGAAGCTCAACGCTACCATCGACTGTGTATATACACCAATCTGCCATGACGACATGGCGCGTTAATGCGAACAACATTTCGTACTGTCTGCACGTACTTCGAGCCCTCCACAGCTGTGCAGCATTACCTAAGATGCAACCGGCTTCATAGGAAAGCTTAATCAAGATTTGGAAATGCTTATTTCACCAGAAAATGGGTCTATGAAGCGCAATCTACACCCACTGAGCGAATTGGAACCAATGTTTGGTAAAGTGGGATCGAGATCTAGCAAGGAACGAACGTTGAGCACCCAATGGCAGCTACGAGTGGACAGCGCATTGCTTCCGGAGGCCCACCGCACCACGGTTGTCTGGAGAAAATAGCGCAGAAATGACGCTGCTTCCAGATATGTCCGAGAGCCTCAGATGCGCTGGGCATGCATGACGCAACCTGCATAGACTCAAAATGGCTCACGCGGATATCAGTAAGCATCACGCAGATGCCTGAGGCGTCCAGGCGAGTCTATCGCCGCCGTCACGTGATTAGAACGTATCGTTTGCACCGGGCTGTGGACATCTTTCGTTTCTGATCATACTTTAGTTTCTTCTCGACCTTCGTGCTATATTTCTCTGTTGGATACTTCAACTCTCACATCACGGTCTCATTTGTTTCAACAACGGGCGCGCGCCGAGACGGACATGGCCATGAAAGCCGCCATTGCGTCATCAGTCATCGTCGACATCTTGACGGCTCCCCCGCATCTGCGTACGCGTCGCAGATAGCTGGCTGGTAAGGCACGCGGCTTCAGCCTTTGCGAGCAAGTATTCACGAAGGATGTGATACGTTTGGGTATAGCTCGCACCGAATTTGATCTTAATGCTCCAATTGTCAAGCCTCTTTCCATGTCGTTCTGACCCGACCTGATTCGTCCGTTTCGGCCGTCATCCTCGGTGCTTGATACACTACCGAAGATCCGCCATCGCCACGCGAGGTGGTGTAATCGACTCGTACTGCCATTTAATCTCATTCCTCTCTTTGATTTCCTGCATTACCCATCACCTGTCAGTACCAGACATCATGCGTTTCGCTCGCGTGGTACCATTCATCCCATTGGCTTCGGCCTTGGTTATCACCGAAGCTGAGGTCTTCGAGAAGCTGCCCAAGTCCAACAGGCATACCGAGAGCGCGAAGCTATCCGGCAAGGAGCTCCTAGACAATGCACGGGATATCCTTGACAGTACGTACTACAGAGTCAAGGATAGTGCACAGGACATTTATACCCGACTCCATGATGCCACCGCCGACGTTGAATCTTGGTTAGAAGGCTCATCATTCGATGATGCTACCATCAACTTTGGTGGTGATGATCACCGCCCACACCACCCACCCCATGACGGGCCACCTCACTACGGCCCTCCTCACCACGGTGGACCTCACGATGGAGACGACAAGCCCAACAGGACCGTCTACGAGCTCATTAACGAGAGCAAGTACACCACCAGGCTTGCCGAGCTGATCAATAAGTACGACGACTTGGTCGAAACTCTTAACAGCACCAAGGCCAACTACACCATCTTTGCTCCCACCGACGAGGCCTTCGAGAAGATTCCCAACCACGGGCGCCATCCTTCGAAGGAGGTCCTGAAGGACATCCTCCTGTACCACGTCAGCCCCGACTTCTACCCTGGCGGCCGTGTGCTCCACAGCTACACCATCCCAACTCTGTTCGAGCCTGAGAAGCTCGGCCATAAGCAGCGCCTGACCGTCCGCGTGACCCTCAAGGGCCCGACCATCAACTTCTACAGCAAGCTAGTCGCGGTCAACATCTTCGGCACAAACGGCGTCGTGCACGGCGTCGACTCGATCCTCGTCCCTCCCCCCAAGACAGCCAAGATCCTCGAGCTTCTGCCTGGCGAATTCAGCACGCTGGAGCTTGCACTTCACAAGACGGGTCTTTTCAACAACACCGACTACCCGCACAGTGGCGGCACGTTCTTTGCGCCGTCTAACTTCGCATTCAAGAAGCTTGGCCCCAGGGTTAACGCCTTCCTCTTCAGCTCTTACGGCCAGAAGTACCTCAAGGCCCTGCTCAAGTACCACATCGTGGTCAATCAGACGCTGTACACAGACGCCTTCTTCGACTCGAGCAAGAAGCACGACGACGACGACAAGGCCGCCGGCCGCCCAGGGAACTACCACTACGACCTTCCTACCGTGCTGGACGACAAATACCTCGCGGTCGATGTCGCGCGCTACGGGCCATTTGTTGAGATCCGCATCAACGCGTTCTCGCGTGTGACTGTTCACGACGGCATCGCGAGTGATGCTGTTATCCAGGTCGTTTCCGATGTCTTGATCCCGCCCAAGAGCTCGAATGGCGAGCAGGTCATGTGGCAGGGTGAGGAGCTCAGCGTCGAGGAGTTCAAGGAGCGTCTTGCCCCGCTCGCCGAGAATATTGAGTTGTAGATGTGTGTGAGTGGGGTTGTGTTTGAGGTTGAACGGCTGCGCTAGCACGCCTACCTGTTTGACGAACTTGATGAGCGTACTGGCTCTGTACGATCCTTATGAAGTTTACACATTGCTTTCGTCCCTCTCTACGCATGATTAGCATCTTGTGAACGCAGCGCAGTGTGTGGAGTGAACGGCCAGTGCTCGGATCTCAAATCCACCCTCTCACCGCTCTTTAGCCGCGTGGAGCTCGCATCCCGCGACGCGGTGTTTACGAGGGCACGGCGTCCATTCGTTTTGTTTCCCAGCGACAGTTAATGCCTGAAGTTGTTGGTGTTGTCAAGTCAACAATGAGTAATAATATTCGACGCTATGATCGCTAACAACGCGTCAACTATGCAACAGACAAGGATGCCCCCTGACGCCGCTCTACATCGACCAGGTACATTGACCTACAACACACCAGCACCAACAGTAGTAAATTTCAAATGTTAGAGAGAATTTGTGGCATCAAAAGGGCATTGCGTTTTGTGCCAGTCCGTCACCCACGTAGCTGGGCCGTCTACAGCGCAGGCGTGGGTGCCGGGAGTACGTCTCGTAGGCCGTGAGAACGGGTACAAAGGAATCGTAAGGCTCCGTGCCGTAGTAGGGCCTGTAGTTTGCGAACACGCGGTGGTGGCGCTTGAGCGCCCAATTGGGGTCATGATTTCGTGGTTCTTCGTTGTATTCCATGAGTTCCTCCTCCTCCTCTTCTGGGATCTCCTCTGGGATGTGTTCTGGAAAAGGCATGTATACGTCTTCCTGCAAGCTGCCGGCGCTGTGTCCGCTGTCCTTGCGCCCGTGCTTGGGCGACTCCAGACCGGCTGGCAGACTCGAGTAGGGCGTTACTGGTGCGGAGACACCGTTGTGAGCGCGCCAGATGTCGTCGTATTCTGCTCGCGCTTCGCCATCTGCGAGCAGCTCCATTGCCTGTGTCAAGGCGCGGTACTTTGTGGCATCGCTCTGGAAGTATGCCACTCGTAAACGGCGGAAGGCGGCTTTGATCTCGTCTACTGTGGCCTCGGGCCCGAGCTCGAGAATGGCATAGTGGTCGACAAACTCTGTGGGCTCGGGGGACAGCAGTGTCGACGGATCGCTGGCGGGCGAGAAGAGCGAGTCGTAGGGCGACCGTCCTACAGGGGAGACGACCGAGTTGCGATGTGAGAGCAGTGTGGAGGCCTCCGAGACGTAGACAGAGGACCGCTTGCTGGGCGACATGGACATGATGCTCAGCGGACGCGGGATGAACTCAGACTCGGTGCGGCCGTGGGCCGGGCGTTTTCGCTGAGGACTAAATTGCATCCGCAGCATGTGCGGAGAGGGGTCTGGAAGGGTTGTGTACGACATCATCTTGAACGTGTGTTTGTGTTGTTTGTGTGCTTTGAGGGGTGTCAGGTGCGTGCAAGACAAAGGTATTGTGGCGTGTGAGAACAAGCACCGTGTTGTGAAGAAAGAATGCTACGATGGCGCCTCAGCGAAAGGCTGTCTAAAGCTGTCTTAGACAAGGTCCCATGGTTGGCCGAGGCGCAGCTGCAGGGAGGGCCTGCAGTTGCCAGGGGGGAAGTGGAATCCACTCCAGTGCCAAAGCCGAGATAGACATGGTGTGATGCGCTGCTCGCAGGTGCTTTGACGATAGGCAGCCGTTCTGAAACACGCGGCCGTCAATGGCCGTGCATTATCACGAACCAGGCGTTGGAAACTCTAGCGAATTGTTTGTTGTGGAAGTTGTGCAGCGGATGAACGGTTGGGTGCACGTGCAGGCGCGAAGTGCGCTAGGCGGATGCGGGAGCTATGACTCGCTAGCTGTCAAAAAGTCCCGGCGCAAACGCAGCCGTTGGCTGTCACGGCGTCGCGTTTCTGCCCGCTCCAGCGTGACCGAGAGCACCATGGCCGACGTGTCAAAGAAGAGGAAGCCGACGTCAGACAGCGCGCCGCATGCAAAGCGCGCTCGCTTTCCACAGATGCCTGCGCGAAGCATCCCCGTTGTGTCGACGAGGAACGCGTACCCCAATGGCGAGGTCAACGTCAAGAACTTGCTCAGGTCGCACGAGAATGAGATCAGGTCGCTGGAGGGGGCGATCAAGGCCGCCAAGAAGGGCCTGTCGAGGAGAGCATTCCAGGACGTGCCCCGAGAGCTGCGCAGAAGAACGGCTAGCCACAACCCCAGCCGCGTGCCCAAGCGGCTGCGAAGACGGGCGCGACAGGAGGCCAACGAGGACAACACGCCCATAACGCGGGGCACGAGCGGCAGTGGGATTGGAAAGGGCAGGAAGAAGCACCTCAGGAGGGACGGCATCGAGCAGAGCAAGAAGATATGGAAGCAGAGGGCGCAGAAGAAGGCTGAGACGAAGGCCAGTGGGCAGACAGCGGCTGAGGAGGGAGCGGCTGCGACATCGAAAGCGGCACCGAAACCAAACACAAAGCCCAAGTTCCCGTCCCTGGCCACGCCAGCTACGCCCCCATCACGCTTCCGCCGACGCCAACGAGACAAGACGTGGCTGCCCACGCACATCTGGCATACGAAGCGTGCACGCATGACCGAACCAAAAGACCCGCTCTGGCGATTTGCCATTCCACTCGCGCCCGTCGTGAAAGCATACCGCCTGACCCACCGAGCCGCAGTCCAGCGAGGAGCCATTGCCTGGGACATGAGCTACATGTCGACAATCGGGCTCGGGGGCGTGGAAGACAGCATCGTTGGGCTGCTGAGAGGGCTCCATTTCGGTGCTGAAGATGCTGAGGATCCATGGCAAAGGCGAGGCAGGGCGAAGAAGTGGAGGCAGGGCACACGTGTCTGGGAAAGCTGGCTGCACGAAAGAGAAGCGAAACCTTTGAAGAGGATGGCACGTGTGGTTGTCATCTGGTGTGCGTCTGAGCTGCATGGCAAGACGAGGAAGGCTTTCATTCGAGTGCATCCGAGTGCTTTCCTGCAAGTGTGGAACGAGATCATTCGCATATCCAAGGTTCAGAAGCCAGCAGTGACTGTCGAAGATTTAAGATTTGAGGTCGGCTCTATCGAGATTATGGGCCCTGCAGCAGCCGAAACACTTTGTTCGATACTGCATCCAAGTCTCTCCGAGCGTACGCCCGGTGCGCCTGAATCGCTATGGTCTACACTTGCATCAGTCAATGACTTGGGCGCACTGCCTCCAGGCGCACTCCTCGCTTTCGATATCTCAGACCCTCGTCTTCGAGATCCTCCTGCACAATCGACGACATCACACGATCACACTGCCTTGATTGAAACACTCGCCAATTGGCCGATCGACAGCACACAAGCCCCATCACCCATCTTCAGCCGCACAGCTCGTCTCACTGGTCAGAGAACGATGCCTTCGCAGAAGTCTATCAACCGGAGACAAAGTGCCAACACACTCGGCGGATATCCGGAGCCGCGGTCGACCGATCCACGGATCCCAATGCTTACATTCGTATCGCGAGAAAGCAAATCTTGGACTATACTTCTGCCGTGGAAGTGTGTCATGCCCGTCTGGCGGGGTATCATGCGCTACCCACTGTCCACAGGAGGAAATCCTCGCTTTGGCGGTTTGAAAGAGAGGCGACAGGTTACTTTCGAGCGCTCGGTGCCCAGCTTTCCGTATGACTGCCCCGGCACTGATGCTGGCTTGACATGGGAGCGCAAACAACAAGAAGTAAGGAAGCATGAGTGGACGAGGCGACCCAAAGGCAAAAGGATTGAGTGGTCCACTATCGATCTTGGTAATGGGCGGAATGGCGAGGTTGGCGACCCATGGGCATGTGACTGGGAGCGGTTGCTACCCGATGCGTTGGGTGGGGGCGAGTCTGACAGAGCTGTTACATGCTTCCGTCAGCTCTCCTCCATTCAAGCAACTAGGCTTCTGGACGATTCTACCAGCGAGCCTGAAGTACCTTATCTCTTCACCGCGGAGATTAAGGTACTGGGTCGAGGTTATCCGGTTGACTGCACTCGAGTCTACCGGCTGCCTACAAGCGACCCTGAGCTTCGGACCAAGTGGCTCTCTCTAATGCCGGGTCTGAAGTCAAAGACAAATGGCGTGCCAAGGAGACAGCAGACTCGCAGCGGCGACGACGTTCCTGAGTATCTGGAACGAAGGGAGCTTGCTAGCAGTCTTCTAGAGCCTGCAGCGCCCAAAGACCACACCACACCAGCAGATGCTGACTACCCTGTCGTTCCGGACGAAGGAGACCTGATTGGGTTCGTCACAACGGGCAATTACAATCTGGCTGAAGGCATGCCGACTGCTGTCGCGAATCTCGCTCTACACAGAGTTCTTCGTGGTTCCCAGAGTGAAAGTGCAAAGGAGGAAGGCCGCATTTGCATTGTGAGAGAGCCAGGACGGACAATAGGCAGACTTGCGAGGTGGGACGTCATCTAGGGCAGATATATCACACAGCCATGATCTGGGAAATTCAGAGACTCAAGACCCGCGAGAGCCTGATGGGTATAAAATTGACGCTCATGCGCAAGAACCTCTGCCGTGACATCCAGCTAGGTGATGCGTTGCGTAGCTTACATGAATGCAATACTCTTTTGCACCAACAACTACTCTTATTGTCGCGTGATTCATGCGGCTTATCATACGCCGTGCTTTGAATCTGAACCGAGTACTCCAATTAGCACCTACGAATATCTTGGAACAACTGCTTCAACGTTGGTGTTGGTGCTACACCTCGCTTGGGTCGGTGAGGGTTGATCCGTCTAGAAGACACGCTCGCTTAAGGAAGGCGCGCCGAACACGGCATAGCTCATGCCAAGGATCCCACTAAGCCGCCCACACTCGCTCGAATTTGTGCCTCTCAAACTTCGCACTTCGTCAAACCAACCCCATCCATAAACCGCCAAAATGACCAAGCGTACGGCTGCCCCCATGCTCGAGCGATGCTGGACACGATATTGATTGCGATGTAGGCACTAAGAAGGTCGGCATCACCGGAAAGTACGGTACCCGTTACGGTGCCTCGCTCCGTAAGCAGGTCAAGAAGATGGAAGTGCGTACACGCCTAGAAGCCCGCAACGCCTGGAGGACGATTTATTGACGCAGCCCCCAGGTCACACAGCACGCTCGCTACGTGTGCCAGTTTTGCGGCAAGAACGCTGTCAAGCGCCAGGCCGTTGGTATCTGGAACTGCCGCTCCTGCCGCAAGACCACCGCCGGTGGTGCTTACACTGTCGCGTAAGAACCCCCGCTTGCGAATCAGCATCGCCCGCTATCGAACGAAGAATCTGTGCGACGCATAGAGAAGGAACATGGCTAACAAGCACCTCAACAGTACCCCTGCCGCTGCCGCCACAAGGTCGACCATCCGTCGTCTCCGCGAGATCGCTGAGGTTTAAGAAAGAATTGGGCACTGGAATGGCGGAGTTCTTCGAGCGTGTTTCTCTGCATAAGCAGCCATCATACGAATGAAATGGTTTGCAGGAGCTTTCGGATACCTGTCCTGTAACGATCATGGAGTCTACAGGATTTCACACAAAGAAATGGCACGATCATGAACAAATCCATTGGTCTCTTCGCACTTGTGCAGTTCCCTCAGGTTCAGCGTTATGCTTGCCCACTGCGACAGGTCAACGCCCAACTCCCATCACGCTTACCACAGATCTCTTCCTCTTCGACGCACCCATCGAAAGAACAGTTCGCCCAGCTGGTCTCAAAGTCTTTTCCGCAGAGGCAATCGAGTGATTGTCCAATTCCACGTCGAACGTGCCCGCCTGTTCGAGTACATCCTTGCACTTCAACTGTTCAAAGAACAAACATGGCTATCGCAACAGCACTGACAGACGTGCGCGGCTACACATGATGCATGAGGACCCCTTCAAGACCCTATGATGAATGTTAATGATGAGCAGCCTCCAACACTTGGTTCACGATCTCTGGGACCAAGGACCCGATCCATAACCGGCTTTGAAAACACCACATCGAATTTTCCGGTCTTGTCTGATGTATATCGCCTACCTGCTTACACTTCCGCACCAGCACCGCGGAAAAAGTATTCAGCACCGGCGTATCCAACGCCGTTCATAACATCAACGCAACCATGTCTTACAGGCAACAATCCGTTAGGACTCTCGCTGATGCTCAGCGGAGGGCGTCGCTGCCCGCAAGTCTCGCCCCAGACTTGGTGCAGCAACTGCTCGAAATGTCAGAGCAGAACTTCCTGTAAATTCTCTTCTAATATCAAGCTGTCCGACAGGAGAGACACGGTGCAACAAGGTTCCATCTTTGCCACCATTCCACTTGAGCCCTGTCTGCCTTCTTTGTTTTTCTTTTCTTTTGTTTTTAGGTGATTCCTAGCATGTCATTCCTGACTTCCCCTTCTAACTGCTTCTGCCATTTCGAATGGTCTTGTCCTTACACTGCCATCCGTCTCGACACTCCCTCGAGACTATCTGGTCTCTTTTGCTAACCTTATTCACAAATTTCTTACAAGGCCAAGTGTATGACCTGGTCTCCTTGTGGATCTCATTACACCAACAGTGCACCATACCCCGAGATCACATCATCTGGACTCACGGACACTCCACTTCATCCCCAAGCACATCAAATACATTCGGGTCTGCCTCGTCTCCAGGAAGATCAGACATATCCGCGTTCCCCCCGTCCTCGGTGATTTCGAACATCTCGGTAGACACCCTCAACTCGGCCTCCTCCTCTTCGACGCTCTTCTCACAGCCCTCATCACGCACATCGTAGTCAACGACCTGCTCAAACAGGACCGAAGAAGCAAATCCGGTGTTGAGCCACTGTCCTGATAAGCCGAGTCTATTCATAACCAGCCGTGGAAGGATAGGCGTCGCATTCTCGACGTGCAGGGCCATTTCGATCCCGCCCAGGCCGTTCAGGGCGAGGAGGCCGGCGAGGTTATCGAACTTGAGGGCGCGGTCTTCGCGGGAGGCGATGTTGTCTGGGTGTATCAGCAGAGCTAGATGCAATCAGACCCAGAAGGGGGACTTACAAGAACTGTCATCATTTAAGCGGTGAGTGTACTTGAAGTCAACATTATGCTTCCTACATGCGCACTTAGTCTCTCAGAAGTCTAGTCGAACGACAGGATCGGCAGTAGAGAGCCCGTTGTAGACGACGCGGAGCTTCTTCAGGCTCGAAGGAAGCGCGCTATAGAATGCGTCTTCGAAGCAGTAGAACGAAGACCACGTTGGAGACAACAAGAGCATGAGTTCCTTTAAACTCGGTGGAAGAAGGTTGCGCATGGCTAGATAATCAATCCAGTCCTGATTGCGTGGCAGAACTTCCCAAAAATCCGTCACCGTATAAGCTGGTCTACTCATGAGGAGAGGAAATGGGATGTGCAGAGGCTTGAGCTTATCGAACACTTCGAACCCAGTGAGCCGCTCGTAGTGATGATGACCATCATACAGAGCTGAGTCACCATCGACATCGAAAGCCAGTATTTCGAAGGAGTTGCTGTGCTGATGGAGGACCTTGGGTATTCGCATGAACCAGGATCGCGAGTCGCCTAAACAGCATGGCCGAGAGCAACGACTGCTAGTCATGGAGAAGAAAGTTAGCGCCTTGCAGCAGCCGATCATACGGACCGCGCCATCCACACAATCAACAGCGTTTCCAGATAGACTGAGCGCCTCAACGCCTGATGTAGAGAGAATATGAGGTCAGATGATGAGATCATCTCTCGTGAACTCAACGGCTCTCAAGCAAAGTGTCCGGAGATGCGGAAGGGTAAACAGGTAGAGCAGCTCAGGTACACAGGGGCTGTACAGCCATATATCGATTGTGTGAAGCTGCTGATATGCCAGTCTTCCCTTGTAACCGTTGGAATACAGCCTCGCCGAGTGCAAAATCGAGCAAAGCCAGGGTGATACCGGTGCGATACAAGTATTTCCAGGTTTGCCTTGCATGGATATCGACCGCAAGCCATGAGCAACGGATATGAGCAGAGCCACACCATAAGCGGCCGGATCATGCAAGAGGTCCGTTGCGTATTGTTTCCGCGACTCCAAAGACGTTGGATTGACAGTCAAATACTTAAGATGTTGTTGGAGAACTGACGCGTACCCTGGTGATGTTTCTGTTTTGACTTTCGTGCTATTGCAGAGAATCCTGATAACCTTCAAGGTGGAAGTCGTCAAAGCATCGTCTCCGATGAAGTTATCCACAAACCCGGGCAATGGGTCTCGATAGGCGCATTCGTATCTGGAGTACAGATATTGTTTTGCTTGAAGCTGCGACAGGTCCTCATAAGGGCTGCAAGGGCTTGTGTTACCTGGCGGTAGGTCCATATGTCGTTGTTCGCGATCCATTTGAGGATAATTTCGAAGATCTCTGGAGGGAGGTCCTTGCATGTAGCCATTCTGGGGTTTGGTAGTCGTCTCGGGTTGATCTACCTGAACTGTTGGGCGTTGAAGCCAGTATTCTCCTGTCGACGTCCAATATAAAACAGACCTGGCTGGTCTAACCACAGTTCTAAATCTTCTCACACCGTGAAAGTAGGAGGCTGTAGTAACCACAGTTTGGGCAGCTCAGTGGGCCTTTCAGTAGGTCTCGTTACCAGAGTTGGATCGACTACCCCGGAAAGCACGCGTGACGCGACCTTCAGAGGCTCGGTTCCTCACAGCCGGGCAGCGAGTCTGCTAAGAAGACTTAGTCACATTGATCGATCTTCCTGACAATACCTGACGGCCTACAGGCTTGACCGCGGGTAGTAGCAGCGTCGTCAAAGATGTCTCCGCGGCGTTTGATGGGCAGCGTCGCTGGCTCGACGATGTCTATGGTTTGTGGTGGTGAGTGACAAATGACGAGAGAAAATTTCGATTAAAGGAAGCATGAACGGTGTAAGAGGCCGATGCCAAGAACCCTCGTGCTCCTTGGGAAGGTGCAATCATGGTACTATGCAGCAGCAGTCCCACAAGTAGTGGCGTTACGTTGTTTGAATGTGTTTTCAAATACCTAGAGATGATCACATTCTACTCTCTTAAGTTTGCCTCTCCCTGTCGCGACATGGCCGCTCCCGAAATTACAGAAAACGCCCGCCAATGTGGCAATGGTTTGGTTCTTCGTAATTCTCTTCATCGCAAACTCCAAAATTGTAAACCTGACGCTTTGTCTACACCAACACCAACAACACGAGAAGAGAATGAGCGCATAGAAATGCCGAGTAAAGGGGTGTCCAGCCCCAAGCCCAAATGCGTGAAATGCCTAAGGATTTGTACAGTGATGCAAATGCAATGAAGAAGAGAACAGCCATGATATACAAAGGCGCCGTATATGCGATGAGTTGAACGAGCCGAGGCTGCGAAATGCCAGGATGCTGATGCTCAAGCAGAAGATTCAGGTACGATCTATGTCTGCGGCGTATCATGTCGCTGTAAACAGTCCAGAAGAAAACATCTATGGTTAAGCGCTTTTGCGATGATCGGTATGGGTATTGCCATGCATCGTAAGCAGAATTGCCGCCAACGTGAAGTTCGCCCCGAAGAACAATCCGGTGGTGTTTGGCGGCGTAAGAAAATAAAGTGGCTCAAGTGGCTTATGTGCAGTCGTGCATGAACGAGTTCTGCGGCCAGGGGTAGCCGGCCGACGCCCAGTCTGTGAAGTTCGGGTTTGCATACGCATCCGGATGGGCCTTGATGTACGAGGTGGTCTCATAACCTTCGGGATCGCAGGTTACGCTCTCCTCACCCTCTTCTTGATAGATGCGGATATAGTCGATGCGCATGACTGCGGGCAACATGGCTGCGATCTGGTTGAAGTCGATGGCTGCGAAACTATTGGACATGCCAAAGTTGGCGATGATGGACATGGGCTCCTCTGGAATGGTTCTAGTACCGATGTTGCCGGTGGGGCGAGTGGCTGCGGCCTTCATTGTCCAGGTCTTGTCGTCACCCACGTACCAGGTGATGAATCCGTCGTTTCCTCGCTTATATTCGAATGCGTACTTTTGGTACTGCTTGCCATCATACCAGTCGGTGTTCAAGTTCGTCAGACCGGAGATAGCCTGCTGGTAAGGTCCACCCTTGTAGGCGTTCATCATAGTGATCGTGTTGTCGTAGACCTCCAATTGTTCTGCTAAATATTAGAGGCGTTTAAAAGCTTAGTGTGCGAAGACGTACCGTAGTCAGGCATGTACCAAGTGTCAAAAGGTGCAGCTTGGAAGGATTGAGAGACCACACCCACAGCATTGCTCTCTCCAGGTCCCAAGAAGTGAACTGAGCCTTCAAGAGCATCGATTTCGGGAGCGCTGCGAGACTTGCCAGGGGTAGGATGGTCTTCGCCCTTGCATGTGCAGGCAGGGAGCCTCATGCCGGGAAGGTAGCTCAGACCATCATATGAGCTCTGATTGGGAGTAATACCAACGTCGCACTCGTCGTGGTAACTGTACGGCCACAGGCCTTCGGTTGAACCGAGGTATCCAGGCCGAGCCAGGTTGCCCATGGTCCAGAAACCAGGCCAGAAACCGCTGACGTCACCTTTGCCGGGTAATGAAATACTGGCCTCTAAATGACCTCCCTTGTAGCATAGCTTGTTCCATGACTGGACCATGCCGGATCGGTAATTGAGGCCGTGGTTCTTGAACAGATCGAACTTGAAATTCAGAGTACCATTCTCAGTATAAGCCGCATCGGGATCGTACCACTGTTGCCTATCAGTGCTGTTTCCAACTATCTCGACTTGAGATTGCTTACCTCCAGATCTTGTGTGGCACCGTACCAGATGTCCACAGCCTGGAAATATGGATCATCTCCGTCGTAGAAGGTACGCCCGTCGGTGTTGAATTCATCAGAGAAAACCAGCTTCTGCGTAGAGCCATCCGCCGATTTGCGAGTCATCGCAGACTGAGGTGTGTCAGGGTCGATCAGGCCCTTTCGCAGGTTTGTCAGAAGCGGCTCGTGCTCCTTGCCCTTGATGCATAGCGGGTTGTTTGTGCAGGGCCCGACTTCCTTCTCGGTCAACTTATCGACGAAGGTACTAGGTACTGTCAGTATTTGCGGGTATGGCGAGTCGCTCGACGTACAGGATAGGGTAACCAATGAACAAGAACAGCAGTCCAAGCATCATGATTCCAAGGCCGCCCAAGTTGATTATTCCTCTTCTTGTGAAGATGTCGCAATCCCGCTTATCCTTCTCGCCAGGCTCAGGATTGTGTAGTGCGTCGTCAGCCTCAACATCTTCCGGAAACAGCAGCAACCCAGAAGACGGGTGGATGTTGAACTTCTCGGACACTGTCTGTGTGTTGAGGTCTTCTTCGCTGCCTGCTCTCGATGGAGCCCGTGAGTCATCGAAAGGTGAGGCAAATGGCCCTCTCGACGACATGTCAGACTCCCAACTCGTGCGCCGCGAGGACATGACAGAGGGCGAGCGCAGCGGCGATTCATCTCTGAAGGGCTTCATCTTGGATTTCCGCGGTGGAAGTAAAAGGTCGCCGGACTCTGCAAGACCGACATTGGAATAGATGTTCGGTACATTGGTCGCTGATCGAAGGCCGGGGCTCGGTGCAGTGCCAGGTCGAAGAGGTGTGGTGAGTGACCGTATCGAGTTCGTTCGTGCTGTGTTCGGTCGCAATTGCGGCGGCGAGTTGTCGTCTGTTATTATGTCATGCGAGCCAGAGTTGAGTCGCAGATGCGGCGGATTCTCTCCTCGAGGGGACAGCGGCGCCGACATGGTCGAGAGCGTATGCGGTGAATGTGCTAAACGATCGTGTCCTATAGCTGCTATAGGGGTCCAAGAAAGGGCGAGCTGCGGCGACAAACGAGTGTTGTGGTCGGCTACGGATTACGTGCGCGGCATGCAACTGGAATGTCCAAGAAGGGAACGACGTGCGTAGCGTCCTGCAGGTGGATGTCAGGGCAACAGCAGCGCCAATGCGCGTAATTGAAGCCTCGTGGTGCGCGGTCCAAAGAGGAGGCAGAGGGGAAGCTGCTCGGTATCGTTGCTGGTGAGAAGCAGAGGGAAGAACGCCGCGAGGAGCAAGAATGCAATGCAGGCGCACGGGAAAGGGCGTCTTGCTCCTGAACCAGGTGGACGTCCAGGGTTGGCAGGTTAAGCCAGTTACGGCGCCAGGAACGAACTTCGCACAAACTACCACTACTCGCAGCAGCGTGCGCAGGGAAGGCTGCAGTAGGCGCAGAGGCGGTGGCGACGTCGAGTATCCTGGTGAGTACTTCGTGGAATACACAAACAAACAATGCAAGATACGCCGGTGTAGAGTATGAGCAACGGCGAAGTTGGTACGCAGAGATCATAAAGTGGCAAGCATGCCCTGCAGCCCAGAGATGAGGATCTCGAAGGGCGAACAAGGAGCCGAACAAGGAGTGGCCAATAACCCTTGACAGCTCCAGGCAGCTCGACAAGGCGCTTGCGGGAGGCGAATTATGGCACTATCCACGCCCGGGCTAAATCAACCAATTCAACAGCATGTTTCAACGGTCAATAGTACTCCCCCGTGCGAGACCTGGCGTAGTCGCCAATCAACAGACGGATTCAAACATTATGCCCGGCCTGGCAGATATTGCTATCATGCGCTCTCCATGGCCAGCCTTCCTTGCCCCTTTCGACGGGGATCGTGTCCATGTTCTTGTTAAGTCATCATGCGCCGGTTTCCATGTTTCTGCTGAAACATCGTTATATCGCTGCTCTTCACCGTGTCTTTGCCCGTAAACCTGTCGCACTGGACCGCAAACAGCGTCCTCATCAGCTGTTTCGCCGTATTGCTGGGTAAGAGTGCGTGTGGGCTGCAGCTAGCTCTACGATCTTCATTATTGAAAGTGACGCGTCGCACCACATATAATATTCCAGCGCAAAGCGTCATATCGTGTCTCCAAACATGTGCAGCTCTCCCACGTTGTAAGTCAGGATGTTACGAGTGCAGTGCGATAATCTCGTATTCACGTTCGACGCGCGTATCGCTGCTGCGGGAGCGGCTACGGATAACAGGGGATCGCCTTACAAAGCATTTTACTGATCCTACAGGCGTCTGGTAAGATTGCGAGGCTGAATCCTGTGGTCGAGGCTACAACAGAGCCTGTCTTACCAATAATGCGATGCATCAATACTATCACTTGCAAGAATGCTAAGACCTGCGAGCGGAAAAGGGGTATCGAAACTCTCGTGGCAGCCGCAGCTGCATGGCACGGGAAGGGCTGCGGGAAGATGCTGTTTTGAAGCGCCGTTCTGGAAGAATGACCAGCCGCGGCTAGTGGCTGATTGGCTGCTTCAGAATTGTCACCCCCAGCAAATGAGCGCTGTGCACCAAACTTTGGTGCGCGCAATGAAGCTGAGGGAGATTTGGATGGACATGTTTGAGAGTGAGTGAGAGTGGGACGTACCTGAGCACATGAAAATGACGTCATGGACGAGGCTCTCGTGTGCTGATACGAGAGTGGTCCACTGCGCAGGATCCACTGTGTGCCATGGGAAAAACTGTCAGCTGTGGATCAAGAGCGTTGTCTCCGAGCATGTCCTCGCCAGTTCTGTTTCGCAAACATTCGGCACCTGTACAAAGCGCATGCAGAGACACCATCCATACTTGTGCAAGGGCAGCTTCACGTGATTTCAGCTTTAATCAGCGAAAATGCAACATCCAAACTTCAAGACTCCTCCGTTATAGCTAGCGTCACGTAACAAAAAGAACAGACAAGCCACCAATGCCAGCCTCAAGTACTGTTGTCTCGTTTCAACCAAATCCATTACTTCCCGATCACTTGTGAGCCTTCTTTAGGGTAGCTACGACTCAACACTCAGTGCCTTCAATCCCACAAGCTTCCCTCCGTCCTTGTCGACAGATACAACATAGTACTCTGCCCTCGTACTATCAAGATCAACTCTGAAGACCTTGACCTCTCCATTGCCAGCCTTCTTGACCGCATTTAACACGTTCTTATACTGTGTCTCAAACCCATGCTCCTTGACCTCCTCAATCTTATCCTCACCCAGCAGCTTCTTCAGGTCATCTGTTCCTATGTCAGTGCGCCGCTCAACAAGAAAACTTTGTCTGCGCCTCAAGCTCCTGACATACATGCACCCCAATGCGCATATATTCCAGAGCCCTCAGCACAGCGTTTCCACTCACCAGCAGTTACACTGCCCCCCTCAAATTCCATCGCGACAGGTTCAAACGGCTCATCCGCATCGCTAACATAGTACTCCTCGATGCTCTCGAGCGCCTTGGGCACCGACGTATTCACGCTCTTCGTGCCGTAGCCCTTGCTCGAATCCTGCTGCTCGACAGGTGCAGCATCTTGGTTCGCTTTGTCGAGGAAGGCGGCGTAGTCTGCATCTGAAGACATGATACGCGTGTATGTGTGTGTGGTCAGGCGTAGAAGCGGGATGGGTGTGCTTGTGGCGCACGAGGAGGTGGTTGCCCGTGGGAGGTAGCAGGCAGTCGAGGGACGTGACAGGCTCGTGGCGCGTAGCGACGATGTAGCGTATCGCTTCGAAGTGCTTCTGAGAGGCGTGGGTAAAGGAAGAGCGCTTGCGACACGTCGAGGCAACTTGATCATGGTTTCGTGACGACCGATGACGCAACAAAGCTGAGGTGCATTTGCGAAGCGGGCGGAGCTCGTGAGAGCTGTCTGCCCCACCAAGATTCGCAACATAGTCACGTCGTTAACCAAGAACGCAGAAATTGAATAGAAAATCTTTGAAAATTCGTAAAGCTCATTCTGGACACTAAGTGGGAGAAAAAATAAATAAATACAGAGCCTAGGCTGCAACATCGCTTTTGCTGATCATACAAGCCTTCCTGCAGCCAGATGAGGGTATCTCCACCTGAACACCATCTACATCGCACTATACCAAGCTTAAGATTCGAATCAAAGGAGAAAACGAGTGACGAAAATTATATACGCAGCTCTAGATCGAAGTCATCTATCACCGACAGTACCTTCGAAAGCTCTTACTATCGAAAAGCACAGTAATCGAGGACACAGGAGCTGTACTCCTTGTATACTACACGTGAGAATTCTAGGGCAAGACAGGCCTTTCAGATTGAAGGCTAGAACTGCATTCGCGGAAGCGTAGAGTATGGTGACTATGGGCTCTCTTTAGGACTTCTGCTCGGGGACAGGGGTGGCCGAGGGAGGTACCCCGTTGGTGGGTGCAGTGCGAGGGCTGTTGCGCTCAGACTTGGTCCCATTCGCCTTTGGCTCGTCTCCTTCATCATCATAGTTTTCGTCAACGTCGACGTGGCGAGCGGCTGGCTCGTGGTGCTCAGGACGGGGCGTCTCCTTCGCAGGTGCTGGTGTCTCCGACATGCGAGGAAGCGGCGTCTGTGCTTGAGGGGCTCCAATTGGTGCCAACGAGGGCGGATGGTGAGCAGCCTCCGAAGGGTGGTAGCCATCATTGAAGCGTCGAGCATCAGGAGCGGCCTGAGGACTCTGGCGTGCGACCTGCGGCGACGTTACGTGATGTGGAGGCGAAGGACGGCGACTGTGAGGCTCTTCGAGCTTCTGGCGCTTCTCATCATTGTTCTGCAGCTTCGGGCTCTCTTCCCACTCCCTGTGGCGCTTCGGTGGAGCAGTGGGTGGGCGATCCTCACGATCTCGTGCGGCTGCCTCTGCAGCTGCGAGAGCCGCCGCTGGCGCAGGTGCACCACTTGCGATGCCACCACTGGCGGAGGGATCAGCGTGATGCTGGGTCTGGTAGGGACCCTGGTACCCATTTCGTGGAGAGCCAGTGCGGTTCTCGACAATGGGTCGCACCTCTGGCGGTGGGCTACCAGGACGTCCACCGTAAGGAGGGAGAGGTCCAGGGGTTGTCTGACCAGGTGGTCCGGCCATTCCAGCAGGTGGCGGTGGTGGGGGCGGCGGAACACTGCCAGAGCCAGCATGTAGACCGTAGTTGGGGTTAGAGATACGGTTTGGCTGCTGGGATTGCTGGGGTTGCTGAGGCTGCTGCGCCTGGTGGGGAGGAGGCGGTGGCTGCTGCGCCTGAGCAGGCTGGGGTGTAAGCTGTGGTGGCTGAGGGTGGTATGGGCTGGGAGCCACATGATGCGTTTTTGGCGAGGGTGACATGCCACGGCGAAGAGATCCTGGACCTGGAGGAGGTGGTCCAGTCGGGCCGGATGGTCCAGGGCCGTTGGTGGGAGGTCGAGGAGGCTCACCATAAGACCTCGGAGGCTCTTGGCGTGGGCTCGCTGGACGCTGGGTGGCATGCTGAGTTGGTGGGCGAACGCCTTCACGCTGCTCGTAAGGGTTGAGAGATTGAGGTGGCAAACCCGGATCCCTAATCTGAGCCAGCGGACGATCCCAACCCGCGGTTCCAAGTGCTGGTGGAGCAGGGCCCTGAGGCGGCTGCGCAGGCTGAGAGCCCCACTGAGGAGCAGCAGGTCCGTGAACGGAGGCAGGCTGGTAAGCCTGCGGGTGAACGTCTTGCGGGACGGGAGCGTTGCCTTGGTTGGGAGCACCGGCCGATCCCTGGCCATTTTGAAGAAGCTGAAGACGGGCCTTGATGTGAACATTTGAAGGATCAAGGTCAGCCGCACGCTGATAAGCGTCAAGCGCATCGGCTGTCTGGTTGTTGCAGGACTCGTAGAGTGTGCCGAGATCGTACCAGACTTCCGAAATGTTGGGGTTAAGTCTTATGGCACGCGAGTATGCATCGAGCGCATCACGATACTGGTTGATCTGATAGTACAGCACACCAATGCTGCACCAGAAGGTAGGGTTGCGTCCGTCACGGTAGACAGCTTGCTGGTAAGCCTCATACGCCTTGGGGTACTTCTGCTGGGACATGTAGCAGCGACCCAGGAGATACCAGCTCTGTGCATCGGTTTGATCGGAAGCAACGGACTTCTCCAGATACTCGATAGCCTGCTCCTGGCTAGCATAGTTAGTGCTTTGCTGGTGATGCAGCCATCCCAACTGTTGGAGGACCTTGGCGTGATTGGGGTCGCGCTCGAGCACGCGACGGTAGGCACCCTTTGCGGCTTCGAACTCCTTCTGCTGCTCGTATACGTGGCCGATTTGGAACCAGATGTCCTCTTCAGTTAGAGGGCGAGGAGGGTTGGTAACGATGTACTTAAAGCACTAGAGCCATGTCAGAATTGAACATGCGTTTCTTTGCTTATACTTACGTCCAAACTCTGGTTGAACTTTTGCTGCTGCTTGTATATTATGCCAAGGCGGAAGTAGATCTCGTTTGCCTTCTCAAAATTGGGCTCCATTCGCATAACCTGCGAGAAAGCCTCTTCGGCATGCTCCAGAGAGCCATAGCGATCGTACAAGATGCCAATGCCGTACCAGAGTTTAGGTTCCTACGCAAGTATTAATCAGCTGTAATCGAGTTGCATCTACATGCGACGAACTTTTGGATCAGACAGGTGATAGAGCGCCTGTTGGTAAGCAGAGTAGGCCTGCTGCAGGTCGTCCATCATGAGGTAGCAGTGACCAAGGCTACCCCAGACGTCGCCATTGTTGTTGTCGACCTTGAGGATTGTGCGCAAATACTCCACAGCTTGCGGAAATGCGTCCTTGGTACGCAAGATGCACGCGATACCTTGCATGGCTGGCACAGACCACTGGTTGTACTTGAGCGCAAGCTGGTAGCACTCCATGGCGCTGTCAAAGTCTTGCATCTGTTCTGATAGGGAGCCTGCAAGATGTTAGTCAAGGTCAGACACTGCAATGCGTGCTCGCGTACCCATCTGCGTCCAGACGGCCTCGGTCAATTGGCCCAAATACTGCGACGGGGTCTTTGGCTGGTTGACGTGAAGCGGGTGACCGTTCACTTGCGCATGCGCTGGATGCGGCCCGGCATGGTGCGGTGGGATGCCCGCAGTAGGCGACGGCTGCTGGTGGCTCGCCATGAAGATGGTGTCTGAAGGAGAGCGCCAGCAGGAGAGGGCTATGTCAACGCGCTATGCGGCAGCGAGGAGAAGCAGGCAATGCGCCAGCGAGGGATGATGCGGCCCTATGTCTATGCGTCAGGACATATCGTGGGGTGAAGTGTGGAGATGGAGTGATGCGTACCGTGATTGCTTCTTCGCAAGGGACCGCGTGGGCGAACGAGTCGCGTATCGAAGAGGCTGTCGCGGAGAACGACAGGAAGGCGCGGAGAGGGCAGGCCAATCAGATATATTATCAGCGAGCAACCCAGATGCACACGAGAGGGACGGATGCACTCGTGATGGACAATGAGCGGCGTTGAGATGAATGGTGGGTACGCGCCGTATGCTCACTGTGGCCGAGAGAACGTGAGGAAGCTGGAAGCCAGAGGAGGGCAAGAAGAACGGGAGCAGTCGCGGCCAACGCTCTTTCCTGTGGGATAGGGTTGCAATCCATGCGCTAAACCTAGTTAAGAGCTAGATCCACAAGTCCACATCGTGCATGGCGCTTGGACTGAGCGGGCTTATCCCTGCCCATGTGCCGTGTGGCTTTGCGTAGCTGGCTTGTGAGTTATGGCCCCATATCATCATCCTCGGTAGACCTTTTGAACGCTCTCCATCTTTTGGACTCAAGCTCAAAGGTACATCACTGACCCATCCTAAGTTCGCATAATCAGCATAGACATTCCACTAAAGCATGGATGCATCTGCCAGCTGATCCTTGCTACGTGGTGCAAGCCACTACCGGGTACATGTGCGCAAATTGCACCTGTCCGCCAGAACGACGCCGCCACCACCCCGCTGCGCGCCTGGGGACCGTGTTTGCGGGTACGCCGGAGGCTGTCCTATTACGATCCTATGGACGTTGACCACCGCGATGCCCTTCCCTCAGCGATGCTGCGACCTTCAATCTAAGCGCTGACTGGCCAAGCAGCGCGCTGAAACAAATACCGCGAGATTTGACGCCGACGCTCTGAGCCATTCCTTTAAACTCTATCTTGTTTGGCGCAGGTATGTCACTGGAACGAAGATGACGATTCGGCACCGTTCGTCCCATGTTCGTGTCGGCGCTCCACCTCTCGGTTATGAAGGCGAGGAGCCTGGACCTTCCGCCTCATCCAGAAAGGACAGATTTAAGCTCTGCACCACCCACCGTCCATGCGCCATTGATGAAACTATGTTCCTGAACTGACAGCACGATTTTGCGTGAAGTGTGGCGGCTGATTAATCTAGCGGTGCGATGGTCTATATTGGCGTTTAGGGCCCTGGAGGTCTTCACAACATGGCTTCAGCACACTCTCAGTCACGGAACATTTCATCTCGATTCTAGTAACATTCCTCCGTTGCGCAGGCACCGTTGACCCTGCCTCGGCTCCGTTCTTCCAAAATGGAGGCGCTTTTGACGGACACCTTCCCAGCCACCTGCTCTGTGCTCGGCACATTACGAGATGCTCAGTTCCACCACCAACTTCACTACAGCTACCCGTCGCTCTATCTCTACAAACGATAAGTCGAAGGATCGTGACGAGATTGCGTTCTGCAATTACTGCCCTGATCTCACGGCGCTGCGGTGCTTACGCCTTGCAGGAGCAGCCGGCACGCCGCAGGAGCACAAGGGAGGTTGCACCGGTTCTGCCGCCTGCGCACGAGGAGCCGGGACATGATGGGCGATGGCTGATCTTTCTCCACACAGCCCAGCCGGGCACAGTAAAGCTTCGGTCGTCAATTTTAGGGCCCTTGGCGGCGCGCGCCAGGGTGTGACGCAGTCCCCGCCGGCAGAGACTCGTGTTACCACACACCCACCCTGACCATAACATCCCGTCATTTGCTGCATGAGCGTGCAGCCGCGACTCTGTGTTACCCACGCTTGCCCCAACGTTCCTGGCTTTTGGTGAGCGCATTCGGCCAGTCGAACCACGGTCGCCCACAGCTACACTAAGCCACCCTGGCTCACCGTAACCGGGAACGTGATGAGCGACACATCTGTCGATGCCGCATCGGGCGATAGCTTGAGCATGCGGCGCTTTACCGAGAAGGGGGGGCACCGCCGCTAGAATGCCACAAAAACACTGGGCGCGCCTTGGGCCCTTTTTCCCACGCGAGTGGGCTGGTCCTCCGCCACATCACCGAAGTGGAGCCAGGGGTCTGCGCGTCATCGGCAAGGTAACCGCAAAGGGTCGCTTGGACATGTTAAGGGAGGTCGTTGACCATGGGCCAACGAAGATAAATGACGCTGAAACATCCAAAGTCGCCAAATGTCGTTCAACTCAATGCTAGCAACGATTCAGGCTCGTTCGGGGTTAAGCTTTCGATTCAGGGCCGGTGCCGAGGGACCCGTCAACGGCATCGTGCATTGGGCCGAAACACACACCACCAAACCGCTCTCGTTGCCTTCCCATCTAGGCAACCATACAGAGACAAAGGGATTGGACATGACTACTTGTCTTCTAAACGTTGAGATATGGCCCATAGCGATGAATCCAATTTGAATCGATATAATTTTCAGCGGATGACCCTGCTGCACGCTGTTTACAACACCTGAACCCTGGAGCGTATCATGGAAGATCGACAGAACACCAGGCTTCTTGTTTACCACCAATATTTACATTCCGTGACATGAGCATGCCCCGGCCGTGTGTTGTAGACTCTCGCGTTGCAGGTGAAGTCGACTACAACACATAAAGATTTGTTGTCTCCAGAGGTTTGAACTATCGCAGAAGGTGCATGAAGAAACTTTAATGGCTTCCCATCATTTAGAGTGAGCAGGGCTTACAGCCAACTTCTTCTGCTATCTGAAAGGCAAAACACAAAGGAGTCACAACACAAAACACATGCCAGATCCGACGTGTCTGACAGCTCAGCCTTGTCTTGGCGCAATCTCTGAGCGTGGCTGAACAGCGGCAGTCTCATAACCTGGGCATTCCTTCATCAGCAAGGTCGCAAGGTGTGGCGGCGCTACATCATCCTCTGCAGCCCCCAGGCAAGCGCGCAGACCAAGCATCCAGCGGTGTTTTAGGCTGTCATACCACCCTAGTGTTATGTTGCAAGCCATGGGCCTCAGCACACATGCACACCGGTCAACGACCTCCTATGGCTTTTCAGCACTTTGGCGAGCCAGAAACGCACCCTCGCTTCGAATGCGTAATCCTATATGAGAATCAATGCGGTGACACAACACCTCAGTGCTTGTGCTGACAAGCCTAGCAACATGCCGTGCTCCGGGGAGCGCCATATTCGCTTGCAATATATGCAGTGGCCGTTTCGTCTGCAGCTATGCGTCGAGGCTCGTTTGCCTATCCGCGACTTTTCCGAACCCGCCTGCATGCTGCTACTGCGGCCGATCGGGCCCCGCGTGGAGACGGATGTATCGTCAAAAGCGCCGTTGGCTGACAAGTTGCGCATGACAACCAGACAAGGTGCAACAGCGGCATCACAAAGCTTCGTAGCTTGATCAGCGCCTGCTTACGCGGCACCTTAACTCCCAAAGTTTGTGTTCGTATTTCGGGGCTGTCCCTTAACCGATCGGCATGCATATGGTCGCCAGAAGGTAACTCGGCGGTCGTGCTGCGAGGAACGGGAGGCCGCATCTGCATGGTGCCAGCTGCATTCCCGATCTTCCCCGCCCTTGCCTGGCATCCTGGTGGCTGCACAACTGCCCGTCTGTCCACCACCAACGCCAAAAAAAACTTTATCAAGACTCTAGCTGATTGGCTGTAACTTCTAGTGCACAAGGTAAGCCTTCCTGGTCAACGCTTCCAGCGGAAACGCGCGGGCGGTGGCGGGGTCGGGCAGGATCTCGGTACGATCGTCACGGTTGAGGATGCGACAAAAGGGCGTGTTAGCTGGCTGAGACATTTGCAAGGTGTATCGTTGACGAGGAAGAAGCAAATATGATGCTGGGCTCTCCCGTGTGACTTATTTCCTTTCGTTCTGTTGTTGCTTTCCCGATGCAGAATTTCAAGGTGCCCGCACGTCAGATGTACATGCACCACAGGCTGAACAGGCTGAACAGGCTGATAGAAAGTGTGCGTCAGACCTTGCACATCAACCTGGGTATTTTCCTGAGATTTACTTCGTGCCGTCGTCAGGACCCCTCTTGTAACCTCATCGTGTACAGCATTGCTATCCCGATGGTTTATCGAGGTATCGTGGCTGAGTGCGCTCGGTTCTAGGGCTGGAGCATCGGTGGTGGGGTACTTGCCCTCATCAGAAGCGTAAGAGACCACGGTCTCTCAAATATCTAATTCTCAGAACTCTAGATTGAGATAACCTCTTCATTACTTGATACACATTGAGATTTGTCTGCCGTGAGTTCCTGATCACCATGTTCTGCGAGGTGGGCAGAGTAATTGGTCTTTCTGAAGATGAAGAAGCCGAGTCCATCTCGGGCTGGAAGACAAAGGTGAAGACGCAACAGCAGATTCATGTCAGTGTTCGAGAGTCCATGTCTTTGGGTTGTTTCATTTGCATGTAGCCATAGGATGGGCCTTCCAAACGAAGATCAAAGTGCTGTACTGCTCGAGACTTACCACTAGCTGTATTTGTACATATGAGCACACACAAGCTCTGCAGGAGTATAACTCTGCGTTCTATGGATACTCTAAGTAACATGGGCCCCATCATGCAGAAATTCGTGTTGTGCTATGTCATTGCGTATAGTTATGCCTGTATTTTCGATCAGTCTTTCCTCTTCCGGCAAAAAGCACAATACCTCGTTCTTCGGATGCCCTTACGGCCCCGGATGAGCACCATGTCCACGATCATCGTGCCTTGAACACACCGAAGGCATTCACTCTTCAGTTGCCGGCTTATCGCTGTCTGACATAAGTTCTGTTGGCTACAAGATATTTTAATCGACCATAACTGGGTCTTAGAGCCGTCGCACCGCTGTCATAGCTGCCTGTTCGCCATGAAGAAACTATGCAGTTTACCTGATCATCAGTAAGATTATTAGCTACAGTACCAGCACTATCAAAGCCTGGTTACATGATACTTGAGGTTTAGTCAAAGATGTGCGACATAAAAGTGCTCGCAAATGCAAGAAGCCCGCAGAATTTCGTCATGCCAGTCGCCTGGTCTTAAAGGTGATCTTCTACATGAAAAGAAAGAGCTTGCGGCACCTAAAGCCTCACGTGTGGCTCAAGATGCCTCATTTATGGCCCTGAATGCCTTACTTGCGGCCATCGTCATGCAATACAGCTCGGGCGTCAAGACTGGGGAGAATTGTGTCGTTTGCCAGCTGATCAAGACATCACCGCCGCACTTAGAGCGATAAGCTATCGTCCCAGATGTAGCCAATCAGGATGATCTTTCATTGTTTGGAGGCTCGTGTATATCATGTGATGTAGAAGGCACTGCCCGCTCGAAGATCAGCCACGAAACCTACAAAAGCCACCGCCCACACCGAAGCCGTCGGGCCCACCAAGCGACAAGAAGTCCATGTAAAAGGAGAACTTGGGTGAAGCGACGGATTTAGAGAAGAGGCTCAGCCTAACGAGTTTTCAAGCGAAGAACAACCTATCTCGGTCAGGGCTACTGGTAGCAGCAGCCACACTTGATGGAGAAGACTACACTATTGCAGCTGCTTTGCAACAGAAGAAGAAGCAGGAGTAAACTCGAAGGATAACATGACGATATACGGAAATGCAAGCGTGCGAGCTACCTGCGTGGCGTATACGGATATGTGCAACAAAATCTTCCTCTTCGATCTCATCTCGACAAGTCCAACAGAACTCGCCATGACCTTCCCAAATCTGGCGCTGGACGATCGATTAATCTCAGCTCCACCGTAGACCAGAAACGGACAGAGAGTGGTGAAGCCTCCGTGCAAAGGCCAACGGTGTAAATAATGATATCGACTAACCCTTCGGTCTTTGCCCATGCCATTGCACCTGTAATGCTGATCACTGTATTTGTCAATGACCATCTCTAAGTGTTGATGTAATGAAGGCTTACACATAGAACCCCGCTCTCGTGTCAACATATAGTGGGATAGTGCTCGAGAAATTGCGCCTTCTTGTCGTCTTCACGAAGATAGAGGCGATTACCTTGTCTCCACACTCCGAATGCAACACAGTACAACGATCTGAGTCGGATAATTAGCAATTTCCTGTTAACCCGGACAGCGTCAAACGGAATTTGATTTCAACTCAACTTCGAGGAAGTATCTTCTGCTTACCGGTCTACCTCTGATTGGAGCCGGTGAGCTGAAGATCTGCATATCTAGGTCCGTTACCTGAAGTCAGCAAGTGGAGAGTTGGATCCGATATGGGTCTGTTGGAGTGACACCGCGAGTGCGGTCACATCGTCAAAGGGAGTAGGACAGGAGGCGGGAGCGGTATTGGGCACTTCGACTGGACCCGGCGACTGGCCACGCACACTCAGTTATGTAGGCTCGCTCCGTTTCAGGCGCTACTATATGCGCGGCTCAAAGAGCGGCAGACGTGCTTGTTGCTGGAAATGATGATTGATGTGGTCGCGGAACTCATGCGGTGGTAGCTTCCCTGTGCACGCGACACAGAACAATCGAGCTTGAGGTGAGATTTGTCCCGCAGGCGTCAGCCCAGTCAGGTGTCGTGCCATATATCCCTTGTGGTTCTCATCTGGCATTATGTTGCTGATACGCGACCCAGGTGTCGCGTACTCGATCATCAGTGTGACGATGTCTGCAGGTGGAATTCCGGACGCATGAACTCTGGCAGCACTGATTATGATTCCTGCATTTCAACGTTAGGTGTAGACGTGCAAGGGAGACGATTACTCTTGGCTCCACCAATAGTTTGACTTTCTGAGTGAGTGAGAGACAATTGGAGGAAGTCAGCTTTGATACGGGAATCATCTGCGACAAAGCAAAACTTCTAAAGGCTACAGGAAAGTCTTGACTACATTCCCGGGTAAATTTTAGTATTTCCCGAATGCATTATTCCAAGATGGTGCTTAGGGTAGCACCATTCCATTGGAAACATGGGGAGGTACCCACCCATTATCTGGCAGACTCCTGCAGCCTGATACAAGCTCTGATGGCTACATTGATCTTTGGGGTTGGTGCACAAAGTCGAAGATGCACTCATATCATAAAGTCTCCGCAACCATCAAGGGTCTAGAGATCTCATCTCTCTTCTCCTCGCTCGCCACCACCTCGACAATGGTAAGTGCAAACAACATCGCTGTGCCAGGTCTGTGCGTCACCAGCAGAAATTATAGTGCAGCTCCCGGCAAAAGCGAAATTGGACAATCTTACCCTCTCGAAGTGATGACCTTCCTGTCCACTTAACCCTCTCCTCACTATACTCCCACCACTTCCCCGTGACATCCTCCCTTACACTCGGATGACTCATCACTCTCGACTTCTCCGTCGCTTTGCTGTCCGTCTTGCTACTCGGAGCTAGGTTCTGCTGGGGCGGTAACGGAGTATATGTGGACAAAGTCAGGGGCGATGTGGATGTTTCGCGTCATGCTGTTGTGCACTTGGTGAGCCGGAAGCTCAATAGTGAGGGTTGAGGGAAAGGATGAATAGGCGTACTGTGCGTAGTTGTCGTTCTTGAGATTGACGCCGGCGGACTGAACTTCGAAGCCGGCGCGAGTGAGCACTGTCTGATGTCAATTCCTTACCCTCATGATGGTGTTGAGGTGAGCTTGATACCATCGTACGGAGTGACGAATTCGATCTCCTCCGAGCCATTGACATTGCGACTGTGCGCAGTTGGTGTTTGCCAAGACCGGTGCTGTGTTGTTACCTCACTGCAGCAGTTGCAACCGCGACCTATGACGTAGCGGGCTCGACGTCGGGAAAGTACGCCAAGACAGGGTCGAGAGAGAGAGGAAGCGAAACGTTGCGGCTTGCGGGACGTTTGACTTGCTTCCGATTTGCTGTTCAAGTCACGGAAGGCTCGAGCTTTTTTGCCAGTCTTTTATTGCGGTAGGACGCGTTTGCGTGTCGACGAAGTCGTGAGGAGCGTATGCTGTCAAGTCATTAAGCAGACAGGTGCAAAGAAAGTGGAAGGTATCGGTGTAGTATTACTCCGCCAGAGAATCTCAAGTTGCCCAAGACCCATGAGACTTCTCAAGATACGGGCTGAGCGCGGTCATTCTATATACATCCGCCTTTACTACAAATTCCATCCACTACATTGGCCGTCAAACTGACGTCGGTCCTTCGAAAAGATACAATGAACTCCAACAAACGCCATCTATTGCACCAGGTCCCGGGATATCTCTCATAAGCTCGTGCAGGATGCAGATCCCCTGACAGGGTCTGAGACGGAATCCAACCGGGGCCGAATTTCCGTCTGGTTCCAACTCTTCAACATCATTATTAGAGCGGTGTAGAGCTCGATGGAGCGCCTGCCTCCTCCATCTAGCTGCTGAAAAGGATCGAAGGGGTATGCCAACAAACAAAAGCTAGTCCGGGTCTAATCGTTGCTGTACGCATAGCAAGGGGAAGGTATCAAGGTCGGCCAAGGGACCAGAAAAAAACAACACAAACATGGAGAATCTGAAACGATTCACCGACATGTGCGAAACAAAACTCCGGATTTAATGCGGTGTGCAGGGATCCAAGACGTGTTCGTAGTACTTGCAGATGAGATCTGCTGCGATTACAGGCTCATGGTTAGCCATTCCTGTCTTTTGTCAGTAGTCGCTCTGTCCTCTTCGTTATAAAGGACTTACCCATTCTGCAGGTCCAGACGATTGTAGCCCTTGACCCATGGCGCCCATAGGCAGAGCCCCTAGATTTTGACTTGGGAATGGACTCGGAGCTGCGATAGGAGCATCTTTCCTTCGGACGGGTATCTTTCCACTCGTGTCGCCGGCGTCGGCCATCTCCAACTCTTGCGTGCCACTCTTACTTTGTGCGCGTGCTCGTCTTGGTGTCATGCTTGGTCCACGTGGCTGGATGACGTTCATTGTGCTGTTGTTCTTGGTTGGGCCAGGTGCTATTGGTACAACACCAGCTGACTTGGAGTTGGAGGAAGCTGGAGCGAGATTGACGCTAGACGACACACCGCCACTAGATCCAGTTGATTTCGGCGATTCTGATTCGGCCGCCTTCGGTGTTGTTACTGGTGTCATCGCGATGGAATTCTTGCGGGAAGATTTCTTCGAAGCTCGTGTAGAAGACGGTCCGACAGGAGCATTGCCGCTACCGCGGTTGCGCTTCTTGATGACGTCCGTCTTTAGTGACAGCGGGCGAACAACACCGTGCAGCTTCAAGAACAGACCACACGCGTTGCAAAGCGGTGCACCCTCGGGGTTACGTCGCCAAAGAGGCGTTGTCTGCGTGAAGCAGTTGGTACAGGTTGTTGGTGCACCTCCCTCACCTGGCTTTGTGCCACCCGGGCTTTGAGGCCGAGACGGCGCAGCAGAGCTGAACCCTGACTGTAATCCCGTTTCTGGAGGTGAGTCGGGCGATGACTGGATTCGGCCGTGCATGGCTTGGTGCAATAATCCCGCAGTATTCGGCGTTGACGTGGTGCGGGGTATCTTCCCACGACGCGGATCGTTCCCACGATTGCGAATATCGCTCACGGAGGCAGCGGAGCCATGCGTCCGGCCCAGGCTGCTCGGACTCCAGTGATCTTGTGGTGAATGGACCTCAGTGGGTCCAATAGTCACTGTCTTGCGTGGAGGGCCTGCTGGGTATCGCGCCTGCATAGGGTTGAACTGGTTGGACAAGTTGGTCTCCCACTGGTAGTTTGTGTTGAAGTCGAGTGAACCATCGTCCATTGGTGAGAACTCCTGTGTAGGCATGTTGCGATCTGCGAATGCGCTGCCCTCGTCCTCCTCCGCATCTGAGTCCGCACCAAATGTGAACATATTCTCGTTCCGTGACATCTGCAACTCGTGCTGCTGACGAAGGGGCAGGTTGTTGTGAAGGACTTGTGATGGGTCGACATGGCCAGAGTGACCGAACGAGGTCGCCGAGAAGGGCAGAGAAGAGCTCGCGCTTGTGACCGGGCTGAAGACTGTATCTGGTCCCCCACCGTTGGGGTTGAAAACGAACTGCGGCTGCAGAGAGTTCGAGAGGGCTGAAGGACGATGTGACCCGTAAGACACACCGCTGCTATGCTGGCTCCGAATGTCCATACCATGACGGTCAAAGTACATCTGATTATCGTCATTCATGGGCTGAGGTGTCGAGACGGCCGAAGGGAAGGCTGAGCTCGGGGGCGAGTAGTAGTCGGTCGAGTTGAGGGAGGAGGCCATCGAGTTGGGGTTGAAGATGTTGGGGAAGGAGGTGCCGTGATTCATCATGGGTGAACCAACGGGAGAGAAGCCAAAGTTCTGCTGGAACGGCCCTGCTGAATTTATGACAGGATCCTCGTGCATCTGGAATGTGTCGATCGAAAAGGGCACCTGCGCCTGCGAGGCGGCGAAGGCGGGTGGCTGCATCGAGTGGTCGAGCGAGTAGTGGTTCAAGTCGGCCTCTGCCTGAGCGTCGGTGGGTATCATAATACTGTTGACGGGAGGGACCTGCGGCGAGGCTTCTGCTCGTCGCTTGGGTGGCTGATAAGGCCGTTAGCAGGACCGCGGAGGGGCAAGATGGGCATGGAGATAAGGCACTTACTCGGCGTTCGTCAATGCTGGTCTTGCGAACGTGCCGGGGAACGTAGCCGAATTCATCCTCTCTGTTGATCAGAGGAGGGACTGGTGGAGCAGAGGCGTGGGCGAGGGAGAGGTTGTGGTCGTTGAGCTGATTAGCCTTCCTTATCGGCACCCCCCCGGAGCCTGCATTAAACGGGCCATCCGCCGCATTAGACGGATCTGGCGACAATCCTGCAGGACTGCCGACGGATGAGGGAAATATGAAGTCGTCTAGATTCATTGTGTCGTGCGCAGGCTGTGGCTGTGGCTGGTGCTCCTGTTGTGGCTGTTGTTGCACCTGGGCCTGCTGATCGGCGGAGCGTCTCAGTTGCTGTGCAATTCCACTGGGAGCAGTCCGGGGCGGCGGCCTCGCGCTTACGGATGGCGGGGACATGAATTCATTGCTCTGGGAGTAGGAGCTTGGCCTGTAAACGAACGGTCAGATTAGCTGTCTCTGGGGCAAACGTGCGCCATTGCTGCGATGTACGAAGTACAAGGTTTAGAGATATGGCGTGTTTCGTACCCTCTATTGCGCTGCTCCTCTGCGCGACGCATGTTAAGAGCCATCATGCGCCAGGTCAAGTTGGACATGCGCTCTGCGTTGGGCAGCTGTGTTTTCGCGCGTGAGTAGAGCTTCCATATTTGCGTTCCCAAGGGATCGTTCTTCTGCAGCTCGCTGGGCGACTCTGGGCTCACTGCAGCGGCGTCGCTGCCAAAGGCCGGGAAGATGGGCTCGTCGAGCATGCCGCCTGGCGACATTGCAGAGCTGCTCTCGCGCAGCTCGTCGAAATCCATAGCTACGATGGTGCTGGAAAACAAAGACTCAGCGGCACAAAAGGGAACGTGCCTGCGAGCAGCGATGATGTAGTAGCTGGGTCGGTGCGTGCTCTGTTTGGACGGGCGCACCCCACGTAGCGGTATGTAGCCTGGTTTTGGCCTGGGCGTGGACCGCTCTCTGCAACTGTAGCCGCGCTGCTGCAACTTCAGGTGAGCTTCCAGAAGGGGAAGAGGACGACGAGGAGGGGGATGTGCGGGCGAGCGTGCAGGTGCAAGGCGTGCGTAATGCAGTTGTTTGCAGCGCCGGCCTGGAGCACGAGTTGCTTTTGTTCTGGTTCTGCTCCACGGGGAAGCCCTCGAGCACTACACTCGGACCAGCCAGTGAACGGCGCAATATTTCATGGGCAGCTTACCGCTGCTGCAGCGTGCGACGGAGAGCCGGTGGCGCTTGGCGGGTCGTCGCTGGGTGTGAAGACGGGCCTGGCGAGATGCGGTGGGTACCCAATGAAGGCCGGCGCACCCACGAAACCCCCACTTGACGCACCGCTTGCCAATGACAGCCCCGGTCGCGGCGGGACCTCAGGGAGACGCTTGAACGTGCAGCCGAGTGCGCCAGGTCGGACGGCCTCACCATGCTCGTCAGACGCGCGAGTCGCTGCCAAAAGCAATCCGCTGAGCGCACGATGCCGCTCACTCCGGCCTGCTACGGTAGAGCTGCTGGCGCTGCCGTCGTCGACGTCGTCGTGGCTGCCAGACGGTGCTGCGACCGCACGAGTGGTGGCCCGCAGGAATGCTTGAACGCCTGCCCCTTCATGTACGCTGAGAGAGCATCCCTGCCACGCGCAGACGAGTGCCGCACCGCGCAGCACGCAAATTATTTGGGACCCTAGAGTCTACAGATCGCTGGCGAGGCGTTCGTTCACATGTGGAAAGTTTCTCGGACGCATGCAGTTCAACACCAGGCAAAGTCGCACTGCATCAGAACATGCCTCGTGGACTTTGGCCCCAGCCAGCCCTGCAGTCCTGGAGAGCGCTGCGCAACGGCCGTGGCATCATCTGGCGGCGGCCCTCTTTTCTCCAATGCAGATCCATGGACGTCACTGCCCCTGCGGGCGGGCCATGCGACCTGCGCGAGGCCTTCCCACTTGGTCCTGTCGTCCTGCACGAAGATAGATCCACTGACTGCCAACAGTCGGCTCGAGCTTACGGTAAGTTACATTTACCGAGACACCCGCTCTGATTGGGCATCGGCGTGTACAATTGTTCGTTTCGCCATGTGTGAGCCTGCAACACAAGGCTACCTCCGCCGACCAATTCAACTACCGGCGACTGGTTGCGCGGCCGCAATCTGCCGACAATGGTCTTTTCACGAGTCGTAATGGAACACTCAGAGGGCCCCCTAGCAGGCCGCTACACCTGTCTGCAACGTGAACAAAGCCTTCGAAATCGCTGAGAAAGCAGCGTCAATGCCGGTTCCAGATCGTTCACTTCATTTACCCGAAGTATGCGTCACGGAATATTTGTTCCTTCCTACTTTACCCGATATTCCAACCACTCCAGGGCTTCAGGGTCCTTTGAGAGGCTCCACTGCTGCTTGCCAGCTCCACCACCGGATGCGCCCCATGGCGCGCAGCACGTTTCAAACACCGGCCACAGCACCTAGTCTATTCCGACAGCGCTTCTGGACATCCGATCCTTCTGGTAGCCTGAGGGTCTGACAGCTGGAGTCGGTCTTCTTCCACAGCAGGAGCATCTACTCGACGGGATCTGCTCCGGAGAAGGGCCTTTTCATGTCCGTACATGCAGCATGACGATTCACTGATTCTTCTAGAAAAGAGACCGCGTCGCCAGCTGCCTGCCTTCACAGCAATCCAACTGCCACCTCAAAACGGAAGACTCGCCCCTACCCGCACGGTTGTAGAGATGACGCGGAAGGTGGAGCAAATGTCAACAAAGAGTTGCAGGAAGGCAGGGAGTCTCAGCTTTGGATGCAACAGCAATCCACCCATGGCTGGAAGCTCGTTGTGGCCTCATTGTTGTTAGGTACCTCTGCTTCGAGGACAGTTCGGAGTCCTGAACCGCTGGTCTGGTTAGTGGGGCAAGTTCGATGCGATATGCTCCACCGCTATCGTGAAATATATCAAACACACACTCATTGAATTACGGCACCAATATCAAACTTGACCAGCACCACACAATACCTCACAATAATGTTGTACAACATGGCACAGAGAAGTACTCCAGGAGCAGCACGGACCTTAGCATTGTCGACCGACATTTTGGACTGAATGCACAAAAAGACCCTACTGCTCGCAGCGCTGAGTGGTGGACAATTGTCTCGATCCCCAATTTAACTCTGTGCAATGACGATCGTCCGGACTACTTCGAGTATCGATAACCCAGTCACAGGTTCACAGCACCTCGTAGACGCACTCAAGTCCTGGTGAGTAGGTATGCGACTCATCTACAATCCATCAACAGTAGCGTTCGACATCGCGCCCACGCTAGACCCTTGTCTGCCGCACATCTGCCGTGCGGCCGCTTTCACATGTCACGGAGTCTACCTCAGCAACAAAGTTCTTTCCTCCGATCTTCGATGAATATTCAAAACTTAATGTTGCTTCACGACCACACAGTTCAAGAACATATGTGCGGTCTCAGATATCGACACAGGTAGCAGGGCTCGGTGGAGATTGAGAGCAGCGCGACCCCCACAACGCTTGCTGTCTTGGGAACCGGTGGTCAGGGTGCTTCCCTGGCGTTGTAGGCCTGTCAAGCCACTGGCATCTGACTTGCATGGCTGCGCAGGGATTCAAAGCCCAGATCGACCGACACAGACAGCTAATTTTAAGCCTAGCTTAACAATTTCCAGACAACACCGAAATGTAGGCAATGCGTAGGTATGCTTCTTGTCAGTGCTTGCAGATTTCGCAGATTTCACCTTCGAGACGATGCAGCATTCAGACCTGTGCATCCGAGCTCGCGGTCGAGCATCTCCCAGGAAATGCAAGCCGACCAAAGGCAAGTCCGGAATAATGCATCCTGGACGCTAGAGCGAATCCCTCGCAGCTTACCGCCGAGACCGCTGTTAATACTCCGGTGCATACTCCCCTGGCAGTCAGCTGTAGCGCACGCGGGATACGGTGGGGGTAAGATACAAAGGTACGTGATACAATTTGAAGTCGCACGCGGATTGTTGGAAGAACGACCTGGTTCTGCATGCACCCGTACGATCAACGTGTGGGCGAGAAGTGGAGGAGACACGAGCGAAGACGGGCCAATCGCTGACAGCGGGACCAAGAGGGTCTGCTCGTGTGACTTCCTCCTGGGCTGACGCGGAGACTCGTGTGCGGATTCCAGTTTGGATTTGAGACCGCGCAGTTGGCCAGCCTCATTTCAGCGACGCACTCTTTGGGTTGTTGGACCGGACGATGGTGCGACGCTATTCTGGAGTACGAGTCGGCACATCCCGTGTTGAGATGCGAGGCTCCATTGTTGTGCGCGCACTGCCTCAACGCCCAAAACCAATCTCGGCGATAAATCGAGAAGGCTGGAAGGGTATCAACGACTCAGCGCATGCAGCGTGTGGTCGAGGGAAAAGACCCAGTATTCATACCACAGGAATCCTTCGAAACCGGCACTTATGAACATTGTTCATGATCTCTAAGTTGGACCTAAGGAAGGGTGGAAGGCCAGGGCCAACCTGAGGGTACTGCCTTGGCGTCACGGCGGACTCAGTAATCGACGGCGGGGCGGAGGGGCGAGCGATCTTCATCTTGTCGTGTGTACGGTTTGACCCCAGATGGGATTTCCTACAGAGCACGCCTTTGCTTTATACACCATTCGCCTAGAATGAGACCATTATCTGCTATCATTGCGCCATGATAGCGACACGGCTTAGCGGACCTCACAGTGCTCACGTCCCCTTACAGAGTCAAAAGGCGCACACCAATTACAGCAGTTTGTGTTACTATCTGCGAGCGTTTGGACCATTCTTTTGCGGTGGCCTTCCTATCGCGGAGTAAGTGAAACCTATCTTATCTTGGTAGGTGCGCGAGCGCGAGCGCGACGCGCAGCAACTGGATAACATGGAGAAGGCTCGCCAATGAGATGCAATCTGGGGTAAGACGGCTCTCGATAAGAATATGGCGGACACTGCTTCTGCAACGCTGGATTGCTGCGCTAAATTGCGAGCACTGTATCATACTGACTGCACGGAGCGTTCAACATTGCTCAGATGGCCGACGGCGAGTACTGAGAGGCTTCATTCGAGGTCGATCAGGGCAGGGTAGTGCTGATCAGGGCTCTTCCCCCACTGGGGACTCAACAAAGCTAGGCACGTGCAGGCGCAGTTCGTGCAAACAGCACTTCCATCCCTTCCACTGCGACGCCTGATGAGTACCATTGCCAGGACAACACTCGTATCTCTGCGCCAAATCCCTGGTCCTCATGTTCGCCTTGGCTCCACGCTCAATCGTCCACAACCAGTGTCCACCCCAATATGTCGAGACCTTTGGTATCTCAACCCGCGGTCTTCGCTATCTCATTCCTGCATGGGATGGGGCCACGGCATCTTAGTTACGGTATCTCGGGCGTCTTGAGTTGGTGCGTGGGACGGTCGTTTGTCTCGACTGTATTCTTGCAACAAGCTCGTCGCCTTTCATTTCTCTTGCTCGGAAGCGCCTTGTTTACTGTCGCCGCCCTTGACAGTCTCCTCGCCCAGTACTTTGCTTGCTGCCATGAACCTAAGCAACGAATATTAGCTTCGTTAATGAACAATCATCACTGCAGTGCTCACATTGCACCCGAGTATCCTCCCAGAGCGCGCATATCTTGCGCTTGACCTGCGGTCATCCGCATCAAGCTCTCGAGGTCCGCCATATTCGCGGTTAATTGCGCAAGCTGGGCCTGGAGGTGCGATAGCTGGCGGGGCTTCTGCGAGGGCACGCTGCTGATGCGTGAAGTGCTGGGTCTTGAGTTGTGCGACATTTTAGAATGTACAGGGTCGACTGAAGAAAACGTCGTGTATCTGAGTCTGCAGAACGTATGTATGCTGTGGCGGAGGTTCGGTTCGTTGTTTGTTGTCACCTTGAAAGAGCGGGGAACTTGTCGAAGACTCCCGCGGCGAATCGGCCTTGGCAAACGCCAGAGCTCCTGCGCTTTTTCAATCGTACAGCACGTCGACCTATGCCACACTTATCGCTCGCGCTAATCGTTCTGAATACATACCATGGCCGTACCGCAGACTTCGCAGACTGTCCGCAGATGGATCATGACTGCTGCTGTTGCTGGCATTACCGCCACTGGAACGATATATGGTGCTGGGCTCAAGACTGATCGCGAGGTCAGACAGGTATGTGTCCATTCTGTCATTCTGCACTCCCTTTCCAGTAGTTTTCAATGGATCTTTTCATGTTGCGATCCTTAACATTACGCAACGTTGACATGTCACTAACATATCAACAGGAGCGCAAACGCTACGAACAAGCCTCACCCGAAGAGCTCATCAGCCAACTCCAAATCGCGCGCGAGGGCCTCGAGGTGAAGAAGAGAGAGATGGAGAGGAAGATTGCCGGGTTCCACGAGAAGAAGAGGCTGAAGGAGATCGAGGCGCAGAAGGTGAAGGACCAACAGCAGCAGCCGAGATGAAGGGAAGACAATGCCACAACGCATCATGGGTTGAAGATATTGGCCTCGTCGTCTGACGAGACCTCTAAGGCACGGATGAGAACCCACAGTTGGCTTCCTGTCAAGACGACGATTGCAGAATCCGGACTTCGACATCATTGAAGACTTCACTTGAGTCGGCGGCTGGATTACAGTGTGAGCAAGGTCTCGGGATATCTTCTGTGATACTGTCGTCGGGGCGAGGCAATCCTTCCAGTTCAACGGAGGACGCGGTGGCGCCAGCACGAGTCAAGAAATGACACAGCCGAAATGCTCGCACGAACCAGGGGATTCAACGTCTCGTGAAGGAATACCTTATCACGGCCTCGCTTCGTCTTGTCGAAAGATTTCTAGTCTCGACGTGGCTTGTTCCAAGGACCGTAGGTCCATAGGGTGGACTCGTGTACGCAGTGCATCGATGGATTGCAATGTTAGCCCATTTGCTCAATGTTGTGGCACTACGATCTGAGTGCATCATTGAGACTATCAAATATGCGAAGGCACAGGCTTGGTATTGAGCACCCATTCGGGCCGGCGACTGGACTTCGATGTAAGCGACGCCGCTGAAACCATCTCTGCGGGACTTTGACGAGGGCGAGAGCACCCTTCGGACCTGATGGAGGAAGCGGCCACGCCAACGGAAGCGAAAGGTACGGACGCGCCGCACGATCCGCACTGTCTGTGGTGATCCCGTCTTGGACAGGACCATCTTGCCGGCTCTCGCGTCGAAGCACCAAACTCGATTTGAATTTCCTGAAGACCCCAATCCCATTTCGTCGGACGTGTCAGACAGTCTCGATCGTTTGCAACGTCTGTGTCGCGACTCGAGGGTACAGCCGTACAGCCTGCGCATGCAAGCAATTTTGAGCACTGCTTCTGTACTCCGAGGAGCAGTTCAACCGTAGCGAATCGGCAGGGCATGGAGCTGCGGGATATCCCCTATTCGCGCGTCGCGACACAGCCGGCCCTTTATACTCTCGATCACGAAATACCCGAACCGAACGCGTGGACGTTATCGCCCTTATCTTTGATCCACGCAACGCACCATCATCGACGTATTGAGTTCTGGGTGATATTTTGTTTACTCAACTTGGCCCGCTGGAAACCGCGTGATCTCCGGCTAGGTTCGCATGGCGCTTAAATACATAAGCATCAATGGGGCAAGGGTGAATGTGGTGGTGACTGCTCTTGAGGTGCGAAGATTGGTTGGACACCAGGTCTAGGGTTGCGCCAGCGATGTGGGAGTGCGGACATACCCTTGATCGCATGCTCATGTGACGAAGAATCGCTTCTAAGACCTGGACCTGACGGACATGGGAGGTGTTCGATGATTACCCGTGGGCTGTTTGCAGCTCTTGCTTGATTCACTCCTTGGCGGTCTGAAATCTGGAGGCTATAGTAGTTCACAAGCCGCCTAAGTTAGTGCATCGGAGTCGTTATGTCCTGGTCATTAGGCGCGTCACAGCTCAAGATAGGCCCTCGAGCGTGGCAAGGTTAGCAGTGAGCTGGAAGCTATCCATTGCATTCTCCGCCTACCCTTGTTCGTAGATGTCAAGGTCAACAAACGACGATGTAGGTGTCTATGATATGCATCACCAGGATTTCGTATGCACAGTTTCCTGGCTGCGGAAGCTCATTAAGGTTATGATGCTAGGAATATCGATCAGTATACCAGTGGGGTGCCTGGAATGAGCCCATGGAAACGATGTTTTGTGTTCTTTGTGGAGAAAAACTGTCGCCGGACAATTCCCTGGCCATATTGGCCAGCACTTGCAGGAGTAGCAGCTAATTCCAATGCAGGTTCAAGAACTCCGTATATTGCAGCGCCTGCAGCACAGTAATATCATCATCAGAGTCCGCAACACAACATCAGTATCCCGAGGTTGTTCGTAGCCATCAGAGGTATCATTGTCTTGCGAGAGGCTCTCGGATCGTGATTGAACACCTGACCCCAGCCTTGCAAAGAAGAGAGCAAGCGAAGTTTATCGAAAATGATGAGCAGTCTACAACGGATGCTCATCGTATCCTTCCCAAAGTCCTGTCTAGTATCAAGGAACTCACAATCAAACACTGACTACCTTCCGTTTTTCCATAATTATAGGTAACCATCCCTTCTTGAATCTCCCACCCCATGCACCACCTCTCGCCATCCGCGACGACCCCTGCTCTCTAAGCCATTGTCTGTAGCTAGTACTGCCGCTCATCTGTCACCTTTACCGGCGCCGTACACGCACTTCACGTGCTTGATCTGCAGCCAGGTGGTGTGTAAACTGCATTCCACTTCCATTTGTATATATGCTGACAACACTGTACAGACGAGCCAATTCTGGAGTAATGGCAAGCTCTGTAGCTGCAGCTTCCTGGTCTTTTGCAGATGCGTAAATCATACAATCACCCACACGACGTGCTTGCCCACGCGCTTGGGTAACTGGGCAACATCCTGAGGTGCGACCGACGTGGCTTCCAATTGCCGCGCCTATCAAACCTCACCGAATCTTGCATGCGAAATCGCCAGGAGGAGCGATGGTCATAGACATGGACCAGTCTCAACAACAGCAACGAGAACACTGGTGATGACGGCGATACATCCGAGACGACACAGCCGCGGCCATCTCTCACTACAGAGCAGATAATGCGGTGCACGACGTACATGTATGCTGTACCAACAGTACTCCAGGACGGAAGTGTATACATTGCGCCTCCATCTACGGATTTCTTCGTGCCATTGCGTGCGTTCTAGAAAGGACAGGGAGTCGACGGAAGCCCAGATTTCAATCGATATCACCTATGTAGGTCCCAAGGCCAATGTCACTTGCCACAGTGAGTGACGGCTGCATCCCATTTCTCAGTCCTTTCTAATATTGAAATGCAGGAATCGCATTCAGTGCTGCCAGACTCTGGGCGTCAGGGACTCCGCTCGCAGATGTTCTCGACCTCATGGTCAAGTGCGTGGGAGAATGTATTGTAGTCGTCAGAGGAACTATGCTGTTGTAAGAGTCTCACAGACTGTGATTGAACGCCCCCATTATCATGAAGATTCACTCATGCAGACGCACTTTCAAGAAGACTTTGTCAGCAATACGTTCGGAATTTGTGGAAGTTGTTACCACGGGGACCCGACAAGTCTCGACATAAAGTGAACTAAATAGACCGTTTGTAAATACCGCAACGTAACATCGCCTTCGCTATGTCCGGTCAATCACCTTATTTTTCAATCACCTACACCCTCTTGAACACTAAGGTCTTTGTCGGATTCGGGCTGATCGACCTCCCTACCTCAATCTGCGCGTATCTCTCTGTCATGCCCTCGGGCATCTTGATATCATAATCCAGAATCATCTTTGCAACGATCATCTTAATCTCGTTGGCGGCAAAGAACCTCCCGGGGCATGCATGGCGTCCGTACCCGAAAGCAAGATTCTGTTCGTTCGTCGTGACGAACTGATTACGTGCGTGATCAGCCGTGCTGCCACCGCGACGCAGCTCGTAGTGCCGAAATCCGTCGAAAGTCGCGCTGTTGGGATAGTAGGCACTGTCGTTGTAAATGGCTTGCGAGGGGACTTCGATTATGACGCCTGGTGGGATGTACTGGCCATTGGACAGGGTTATGCCTTTCAAAACGCGGCGGGTGAACGATGCTGGTCTTATCAGTGTGTGGGAAAGTGAGGTAGGAGTGTGGGAGCTTACTCATGGCAGGTGGGTAGACACGTTTGACTTCTTTCATGTAGCTATCGAGCTTCTCCATTTGCTGTAAGGCTTTCGTGGTGATGTTGCCATCGTGCTCGGCGATGACGCTGCGAATCTCTTCCCGTAGAGGCTTAATGTAGTCAGGTGTTGAAGCTAGCGTGTACAGGATGTTCGTGGTCGTGAGCGAGGTCGTATGAATTGCAGCAAATATCAAGCCAAGCTGGCAGGATGCGAGATCTTGCACAGTCATGTTGTCTCCAGCTCCACGATCCATCATCCATTGTGTCATGTCGTCCGGCTTGACCCAGTTTGGGTCCTTTGCAGCCTCCTGTCTTTGTCTGACCATGGGCTGAAGCATATCCGCAGCTGCCTTCTCTCTTTGACGGAGACGACGGAGTTCTGGACATCGTGGGGCTGTGAAGGGGCGGAACAAAGGTCGCAACTTCTTGATTGCAGTGACTGTGTCGATCATATCCAGTGTGTAATTGGTCGCGAAACCCAGATATTCAGGATCCTCGCACAGTTCTGGGCCAACAAAAATGCGACCTGAGACTTGGGCGATGATGTCGACCAAAACTTTGTAGATAGTGACCTCGGTCCAGTCATCGCAAGCAGGAAGGTACTTTGGGACGCATTTGTCAATCTCTTCTCTCACAAACTGGTTCATACGGCCTACTGCTGTCAGTGGCTAAGCCGCACAAGTGATAAAGATGCACATACTGAGAGCAGGAGTGAGATCTGACCTCACAGACTGTATCACAAGATGTGACTCCGTTTCCATCTTGGTATATTTTGTCTCCATGAGCTGTTCACAGTCAGATTTTGGCTCGGCTATTCACAGTTCCACACTGACCTTGTCTATGGCCTTGGGAAAGCTCAAGACATCATCACCAAGCCTCCGTAGTTCTGGCAGCATACTGACTGGTACGACAACGGTGTCTTCTCCATCAGATGATGCGATGCGATATATGGAATCTTTAAACTATTGATCGATCAGTCATCAGTCATATGAAGCAGTAATACGTGCTCACTTTCGCATATCCGCTGAGATATATCAACTTCGCAGAATTCAGGTAGGTCTGGCGCTGCTTCTCTCCAGTCGCTGGTCCGCCGAAGACAGGCAGCTTTGCAAGCTGCGACCTGTAGTGAAGCCTCGGTAATAAGGCGCATGCTGCGAAGATCAAGGCAGCAATCACTGCAGTCTGCAAAGTGTGCGCCAGTCCTGTGTACTGGATATCCATGTTTGTTGACGGATTGTAGTGGCAGGTGTAGAGGAATGGTCGTTATATTTAACCTCGACATCGTCCGATTCTCCGGCCACTACGGAAAATCGAGGGCCCTCATCGCTCTCCATCAAAAGGGCTTCATGATCTGCGTGAAACACTGAACACGGTCAATACGGTCTTGGTAAATAAGCGATGCGCTCGAAGCGAAGGACTTTAACTCAGATACTAGTGAAGAAGCAGTATAATACCTGTCGATCACGACGCCGCTGCCGCTACAGCTTCATCGTCAAAGGTTCAAATTAGGCCGGAACGCATCTGACCAATTGAGCATGCTCGTTTACGAAGGAACCGTTGACGATGGCTGGCTGCTGTGTCACCGGATGAGGGTCTGCCCGCCCGAATCACCCTCATCGGACCTTCGTGGCGTGCTGGATGAGTCCGACTGCCTCAACGAGTGATAGGTGCATGGGTGCATGCTTGCGATCTCAGGACGTTGCGCGGTGCAGTGTCAAAACTTGGCTGACGAGGTTTGTTATGTCACTTCCCTTGAGCGGCACGTCGTGTCGGGTGGCGCATTCCGAGCTAGTTCCCGCCGGCAGTCTTTCAACTCTTTCTCCCGAGAACTTCTCCACCAGGCGGAAGTTGAAAGCGAGCGTCAACGGGAATGTAAAGCGAGGACTTTAGCCCGTGCCGTATCACTACAATAATCTGAATCTGGAAATTCAACGGCAGCGGTGTGCTCTGCCTAGAAAGAGTGTCACGAATCACGGTGCGAGTGTCCAGACTCCTGCGTACTGTACCACGTGTGATGACATCTGTCCTCAGGCAGTAGATATGCGTCATATGATAGGAACAGAACGCGATAGCCTCATCGAGGCGCTGTCGAGTCAAGCCACAATGTTTGGCACCTCTGCATACTGCGACAGGTGATGACCTTCACCTTCTACCAATGTCGGACTGCAAACTGCATGGTGTTCTTGGGTAGGACCTGCCTTCGTTACAGCGAAGGTGACTGGCTGGAAAAATTCCGGGGCACAAAAGACCTTGCTCATGTGGACTGCATCTTGCACCTTCGACCTCAGCGTAGATATTTCGTGACGTTACTTGTATCTGCTATGTTGTTGGATTCGATTCCCAGTGATGATACATCTGTAATAACTCAATTCTACAGGTCGATCATGCGCTGTGACTCTATCAAAAGAGCATGAGTTTCTTCTCTCCAAGGGGTACACGCTTCAGTCGCGCTCTAGGTCACAAAACGGAAATCAAGGCTGTTGAACCGATTGGAAAGCGATCTTTTCCGTCATTGTGGAAGGACCTACCGCTTGTCACCCTCATCTGTGGTTGTTGTCCTGTAATTGTATTTCTCCTCTTCGGTGAAAGCATCCCAAGCCATCGCCCTCTGGTTGTTTCTCCGTCGGTAGTAGAAGTAGGTTCCAGGATATTGGATGAAACACATCCAAACACATGTGACCAGAAGACCTCTGCTCGCTTTGAAGTGGCGAGGAGCGTCGGTCAGTTGGTAAATATTAGCACCGATCATGCCACTGACTTGCACGAACATGTTGTAAAGCAAGGCCGACACCGTTCGGTTCTGGACCGAGCCAGCGTTCCGAGAAGTCCAGGCCACATGAATCGCATGCACGCATGGGAACGACAGCAATACCGTAGTAATCGCAAAATATGCCCACCGACTGATCGGATCTGGTAACGCAACCAAGCGTCCTCTGCCATCGCTACGAACGTCTGTTGTTGACTAGCTCACTGAAGGCTGTGATAAGAAGCATCGTGATGCTAGAGCCAAATATGTACGAGATCGATAGCAGATTGGACTGAATCATGTCGAATCCAAGGTCGCAGAACGAAATCATCCAGCACTGCGTGACTGGGATTTGGGGATACCGAATATTAAGCCCAGCGCATGGATAGGCCACACATCGTACTCTTTGGAGCAATTCCAGATCTGTCAGACTGAGAGACCTTGGCGGTTGTACGTATCATCCTTGTGAGGGCCGTCTGCTCACCCACGTTACTCACATAGCTTTTACTCACATAGCTTGAGGATCCATATACCACCAATACGGCCACACCACGCGATATAGGTGGAGCAGCAAATGATTCTTTTTTGGACATATCCCTGTGAAACAACTTCAGCGGAAATCCCGTAAATACTGGTGGCAGTATCGTGTGTATTTGCCGTGGAAATGCTGGACAACGCGGTCTGTCAAGCGTTCGTTACATGTATCTATCGTGCGCAATTTCAGCAGCCTCGAATTCAGAGTTGCTTGAGCATCCTAACAAGCCAATGAAGCAATTTTGAACGATAAGAGGACAGGTGGTGGAGGTTTATGTTGCACTGAAGGTATGCGTAGCTTTCACTGCCGGCATAACGTTGCTACTGCGATCGGTCAAGTGGGACTCTCGTGCGATTCGAGTTAGGGGGATGAAAGTCCTGATGTATACCTGGTTATCTTGCGGTACAGGATACAAGCCGTTGGTTGTTCGATATTCAAAGGTAACCTTACTCATGACCTCCACACCTATCGACTGTAAGCGCAGCAGAGCGAGGGTGACTAGATGCGCTGTACTTGTCATTCATCAAATACGGCGCCAATCTCAGCCGTATGCTCCGCGGCGTGTTCGTTATGCGTGGAACCAGGAAGGAAGAGACAGTACCGACCAGATGGCGTCGACGGCTGGACCAGACTGAGGTGTCTCTGGGTGGGCGCCCCACTTTGCCCAGCAGCCAATCGCAGCAATTCAATTCGGCGCTTGACTTTGATGCTACTACCCTGCTTCGCAACTCTTCGACTTGCTTCGGACTCCTTCATCCTGCTTCATACGAACAAGTGCTTGATTTGTGCCACGGGCAAAGCCTCTTGGGGTGCCGCAAATGGCTTACGCTGCGACCTTCTCCCATTCCGACTCACTTGGCTCCTGCCAATAATCCGTCCCGCTCTCTCTGAAGCCCATCTTGCGCAATACTTTCCCACTTCTTGTATTCATCTTCTCTGTCTCAGCAATGAACCTTCTCACTCCTTTTTCAGCGACAGCCCACTGCATCACCGCTCTCGCCGCCTCGCCAGCGACGCCCCTGCCCCACACTTTCTCGTGCACGCCGTATCTCAACTCCACCATCTCTTGCCACGGCGGCAGTAGCTCGCTACCTTCCTCCCAGTCTGGCATTGATGTTGTCGTTGTGTCTCGAACACCTGCATAACCCACCCACTCGACATGTTGCAAAAAGGCGAAATCAACACTTTCTACAAAGCCCACGCTCTCATTCCCTTCCAGTCTCCTCCCGCTGTCACTGTGCATGGCATCGGATCCGTCTCTTCTAGGACGAAGCGCAATCGCAAAATCACCGAGCCCTCTCCTCTTCCAGCACCGTTCGAGGTCACGTGTGAGGATGACATTCCTTGTATCCTCAACGCTCAACTCGCGAGCCAGGAAGTGCGGACCGAAAGCCATCTGGCAAAACGCCTCACTCACATGCAGACTGCCGTACAGCTGGACGTAATCGTTGTATTGTATGGCGATTGGAGTCAGTACGATGACGAGCCGCTCGGTGAACAGTACAAAAGGGGTCGGAAGGTATTCGGAGAGTTGAACAGACATGGCGGGCGCAAAGCTGTCAGGTGATGGAAAATCGGTACGTGATGCAGCTGAGATCGGCTCTGCACTTCAGCAGAATCTCTTCAGCTCTGGCGTTTGTCGGGCGCTCAGCCCGGCATGATAGAGTCAGCATACCCGAGATCGTGTCGCAAGCAAGACCAAACACACCGGTGTGTACGAAAACGGGGCCTGCGGTAATTACGTTACATTAGATGCGTAATTCTGCACTATCTCTCTTGTAGGAGGTAGCTTTTGCTCTGTCAGGCCCTCTATGCACTTCACTAGCTCTGCCTCCTGTTCTAGTCGAAGATTGCGACGTGCTAAACCTGCCTCTGCGCGTGACCTGCTGACACCTCAGTGCTTGCGCGATAACGTTAAGCAATCAACACTATGCTTTTTAGCTATTGTTGACTAACAGACCTCTTCGCTGGAGTCAAAAGCATCTAGCTCTGCAAGGGCTTCTTCCATAGTCATCGTGGCGTTGAGTTGTGGGGGGTGCAAAGTTGGGACGGAATCGAGATCGCGTACATTGACTGACGGCGTGCATTGAGTGCACGGACACGGTAGTGAGTTCGTGGCAGCTGGACGCCGTACCGTCATCAGAGCTCCGTCTCTCGCGAGTTTCTTACCAGTGTCTAATTTGGGCGCGAGGTGGAGCCTAAGACCTCATAGCGATGCCTCATAAAGTCTCTCGCTCTCTCACATCGTCACCTCCTACGTATCTGTGTCTTCACTATCACCTTCCCACCATCTATCAACACTCGACGACAAGACATTCAAAATGAACTACGCGCCAGTGTCAGACCCCGAAGACTATGGGGCCGCCCAATCGCAAGAGATGGGCGACATGGGCTCGCGAATAAACCGCTACTGCGATCGCTCTGGACCATGGGGCATTGACATCTTTGCCAGCTGTATCGCAGGATGCTGGGCTGGCGTTCTCGCATGTTTCGATGGATGCGGCGAGTGCTGCGGCGGGTGTTGCAGCGGATGCGGAGATTGCTGTGGAGAGTGCTGCAATAGCATGGTCAATTGCTGTAACTGAGAGACCTACCGAAAAAGCTGGGACGCGAGGCACGTGCGATCGAGATTGGGAAACCACTGCCATGGTTGATGTGCACCTGCACTTTTCTACACTATGGTGTCCTAAGGATCCTGTTTGGTGATAGATGCCTGGCTCTTCCACACCACACCTCAAACCACAACGCCATTGTTACAGCCCATCGCGCACCACATAATCGCTACCTTCCCATCGTTACTACAAGTGTATGGCTTACACAGAAATCGGCGAACGTACACCTCTTCTGCTCTCGCAAATGCTCGGGCAGATCATCAATATGGATTACAACAACAGTCGCTCACCTGCGCGTCTCAGGGAGGAGGAAGAAAGTCAAGTAGCTCTGGAACAGAGCTGCCAAGACTATAAAGCCGAGTGTCAAGCGTTGGAAGACAGGCGTCGAATCTACGATGCCAGACGCCAAGCCTTGGAGAACAGGAGCAACGCATTCATCGTCCGTTCGCCCTCACAAAGCAGCAACTTGGTCTCTACCCGCTCTGGATTAGCCATTCGTTTCAAAGAGCCGCATGAACGTCTACCTTCAGAAACCAGAACCAACGGATCTAGCACTCGACCTGGCGCACCTCGCCCCAAGACGCCCCATCCCAACTACGCAACCGACATGAAAGCTCTCCAAGAGTTTCTTGGACCTGACTCCTCAAACAACGCTCCCGTAGGCCACGCTCCACTAGACGCCAATTCATAGGAGAACCCCTTCGACGACAAGCACAACACCGAGCAGTGGAAATGCACGAAGTGCAATGCACCAGGGCACACGTCAGAAGAGCGCGTAAGGACGCTTGATGAGATGGGTCGCTTTATTTACAGATGCAATAATGCAGCCGGTTGTGATGCTTTGCTGGTCGCCAAAAAGGAACCCAATGGGACTGGTGAGCCTCAGCTCCCGTCTTGCTCGTATATGCGCTGACAGAGGATAGTCACTGTGGAGGAATACACACAGCCACCTGACACGGGCAGATCTTCTAGACGTCGGAGAGTCAAGGATTGGTTCAAGAGGAGGGGCAAGAAGGTCAAGGAGGTGGGTGAGAGGCTCAGGAGGGTATCTGATACTTCAATCGACCTGAGCGCATGGTGGATGCCGCCAGGGATCTATCCATGATTAATTTTCCTGGTGTCTCGGTAGGACTGCAGACTGATTCTTCTCAAGCCTTAGAATTAGGGCATCGAATAGCAGCAGGACAGGAACTTGATAAGATTGTGCCCAACTTGATACTGAAAAGTTTGTGTGATATCGCCGAAGCTTCGATTGACTGTGCCATGCTCGTAGGTCGAGATAGATTATACACTCCAACATGGTGTCCCTAGGCAGCAAAGCCAGCATACTGCCAGCCCTCTCTCTCTCTTTCTCCCCATGAAGATTCCACCTCCCTCTGAGGCTCTACGACAGCTTCTTCTCGGCCTTCTCAGCCGTCGCCTTCAGATCCCTCTCCAGCTCCTTGCCCTCCTGCTTCGCGAAATCGCCCGGTCCATCAGCGCCAGTCAGCTTCTGGCTCTGGTTGTAGCTGTAGATCCTGCCGACCTGGGTGGCGCCGACGCAGAATAGGAGCGCGTTGACGGCAGCCAGGGCCACGTTCTTGGGCCGGATCACAAAGCACCAGCGCGTCCAGATGGCGCCTGTGCACATGAGCGCGAAGTTCTGCGTCAGGGAGAGGGACTCGGCGGGGCGCGTGAAGTCGGCGGCGCCTGCGGCTACCATGGCCCATTTCATTACTGGCGCCCTGGGAGACGATTAGTGCGGGCTCTGGCTGTGAGTGTGTGGAGTCGTGGCCGGGTGCGGATCGCGTGCGGCTCCGCCGGCGGAGATAAGGCATTGCCATTGGCATTGTAGGGCACAGATATCGTGCTGCAGGGACTTTGGGACGCACCAAAAGTGCACCGTCTTGGGGCCGACGGGCGAGTTCCAAAACCTGGCGAAGCCGGCGGGCTCAGCGCCTGCGGTCGACGCATGGCGGCGGGCGTAGAACTGGCGAAAGTTGGTGCGGAAGGCGCTGAAGACGCGGGAGCCGGGGCGGAACGACATAGTGAGTTGACCGTCGAGGGAGCGAGTGACGGCAGGTGGGGGGTTTGTTGGGGCGTCGACGGTGACGGTAACGGTGAGTAGTCCGTATCAGCGCCGCAATGCCGGAAGCTCAGATTTCGGATGCTGCTGGGCCAATGCGGGCTCCAATTGGCTGCCTTAGTCAGCGGCAGCGTGGAGCTCAGCAACGTCAGTCAAGCACAGGCAAACACCACAAAGTGCAATTGATACCCACCACGGCGTTGACACGACACAATGGCCTCCAAGTATGCGTTCAATGCGGGGCTGAAGGAGCTGAGGTTCCTATTCTGCCAGACCAGCGAACACAGCGCTGCGACACGGTACGGGATCCCGGGTGAGGAGATTGCTATGCGCGCGCAACCATAGAGGAGGGGTGTGGATGAGTGTTGGAGTAGAGGCTGACGGGGTGTATAGGAGCTTCCTCCAGCGCAGCTATCCCACCATGAAGAAGCACAACCCGCACACGCCCATCCTCATCCGCGAGGCCCACGGCTTCGAGCCCACTCTGTTCGCAAGATACAGTACGCTACACCACCGAGACGGACGAGCGCAGCGCGAACAGCCCCTGTCGCGAGCGCGAGCACAGAGATCAAAGCTGACATATTCACAGACTACGGAAAGGAGACAAAAGTCCCGCTAAAGGGCCTGGACGACAAGTCGATCGAGCAGAAGGTCACCGAGCTCGTGCAGGCTTCGACCGCATAGAGAAAGACATGTGTATGGAGTAGAGGATATGAAGAGAGAAAGACTCGAAAGAGCAGCGGCAAATTCGAGCACAACCGTGTACATGTGTATTATGACGAATGTACTTGTTCCAGCAGCCATTTCTCCAGCTGAAATAGCTACTTTTTGAGACGAGGGCGAACTGCTAAAACGACCGATTCAATGACTTCATGATGGACCCTTTTGGAAAACCGCTATATTGCCAGATCTGACCTACTCACGCAGCTGAAGCCTTCAGAGGCAGCTTCGTCACGACTCTTTCACCGCTTGCAAAAATTGCATGGCTTGTAAGCAAGCGCGTTGGAACCGCAGCTTTCACTATATTCCCCTAGCTCACTACATTTCCCTAGCTGCTTCGAGCCTACATGTAGTTGGCTTTGGGGCATGTGATGGTATGTGACTTTGGAAAGTAGTATCCACCACACTGAACGGATTGTGCAGATTCTTGCGCATTATTAGTATGGAAGTCTCAAGAAAGCCAAACCGTATGTGGAAGCTTTTTTGGGGACTCAAAGGTCATCTCAGGTGGCTGTTATGAGCATACTTTCTCGTGGCTTTCACCTTCAATCAACACGTCGCTTACACCCTGCTGCTCGCTTGAACCCACAGATTTTCCTTTTTCTCGCAGAATCTTCCTTCAACTAACGCCAACGTTTTCTTCCACGATGACGGCCTTCGAAGGTGTGCTGAAGGTGGGTCAGACGTGGCCTCGAGCGCATGGGACAACGCCGGTCCAGCTGCAGCCAAAAGCGCACAACTCGCCAAAGCTTTCGGCGCCGCAGTACATGAACATGCCAACGTCGCAACGGCACATCCAAATTCTCTCCCAGCTCACGAGGGTCCGTCGCCTGATTGGGCCGTTCTGTCACAGTTTAGCGAAGACGTTGGCGAAGACGTTGGCGAAGACGTTGGCGAAGACATTGGCAAGCAGGTCAGCGTCACCGCGAGCGAAGCTTGGGATGCGCTGCTCGGTGGCGAAAATGCTCTGACTGCTTTCGCTCAGGCCAAAGGAAACAAGTTCGAGTTTAAAGAAAAGGATTTTAATGGCTTCTCCGAGACGCTCAAGAGGTGGATCTTGGAGCATCCCATTGAAGCTGCAGTTCTGCTTGCTTACCTCACTTCTGCGCCGATTACCGTCATCCTTACGCCTGCTATGTTGGATTTGGTTGGTTTCACGCCCATCGGCCTGGCCGCTAGTAAGATAGTCTTGCTACCATTTGTCACTTTTGGCTAACTCATCCTCATTAGGATCTCTTGCCGCCGCAGTGCAGTCAATATTAAGTCCAGTTGCTAGCCGGAGGTACGTTCGTGATTCTGCAAAGTGCTGCAATGGGTGGGTATGGACTCATTATCGTATGGGCGTCAAGCATCCGAGCGGAACTACAATAATATCTCCTATGGTCATGAATCCAGATCCAAGACCCACGAGACCGCCTCTGGTGATCAAGAAACACCGGCCCATCATATGTTTCCCAAAGTCCTTGCGCAGAAACGATCTATGGGAATGGCGGGGTACTACATCGCTCTTGATGTGTTGCTGTAGGCCACGGTCGATTGGCAAGCATGGCAGACGCTCGCTTGCTGACGATGCGAAAAAATTGTAACAGGCTCTGGTCCATTTCCCTGGTTTGACCCACTCTTCTGGCATCTGGGCCAGGCACAGTGTCCTACAGAAGGCGTCATCATCTGGACTTGCCGAATCTTCACTGTCGATGTCAAATCCGTTGAGGAAGAGCGCTCGCCAATGGAGGAAAGCCATGATGCGATCGGCCAGCGTAGTCATAACACCAACAGCGATTTCACGTTCTTTGACAACACCAAGGGTACACGGCACTGATCTGCAATTTTCGGTGCTCGCCCATTGGCTTAACCATTTGTATTCGGTCGTTTCATCACCTGAAGCTGTAAACTCCACAATCTCCTCATGCCTTCGGAGCGCTTTTGTCTCTGGGACATGTGACCAGCCAGGACACCAGGTCGGCAGGCCAGCCGATCCTGTGTATATCGGGAAGTGAATCGACTCCCGTAAAACGTCGAGGCTGCCAGTCGTTGAAAGCACATATTCGAAGACTATATATACGTCCCTGACAGAGAGGCTGTAGTCCACAACAAAATGCTTGCGAATGCTCTCCGGAAGCACACCGAGAATCGCGAACATTTTGTCCTGAGGCCTCGAGGCCAGCTTCCGCCTACATTGTCGCATCACTTCCAGAAGCTGATCCTGCCCCAGCGCGAGGAATACGCCACCATCAGGTATACTATTTAGTCCTTGATACACCAAGACTTGTGGGATGGTGTACTGGGTGCGCGACATCCTGAGAGGCGTTCGGTCTGGGTTGAAGAATTCTCGCTCAAGGTCGGCATTGTTCAGGCGGAATCTTTCGGTGGCATCAACGAAGATTTTATAGGCGACATTGGCGTCACCGCAGTAGACGGTTGTGGTTTTCGTGCTGTAGACTTCTTGCACGACCCACAGTCTGTCCCAATAATCGCGTTCGAACAACCTGGCTACAGCCTCCAGCCCACACAGTTCCGATTCCAGTTTCGAGCGCTTGGCGTGGATCTTCAAAACTTCAGACAGCTGTTCGTTCGTCAAATTCTCTGCGGCAACTTCTTCAAGACACTTCAGCGCCTTGTCATTATCGTCCGCTCCTGGTCCTAGCCAAATCGCGACCGACTGCGCCCTGCAGTAGATATCGGTCATCAGCTGAACCTGCTCCGTTCTCTCCTTCGTGTCTTGCTAGTTGATGCACAAGGCGTCGACCCACATCCATACATTGGTGTGCTTCTCCCGAAGAGCCTCCAACGCACCGTAAAGGCTCGCTGTGACAAGACAGTGGATTCGTGATAAAGTTCGACGGCAACTGGCAGTTTTGTCTCTGTACTCGTTCAAAATGTCGATCTCTTTCTGCTTCTCTGGGTTTCTCCATGCATAAGATATTGCAACATAGGGCGGTGGCTCCACAAGTAGAAAGTGCTGAATCGTGCAATTCACCTTCCACATCTTCATTGCCAATATTCGATCCAAGTTCAGGCGACATGCGTACCACAGAATCCACCAAGGATTTATTGGAAGCTGATGAGTCTCTGTCGCCAAGTGACGCGGCATTGGCGATTGTCTTTCTGTGCTCTTTTTCGCTGCGGCGACCCCGTCTTTCTTCCGAGTCGGAGCGAGACCTACGATAATTCGAGTGCCTTTTTCTCTCTTTCTGACCCGAGTGCTTGCGTTATGGCGCATCGGGTGGGATATGGAGATTCTTGCCGAAGTTCGGTCGGCGTTTTCCGTGATTGTGGTCGACCATGTTGGATTTGGCTTCCAACGTACAATTGTGTTACTCAGAAATAGGCTTTGTGTTGGAGAGACTACTGTCGGTCGCAAGGCTGAGGCAAGTGTCATGAGCGGGGCGCGCGAAACCAATACGGAGAATTCGGTCATCAAAGCGCAGGTAATATCTTATATTGATCATGCGTCTGACCGGTCAGGCTGGCACATACAAATGCGTCATGCAGCTGTACGAAGCGGAACCTGTGGAGAGCATCTTCAATCATGAATGCCCGTGAATGAAAGGATCGCTTCGGGCCTTCCTGGGAGAAATGCGCGAGCTCCGCGAAGCAACTGCAGCCACAATCAATACATCTTACAAAGTAACAATGACAGCGTCACGGGACTCAAGTGTGGCTTCACTATCTGTGGGGCCAGGGATGTTATCTTTGAGATGTCCCATGTATATCTGTGGGTAGTGTCATTAATTGATACACGATACATCTCCAAATGATTACGTCGGCGCAGTAGCGCTTGCTCCAATACCTGCCAACCCGGCTGCAGCAACCTCAATGTCTTGGGGCACAGTTCCTCCACTGACACCAACACCACCGATCAATCGTCCTTGGTAGTAGATTGGCAGTCTGATATGCAGTCAGTGGAAGAATCTGCCAATGTTTCTATTTTAGCACTCACCCTCCACCAAAAACGACCAGCCCACCATTTGTCTGCTCAATAGCATACAAGGGCGCACCAGGCTGGCTCGCGTCATATAGTCCTGCGCTGGACAAGCCATTGAACACTACTGCGGTCTTTGCCTTCTTCTGACTGATATCGACCGAGCCAATGTAGGCATTATCCATACGAAGAAATGCCACAAGAAGGCCGGAAGGATCGACGACGGCAACATTCTGGGGCACCCCGATTGCGGTGGCATTCTTGACGGCTGCCTGGACGATCTGATATGCCTGGTCTGCTGATACAACGTAACGCTCGGAAGGTTTTGAGCCAATGCCGTTCGTGCCGTTGATCTGAGCGTAGGCTACGTTGGCCAGGGCGAGGAGTGGTGCGGTGAAGCGCATTGTGATAGTCAGAGAAATTGAGCTGTCAATCAAGATTGAACGAAACAACATAAACAAACAATCATCCTACGTGACCTTATATGACCTCGTGGCTTGGTCCAGGTACCACGCTCTAGTGATCTTGCTGCACAGTGACAATCGCTGACCACTGTTACCGCAACATTCAAGGCTAGGTGCCCGATTAACAGGCTTGTGATGTTTCCGCGTGCGGGGAAACCATAGAAGCAGAACGCCATCAAGAGGCTCGCCAGCCCATTAGCCTCAATCAGGCTTGGGGCCTCTTTGCGGAGTCTGGTCCGGCATGGATCGCGGACCATCCCGAGGTCGGCTAACTGGGGGTTTCTGGTTAGCAAACCTTCAGCCTTGTAGTACTTCGTATTGATAGAGATGGTGATGAGGAGGCTTTTATGTTGCCGGCAGGAAAGCACAGAAGTATCGATTCCTGTGCGTCACCTCAGCCACGTACAATTTGAACGCATCAACAGCAGGAGTTGGGTCCGTAGAAAGTTTTCGACGCACAACTGAGCGCCGAATGAAGGTACAATTGATCTGTTGCCGGTATGTCGCCAGGTGGGTAGGCACAGTCTGTACTTCCCACCTGCGGTCCACGGTCCGCAACGTTCTGACTGTATCTTGAAGGCAAGGCACTGTTGCATTGTGAAAGCTCCATCCGACAATTCCTCACAAAAGCACGCTCCTGCGCGAATCTGCGGCGAATATCGTTTGTTCCCGGCGATGCAGGTGTGCTCGAGCGGCAGGCATGGCATGAGCTGTGCCGGCACTTCCGAGGTGCTTGGCGTTTCTCAGCGTTCCTGCTCTTGCTCTCTTGACACTCGAAACCGCAGCAAAGTCCAAGCTCTTCTCCTGTCATCGAGAAATTTAACTACCGAAAATGAGCCTTTCAAGCAGGTAATGCTCTGCCGATCTTTGGTCACTGCGCACCGACGAGCGAAGAAAGTCCGTCGAAAACGATAGAAAATTGAGAGCATTCGCCTGCGTTGATTGTTTAAATATCTTGGTTATTCAACACGCGTTTCATCCTGATAGGGTCTCCTGCCTTTTGCGGAAGGTCTGAGACACGATTTCGTACACGGTCCGGCACATGATCAGCACATGCAGATGTGCAGTTTCTCGGCACGCAGTAGAGGACTTGAACAGATTGATCAGAGCAGCGATGTTCGGTCGGACAAAAGTTTGATTGCGAAGCATCGCAATCAACCAGTGCTCCATCAAGGCGAACAGGCATGACTCGGGCCCTTAGCCTTGCGAATTCCCGGGTCTGGCGTCTCGAAAGCTGTGCCGGGAGATCTAGCAAGTGATCATGGACCCACATGCCGGTCTGAGGACTGGTACGTCTGGAGAAGTGCGGCCGACCTCCCTCACATCCTAGACTGCCCAGGCGCTGCAATGCACCAACGTATTCTCGCCCACTGTGACACGGCAACTCGGGTTCCCTCACGACACCAACAGTGTCCACGAACCTTCTTTCGTCAGCGCGCGCGTACCCTGATAACCATAATATCGACTCCCGGTGTTCTTCGAATACGACCGATTGCGCCATAGTTCCCGTTTCGAGCGACCCAGCCTACTCGATCTCGGTCTTAGTAGCAACAACCTTGTATGGGCAACGCGTCTCTTCGACGGGACCGCCCTCTAATTGCTCTTCGAATTGAGCTTACGAGTCACTTGTCAGAGTGGTCATGCTTACCCTTCGCGTCCTGTTATCCCTACCGACATTGCTCTCGATTGCTCTTGTCGCCCACGTAAACGCCGCCGTTCCAGCCGATGATGGAGTCATCGCTGAAGAGAAGGGTACAGCGAAGCCTGAGCTGGCTGCCGCCTTGACTGGAGGCGAAGGGTGTTCGTCATCTGATATCGAGGACATTCGAGTTGGCTTCGTAGAGATGACCGAGCTGTTCCAAGCAGCCTTGCCGTACGATCAGAACGGTCAACCTTCTATCGAGCTCTTCGGCCGGCCCTTACGAATCGCGAACTATTCGTCGATGATCGAGTCGAATCTTAAGCGCGCAGCGCAGTACGCCAATCTGAGAGGAAGCGAGACAGTCAATCCGGATGTCCATGTACGATGCGACGATCCGAACAACATGTGTAAGACTGGGAATAAGAGGGACGGAAACCACGTCGCATACAACATGGGGAATCTTCCAATGATCAACTTCTGCAAGGACTACTTCAAATTGGATGGCCTGGAGGACAGGGTTGATAAGAAGGCTGGTAACCAGATGGAAAAGGAGAGGCTGCACGAGTACTACAACAGGGGGACACTATGGGCCAGGATGGTGATGCACATTGGTGGTGTGGGTGTTGCAGTTGTGGAGAAGGCTATTCCAGCACAAGCGAACTCGGCATCTGGCAGAGAGTGGGAGACAGTCGTCAGCGAAGGAGCAATGAACACGACAGTCCTCGCGGGAGTACTGAACGACCGCCCAGATGGTAACGCCCCAACGGACATCCAGACACTGAAGTACACTTATGGCGTAACACGGTCGAAGCTGCTGGCAGTCCTCTCGACACAGATGCCCTACGATGCTGCAAACAACGCCGAGAACTACGCGCTTTACGCACAAGCACGATACATTATGCAGAAAAAGGGTTTCTACCCCAACGTTCCGGTCATGGATTTTCCGAACGAACTGTCTGTCCTCACCAATGAACAGCTTCAGGATGGCGAGAGATGCAAGTACGCCTACTTTGACTCGTCAGATGTGGTTGCGCCTCCGCCAAACATGGAGCTCAAGGCGAAACCACTCCCTGGTGCTGCTTCGAAGCAGCAGCCGGCGTTGATGATCCTCGCGACTCTTGCTGTCGCAACCTCTATTGCCATGTCGTCGTTCGGATGAGATCCACACACAGAAGTAACGATCTAAAGTAGAACAAACATCCGCAATCCGCCCTGTGCGGCATCTCTGCGTCGCCGAAGCTAGTTGACAGCGTACGTACACCCGAGCGTCGAAGGCTTCAGCGCTCCGCTCTGGGCAACTCTCCGTGAGTGTTGCTATACAGACTTTTCGTGCCACGACATGATGGATTCCGGAGATGATGAGCTCTGTATGGACAAAACGCCTCGGCGGCCAGTCAACAGCTGCAAAAGAGAGGATCAGGGGTGGTGTGGTGGATAGATAATAGATCTTCAGCGAAGGTCGATACCCACCACTGTGTACGTGCGAAGTACAGTACAGGATAATGAATGAATTAGTGGTTTACCATCTCAGTCTCATCCCGTGCTCTTAGACTCGAATCAAGCTGTACCTTCCGCTTTTTTTTCTCCTTCGCCTTTTCAACCCCCTCCTCGGCAAGAACAATCGACGCAGCGTCATCAACCCACCACCTCCTCCCGATCCTCTTCTCTGGTCTATCTTTCCATTGCTCCTCCTGATATCTACGATGTAGGCGTGGCTGGTCAGCTTGAGTAATTAGCGTTGCAGACGAGTCTGTTTGGAAGCCGATCCGGATGTCTGGCTCTCCTTCTCAGGATCTGGGATCCCATTTTTAGACTTTGAGGTTTTCACCTCGGGAGCAAGTGTTCAGTCCTCTATTGGAGCGTATGGTTGTGTTGGTGCAGTGTTCATGTTTGATGATTGTAATGTCGTGCGAGGGGAAAGGCGGGTGCATTGGCAAAATATACTCATAGGGAGTATAACCACCCTTTCCAAACCTTGATAGCGGATAGAAGACCCAGCGTGTCAAATGAGGCACAGGGTTTGAAGCAGAGAATGGTGGTGCAGTACATGGACCCTTTGAGAGAGAGCTGCCAGAACTTAAGTGTGCAGATCAACTTGATGTGATCGTATGTTGACGATAGAGTCGTCTCCGTGAGGAAGCCTTGCCGACATCACTCCTTACATGTGCGCTTTAGAAAGCGAGACGAGGGGCCGCGTGGAAGGATTCTCAAATCCATTACTTCGACCCTTGAAACTACCAAAGTTCCTCGATCTGCTTGCTCGTCTCCGGATATACCAAGCATGAAGTATGAGGTCCAGTAACTAGCGAGGTCGTATTCATGTCTAATGCGCTGTGCTCGGCCACATGAATATGGCTACATTACAGACTGAGGAGATAAGACGAGAAGTCGACTTGTCACATACATACCCTCTCAACGACGATACTACCTGAGCTCAGGCTCTCGACGCCGATGCGTCAAATCGGAGGCATCCCCTGGACATGGGTCCAGTACTGGCGATGACATTCTGGGTAATCTCTACTTAGCCATCTCAACTCGAATACCGTGTCAGTAAACTCAGAACACAGGATACAGACATTGTGAAGTTCTTTTCACGTGGGGGCATACGTTCGCTCGCCACACTCATGCACGATAAGCACATGGAATCAACAGACTTTTCACAATGTGTACACCTGCGCAGCCTTTCACTGCACCGCCTTGAACGTTGATAATATTCAGCTAAAGTGCTTCGAGTGAAGGTCATCACATTCGCACAGCTCAACCACACACTCGAGTACGCTTGCCGACCTTCCACTTACACTTCGCGCCAAACAACCATAAAAGCAAATATCAACACAATGCGAGGGAGCGGCGGATACTACTATTATGGTCAGGAGGAGCTGGAACAAATGCACATGCATGCATTCAACCACTATCGTTGGCAAGGTTGCTCAATGCTCGAAGCTTACGATCTAGCCACTGACGCCGTCGAACGTGAGACGGGTTATGAACCGAGACGGGACCAAATGCGTGTAGATCGCGAGAATGCACGTCGCATCGATCGCGCTGCGGAGATCATGGCACGCTCAACCTCCTCTGGACGCCCTCGCCAAACCGAGTCTTCACGCCGGTACGAAAAGTATGACCCACGCCGCCGTACGCAGCAGTCTTCTTCGCGCAGCGAGCAGACTGGGTCTCAGACTGAGTACGATCGCATGTTCCAGAACGGCACTGATAAGTTCGCTTCGCGTACCTCTGGTAAGATCCTGGGCTGCGAGGATGTCGAGAGCTGCGCCAAGGCGATTTTCAACGAGCTGATTGCGGAAGGCAAGAGCCCAGAGTACGCCCAGCAGAAGACAGAACAGTTCGCCATACGTGAACACGGTAAGCGTAACGCGAAGATGCGAGAGGCTGGGTATCGATTTGAGAGTGAAGAAGAAGAAGAAGAAGAAGAAGAAGAAGAAGAGAACGATGCCGCTGCTCGCCGTAATGCACGCCATAGCAATGATGACAACTATGGTGCTGGTAGCAATCGACCAGGCTACGGTAACCGCCGTTCCCAGCCTAAGGAGACTTATGATACCAGCTATCCCTACTCGGAAGAGGACCTCAAGCTCATGCGGCGGAAGATCTATGAGGATTGGTGCGATAAGGGTTGTAATCCAGACGAGGCGAAGCGGGAAGCCCAGAAATGGTACAACGCCAAGATGAAGGGCCGTTGTGGAAGTGGATCTTCGTCTCGTCGCTCTGGTTTTGACAGCTTCGGCGACATGCGAGATGCTTTCGATGATAAAGACGATTATCCACGTCAGGAATCTCACTCATCGCGTGGTACCCGTTCCGGCAAGTCACGCCAGCAGGGCCCCGCGTACGACGAGTACTTCACTGAAGAGCCTGAAGATGAATACCGCCCTCGCGGCAAGACTGGAGGCCGTTCCCATGGTTACCGCACTAAATATCGCCGTCCAGGTGGAGACTATTCTTCGGGTAGCAGCCACGACGAGCCAGGTGGTGTGAAACCTGTTGTGGAGCTGTACAAGCTCCTATGCGTCTCGAAGCATGCGACCGTGGCCGATATCACGAAGGCACACAAGAAGCTGTGTCTAAAGTACCACCCTGACCGTGTACCCGGTGGTGTAGCAGCGAAGAAGGCGGCGAAGAAGGCGGCGACGGACAAGATGGCGCAAATCAACCAGGCCAAGGATGTGCTGAAGGACCACAATTTGCGGGCGTACTATGACCGTACGGGTTTGATTGCTAGCATGTGTAAGTCGCCGGATGCTTGAGTAGCAAGGGAGGCATCGGATTCTATGGAGGAAAGGAAATAGGATTTGCAAGTCAACGTAATGTGTGAATGTGCGGTGGTATACGAATGTGTGGTATGACGTGCTGTGAATGGACTGGGAGAAAGAAAAAGAGAAAACCGCGATCTCAACGAACTTGATGGCTAGAAAATAGCTCTCAGCGGTGGCAAGTCAGATGTGAATACGCCAAGTGTCTGTCGTGTTCTTGACGTGACGTCTTGTTGGAGGGAAGGAGCTCTGACCGAGACAAGCGCCGAGCCACGGATGCGCCTTCCCTCTTTCGAAACTCTGGGGAAGAGCGATCGGAGCTTCAGATGGACTGCAACAACGCGCCTCAAAGCCCAACGACGTCACACGCATCTTCAATCGCCTTCATTCGCTCATCTATAGCGTCGCGTATTCTTCAATCATGGCAGACCGTGCAGCTAAGCGCTTGCGCCGGGTGAGCACCGAGTACGAGGAGTCGGAGGATAACAACGAGTGGAACAACAGCAGGTATGTGGCTGACATCCCCAGCACGGCGCGCAGTTTTGCGCCTTCCTTCGCGCCAAGGGCTCTGCCGTAAGACACAAGGCGGCAAATTTGAGCGAGGGCAAACAGTCAGCTGCAGGAAGCTCCGCTACAAGCCAATGCCATGACCGCTCACCACTGCGTTGTGCCACCTGTACCATGATCCTTGCGCGCATCCGGTTGTAGAAGCTCGCTATCTGACGCCATACCCTTTATCTGCTCCCAATTGTCACCTTGACTCTTCGTTTACACCCACCATGCCCCGCCTTCGCACCCGCGCAGCTCCTAATCCTACTCCCAGAGCCCCTACCGCCACATCAACACGTCCGCGCCGCGGCACAGCAGGCCGCAACGATGCGCCCTCTGCCACCATTCAGCGCTCTTCACCAGAAGAGGCACGACAGTCACTCTCCCTAACCGTCAAGTCGTCACCCAACAAGCTGCGTCAGGCCACAGGCGTACCAGCTGTTGGCCAGGGAACCCTCAGCCGCAACAACATCGTCTCAGGAAAACGCGCGCGGACCAGCAGAGTTGTCCGCGAGATAGACAGCGAAGAAGACGAAGACGAGGACGACAACGAAGATGAGGCAGACGAGGTCAGCGCCATGGATGTTGACGACGAGGAAGAGGACGGTGACGTAGATGCTGAAGGCAGCGAGGAGGACGACATGGACGCTGAGGGCGACGGAGACGACGAAGACCCCATTGTTGTACCCACAAGCAAAGCCATACCAGTGGCCTCAAAACCCAAGATCAGCGTTACGAAAGCACAAGACACTGTGGAAGCCAAGGAGATGGTCATGTCGGACGACGACGAGCTCAGCGATCCTGACTCTGATCTCGAGGACATGGAGGACGCAGAGGGTGAGGATGAGGACGCAGAAGGAGAGGACGACGATGAGCTAGGTGGCCCAGAGGGTGATGTCGACATGGACAGCGATGAGGACATGAGCCGTGACCAAACACCAGACATCAGCAAGCTTACACGGCGACAGCGAGCGGTGCTGGAGCAGGAGGAGGATGGCAGTCTCCTCGCGCTTAGTAACGAGGCGCAGAAGAAGAAGCACCTCACAGCTGAAGAGCACGCCATGAGACGAGCAGAGATGGCAAGACGAAGAAAGAACCTGAGCGAAAAGAGGAACGAAGAGGAGAAGGTACGCTCTGCAATATTCACTCACTGTGTCACCTTGCTAACATGGCCTAGCTGGACACCATCAACCGACTGCTCAAGAAGCAACCACCCAAACGGGGACGTAAGAGCGCAGCCGCTGATCTTGATGAATCGGGTCAAGAGGTAGACGCCGAGTCAGATCGCGCGAACCCGCTTTTCGTACGATACATCCAGAGTGCTAAGGGCACCCAACTCGCTGTGCCTGACGAGTGGCTTCAGGCACCTGTGGGCAGCTTGTTCGCAGGCAAGACAGAGCCTGCGGGGCAGTCCCCATGGAGTGGAAGGATGGTTGAGGAGGTTGCATGAACGGACTCTGTTATAATACAGACGACACGTCGATTGAATTGAAAACAGAGCACTGAGAACAGGACGGTACAACAGTAACCGAAGGTAGACGTTCAAGCGAAGGAAAGGGATTGTAACAATGCACAACGATTTCCCCTTGGGACTCAGCAGACCACTGATGGCTACTTAGCGATATCAAACGGCGCGGATACAGTGCAACTTCCTTCTTTTGTCTTGATGGTTCAGGTCCGCCGAAAGTGTGCAGCCCAAGGAATGGCGTATCAGTCGCGTTGTAAACATCAGCTAGTCTATTGGCACTCTCATTGCTGTAGGCTTGAAATATAGAGATGATTCCGATGTGCCATGGCGTAGCTGTGTCGTTCCTATTGCAGATGATGAAATGAAAATGAAAGGTAGAAAGTAGAGAACAGGCGAAAAAGGTCCACAGAAGACATGCTTCTAAGACCCCCCAAAGATGCAACAGTGACACCTCACGTCTTCTACGAAATCTGCTCACTCCTCACCCTACTGCGTAGGCGGCTCTTCCAATACATCAACAACTGCCTTACAGCACCTCTCCATTCCTTCTCCGTACTATCACTCAACTGATGAACCTGTTCTTCGCTCGGTGTCCTATCATCCCAACTCGCAGGCTGAGCAGCCCGATACTGCGCTCAATACGCAATAAGCCGATCATCCTTGATCTTCCTCAAAACCAACCAGATCAAATTCCAGCTCCGATTACTCTCCATATCCACATAAACCCTCCTCCTCGCCCCCTCGACACAATGCGAGCTAAATAGGTAGCTCTGCGTCAGGGCGCGCAGCTCGGTCAGGAGACCATGCGTTGAGACGTAGTACGTCCAGGCTGCGGTCATGGGCCCGGCCACGTCGACTGTGTTCAGGGCGGCGAAGGCGAGTTCGACTCGATGGAGTGAGGGGAGCGTGTTGATGCGATGTTATTGGAGTGCGAGGATTGTTTCATGATTCTCGGCCTAGGATGTTCTGGTCAGTGTCACTGTGGGTTCGAGCTCAGATGGTGGATGTACTTGCGAGGAACATGCGCTGTGGAGGGGACATGTCGTGTAGACGGTAGCGGCGTGCTCGGGGATTGCTGAATTCGCTGATGTCGCTTGTGATAAATGGGCTTGAGTAACCTGACATTGATCGAGATGCAGAGCGACTTGGGTGCAGAGCGAGTGTTGGAGAAGGTTGTGTGCTGGCGGGTTGATATACACGTTTTGGTGCGGCGAATATACACATTTTCTTGAATGACACAATGAGACCGCTGAGATCATGTATCAGGTGCAGTAGCAAATCATGCGAGGTGTCAAAAACTTGATGTCGGCGATGTCGGCGCTCTCTGACTGTCAGGTCTGAGATTGGGTGGTTGTCCGTTCTTGCATGAGCTCATGGACCATTCGCTCATCGCAAAACGACCAGAGGAGTAGATACATTCAGCTGAAGGCGACTCAATGAAGATACAGAAGTGAAAACTATGAACCAAAAGGGAAAGCAAGAATCAGCTGTAATTCCTTCGACGATGAAGTCCACCTGTCTTAGGCACCCCAAGAGAACGGTATGTCGAATTAGTGGACGGACAAGTTCGACATGGCGATACCCCTGCCTGTCAAGATCTAAAGTTAATGTGATCATAAGCCATGTATGTCTTGGTCTTGGTCTCCACGTCCCGGGAGATCAAAGCTTGGGCTGCAGCGTTGATTGTATTGGTTTGAACTTGATGCTCAGAGGTTCATGGTATGATTGGTGCAGGTTATTAATACTACGAGTCTTCGCAATACTCTTTCTCTATCGAATCTAGGGAGCTTAGTCTGATGCTACCACTTCCTGTGTGGCCGTACACGAGACGCATGTGCTCATCAGCAACGCCAGCTGAGGCTTCTATGCGGTTCAGGACCCTGAAACACGGCATATACGGACACGGCATATACGGACACGGCATATACGGACACGGCATATACGGGCACGGCGAAAGCGATATGAGCTCGGAATATGAAGTTGCTGGAGGGTTTGGGAGATAATGAGGTCTCAAGTGTCGGAGTCGTAGGGCTGCTGACTTGAAAGCCGTTGTGATGGCTATTGTGCATTAGCGCCGTGCATAGCCCCTGGCGAGAATGATGTCAACGTGCGCTTCACCGCTGCCACTTTTTCTATTCGCCGGAAGCGCTTGAAGTAAACAGTACGATACCGAATTACCCTGGATTCGAGGGTCGGAAAGTGTCCAGAGTTTCAGATAATCGCGGAGGTGGTGTAGAAACTCGTTTGAGGTGCCAATCAGGTTACTGTCCAGATATGTGGCCGTGCAGCTCCGCCGAGCCTCATCCTAATCATCGGGACGTTTTACATCCGTGGGAGGCTTCATTGAAACTGTTCTACCGGCTCTAGAATCCGAGATTCACTTGAGGCCGAGAGAATGTTGTCAGCAGCCTTGCGTTCGGGCGCTACTCAGTCAGCGTGGCAGACGGTTGCATAAATACGCACATGACTATATCTCAGTTGTCCTCGACCCGAGTGACGCCAGCTAGCTGACATCACATATGTCTTGACGGGGACTGCGGATTGGATGCAGTTTGTTGAAGGTTCTTAAGATCGCCAAACTACGGATATCTTGATTCTATCTGGCTGTCAGGCGCAAACTCATGAATGGACGTATATCTGTTTCTTGCAGCATCTTCAATTCATCTGCCAATGCAATATGTTCTTGTGGTTGTCTGCTGTCATCGCCAGCCCCCGAGACAATAGACTATAGCTCAAGGTCAAGATCGAGACTGCCAGGAATACCCAGTTCGCCCATTTCGTTCGGTCCTCGCAAGAAATCATGGCGTCTTCGAAGTATCGTTTGCTGCGTCTTCCAACAGATTGGTCCTTGATTTGGACTGTGGTCAGCCTCTGCTTCCGGGACAGTGCACCCAGGCCACGGTTGACATGGAAGGTTCGGTATGGTCATCTCGCTCTTTCGTTCGTTTTCTGCCAGTCTGTGTGACATTCGACTGGGTCCGATGAGAGACTGTGCAGTGTTTCGAAGCCAGCCAATTCCGTCAGGTTGAGCTGATCTGTTCTGTTGCTGAACTGAATTAGGAGATGGGGAATCGAGAAGCTTGTAGCAAGAAACATCGAGATCTATGATTGCATTCCCCAGTCACTATTCACAATACGTAGGTAATACAACCCAGGTCGGGTAAAACTTGGCTATCGAGAAGAGACGTCTACAAAACGGAAAGGTCTCCGAACTTCTCCTGCGCAGCTGTTAGCATATGTACATACATGCTCCCAGGCAACGTGTGACTTGCCTTGTAGCCAGGGACGGCCCAGCGGCCCTTGGAAACGAGCTGCTCGGTGCGCTGGTCAATCTCGGGCTGGGCGGCAGCAACCTCGTCGACGGTGAGGTCAGCGAATGGCCTGGCACTCTCGATGTTCTTCAGTGTCTTTTGGAGATCGCTGAGCTCCTTGTCGACAACGGCCTTGGTCTCCTCGGCGCTCTTGACGGCCTGGGCCTCGAAAGCCTCAATGGCCTTGATCTGCCTGTTTACATCGTAGGTCTGGGGCTTGAAGGCGCTGAACTGCTTCTCGATGTCGTCGATGACGGCCTGGTTCTTGAGGATGGAGCGGTACTGGGAGAAGTCGACGGTCTGGGGCTGCTCAGACAGGATCTGGACCTTGCGGCGGGCGTCGTCGTTGCGCTTCTTGAACGACTGGAGGGCAGCGGCGGTGTTGCCACGGAGGCCGAGCTGCTGGCCAATCTTGGTCCAGTCGAGCTTGAGAGCTGCGCTGCGCTGTTGCAGGCGGTGCGTTAGTTTTCAAGATCGGGACAGTCGTAACACGGGGCTGCCATTGCGCACGCGGGAGCTCGGGGGAAGCGGCAATTGAGCTGTCGCGAGCTCCCAGTGGCGGTCCGGCGGGGGTTTAACGTACTCCGACGGCCATTGTGATGATAGAGACGGGTTGGGGGATGGGTAACTGGTAGGCGTGCGGTCGTGAGCATGAACTTCTCGCCGGCAGAGCCAAGGCTGTACCTTCCGGGTATAGCGCGAAGCAAAGCCGGAGCTGTCAGATCACGAACATCAACATCAACTTCCATTGTTGTGATCGCTTATTGCAATATTCAAGTCCATTGGCAGGCAGCTTTCTCAGCTGTTGATCGCCTTGCAATTCAGCATGTTCGAAAAGAAAAGTCTGAAATCGCTTTGGGAAGTATATGTACTCGCGCACCAGCTCAATAAACAAATAAGCCAAACGCTGATGAATAGCTGACGGCGCAACCACGGCAGAGCGGGCTCAATCGACGCCAACATATTTGTACAAGGTCAAATGGCGTCAGATCAAGGTATCCAACAACATCACAGTTCACAGTTGAAGATAAGTAATTCATGACAGTGACTTGCATAGATTCATTTTCATGTCTCTTGCTTGGGCTTTTGCAGTCCTTTACGACGCCATACCCAGTCAGTCAAGTTTGGCGATTTGGCGTTTCCTCGCGCTATAATTGTCTGACAGCTATCTGACTCTATATGCTCAGAGCCATGATCGAGTTGACGATATCGTTATCGTTCTCCTTCAGGGCCTTGACGGCCTTCTTACGGGAGACGGACGCCTGCTGCATGACGAGCTCGATGTCCTTGGCCTCGAGACCAGAGTCGTCGATCTCCTCGCCGTCATCCTCCTCCTCCTCCTCGACCTTCTTCTCGGCCTCCTTGCCCTCGCCCTCCTCGTGAGCGTGGTCGTGGTCGTGGTCGTGGCCGGCGTGATCGTGACCCTGCTGCTCGGCCTGGGCGAGTTGCTGGGCGGCGGAAGCCTGAGCCTGGGAGTTCAAGTCCTCGATCTTAGCCTCACCGAAGATGCTGGTGCGGGGTCAGTACGCGCGGGGTGCCATAGAACGGCTATCGGAGCTTACATGTAGGTGTTGCTGGAAGGGGACTTGTAGACGTCGGGCTGGTTGATGACGAAGAGGATCTGGCAGCGCTGTCAACAAAGTTCATGTGCCCCGCAGCTGTTCCTCGAGCTCTGCATGCCCGTCGCTGCTGCCATTGTGACCTGCACTCACGTTCTTGGGTCGGCGGAGAGTGACACGTGTGATGCCCTCAATGTGCTTCAGGCCGAGCTTGGCGATGGCCTTACGAGCCTTCTTCTCGTTGCGGGAGTGGACGGTGACGGAGGAGCCCTGGGGGATCACGGCATCGCCCTCCTCTTCGGAGTCGCTGGACTCATCCTCCTCGATTTGGACATTCTTCTTCTCGGGCTCATCGGGGAGCTCTTCAATGCGGGGGTTGGCCATTTTTGCGATGTGGTGATGCTCGTGATAGCTCTTTCTTAGGTACGTGACGAAGTGTGCAGGTGGAAAGAGTTACAAAAAAGGACTAGCGTGTGGGCGGGCAAGTAAAGTAAGCGAGTGTGCATGACATCGCTGTTCGTTGAAGGCCCAGGAACGCGCTCGCGGCTGTCATTAATTTGAGGCTCAGTTCATCATTTCAAAAAGTCAGAGGTGAAGTCAATGGGTATCATTTGCAATTCTAGTTGCGGTTTGCGGTTCATGAACTTGTGGATTGGACTCTTTTGCTACATGTTGATGCAAGCAAGAGCCGTGTTAACCTTCCCATCCGAATTGCACCTTGCCAATCATTGAAATAATGCACCCGATCCAGGTCTTGAATTTTAGAATGCCGTCGGTCGCTTTTGGGATGCTCAAGAAATGCACATCATGCTTCCTCCAGCACCAGCATGCAGCGACCTCCACTACGCCGTGTCTCCCGACATAATCGTGAACATCTATGCCTTTGCGCTGGCGCGGATCTTGGCGAAGGTCTTCTGGACCTCGTAGCGGGCCTTGTTCATGTTAGTACGCGTTGTTCTTGCTCGGGCGCATGCCAGACAGCGGCACGAGTGTTGCGCCGACATCACCCAGAGAGTCGGTAACCCACCTGCTTCCTCAGCTTCATGACCTTGAACCTCTCGAAGTCGTTCAACTGCCTCCTCTTCTGGAGCGCAGCGCGCTTCTTGGCCCAGGCACTCTCGTCGAACTTCTGCTGGACCTTGTGCTCCTCCCACTTCTTCGCAACGTGACCGACACCGGTGGCGCGGGGCAGCTTCGGGATGACGATGGGGGTGAGGGAGAGCTTGGCGAGGGCGACTTCCTGACGGGGGACGGGGGCCTCTTTGGTGGGACCATCAACAAGGACCTGTGCCTGTCAGCAGCTGCCTTCCTCCACTGTTCAAATTGCCGGACTGCGTACGCGCTTGTGGTCGATGATCTCGACAATGGTGGCCAGGCGACCCTCGAAGACACCCTCGTTGAAGAGGACGACACGGCCGACCTCGACCAGCCTCCAGGCGCTCGTTGTGATGTTGGCGTCACCCATTTCGTCGGTTGTGCTGCTGTTTATTAGGTCGTGTTAAAGAGCGTACAAGGTATCGCAGGCGTACCGGAAAGGATGGAACTGTGAGTTAGTGATCTTGTCGATGTCGATGTCGCGGAATTTCGAGGAAGCCGTGGGCTGCTGTTTCTTCGCTTAGCTGCACCACCCACTTGTCATTGGCCAAATGAGATGGTCCGTGCGGAATGGCCATAAAACTTCGCCGCAGCAACGCCAGATTGCACCAACAACACCACCAGACGCCTTCGATTAATGCGAGCGCTTGCCAACAGTCGCTACGACAGAGCCCAGCATCTGCAATAGACGAGCTGTCTGTCATGACACGCGCGACCTGCACGATCGCACGACCGCACAGCACAGCTTCGTGATGCTAATTTCTCTGCAACAGCCAGCAAATCCTGCAGACTCGACTGGTACGTTCCTCTCCCAGCTCACCATCTCATCACGCATCCTATGATGACGTAATTTGCGATTGAGTCGGCATCGGAGCCCCTCGCCGGGGGTTCTTAACGGTGACCGTCCCTATGATATTCAATTTCTTACATATTCTGAGCTTTTGAGCACATGACCCTCTTTTGACCACATTTCTCGAGAAGAACTTGGCTGATTGTCAAAGACCACAGGAATATACGAAGACGCTATTCAGCCAACTTGCTTAGTTTCCTTCAAAGCACATCCACCGTAAGTCATTCGATATACAACTCCCACCCCTTCCAATGATTACAACCTAGCAATAGATAGTATCTGATCGGACCATCTATCCGAACCTTGTGATTACCTTCTTTACACCAAGATCACTGAGGAAACTCAACCCATCATGCTTGCTTCACAATGTTCGTTTCGACCATCAGCTAATAAGCCTGCAGTTTCAGAGCACCAACTCAGTGCCCAAGGCGATTGACATCTGGCCTCAGCATTCACGCGCAGTCGACATCATACTGAGCTGCTTTCATTGTCCGTCTGTCTGAGCTCCTGCTCGCAGCGGTTGAGGAAGGCAAGGATGCGGTGCTCTTCGTGTGACCGTGTGGTATGAGCTGATACGAGAACCATTGCATCCCCTGGATGTCTTATCCACTTACATGGATACCGCCGATCCTGACTACCTCCCCATACCTTTCGAAATCTAGTATGTAACTAACTACTTGAATCACTGTGTAGCTGCGTCCCCGCTCTCCCGTTGTCGTGTCCTTCGTCGTGTGATCTTGCGCCCATAACTCCAGTACAAGTTCATCAGCAGCTCCCTGACCACATCGTCGAAGGTCCTTCTTGTATTGAACTTACTCCCGCCGTACGGGAAGGGGACGATCTTGGTACAGTCCGGCTCATCCATGTAGAACTCCATGTCAAATTCGTTCGCCTTCCTGAGCATCTTCTTCAGCACATTCCCCTTCTCGCCATGAGCATCCGCCCAAGCCCACAGTCTCGTGTCCAAGAAATCAAGCTGATCTTTCGAAGTGTTCTGCGCCAGGATCTGCGCGTTGAAAAGCAGATGTCTCATGATGTTGACGTCGCACCCACACTCCACAACCGTATATCTCAACAACCCCGTATCAATCTGCTTCGGCACACCCAGTAGCGTCGCAAGCGCCGCAACAGCCCTCTCGTTCCGCTGCTCAACCGCCTCCCGAATCCCCAGCTTCGCCGTCTCCCCCGCCATACTGCCCTCCCAATCAATCTCGCCGCTCAGACTGACAAGCACATAGAGCAGACTCGTCTTGCCCTCGTCGAAGGGCCCGTGCAGGAGTTTTTCTGGAATGTGGAATCTGTCTGCGAAAGCCAGATACGGAATCGTAGTGAACCGAAACGGCCATAGTCCATCGAATAGCTTCAACCCCGGCACCTCGACGTCCGTCTTCTCCCACGCTTTCCCTCGCAATTTCACCATCTCGTCGTGACTCCGCTGGACGTACTTGCGGAAGAAGTCCCACGTGAAGAAGCGGCGCGCTAGCAACTCGCTTTGCTTAGTCGGATCGCTATACTTCTTGCGATCACGATAGTTGGTCGTGTGGTCTACGGTGTGGAAGAATGTGCGCATCGTGTATTCCAGCGTCACGGCTGTGGAGCTGAGTTTCCGGCCAAGCAGAGGTGAGGCGAGTGGGAGGGAGGTGTTCATGCTGTGCAGGAAGATGAGCTCGAGGAGTTCCTGCGGGAGGCCGAGGAGTGCGGGCGTGGCTGCGGCGGAGTATTTGTGAGTGTATTTCTTCAATTTTTTGTGTCTTGTTTGTCGTGCGCTTGCTATTGGTGCCGTGGATGTGGTGCTGAATGTTACTTTGGCTAGAATCGGTTGCTGAGTGGTTTTGCGTCTCTTCCCTCTGATCTTGATCGGCGTGAGATGCACGTCCGGATCCATTTATATGCAGGGCGTGATCAGGCAGCAGAATGCCGCAGTGGTTGCATATGCAGTGGAGTGAATGGGGAAAGGTCTGCTGGGAGCGTGTGGCGCAGCGCAGGCAGTGGCTGATGTTCTTTCCCGCGGCGTTTGTGCCTTTTGTGCAGCTCCATCATCGTAAACACGACCGAGACCATAACCCTGCACACCATCCACAACGATAATTGACGATGCAGGTCCATGCTGTGCCTGACGCAGAACGCGCTTTTGACTCGCAGGGCAGGCGATTGCCGTGGGGTCTTGAGTATGCAGAGTGAGTATGAGTGTCTGGTGCCGTGGACGAGGATGAGCTGCATGGATAGCTAGGAGCACGCAATTGCTTCACACAGCATACTTCCGCGCAATGAATTGTTTTTCAATTTACAATTCACCAAGGAGACATACTAACGAGTATAACAGCAACGACCACAGCCAGCGATCACGGATACCCGAAGAGAAGGGCCCTTTCGGCAAGGCGCGCAAACGCGGGTCGACACGCGCAAAGACACCCACGGCCAGGTCTGCCGAGGACAGCGCGAAGCTCGACAACCTGCGCGCGATCGATGACATCTTTGGGCGGATCAAGGCCGAAGAGGAGCAGAAGCGCTCGCTGTCGGGGCACGCTGTGGCCGCACTACCGCCGTCAGCGTCTGCGCCGAACCTGTTAGAAAACGGAGGTCTGCTTGGCACATCGTACCACGGCGGCGGGCCTGCAAATCTCATAACAAAGGAGCCGAAGGAAGTGATCCTGTACGGCTACGGCGTCGAGTCGCAGTGGGCAGCCATCGACTTCTTCGAGAAGGTCTCCAACGGCATCATCTACGAGGAATACGACCGCGAGCCCTACAACCCCAAGTTCAACTATGCCTTCGCCCCAAACCGATCCTCACATCTGCGCGCGCTCTCGAGGGCAGCACTGAGCAGGGTCAACCAGTTCGTGGGCGGCGATCACTGGATAAAGGTTACATTCGATTCAGCAGAAGCCGCCGAGCGCGCATGCCACTACTCTCCGCACAACATCCAGGGCTACACCGTTTACGCCGAAGCATACAGAGGCACCGGCCCGCAAGGCAGCGACCGCGCTCTCCACGCCCAGATCGGCGGCGCAGCCTCCCTCATGTCCTCCCCACAAACCGGCACCTCGAGCACAATACCAGACACCTCAATGACCGCCTCCTCCGCGACTGCAACGAACGCCGCACCCATCGGCCTTCCGCGCTCAACAGCCATGCCCATCTTCCCCACCGGAGCCGGCTCCTTTCCTACCGACGACGCTTTCGACCGCGCTCCGGCCCCCGTGCCCGTCTCACGCCAGAGCCAGACCCAAACCATGACCACATCCGCCCAGCTCGCCCCAACATCGCGCCGCACAACCCTCCGCCTCAAAGGCGCAAACGTCAAGCCTGCCGTCTTCATGCCGCAAGAGAAAGCCTTCCTGCCGGCGCCGCCGCGGTGGCAGCAAACGTTCGGCAGCCTGCCGATTATTGGGTGGGTGATTGGGAGCGGGCAGGGGATCATAGGGGATCAGGTGCCGCGCAAAGAGGATGGGAGTTTCGATGCTGCGACGGCGAGTCTGTATTGGCGTGCTTGGTATAGTGTGGATTCGTGCCTTGGGACAGACTTTTGCGGGGTGCGGGAGGCGGAGTACGATGACTAAAGAGCAGGGGAACACGATGCATGATAAAAGGGATCGGAGTTGGTTGCATTGGGCGGCGTTGTGGCTTTGCATGAACGAGGCCTTGGTTGCTCTTCCTCAATCGCATTCTATACATGCGTAATCGCAGCGCGAGCACGCAAGCAATCTGACATCTTGAATGCTATTGGAGACGCTCTTTTGAATATAATTGCTAACCTGGATGCCAACGCCTGCGCCTGCGCCCGCGCCTAACACCACATGTGGAGTGTACACTCATACATCATGCATCTCCCTCAACATCCTTAGCTCCCACTGCTTATCAGGCCTACTCTCAATCGATACGTCTTCGCACGCTTGCGTCACCTAGACGTACTGGCTTAGCCACCTTATCCCCTCCCCATACCCCTGCCGCATAACCACACTGCACATGAATACCTCAATGGGCCTGATGCCCTCGAGCGATACCTTGCCCTTGCCCGTTGTCTGACACAGCCCCAGCGTACTACGCAACTGGTCTTCAGAGACCGCATCCGGATGGTCGATCTTGTTCCCTAGGATAACGAAGGGCGTGCTCTTCAGCTCTTCCATGGCGAGCAGCGCATCGAGCTCGGCTTTGGATTCGGCGAGGCGCTCGTGGTCTTTTGTGTCAACGAGGAAGACTATGCCTGATACCTCGGGGACTGGAAGAGGGTCAGCGAACACAGGATCTCATCATCTGATTTTCTCTCTTGCTCTTCTCGGGGCATGTAGATAGATCATGAAAATCGATCCTGTGGACTATGAAGGTGCGACGTACAGTAATCCCGCCACAGTCTGCGTGCCTGCGCGTGCCCGCCCAGATCGAAGGTTGTGAACTTGACGTTGCCGATACTCAGCTCTTCACTCGTGGGGTGCAGCGTTGGCTGCAGCACGGCCACGCGGTCGTTCTTTAGCATGTGTAAGAGCGTTGTTTTACCGGCATTGTCGAGCCCCAGGAAGAGCAGTTTGGCGTGCTTGTTGGCTAACCCGAGGTTGGCAAGGACTTCCCAGACTGCACTGGTGTTAGCATGGTTGCATGTGGGTGTGCAAGTGCATGGTTGCGCTGTAGCTGTCAGGGGGTGTAGCGAGGGGATGATTTAATCGAGTGTATGGTGTATGAGTTGCAAACATTCTCTGTTTATGGTGGTGTTGCAATATGTCGGACGTTCTAGCGGTGCATTATCACTGCGAACATGGCCAGCGTGCAACGGATCGCGGAGAAGACGGAATGACGGAGAGTACTTACACCTAAAGTAAGATTAGCACAGTTGTATTCACAAGCAGCAGCGCGACTGAGTACCAATCGAAGATCCACATGCTGGCGGTGAGTGTTGAGGTGCGCAATTAAGTGTGGTGTTCAACAGCAGTTGCATGAGGCCGCGGAGACTCTGCTGACGTCGTCTCACGTGCAAATCACTGGCATCTGTGCAGCTGCGAAAGAGCGTATACTTTTAGCCTCCAACACTCAAAGCGGCACAAAACAAAGTCCATTCATAATCAGCTCTGAAACCGTGGCTAGATTCGGATCGTGGTTTGGGTCGATATCTTGAGCCAAATTGTGTTCTCAAGTCAAGGAAATCAACTTAGGCTGCCGCTCATCAGACCACAATGGATCGTATCCTCTGAGACCCGCACCTAGTACGTCCATGATGCCGATTCTCGAAGGGAGTCAGCATCTTCGACTCGCCATGTTAATGGGGAGTCGCAAAGATGGCGGAAGTACATGGGGATCCTTGTTTGCAGCATCGAGCCTTTCCAGGCATGAAACTTTGACAGGCGGACAACGAAAGCGAAGAACTAAAGATCAATATCGATCTTGGAGCGGCGTCCCACATGTGTTCGATAGCTTATTTTTCCGAATGATATGGCAACACTAGGGACTACTTACCACGGACTTGTAAGGTCACCTGCTTCCACGAAGTAATCGACTGCACTCAGTCTCGGCTGCAATCAATATGATTCGAACCGCTCGATATGAATATGCTACTTGGCTCGGATCGATTGATCATATCTGCAACTCAATAATATTTTCGGACGAAAGTGCCGCGAGATCAGATTTGGTTGTGCACCGCGGGAGTGGTATGTGGACGCAGTTTTTACCTAGGTAGTACCTGCACGAAGCCTTCCAATAGCTTGCAGTCCATAGTGGAATCATTACAAGATGACTAGGCTAGCCTTCACTAATCCATGCGATGCGCAGGAGGCCGTTGAGGCTCCAAGGTGTGCGACAGTAATCTGGAGTACCGCAGGGTAACATACGAGATGTTTCCTTTGCGTTATGGGTGTGAGACAAAGCAAGTTGGAAGAAAAGGTAGGAGCGAAATGGAGATGGAAGACGGTTGCCACGATCACAACAGCATTGACAGGAAACATTCACACAAGCAGCTGAATAAGACGGGAATTTAATGATGTGATCGATTTCAATTAGCATTAGGATCCAACCTAAAGATGCACGGCAACTAAACTACATACTTAATCCTTCCTCGAGATAATACCAAAATACCAACACCAAGAATGTGTACAAGTCCAAGAAGTGTTCCATCATACCGACGCCGTTGCGCCAACATAGTTCTAAAGGAAGGTCGTAAGTGGGAATATTATCCACTGCCGCAACGCTAAAACGGAAATCATGAACCATAATGGCTCGCTATTCTAGTACATCAGAAGAAGGATACGTTTACAACATGGCGAAGAGGCCCACCAGTCCAGCAGCGAGAGCACCAACACCAAAAGTGGTGGAGGCGGCAGCGCCAGTGAACTCGGCGGGCTGGGTGGCAGTCACGCTAGGGCGCGAGGTGGTGCCGTTACCAGTGGCGACGGGAGCCTGGGGCTGGCCGTCGGAGATCTGGGAGACAACATTGCCGACGGAAGGGGCAGGGGTTCCAACCTGAGGCTGGCCATCAGAGATCTGGGAGACAACATTGCCGACGGAAGGGGCAGGGGTTCCAACCTGAGGCTGGCCATCAGAGATCTGGGAAACGACGTTGCTAGCAGTAGGCGCAGGTGTACCAGCTTGGGGCTGACCGTCAGAAATCTGCGAGACTACGCCGGAGGCCGAGGCGGCGGGAGTAGTAGCCTGGGGCTGACCGTCGGAGATCTGAGAGACGACCCTGGACACGGAGGCGGCAGGAGTGGTGGCTTGAGGCTGACCGTCAGATATCTGAGAGACAGCATTGGTGGCGGAAGCGGCAGGAGCGGTAGCCTGAGGCTGACCGTCGCTGATCTGAGAAGCAGAGCCGGAGCCCTGATTAACAGCCTGGATGTAGATGGGCAAGCACTGTGCGCCCTGAGAGTCGGCGTACAGATTGTAGAAGTCACCAGATAAGCACTGGAAGAAGGTAGTGTCACCGGCGGGACGGCCACCCTTTGTCAAAGCAAGGGAGTTGTTGCTGCAGAGAGCGAAGCCGTCGGTCACGAGGGCACCGGCCTGTACGGGCTGGTCGAATTGGAACCTATAATAATGAGTAAACTGAGATCGTCCAGGACAGGGAATAATATCGAACTCACTGGTCATTGGCAGCAATGTAACCCTGACGACCGGCCTGATCCTTCAAAATACCATCCTGAAGGGTAAGAGTGAGGGCGCCAGCAAGCTGGCGAGCCTCGAGGTCACGCTTGCTGTTAGAAGATGTTTGGTTGACGGTCTGAATTTGGAAGGTCCCTGAGGCTGAGGAAGCACAGCCAGAAGAGTCGGATGTCTGGGGGTAAGCCAATGCGGTAGATGCAAGGGCGAGGGCGATGTAGGACTTCATTATGGATGAGGAAGTATTAATGTGTTGATATTAAGCGACGGTGGGGATTGACAGAGGGCCTTAAGTAGACAACGAAGGATAGATTGATGAACGAGGTATCAATCAGTCAATTGAGCAGTAACCGTGACAACGAGGATGAAGAGACAGATTCGAACGGGAAGTGAGACTGCTAAATATCAGCACCCAGCAGGCGAAGTTAGTGTACGACCTACTTCATCGAGTATGTCACCGCAGATCGGCGTTGTCAAAGTCAGCCATACGGGATCTACTAAACGCGTCAATGCAAATCGCTAGCTTGACGCTCGAGCTGCAAAGTAAGAAGGCTGGAGGTCGCCACAGGCGAAAGTGTGGAAAGACAGCTGTAGTGGATCCGCTTCGGTATCATTGGATCGGATGAACAGAACCCCTCCTTCTAACCCACCACCTCTCGTGAGCTGTGGCAGGAATGCATGGGAAGCAGACCTATGGTATCCCGCCTCTTAACTTTGCTTGGCTGTCAGCCAACTTTAGCCGAAGTTTACTCCAAGCGTTCGCACAAGATAGGTTGGTTGTTTGTTCCAACCTCAAATTTAACAGCCTCATGGCGATCAAAGTCCCATCATGGTGTCATCGACAGCCGGAAGCCAAACTGTCAGCACTCGACAACAGAAACAAACGACCGGCTCGCGTGTTGCGGCCTGAAGGACAACCATGAACAGCAAAGGGAAAAGGCCATCACTAGTTGCATCCCTTCCCGCTGGATGCTAGTGCGGCATCTGTCTTTCTCGCTTGCATTTCTGCAGTCCCTCAGCAGATCCTTCGAGCTTCAATTCGCTGAACCACATCTTGATATGCAGGTGCGTGCTGGTAAAACCATAGCATGCCTGCCGAGACTATTGGACCAAGACAGTTTACCTAAGAAATTCTCGGATCGTAATTGGTGTCGAGACATGGGTGTCAGCAAAATCGCGAGGACGCGTACTCTCGTGCACTGGAGTACTGGAGTGATGTCAGGACTATCGGGGCCCGTGGTGTAAGCGTCGATTAGCCGCGATTCTGGGCATGTTGGCCCGCTTAGCTTGGCTTTTTGTGGGGTAAGGTGTGGCTATCTCTCAGCCTTCTCGCTCTCGCCCGCTTTCACTCGCGCTCGTTGAGACGCTTCGGAGACGCTTGTCGACGCTTGATGCTGGCGCCGCCTATTGACATCGATACAGCGATGGGTTTCATGATGCTGACTGAAAATCAATGTTGACGATGTCAACAAGGTCACTGCTGCTAGAGAGCTATGCATTGTGCGCTGAAACATCGCAATAATTGCTCGGTTGCGGTGGTAGACGTAAGGGGGATCTGCTTGCATTACAGGCGCACCGCAGGCGGTTGAAACAGGCGATGACGTATGTATGAGCTTCGTCTGTGAGCTTATCCGCTCGTCCCGCCCTCCATCTCCGCCATCGCGCTTGCCTCTGGCTTTATTGAGCTAAGCTGTATCAATACTGCTTCCCCAGACTATCAGCCATCCCCAGCATCGGCAAAGTGTATCACGACACACGGTCCGGATGTCACGCATCTATTGACCATCGTCCATCGACCACTTTCCCCAGCCTGAAGATTCCCGAGCTAATCACGTTCATTGAGCGGTGAACATCAAACCCTGCTGAAGTCATGGATGTAAGGTGCAAGTCTTCATGATCCAGTAGGTAACCACTTGGACGGGCGTTCGCAGATATCCAAAGACACGGCGTGTTGGCACTTCAGCGCAAATGGCGGTACGATCGGTCGACCAGGCGCTCAACAATACCGTCGAGGCAATCGCCGAACTTGCTCCAGTGTCTAGACGCGCTCGGCTATGCCTGAGTACCAGGTACCAGTTATCAAACTTTTGAGAGACACATGGCGACCGCAAACAACCTCCGAAATTAGGAACGCACAGCTTGTGGGCTCTGGCCAGAATTCCGCATTTTGTTTGTTTCGTCTGGAAGCTCCCGGAATGCGCCTTCCATTTCCAATGGGTCCGGCTAACTTAGGCCACCGCGAGCGTCCATGAGGCACTGCTACATTCGAAGGCCCTCTACAATGATATGAGCGAGGGCCAGGAAGTTCATTCCTCCCTCCTTCTCTCCGAATCTGATGTGTAGCGCAATATCCCCTGTTACCTTGGCTAGAAGCCCTTGTTGGCATCTAATTTGCCCTGTGTACACGCCTTTTTGGAGCGATTCAGGCTTTTCAGACTTTGTTCTGACCTTGCGGAAGTACAAAAGGCGGGCTTCTGCAATCGGTCAAGTCTACGCTATACGCCGAGCAGGCGGAAGGGTGTATCGTTACACTGCGATGATTGCTGTACTAAACGAGGACTCTGCGCTTAGTCAACCTTTTTGATCAATTGTGAAGTCGTGATCAGTGATCACACGGGAGGGGGCCCTTGAATGCCTCGCCCAAGGTGCTTTTCTGAGTGACGAATATAACGACTGTCAGTAAAAGATTGCACCGGGATAGCGTAATGATCCTACACTGAGTGGAACTATCAAGTCCAAAATACTGTCCCAAAGCGTTGTATCGGCATCGCGAATATCGGCATTGCGAACCAATGCTGTATGGGGTCTCCGACTGTCACACCACTTTTCGTTATGACAGTGTTTTACTATTATCTTAGAGTATGATCTCGAAATGTAAAATCTTCCAAAGTCAATTTTTCTCATACGAGATCAATCTCAGAGCGGAATTGCAATAGAGAAAAAGTGGGTTGATTGTCTCCGCGCTCGAAACGGCATCATCGTCAGAAGCTTCACGGATGTTACTGACCCTTTCATCTCCACAGGACCATTCCTCGCGACGGAAGCAATGTCCCGCAGGCAGAGGTATATTAGAAATTTCTGCTACGGTTAAGGGAACATGATCACGTCCATTTCATTTTGTACAAGAATAGCTGGAGATTATCGTGGATGTAGAGAAAGCGCAACAGACTTGACAACTGACAAAATGAAGCTTTCCATCCTCACTTCCATCGCAATCACAGGCTTGACGTTGTCTCTCCAGTCACGTTCGAGGCTTTATGGCTATGACAAGTGGTTTGCTGGTCATGGCAATGGACCTGTTGCTTTGGCCAATTCAAACACGGTAGACATCGATAGTGTGTGGTTCAGATAAATGCGCATTACTACCTTAATTAACTTAGTAACAGCCCACAAGTCCGCATTTCAATGTATTCAGCAGCGGATCGACAGCGACAGCAACACCAAGTACATGTATGAAGACACGAGTTTATAAGTCGATGTCAAGCCCGTATCGACTAAAGGCTCTGGAGACAGAAGGTAACTTGAAGCCAAAGAGCATAGCAAAGCCTGGCGAGTAACAGAACAATCAAATTGGTGGTATCTTTGGTATCCCAAGGCTCCCCCTTCATATTCCTTTAGTCCGTCTGAGCACGTCCAGCATCTTCCAAATAACCTTATTTGATCATTTGCCCTCACCGGCCCTCTTCACACCGCCAGCGATCTTGTTTGCGCCATCCTCAATGCTGGTCGTTGCATCCGCAATACCTCGGGCAACAGGCCGTCCAGCACTGCCTGTAGCACCCTCAAGTGTCTCGCCTACACCTCGTCCCAAGGCTCCAACAACACCACCGACAGTATTTGTAACGCCGCCGACTGTGTTGCCAACCGTCGAAGTGACGAACTTGACGCCGGAGGTGATGCCGGATTCTTGCTGACCGATAGGCATCGTGATGATTTGTTTAGATCGGCGGTTTCGCCTTGTTTTCGGAGCGTGAAGAGTAGCTTGGGTGACTCGTGGTCTAGCTTGCAAAAATCGCTTCCTCGAAGTATGAAGTTTGGTTCTCGGGTCGTACTATTTCGGTATATGGTTTGGTGTGAGTTAGGGCATGTCAGGGTGAGTTTTGGCGGCTGTTATAGCGAGAAAGCACGAATGACGTCACGGAGCTGTGAAATGGCGAGGTCTTGCTCAAGTTACAAACCTGGCTGACCTGCTGCGCGACATCCAGTCCAGGACTAAGAAGGCCATTCACGAACCACGGTGAGGATAGAAGGGTCTTGTAAACCCTTGAGTCTTGCCAGCCCTACGATTGAATGGATGTGCGATACGCGTCAAGTCACGGATGAGAGGCAAGAGGCGGGGTGAGAATCGACGAAGATTCCTTTGTTCGGGGAAGTGGGTAGCCCGAACTTGCTTTGTTGATATCGGTAGACGTGCCGAGCTTGTCATTCAATTAGAGGAAATCTCGATGTGAGTGATAATGAGGGGAATTGCTTCTGTCCTAAGGAAGTCATGACAAGAGCACTCGGTGGTCGGCGGCAGGCGCTGCTGAAGATTTCCCGCAACCTGATTGGCCAGGGCGGAAGAATTGCATCGCCAAACTTCACCCACTTCGCAGACGGCGCTCCTGACTGCTGACCTGATGGGGTCCCGTCAATCCAGCTCCGCCAAGCAGCAGTAGCATATATAAGCACAGCGTATCACCTAATGATGTAAATGATAGCACAAGCTTGGGCATCTATCAGCTGCTGCATTTGCTCTAAATACGATTATAAAGGCACGCGCATTCAATACGTACCAACAGCGACCGGCACAAATCAAAGAACGAAGCATCCGTTCATTCCATTCTTAAAGTCGCAAGCTCAACAGCAAGGTGATTCTGCAACGCACAACGGACTCTACAACACAGCAAGACACCATGACATCCCTCTTTCCACACCCACAATACGCAGAAGACCAGCCCTCCGCCCACGCCATCCTCTACCTGCACGTCCTTCGCGCCTCAACAATGACATTCTCCTTCCTGTCTGTGCCCTACACCGGCATCTCCCTACTCCGCTCGCGGATCAAAGCACAACCCGTCACCATGAGCACCGTGCTAACGCGAACCCTCTTGAACTCCGGACGCGGCCTCATCCTTGGAGCGGTTGCTGGTGTGGCGATGACGTGGGGACGTATGAGAGGCAGGAGTGAGGTCGAGTGGCAGGATCGCAGTTGGCGGCTGCTGGAGAATAAGGGCGAAGTGGATACGGATTGGGAGATCATTGGGGCAACGGGGGTAGGTGCGCTTGCTGGTGTTGTTGCGACGAGGAGTGGTGTTGTGCGTTTAAATGCTGGCAGAGCGGTGATGGGGGGTGCGGGACTAGGATTGGGGAGTGGTGTTTTGTTTATGGTTGGGACATATGTTGCTGGGAGGAAGCCACGGTAGGGAGTGGTGAACGCTCAGTGTTGTGTATGATAGGATAGGACGGAACGCGGTTTCCATGGCATGTAGCATGGTTCTCTATAGTCTTTGGAGATTACTTATAAAACCGTTCATCAGAACTCCTGCTTCCTCACCACCTCCGCCTCGTATGCCGGCGAATCCACACCACTATCCGGATACCGATTGCTGCATTCCGTCAGCCTCATCTGCTACCATCCGATCTCATAGAGCTCGAATACATGCCTCAGCTTACAATCCCGCGTTCGCGCTGTGCGCAATGACATTAAAGCTCTCAGCCCGCTCCATAGCTTCTAGCGTATCCCTTGAGATGTTCTTTGTTTTGTCAGAGACGCTGTCCAGCTTGCTGATGACACCTAGTCTCTCCTTCCACAGTGCCCACCGCTCCTTGCTGAACTCTGCTTTGCCCTTCCACAGTTCGCCGCCTTTGGCTGGGTTGCCTTGTTTGCGGTCTGCAGGAGTGAGGTCCTCCTCTTTCGTGTACAAGGCGCGACCCATGCCGAAGATCCAGGATGCCGCAGCAGGGACGTAGACATCGTACTTCTGCGCCGCTGTCCCTTCGGCATCGTCCTGATGCTCCTCCTCGAGTGCTGTGCGCAAGCGCCAGATTGCGTAGAGGCTCAAGTCCATGAGACCTTTCTCAGTTAGGCAAGCCCAGAAGAAGTTGACATTTGCCCAGGCATCAATCTCGATATCCGTTGCGTACGGTTCTGGTTGATCATTGTTTACTTCGCGACAAGCCATCCCGAGATCATACAGTGAGCTGTAGATGTAATCGTACTCCTCGTGGTCCTTGATCTTGTGTTCGCGGAAGGCGGCCACCAGATCGGCGACTCTGGCATGGAAATGTGCGTTGCGTTTACCATCGACTTCAGCTTCATGGAAGGAATTACTCTTTGCGGAATGAATGATAGAGTACCAGAGGTCCACGAAGTACACATCGTCCAGTTGTTGGGCGATGATCTTTTCATCTATTGGTTTGAAAAGCTTGGACGCTGCTGTGTCGAGATCGATGTCGCCCTGCAGGTATTGCTGCACGATGGGATAGTATGCGCTGTCTTTCTCTGGCCTGAACCATCCCCAGACTTTTGCGATTTGGTCAATCTTTACAGCCTCCTCTTCATTGCTTGAGACGATGTCGTCGATCTTCTGCTTCTTGTCCTGTGAATCATATTAGCTGCAGACTGCAACAATGCTTGCGACCCAATCACCTCTAGTTGCGTCATGTTGAAGGTTGATTCTCGAATGTGTAGAGATCTCGAAGAGTTTGGTCGCTGCAGAGAGGCGCGGTAATGTTGTTGTGTTCGACGGGTGATGTCATACTTGAAGTAGCGAATCCCCACGTGCGATTGATACCTGCCTAATTGGAAGCTCAACGCCGAAGTTGTAGTCGTCCGTAACATGACTCCTAACCAGCGCGTGCATCACATTTTTATGGTTGATTGGACAAGGAGGATCGGAGTCCTTTGAGTATTTCATTTCAGAGATAAGGATCGCTGCAGATCAACGGGTAGACCCGAAGCACACGTTGCATCTACGTATGGTAGACTATTACCTGAGTACCGTAGAATTCCACTGATGTGAGAAATACACAGATGATGTATAAGCGGCAAGGTTAGTGCCAACGACCAATTGCTGTGAGACGTTCAAAACAGGTCTTGCGCGTTCATACGAAAAAACAAAGCGGCCATCGTCTAATTGCGTGCAGCAGGTTGTATAGAGCGCTCGCTATGTAGACAGTGGAAGTCAACGAAGTGCTGGCAGACACGATCCGTAGCTGAGCCTCCGGCAGGCATTTCTGCACGCGCATATTGCACAAGCGACAGGCCCCCTTCCTCTTGCGCTTCTCCTCTAAATACCTGAGCCACATTGTTCGATAGCTGTCCTCGAGGCCCCGCGTAACCGCCTTGTCATCGATCACCCGCAGAGCCTAGCGAAGGCCGGTTCGAAGCGTTTCATACTCACGGCAGACATCGATAATCACGTTGGTGACCTTGCAATACAGGAAAGAATCTTCGAGGATTTGCTGGAGGTGGTCGATGAGCTCTGAAGCGAAGAAGATCAAGCGGTGCTGTTCCTGCTTCTTGTCGGATAGACCAAGCTGGACAGTCAAGCGGAAATTGCTAAGGTACTTGATGCGTTCCGCGAAAGCGACCGCGGTGGTTGTATGGTACGTCGCTGAGACCGCCATCTGGGTTGCGATCGTCATGGCTGTCCAGAACGGCGGCATCACCAAGCCTCGACCCGCTTGCTGGACGATAATAATGCCACACTGGAAATTTTGCGCGCTGCTAATACCCAGTGCGTATTATTACGCCGCAAGCAATTGATAGTGCTCTTGTAGCGCAGCGAGATTCTCAGGAAGAGGAGGGTATGCAAGCCAGACCTTGCTACCATGGAGCAGGGTAGAGAGAGTGTATTTGTCGTAGTACCCCATGTCCTGAACATCATCAGCCGGAGTCACTGACATGTTAATGTGTGACACGTGCAGAATACCATCCTCTGGCGAATTCACCTTGTGCTGGAGCATACACTCGAACGTTGATGACTACATGCTGAGAATGGCTCCTGGTTTGCCGTAGCTTAGATTTCCGATGTTTTCCAGCAGAGGGATAATAGCTTGCGCATCCAGTTCAGGTGTGCCGCGGGTGGGAACGAAGTGGAAGATGTTTTCACCACCGACCTCGTTCTTCAAGATACTGCTGATCTACTTTGCATCCGGAGGGTTGTCGAGAGGGAGAGTGCTGGAAAGAATTGGCAAAGACCATTCGCTGCGTTCAAAGAACTTACCTTGTTTGCGTAGGGGACCGAGCTCCTTCTAATTGAGAGGGTAAACGGGTCCATACTCCACCAATTCGTAAAGCATTCGAGAGTTTGGGCTGTTGATATGGTCCAGCCCGACCATGACATCGGTCAGGTCCTGGGTGTGAAGCGTGAGATCAGTCAACATTGTGGGTGACGGTGGCCGAGAAAGAGTGCAGTATCGCGCCTTGGGAACGAGGTTTTGGAAGATACTAGTTGATGGGAAGATGGACAATGGAGGTTAGGTACAATCCCGTCAACTTTATAAGGGAAGGGAGGATACTACACTGTGAGTGAGAGAAGTCGCAACGCATTCATCACCAAAATTAAAGAGGCTTTCGTTCCTTCCTGGTCGGATTAAGTTGAGCGTTGGTCGATGCTGGGTCTTTGGGAAAGTTGCGGGCGACGGAACCGTGTGGGCTCCCTGTGATACCAATGACGATTATCATCTTCGCCACGGTGTCTGTAAGAACTAGAGGTGAGACACTCGAAGTGACAATGGCGCATTCGTGGACGAGGTGTCAGAGCAAAAGGCACCTTTCACTCCTTAAACTATTAGGTATATACCGCGACACCAGGTGAGTAAGGTGTTGCTTTGGCGAGATTTATAGGATCTGCATGTTCTTTTAGTTGCATGAACTCTGGCCTGCATTTGCAGGGTCGATTGCTACACATTTCATACATCAGCTAGCAACTGGAAGAGTGCCCATTCGGCGTGATAGCAGGTCCCTGCAGGGTTTGTCCATGACGGCCGAACGTGAAGTTGGTGTTTGTGTCCGCAATCTATCCGAATCTGACCCGTGGCCTCGACACCCGATTGAGGGAGGGAAAAGGTGCCAGCTATTGGCCCTCCATGCTCAGGCTCTGATAGCGAGGAAGAGGTCGCTGGTACTACTTGCACAGCATGGCCATGACCTGCCGCTGAGGAAGCCCCTTGGCCCCTAGAGAATGGTTTCTCCACGACATCCGAAGTGGTACCAGTGCCTGGAAGAATCTCGTTCCTGGTTGTCCAAATATTTCGTATGATAGCGGAAGACTCATCTCTGGTTGGGGATCTCTCACTGTCTGCGGCGGAAGTCGATGAAAAAGGGTTGTTGCATCGACGCGGGCGGTTGACTCTACACCGCCAAATGCTCAAAGAAGAGGCATTACCAATGAGAGGCGCATGTAGAACCCTCGCTAGCGCCCTGTACATGATGTCGTCACTTTCTGTTTCGTGAGAAGTGCCATTCTGGAGGCATCCACCAGAGCGACTTTCTGGAACAGCTGTGGGCTTCGCGATCGAGCCGTGAAGCTCAAACAAAGCTCCGGCAGCCGCCACTTCCACAGAAGCATCTGATTCAGCGGCACCGACATCAGCTACTGACAACACCTCGGCTGAACCAGCACCAGCGTGATCGTCATCGAATCCAAGGGCCGTGTCGGCGCTCCCGTCTTCTAGCAAGATCACCAGGCTGTCTACCACGGCCCTCTTTGTCTCCGATTATATAGGGTTAGTTATAGGAGACATAGGAGGGTCACAAGGATCGTATTCGAGCAAGCTGGTGGGGAATTGACGCATTTGCTTGCTCAAGTCAGGAAATGGAGGATGACCTGCCGAAACTTTGTGAGTTGATGCACTCACAGTTATTCCAATACCGGGACCTAATACCGCAGCGCTCAATTCTGGAACGAGCAGTTTCGCTGCCCCCATAAAGACAGCATCCTTCCTGGTCAAGGTCGTGAAGTCCTCGATTTGGACGTCGTTGCCTTCATCTCGACGCAGTGCAGCTGCAACTCTCCAGATTAGGTTATAGAACCTGATTAGATTATTGTCATATAAATTAGGGACGTAATTTACAGGATTGAACTGGCAGTTCATGGTGGTCTGAAGATTGGGCGATTGGCGGAGTGTGGTAGTGCAGCGAAGGCTTTCCGCTTAAGAGGTTATTTGCTGTTTGCTCGTCCAACCAGTTCTGGTGTGAAGGCCGCTCTTCCACATAATCCAGACATCCTTAGGCAAATTTTGCTGTCTTGATCCTTGTGTTCTGAAAGACTTGTACAGTGTCAAACTTAAGCCTCTCTGCATCTACCCTGTTGCTTTTAGACAGAAGCTCAAAGGATCCAGCGTTGGAACACCAGCGTTGCGCATTGCCAGCGAAGCGTAGATCTCTCCTTCCAACGATGCCCTTGATGTTCTGGCGCGGTAGAATCAGCTGTGATATCTTGAGAAATAATCCGTATGTTGCACTGGCACTATGCGAAGATGCAGTACCGCACGGCATTGTTCACCCAAGACGAGATCGTTGTTCACGTTTGGCATGGTTTGGTATGGCAGAACATTCTGATACGCCCCGACCTTCCTTGTGCCCAGTCCATATCTTCTTCAGACTGTGAAAACACGCCGCTTGTATCGCTGTACACAGGCAGATGCACAGTCTCGTTGCAGATGCACAGTCTCGTTGCAGATGCACAGTCTCATTATTCTCAGACAGGCGAAGAGTGTGTCCTGAGGTCAACGTATCAACTTGAGATGTGCGAGCGCGTAGAGTGTACCTGGATCTACCAATGGTGAATACTGAGGTGGATAAGTAGGAGCTCCGAATGAGAATCAAAGCGCACAGACCGCGAACGCCAACTCGACCAGGTAGACGCGCGTGATTGGTGCAGCAGATCATAAGCGAGACCCGCCCACAAACCTCTCCGTACGCCCAACGTCTTCCGCGACTTCGAATTTCGTAACTAACCCGCAGTCCACGTCAATACCGCCAACATGCGTACCTACGACGACTCCTTCTCCGGCCAGAAGATCTACCCTGGCAAGGTGCGTTCCGTCGCGCAGCCCAGCCGCGCCCCCCGAGCCCATGTCGAAATACCGCAGCGCGCGCGCCAGCACCGCACGAACACGCAGGACATGGGAGCGGAAGCGCGGCCGGGCAATGCAGTGGAAATTTGAATGCGAGGACATGCTGACGGGATACACAGGGCAAGCTCTACATCCGTGGTGACAGCAAGATCTTCCGCTTCCAGAACGGCAAGACCGAGTCTCTGTTCCTCCAGCGCAAGAACCCTCGCAAGATCTCATGGACCACCCTCTACAGGAGGCAGCACAAGAAGGGTATCTCTGAGGTACGCTATCTGTCAGGGAGGACTGCTCTTGCGGCGGTGCTGGTGACGACCTGAATCCTCAGGCTCACTCCGCCGCAAGAGAACCTCCTGCGACGTGCTTTTCGACTACAAGTCAGGTCACTGACCCCTCTCCAGGAGGTTGCCAAGAAGCGCACCCGCCGCACCGTCAAGCACCAGCGTGCCATCGTCGGTGCTTCCCTTGACGTCATCAAGGAGCGCCGCGCTCAGCGCCCCGAGGCCCGCTCTGCTGCTCGCGCCGCCGCCATCAAGGAGGGCAAGGACAAGAAGGCCGCTTCCGAGTCGGCGAAGAAGGCCGAGAAGGCTAAGAGCGCCGCTGCTGGTGCCCGTGGCCAGGCCTCCAAGATCCAGTCGAAGCAGGGCTCCAAGGGCGCCGCCCCCAAGGTTCAGGCCAGGACCCGCTAAGCGCTCGTCTGAGTGCTGGGTTGGAGATGGAAATCATGTGTGCATGACCTTGGTTCAGCGGATTTTTCGGGGTGACTCGGTGTTCCTTTATTCTCTTCCGTCAAACACGGAATCATTGAATGGGATGGGATGATTTACACTCTTCGTGCTGGAGACAAACTCCGGCGTCGCCATAGGGCAAATGCAATACTACATCCTCACGAACACCCATACCCACTAGCTGGGATGAATGACGAACGTGTGACTCTGCTGCTTTCTACCCTTGCCATGATCGATCCTTGCGACTGCTTTACACACACCAAGCGATTGCATCCTGCCATTATTTTGCATCCATTGAAACTCAGAAGCAATGTCTCCAATTTAGATCAAGTTGATGAATTACTCATTAGAGGCTTAAAGGCCAGCCGGCAGATGCGTACATGCCTGAACACCAAACTCTATCCCGACTGTTGGCTCACAGCCAATGACCATAGGTACAAAGAAGTCTGAAAGAAACATTACGCTATGGCCGCACGAAGTCGGAAGGGTTTTAACCGCAATCGAGGGGATGATTAAAGGTGCTGGGAGGGCACTGCTCGAGCTGACCATGCTCAAGGAAGACTGCTTGGGGTATCATGGGTGAAGCCAAGCAACTAGAGCCTGTATCCAAGCATCCTCCAGACATGCCAAACAGATGCTCCGGTAATGTGTAACCTCATACACGGGTCGTTCACAGAACCCGTCTGTCTTAGGTCGAATCTCCAGTCTTCATCCCGGTACCCTACCTAGCCTAGAACCGCCATCATCGTTGCTTGCTTCTCTTGATCCTCGACCAACATAGACTTTGCGCGGCACACATCTTCGATGATATCGACGACCTTTCGGAAGCTGGACGCTGCGCCGCGGGTCTGAGTGAACCGGGCCAAGCAAAGATTGGCTCGGTTCCCATGCTCCAGAACGACGAAGAGCTCGATGACAAATGACACGGGCTTGATATTAAGATCTACGATGCAGTGCTGTTAGCGTTCGATGTCTGTAGGTGCTGAGACATGCATGAGAAAGGGAGCGTGCGATTACATCGAAATACAGACTCAACTTCCAGCACCTCCACTTGGAAGCATAAATCCTCCAGCTTCCAATAGCTGAATAAGAAATGAGCAGGAGACGGAGACTTACGGTTGATTTTGTCCACACGGGCATTGATGGTGTTTACTGTGCGGTCAAACGTAACGTCGCGAACACCAAAGCGCTGCCAGTCTCGGAGCAAGCGGACCAGGTCACCACGGACTTTACCACGACCGACATGGAAGCAAAGTGTCTTGGTGGCTGGCTTAATGTGCAGGAAGCGAGAGAGCCAGTTCATCTGCACTTCAGGTGGATTAGATCGAGGCCCTGACTCACCTGAGTCGGGCCCAAGACCATGGGTCGACAGGATAGACGATGAGCTAGAATTGACTACACACTGGGCATCAGCAAGATGTAAGCGAGAATCGTCAACCCACTTACGATCAAGCTCCATGGGACTCTTGGCCTTCTCCTCCTTCTTCTTGCCAAAGAAACCCAGGAGACCTTTTCGTGGGCCGCTGTCGCTCTTAGCAGCAGCTGAAGCTGTGTTGCGCATGGGAAACTCGCTGGTATTGCTAGCATCAGACTGTTTCGATCCATGCTTAAAAGCCTCAATGTGAGTGCTCAAAATGGGAGAGGGATCGTTCTTGATACGATCATCAAGACCTTGCCAGGCCTCAGGTATCTGCAGTAAGGCGATCGACTTCTTAGGCTTGACTTGGGGTTCGTTCTTGTCTTGTATTTGCTTTTCTTCAGTGTTACGGCGAAACCACGAAGACTTCTTTTTCTTAACAACGCGCGGCTTCTCTGATACCGAAGGAGGCACGGTGTGCACACGTGCGGCCAGCAGGTCTTTCTGCACATCGTGGTAAGATCGAACAGAGTTTTGCGCGCTTGGCCCTGGCCATGGAATAGCTATGGGCACATCGCTTGCGTATTTTGAGGAAAGGCTGGCGCCACTGCGCTTGCGAATGTTGAGGGGAGCGATACGGTTGGGTGATTGGTCGACAATGCGGATCGTCTCCTGTGCTGTCACCGCGCGACGAGCTTGAGGCCTGACTGGGTCAGTGACAGCTCGATAGTGCGGGCTATAGGTTGTTTCAAACCCAGCTCCACCATCGACCTTCACCTCCTCCGGTATGGCATGCAGGGGTGCAACATGCTCTGGGGATCTAGCAGGCGCAGATACCACACGCTTGCTGTTAGCAGGCGGAACAATCAGGCGATCCAGATGCTCAAGGACTTGGGTGAAGTGCTCCGTGTTATCGTTGTCTTCGGTCAGTCGTCGAGCGATGTCTTCTCGTGTCTCGACTAGCTTTCGGTGCAGAAACGTGTTTGGTGTCTCCGTTGGGATTGGAGGAAGCGGTCGAGACGCAAGCATTGCCTTTGTGTTTGGCGTAGCAATTGTGCTACCGCCCGAGTCTCGATTCGAAAACGACGTGGGTGGCGTATCGTAGTTGGAGAAGGTAGCGTCCTGGTAAGCGTCGGTGTGCGTGGTTCGTATGCTGGAGCTCATAGAGGAACGATTGAAGGCTTCCTCCATAACTTTCCCAAGCTCAGTGCTGACCTTTCGTGCCTCGCTCTGGATGTATTTGCTGGGGCTCTCAGGCTTTCGCACACGAAGACGAGGTACTGCGATGCCTGTGGAAGCCCTAGACTTGGTCCGAGTAGCAGGCGATGGCTGGATGGTGCTGGATCGAAGGGAGGATCCATAAGACCCAATCGACTCTCGACGGCGGTCAAATGATCGATTTGACGTGTAGGGTACAGCGCCAGTCTCTCTTGTACTGGCGGTAGCTGCTGATCCTCGACGGTGGAGGTGCGAGAAGCTGACTCCTCGCCTTCCAATGCCGCCAGCCCGAGCAATGACCGGAGGACTACTTGGCCAGTGTGAACTTGAGAGTGAGGATCGTGAGACAGAGCGAGCGTGCACGGATCGTTGAGAGGGCGTGGTGTGCTTTGATGAGCCGCGAGAGACAGCAGAACCACGCTTAGAGTTCTGCAGAGCTTGGACACGCAGAGAACTGCCGGTACGGTGACCCAGGGCCGTAGCTGGTCGCAGATTGCGACTACTGTCACTATTCCTGCGGCGAACGGTGACATTCTGGTGTGTGACCCTCTCCGGAAGAATAGGTTGTCGCGAGACACGAAATGGATCGTAGCTGGCTTCTGACGCTGGTGACTCGTAGAAGCTGTGCTTTGAGTACATATGCTCGTTGTTCAAGATCGAGTACCCAGACTGAGAACGCTTGTGCTTCTGCTTCGGCATTTGCTCGACGTCCTCCTTGGTTGGCGTGTGGCGCACGTTGTGGTGGTGATCACTGTTTGAATGTGCAATCGGGTGGTGAGCACTGGGCTGGTAGTTCTCGAGTTGGTCCTGCTGGTACTTCTGGAGAGCTGAGTAGAAATACTTTTCTTGGTTCGCTCTACCACGTTTGTCAGTTGGGGTTCGCATATATCAGATTGTGAGGAAGTGCACTTACTCTCGACTCATGAGCCGCTGGATGATGACTTCCTCTTTCTCACTGTGCCAGAGCGTACGAAGATATCGCAGAATCTCGCGATTGATCGTGGTTCGCTCTAGTGTCTCCCAGCTCGCGATGGATGGCAGCGGTCCTGTCCAATGGCTGGCCGAAGTGTTATCTCCAACAAAGTTCAACTCCTTGCTGTACTTGCGCAAGAAAGGGTGGTTCCAGATGTCTTCGAGTCCAACGCGACGCCTGGGATCAGGAATCAAGATGCGCCTGATCAAGTCTGCAGCTTCGTGTGACAAAGAATCAGGCATCACGTATTCGCCCTTCTCAATCGCCTTGAATAGATATTTAAGATCTCTGTCGTCGCCAGAGTAGTTGAAGGGCGGAGTGCCTGTGAGCAAGACATAGAGGATGACGCCGCAGCTCCAGACGTCAGCCTTCGCACCGTCATACGCAGTAGTCTTGATGACTTCAGGCGCAGCATAGTGAGGGCTGCCGCACGGTGTTGTCAGCTTCTTGCCAGTTGGCTGCAGCGCCGCCATGCCAAAATCCACCAACTTGACAGTCATTGTCTCTCGGTCCAGCAGGATGTTCTCGGGCTTCAGGTCGCGGTGATGTATACTGATTCGATGGCAGTAGATCAAGGCTGCGATGATCTGGCGAAAGATGTGAACGACGTGGATCTCGATAAGACCGCCTTGCTCGTGGATGTAGCTGAACAGCTCGCCACCCTCAACATACTCCATGATGAGATAACTGCAGTGTGTTAGTATCTACTTGCAATCATAGCACTTAGTACTCACAGCTCATCTCTGTTCTCCCAGATGTCGTAGAGGCGAACAATGTTCGGGTGATCCAGCAGCTTCATAATACAGATCTCGCGCTCGAGGCCAAAAGGGATGACCTTTCCGTCAGGGTGCAGTGTTGGGTCCTGCTCCGCGCTCTTAATGAGGTTTGCAAGACTCAATGCGCGCACCTTCTCTGCTGTGGTCTTCGAAATGATCTTGGCAGCACCGAACTGCCCTGTCATGCTGTGTCTGACCAGTCGCACGCGTGAGCATCCTCCACGGCCGATAGTCCTGCCCAACTGCCATGGCCCAATGTGTGTCTTGCGGCGCCGGTTGGTGTTAGACGCGTTGGTGCTAGCGTTGGAGATGGTAGAGTCGCGCTTCGGGTTGTGCGGGCGTGCCTCGTGAGCAAGCACAGCGGAAAGACGCTTGTTCTCAGGTGTGGTGGACTGCTGCTCGTGACGCACGGCAAGCGTACCATTGGGCACGATCGACTCGTTGTGAGGTAAAGCCTTCGAAGGTGGAGCCACGTGCTCGTGACTGTGCTTCTCACCCTGGCGTTGAGAGTAAGAGTTTTCGTTCGCACGGTGAGTACCGTCACCCAGGGCGCGGCGACGCGTTGAGGGCCGGCCGTTGTAGTTGGGATCCATGTTGATTTTCTGTATGCAGCGGTCAAGGCGGGGCTGCTTCGACAGCTATTAGAGTAGTTGGCTGGGATGATGGACCATAAATGTACAATTAGAAAGATGCGCGGTGAGACCGAGCACCAGAGGACAGGTAACGCTACCGGCAGTAGTAGCTGTCGCCGCGTCGTGCTGCCAGAATGTTTCTAGGTCATGGCAGGGCCGCTGTGTTGTGTTGTTTGGTATCTGCTGCTGACACTGAGGGCGCCGGACGGCCGACGGACTGTAGTTTGATTGACGGCGCCGATAAAGGAAGGGCGGCTAGCTGTGCAAGTGCAATTGAAAACTACTCAACGACCAAAAAGCTAACAAGTTCTTAATGCACGCGGTAGAGAAGCTTGTGGAGGCGATTGTGTGCAAGCTCGGAGGGGAAGGGAGAAGCAGTGCACGGACGGCTTGGGAGGAAGGCGGCACCGGTGTGCAAACGGAACGAAAGGGCTCTCGAACACCGTCAGAAACAAGAGAAGGGACAGAGGGCTCGTGAGTAGGTAGAGAAGGCGCGTATTCGCCGAACCTCACATGGTGGATCGATTTGGAGGCTCTTTTGCTAAGGAATGTGCCAAGATGGAAAAAGGTGGAGACAGCATGTTTTTGTTTGTGCACCAAACGAGGTGAAGGGAATGAGTTGACCAGAGAACGAGAGGTATGCATGAAGATGCCGAGATTGAAGAACTGGATTCTTCCTACCGTCTATACCTTCGTCAATCTGGACGAGTGATCGTGGCCATTGTTCCCTTCCTTACGTAGTAGTCCTGCCTTGCACCGACATGACCGCGTGGCCAGCGTCATCTTATGAAGTCGCAAGTTATCTGAAAGTCCATTTGAGACCAAGACTGCGTCTTAAGCTACTCGAGATCGACCATTGAACGGGAGTATTGTCGGCGAAGGCATGCAGTGGGATGTATTAAGGAAATCAACTAAGACGATATGGCCGAGGCGACTGCAGCTAGCATCGCAATGTCATGCAGAAAGGAGTCCAATTGATGCAGTCTGGTGCTTTCTTATTTTGTGGTCAGAACGGGATGTGATGGAAGCGTGGAGGGATGGTGAGGTGAGGTGTGAAGAACGCGCTGATCGTGAGGCGAAGGCCATGGAACCTGCCGTCCAAGGGTCTAGCGCGCCAGGTTCGTGGGTCGCTCACAGACTGCAAGTAGCCGTCAGCACAAGAACCTTAATGTATCGACGTCTCCTTCTGGAATACACTGCATACTTGACGATATCACTTGCTGGCTAGCGACATGCTCCGGACGCACTTGTAGTCACAAAGGGGACAGTGCAAGGTGGAGTGTGTAGAAAAACCGCAGTCGTATCATGGTATTTGGTATCGTAACACCTTGTCCTCTTGTACCCAATTCTCTGCCCTAATGCCACACAGGTGCATGTCGCGCCCCTGCCCGTTATGCACATTATAACTAAGAAGCTGTTCACAGCCTCAGCCCCCTGTATTCAACCGGTTCTCGATGCTGCGGACGAGTCGCCCAACCGCTGCGAATGCGCGCAAAAACAACCCATGGTCGCAAAAGCAACACTTCCCGCATACCTGATACAACCCCATAGAACCGACTAAAGGTATCCGCGTTCGAACCAAAAAGAAACAAGAACATGGCTACATGCTATACCCGAAACTCCACAGATAGGATATATCCAGCGTCCCAAGGGTAGTCCAATACGCGATAAACGGAAAACGTAACAAATCGTAACCCAATAGCTGCACAGCGAAGGTAGTGGTTTCGTAACAACGTGCGCCGAACCTCAACATGACGAAGACGAAAAGGGTATTTAATACAAGAGAAGTGAAGAAGGCCGAGGCCTTATGAAGGGTACAGCGACGACACTAGTGCATTGCTTTCGAATCGACGGCTTCCGACTTGGGCGAGTGGCTCTCGCGCTTTGTATCGTCGCTGTTCGCGGCAGCCTTGCCGCATCCCTTGACAAGAATGTGACGCTTGGATATCGTTAGCAGTGGCTGTTATTCTTTGATTGTTTGCAACATACCTTGAGTGCGTCCTTCCTCGAGAAACTCTTGTCGCAGTAGTTGCAGGGGAAAGGCTTGACTGCCAAGTGGATCCTCTTGTGGCGCTTCAAGTCGTGATTGCGGTTGAAGCTCTGAGGACACTGATCACACTTGAATGGTCGGTCGTTGGAAGCCGGTTGCTGATGAGGGTTGTGTCCAGCCATGAAGTGAGGCATCTGGGCTGCGTGTCCACTGTTGAAACAGGGCATCATCCCAGGGTGTACACCTACCAAGGCAAGCCCACCGTTCGGGTTCTGGACGTTCGAAAAGACTGGTGATGGCCCTGATGCATATGCTGATGGAGGTGGTCGCTGGTAGTAAGAAGGTGACTGCACTGGGTTATTCGATGGTATCGAGGGCATTTGGCCTTGCGAAACCGCTGGCGACATCCTAGACATGGAGCCACCTGCGCTGATCGGGCTTTGGCTGTGCTGCTGAGTCGGCGATGGCCCTGTGGAGTATGGGAAGTTCGAGTGCTGAGGCGTTCCCGATGGCTGATAGTTGTATGTCGGTGTTGGCGGATGTGGTTGCCTGAAGGAGTCCTGAGGCAGTGCTGGCGACTGTTGAGGAGGTGCTGAGGATACAGGCGTTTGTGTGCTCATCATATGATGAGGCTGTTGGTGGTGTGCAGGCATCGACGGCATGTGTGATCCGCTGGACGATGGCGTAAATGGTGGCAGCTGATTGTTCATCTCATAGGGTGGAGGGTTCAGCCCTTTGCGGAGTAAGTCTTGGTGCCCGAGCTGACGATCACGGTACAGAAGAGCAAACATACCTCGGCTTTGCTGCGCATAGTGGTTTTGCTGGGAGTGTGCAGGCGGGTAGCCGTACGATGGCTGCTGCGTAGGTGGAGAGTAGATGTGATTGTAGTTCTGGGGGTAGGCCATCGTTGTTGGGCCTGCGCCGCTTGTCGACACTCCAGACGAAGGGCTTATCACGTCGCCGTGGATGGTACTCGGTGGTGTGAGAAGGTTGCCAACACTAGCGATGGTTGTCGGCGCCTGTGACGACTGCGAGACGGTACCGTGGTTAGTGAAGGGATATTTGTGCATTGGCGGAGGTGGAAGTTCGAAGCTACCCAACTGAGCAGCATGAGGCCTCCGCTGCGCAAAGCTGGGAGGTGCACCCATTGGGTCAGACCCAGGATGCATAGAAGCCGGGTGCGCCACTGCAGCAGCCACGTTGGCGGTTGTGTTCCGGCAAGGTCCTGGTGACCTACCAGCTTCGGATGGAGAAGGAGTTGGAAGTGCCTGCAGCTGTGACGCTGCAAAAGGCGGACTTGAGAAATGAGCACCAGACCAATATAGCCCACGTGTGGGCTGAGGGTAATCCACGGAGGGCGATCGGCTAGTTGTAGCCAAGAGGCGTAAAGTGGAAGGTAAGACGTCTAGTCGAGGAGGACAGAGTACTGATGTTATGCAGGCAGTGGAGGGGAAGTGAACTTGTAAAAGGGTGCTGCGGACACGAATACCCGCTCGGTTCTGAGAGTCTGCGGATGGTACTCCTGGCTAGTGTCTTGTTGCTCAGACGGCGACTGGCAGGTCCGAAGGCCTGATGATGCTGCTGCTGGTGAACGGCCCTCGAAACGGTACCTGCGCTGGTTCAGGTGGGCAGTGATACCGACAGATGCAGGCCTCGCCAAAAGACAGCTAGGAAGTCTCAGTCGCTGCCCGGTATCAGTGGTCGTCGACGTCGCAGGCCGAGGCAGACGGGCGTACAGAGGAACAAAAGCAGATGCTCGTGGAACCGTGGTGACCTCCAAGATGGAGCGTTCGGTAGGGCCCGGTTTCCTGGTTGCGCAGACGTAGTGCTACTGGGGCGGTGGCACAGGCTGTGTGAATGATGGGTTTCGGTCAGGACGGTAGTGCTCCTGCTATGACCGTGCTGGTGCTGTGGTCCAACTGGCGCTGGATTGGCTGGTGGTCAAGCTTCTGGTACTTGAACCAAGGCACTGGGACGGCGCCGGCTTCCGTGTTGGGAAACAGGCACAGGTGAGGTCGTTCTTGTGAGCGTCCACTACAGCGGCGTTGCAGGATCTGGTGTTGCACGTTGATGGCGGAAGCCACTGATAGCACCGATCTTAGGTGGGGGACAATGAGCCTGGTGAGCTGTTGGTGGTGGAGTTTGAGGCGCGCGGAGCGGCGATCTCTCTTTGTTAAGCTCAGTACCTGGGCGCCCTAGCAGAGGATGGCGGAGAAGGCTGGAACCTGGGTGGGTTAAGGCTTTGTTACCGCGAGCGAGTGGAGAGCACCGGTCACGTATATGTATGGCGAGCTAAAGGTGTCAGGGTCGGCGGACTCGCGTGGCTGACTGGCGTTCTGGGGCTTCTTTACTGAAGGGCCCAACCGGGCGATGGGGTTAGTCCGAGCGTTGTGAGGATCTGGATCGGGATGGGAGATGAAATGGCACGAGAGCACGCCTCAGGTGAGCGGGCGGGAGCGCTACTCAGAGGCGCACTTCTGCAGATTTGGGCATCGTAGACGAGGCACGGCAGACGGAAACGCAGCGAATGAGAAATCCACCACACCGTTCAGGCGCACTTGAAGAGCCAGACGAGCATGGGGCCGCCGACAACAATGCAGCCGGGGTGAATGCACGCACCAGGCGACCACAGACCCTGGCCGCGGGCTGTCTGTCGGACTCTGTTGGCGTGCGGGACGGCTTGGACCAGCACAGTGGAAGGGCTGTCGCTTGCGCCGGCCCGGAGGTGTGAGCACTGAGAGCACGCTGATGCTGGCATGGTGCGTGGTGCGTGGTGAGGTCCTCGCCGAAGCCCTTTGTTCGCATGTGTGCTCCCTTGGCGAGGGCAGATGAGCAGCGTGGCACTGATGCGGCTCTCCTGACCCGGGCTCGCGGCACGACAAGAGACAGACAGGAGCAGTGCTTTTTCGTCCATGGCCCAGGGCCAGGAACCAAGGGTAGTGAGCCCACAGGAATAGGCCTAGCATGTGTCGGGTCTGGCGCCAACGAGAGCGAGAGCGACCAGGCCCGCACGGGCCAGTGCAGTTGGTCTGGCCCAGAGAGAGTCGTGGCAGACACAAAGCCTACGCGAAGTTGCTCTTCCCATCCGAGCTCGCCGTTTACAAAGGTCAACCCCCGTTCCGGTTCGCTAGCAGTACGGATCGCCCTCGATGTACGCTGGCGGCGCAGGCAGGCGCTCTGGAGAAGTCCAGCGCGACGACATCGCCAGACTTCATCACCAGCAGATTCCTCAACCCCAGCGTGTATTTCTTCAGAGCAAATGCCCTGCGATCCTGGCGGCCACGGCTTCAGCGCGTCGGCGACCAGTGCAGCAACCATGCCGCCTTCCTGCTCCCAGCCTAGCTGACTACAGGCGCTGAGGTCGCCAGCTGACGCTAGCTGAGCGGGTGTAGGACCGCGAGCTGCACCTGATTGATTTGATAGACTGACCTACGGCCTGCCTGCGATGCGCTTAAGCAGGTGCTGCTACGCTGGGGACGAAGAGTAGTTCTTGTTGAAGGTCATCGATCGCCAGCCGCTGGTTAGCATAACTAGCCCCCGTTCCCTGTAGATTGCCAGTCCCTTCTTCCCAATGCGCCAAAGGCAAAAGCTCCATCCAATATCGACAACGTCACACCCCCGGAGGATGCTTTTTGGCCCCGAAACATGCACTGATTAACATTTGCAGCTGTCCCAGTGACGTCTATAATTAGCGAGACTGTTGTATTGATTGCGGCACATGTGCCTCTGAGAGGGCAAGGCCGCCAAGGCGTCATCAGCAGCGAGCGTGCGGTCCCTGCTCTCCCTCATCTCTCATACGCCTGTCCCGGCGCACCGCATCACACGGCTCGCCTTGGTAGGGTGGATCTCCACGTGGAAGGAGAGGCGTGCAGTGGATTAATTCTCGGTTCATTATTGTCTTGCGCGCGTCTGGTCTGGGGCCATTATACCGTGTTGGGAGCGTTCGATAATGCTGACTGTTTCGTGCCAACCACCAGCCCTGCCGGCTGCACTCGTCTGCACACGTCTGCACGCACTCAAGTCTCAGGAGTACGAGGCGCCTGTCGACACTCGCTGACAGCTGCTGTAGACGACGTGATCGAGGCGTGGGCGCTCTCGTGCATGGACTGACATCTGGTGCATGTCGTGTCGTTCAGAGCATACCGACTGCCTGGTTGAGACTCTTGCGGCAGAGACAGACGACATGGAACTGGGGACCTCTCCGCGGTTGATCGAGCGCTCGTTTCGTCTACGTCCCAGGCCGTGCGTGAGGCTGCTGCCACAGACCGCACAATTGGGGCAGCCATCGCCGGCGCCAACCTTCACTGGGCGCAGTGCAGGGCCAAGACGTGCAAGTGTGTGCACAGTGCAGAGATCTATAGCCGCAGCCGTGTCGGCTTTGCCTGCACTTAGTTCACGCCTTGACGAGGGCTTGTGGGCTTGCTGGCTGTCCCCGTCTCGGGACCCGGTAGGCGTCTGCAGCATGGGACGCCCCTGAGTGCCCTGCTCTGGAGCTTTGTATATCGGTATCTGTCGAGCAACCGACATCTCAAGCCAACAGCACAATGCTCTGCAGAAATCGAGACGCGGAACAAAGGCCTTCATCTCGCAGCAACCTCTGTCACGCAACAGGCCAACACAGGTGTCGTGTAATCCTGGGCGCCTTTGCCCAATAGAGGCAGCTGTCAAGCGAGAGGCCCAGTAAATGATGTTTACATACCTCCGCCGGAGGGACTAACACTCATGAAGCCTACCGGCCCTTCTGAGCGCGCCTAGCCTTCAAGGCAAGCTGCTCGTCGACTTCAAAAGATTCTGCCCCCTGGTGCGCATCATGCGCGGCGCCGCTATTGCAGTGTCGGAAGCTGCTAGAGCGCTCAGCTAGCATGCACATCCTGGGAGATGACCTTTTTTACCCTTCTGCCGATTCTCGCTCCCCAGTTTGATTAACGTCCAATCTCATTTCGCGATAGTCCCAGTCGGACTCCGTTCTCGCCCTTGTCCGTACGTACCCCGCCAAACTCCGTCACCTTGACCGGTCTATCAGCCCTGTGCGTTGTGTGCATTCTCCATCAATCATCTTGCACTGTTGCCGAAGATCAATGAACATCACAATTCCATCCGAAATCATTACGACTCACCAAGATTCAACGCTCAGCTTTTGTGGACGCTGAGTCATCGTGTGACGCATCTGACATCGCTCCTATCCCTCCGTTCTCGACACCATCTAGGACGGCGCCCTCCGCACAACGCTGCGTTGCGCTAAGATCTCGCCCGTTGTTCTTCCAGATCTTTGTGATTATAAGCGCTCGGAGCGCCCGAGCCCCCACAGTCGGCTCTCAGTTGCACGGGCTGGGACACTTTAGTTTCTGACACGCTCGCAACTTTGGCGTCTGGCAAGCTCCAGCCCAGGCTCTGAGGATCCTGGTCCGGAGGCCTCAAGCCTCGACCCGACCACGCCCGACCACATTGCTGGGATGTGCTGCACAGCACTGAGCAGGCGAAGGGGATCCTTAAGTCAATTCACCCTCGTCTGTGGACTGCGGCTGCCACGTTTCGAGCCCCTTATGTACACGATGATGCAAGTCCCAGACTTCAACGGTGACTACGCAACATGACCCTGCAACACCACCCCGCGGTCTCAAGCCGAACGACTCCAGGACCACTGCTTGTGCTCTGTTTGCGATCATGGCTCGAAACGTACAAGGAGCTCTCTGTCGCAATCAAGCTGTGTCGCCGACACACTTCACCTGCACCATCACAAGCTGCTGCCGTAGTCAACTGCCATTCCTTGTAGCTCCAGTCTTGGCAGCTCCTTCTCCTGCGTGATACAGCTAATACCCTGTGCGTATCCTCGCAGCGTCGCTCAATCAAGAACTTGCTGGAGGCCTTCCTTGTCAAACCCTGCCACGGCTGTGATAAACACAACCTGCATCAAGCACATTTGAGCTGTCTTACTAACATGCTCATCGCTTATAACCGCTCTCCCTTCCAAGCGTCTAGAACGTCCCTTAAGGAAAAGGTGCGCAACCGCAATTCGCTGATTGGACATAAATGTTGTGATCCCCAGTGCGTGGCCAGATCTGAGTCTCAGCCATTCCTCAGCCGCGGAGAGCGCCTTTGCGAAGTGATTTCTCCGATTTCGTTTTGCGCACCTGTTAGCGCAACCTTCTTTGGGGGACCGGAGTTATTC